GAAATCATCCAAAGGCGGTCTAGCGGATCCGGGGACAATGGAAGGGGGGTGGTTAGGATTGATCATCAAGGATCGTGGCTCCAACCGGACGTCAACGTCGACTTCCTGGATTTGTGGACGGCATTTCAACATGCGGGTTTCAACTTGGTTGCCAAACAGATATAATAATGTCGGGCAGTCTGCTGGATTCCCTTCATAGGCCACATTCTGGGTCAGATTGAACCAGTCAGAGAAGTATTTGGGGGCTCCAACCCCCTTCTCATGGAGTGAGAACGAGCATGCCCCTCTGGTACTATTAATCTCCACATCCCAACGGAGCAGGCCGTCGTCGTCATCGTGAGACCACGAGAGTTTGTAATCAGATGCTGGAATCTCGCCATCGCAATTGAGGTTGGGGCGCCAGGCTGGGAGTCGAGCTTGTATGTACCCGGGAGTCAAGTTGGACGTGCCATTGTCATCGGTCCTCGGAAGAGACAATTTCGGGAATGCCAGGTCTGCATATGTCCATTGTGGATATGACATGTTCAGATAGAGAATCCTCCCAGGTGTAAGGTCCTTGGAACGAAGGTCTAAGTACTTGGAATGGTCAAGGTGTTGTTTGTAGGAACTAACGTTCCAGGTGCTGCGTTGAACCAGGGATATGTCAGTGGGATAAGGCAAATTGTTCACCGCATAAAGACCGGACACGGTGATAGGTAGCGCGCCCGCTAGGAGGAGTGCAACGGCACTGGCTGCTAACGCCCACTGTCGCTTGCCAAGGGAATCAAGGATCGCCCATGCAGTTATTTTGCGATGTTGGTTTTCCAAAACGCTCGCATTTGCGCGTGCCCTTCCGCGTGCAAGGCAATGGAAAGGTTGAAATGTCCTGACGTTTGCCTCCATCATTTGGTAAAGAACACGGATGCAAAACATAACTATGGCGGGGACGTATGCCCAGGGCTGATCCCTACCATTCTCTCTTCCTCCCACCGGCGCGATTCCTCGTCTTGTGTTAGATATATGGAGCAATACTTCGATAGTAGCAATTACAACAAGGGGGAGGACAAAAGTAAGGATGTAGACCGGTGGTCTTGCGGACACAGGACGCCACCAGCGGGGTGTGCTATCTGTGCCGCTCTTGGATACCTGCGCGTGGGAGGTCCGCTGGTCATGTACTTCAATCTGGAATTCCCTACCCACGTTTATGCAGGTACGATGCTCACACCCGGCCAACAGTTCCTTCATCTCCGAGGGCCATTTCAGATTCATATTTCGAAGAGTGGCCATCAACTTGGGACTTCGTGCCAAGATTGTCGCAAGGCCGCCAATAGAGCTCGGATCGCGGCTGCAGACAGAGAGTGGGAGGTAAAAGCAGTCAATAACTACGGAGATGATGATAAGCACTGAAAGAAAGCCGATCATCAGACCAAATGACAACTGACGGACAAAGAGGCGACTTTCCGTCCGTTCCGTCGTTCCTTTGATGTGGCGGTCTACAGGCTGGAGTAATTGATCTCTGGCCACTTGGATCGCACTAGACTCAAGACCACGTCCCAGCTCTTGGGACAGGAGCGCTGGATCATAAAAAGCCTCTCTATCTCCTGACCGACGCCCCAATAGGCTCCATCCATTGCCGTCAGCTTTTAACATAGAGATCCATGCACCATACAAAAGGGCGCCGGCGTTGACGTCCAATGCCGGGGGGGAACTAGGAGACAGCGGACGCTGTTTCTTCATGTCAATGTCGGTTATGATGGAAATGCCGTCGGAACTTCGTGACAGCTTCACTGGAACGCGGGCTATGTCAAGGTAGGGCGTACAGAAAGCACAGGTGAATGCGAATTTCCCAGCCCCGCGTTCCGCTGTTTTCCCGGAACCTATGGTCGCGTTCAGATACAAACCATTGGGGTCATGACGCGGAATATAGACCCATATGCGCCAGTATGCGTCCGTATACTGATCCTCGTCTTGGGGAAAATGCAATCGTTTTCCGTCACACAGGGAGGGAAAACCTACGAAGGTTGCGTTAACACCCCGAAAAACCGTATATTGAGTAACCTGCTGAGGCAATGGGCCGGTTGAACAAGAGCCAGACTTCATGGAGAGAGTATACTCGGATTGATTCTTGGTGGCCTCCATGGTCGCATTTTCACACTGGACCTTCACGGTGAGCACGTCCACCTCGGCCTCGATTTCGCGATTGTCACCCAAAGTAAAGTTGTCGGGGCGAAAAGGGCCGTCTTCCTGAAAGGGGGGAAATACATGATTGGCAAGGATTCCAAAGGGCAGATCGGAGCCGTTTAGCGCTATTCCCATGGCCCTCATGTGCGGGATGGTTGTAACATCGGGAGGCCTGAAATTGTCAAGGCGGAAATTGAAATCATGGGTAAGGCGGAGAGAAGCAGAACGTTTGATGGGGACGTCGCGGAGCTCGAAAAAGCTTGTCGAGACAATTGCCATTCCATTGACCAGCAGTGTACCAGCAATGACTAAAGAAACCAGGTAGTGACGTCTCCGGACCGACCTATAGAGGGACTCAATGTTCCAGGGAGAGAGGTAATCAAGCAGAAGCCCATCAGATGCGGCAACTGGAGCGCGCGACATCAGCAACCATGGCATCAACTGGCACCCGCGGTATTCGACCTGGCCCCAAAAGGCGCCCAAGACCATAAACACTGTCACGGACGTTATTAGAATCTCAACCTGTTGCCTGAAAAGAATAAACCTAGAAAAAGGAACAAACCTGCAGTCGGTCCATACGTCCATAGGTAGTAGTGTTTCCAGCCCTGTGTTTCAATGCCTTGTCTACCATCGCCACGAGCCGCATAGCAGTACAAGGCAACGATTGTGGCGAGCAAAGCCACGAAAGTAGCAATAAAGACCAGGAAAGTCGACCGGCGCAGGAAGAAAGGCTGCCATAGACGTGGAGAATGGCCATACTCAAGGACATGCTCACGGCCGTCCTTCCGGAAATCACTGTCCTTCAAGAGGCCATCAGCAACGTCGTCCGACGAACCGCTCTGAGGGGCTGTGTCAACCGCGAGAGGTAGTGCTGCCATTTTTCCAGCCTCCGTTTGACAGACCTGAGTCAGGGAACTGCCCAACGCGCGCAGGGATCATCGCTTTCTCAGGCACAACTTGAACGTCTCGAAGTCCGTCAGCCGCACTTGGGGGCCGTTTTGCAAAAACATGACTTTTCCCGACATTTTGTGACCTTGCTCTGGCCATTGGCTGAAATTCGCCCCACTCCATCGCAGAATATCTTACTCTCTCCTGTCGTATAGGCTAGTAGTATCTAACTAGATTTTAACCTGAAATATCAATAGGTTCCTCCGTAAATGGGGGGATTTTGGCATGGTTGTAACTATGGGTTACTTGGGCAGTTATGCCAAGCCCCCAATAACTTTTGTAAAGTTTTAAATCAAGTACTTAATCTTTCATGAGAATATCAAGCAAAGCATAGAGAGAGAGAGAGTCTCTTTAATTTCTGCTTGCATACGGAGTACCCTGTACAGTTTATTAAAATTCAGTAATAACTCTTGCAAACTTTAGGTACCTAAACTAACAGGACAAGCGAGATGCTTGCACACTCTGTCCAGACGAGGATCCGGCTACCCTTTTCATCCATCACTCCAGACATTTTTAGATCCTACGCGGAATCCTTTTCTTCCCTTTTCCAGAACTTTTGAATTTTTCAGGGCCGATTCAGGAATCTATGAACCCTCGACAAGCGCCGCGCGGAAGAGACACAGAGACGAAAGCATACCAAGGTGGAGAGGGAGGAGCCACAGCGCGGGGGGGAAAGAGTTGAAGTTCTCGCGGCCCATGCCAGCCCGACAAAAACCCCAGCCTTCCTGCACAGCTGCCGTAAGCTCTTTTTAGCGATTTAGCGGTCACAATCATGCGTGCCTCGGAACCAAATCCTAGGAGGGAAAGGGTTTCAAGTGTGGTCTGAACAACTTCGAGTTTGTTCATTGAATAATAGCAAGGAGCGCGGAGCTTGTTTGAGCACGTATGAGCCATATGGTCGAAAACACTGGCCAGTTAAATATGTATTCGTAGATATCATCGGCGCAGGAATCCATTGGAGTGCCGATTTTTTGCCAGAAGAGCCATATTTAGCCTCGGGAGTCCAGAGAATCCGGTTGAGACCCTTGAGTCATCCACAACTGTTGCCGGAAACGAAACTGTAGATTGTTACCAGAGGCGGCTCTTATCCCGCTGGCTTGGAGGCAGATCAGCCATCAGATGCTATATCATACTCCATTGTAACTCTCGGCAAACCTGAGAACAATGAGTCTCGCAATATAACTGTTCCCATGCAGTCATCTTTCAGCAGAGCTCAAGCTGTGTGTAGACTATCAGATCATGGGGGTAAAGACACAAAGGACGGAGTATTCAACTGGTAACTCTGGGTTATATACTCTGTACATGGGAAGTTAAAAGTTAAAAAGTATGTGTCAGGAACGATCTGTAAACGGCTTCTACTTTTCAAAATATCTATCTGAAGGGACAATCCAGAGCATTCTCGCTCTCTCATTACCTGGTGTGATGGCTGTGTCATGAATAGCCTGCTCTCTTCTGACCTCTCAGCATGACTGGCCGACTGACTCTGCTGGTGTCAGCCTAGCTGGGCTGAAGTCGCCCATTCCCCTTCCGCAACACATTCCAACAGCACAGGAGTGCAAAGACAAGACAAGGTGCACGCGTGACTTTTCCTCGCTCCTAGTCACGAGCAGCAGCTCAAAAGGATGATTCAGTCACTGACTGAGGCTCGCTGTCCCGGATCTCTCCATGCAACTTAGGCAAAAGAGAGAACGAATCTCGGATGATTTCCTGACTCTTTGTGTGCAGGTCCATTCACAAAGCCTCCAACGTAACACAGGCTTTCTCTCTCTTTCTCTCTCTCTTCTCACTCACTTAGCCTGACTTGAAATCCCAATGACATGGGTGTATCTTCACTCTCATTCTAGAAATCCCTTGATGAATCCTTACCGCCAGCCTCCGGCCCTGCTCTCGTTATGAGTACCAGCCTCGAGGCCAAGATCGTCGTCCTCGGTGCTCAAGGTAAGTCATTCATGACGTCGAGGTCTCGAATACCCCCCCCCCCCCCGCGGGAAATTTGACTTCCAGGGCTAATTCCTGCATTTTGGTTCTATTCCTAGGCGTTGGAAAGACCTCCCTCGTTCAACGTTATGTCAAGAATTCCTTCAGTCCGACCACCACCGTGTCCACGGTAGGTGCGTCGTTTGTCACTAAACGTGTCCTCGATTCTACTTCCGACACCATTGTGAGACTACAAATCTGGGATACTGCCGGCCAGGAGCGTTTCCGCAGCATATCCCGGCTATATTATCGTGGGGCCAATGCCGGCCTCCTTTGCTATGATATTACGGATGAGAACAGTTTCCAGGAGATGACAGGTTGGCTAGGCGAGCTCAAAGAGAATCTGGGAGAGGATAATCCGATCATTATCCATGTCGTGGGCACTAAATCTGACATTGTAGCCGATGATCCGAGTAAACGAAAAGTCCCCTTTGAGAAGACCATAGCATATGTGGCCGAACAGCTCTACCCATCACAAGCGTCCACTCCTCCGCCCAGCTCCGGAATGGGGATGCTAGGTGCCTCGGCCGCTACGGCGTCCAACACCCATGGCCCGGAAAGCAAACGCAGCAGCGGGTTCTGGGGCCAGGATATCGGCTGGGATTGCTGCCACGAGATAAGTGCCAAAGATGGAGAGGGTATTGAGGAGGTATTTCGAGTCATTACCCGGAAACTTGTCGAGCAGAGAAACAAGAAAGTTGAAGCGGAGACAACACAGCGAAGAAACGTTCGCGGGCGCGAGAGGCCCTCAACATCCGGTGATGGCATCGCGGCCGATGGCAACGCAGACAAACGACGGAGCTGGTTGGGTTTCCCGCCGACTCTAGTCTTACATGATGAACGCACAGATGATGAACCTGATGGATTTCCAAAGCGAAAGCAAGGAAAATGCTGCTGATTCCTCACTTTAAAGTTTCTTATCCCTCCCCTACCCCTTTCATACGGTTTTACTGGCGTTTGTGGCATCGATAGAGTGGATATGGCGCAGTTTGATCTTGGGATATGTCTATTACGGCCAGGATCCATCCAAGGGTTCCTACACCTCGCACTGTTTTGCTTAAATTTTTCTTTTTTTTCTATTTTTTTTCTTTTTTCCTTTTTTTTTTTTTTTGGGTTCTCACGCCCCTCCACCTGATTGATGGCAGACTTAGTGGCGCTACCCGGCATCTTTCCATTCCTTGTTTTGCTAGTGATTGTGTAGCTGGCCTGTTTGGTTTCTTCATTCTCTTTCGTGAACTGTATTAGATCCTGTTGTATAACTTTTAACTAAATAATGATGTGGCATCTTCCTTCACAGATAGCAGAGCAACTAGCGCAGCAATAGACGTCTCCTTCTGCCCGTTTGATGGCCTTTCCAGGTGCAGATGTTGCCGAGCTCACGACGGGACAGCCAAAATGTGGCTCGGCGAAGGACATCTAAGGCTGACATTTCCTTCCATTGCAGGAAACAACCCCCTCTGAGACATCATCCATCTCGATCCACACAACCTTACTTTGCCATATCCTCACCACATTTCTGTTTCATCTCCAATTATTTATTCAAGCAGCTGCAGCCACTCTAGCACCACGCTCCACCCCTTGCGGGAGCTTCTCAGAATGGCATCACAATACAGCCTGGCCGATTACGACTCTGACGAGGAACGCGCCAAATACCCCCAAGTCCCGGAAGATAATCTCGCATCTGCCGCTCTGTTCTGTGTGAATATGCTTGAATCCAAGAACATCAACTATGCACTCTTCGGCGGCTTTGCCATTCGCCTGCTGGGAGGAAAACGGGACACCCGCAATGTAGACATCCTGTTCCAGGGAAACATAAAGGATATATGGAGCATTGTGGAGACGCAACATCGGTATGTCCAGTTGAGGAAATGTGTATCAGAGGCAAGGTGTCTCCGGTATGGAGCCTTACTAACTTAATTGGCCGCTAGTCTGGTTATCCCTAGCAGCAGATTGACCACCGATATTCTCAAAGTCCTTGTTCATACTGGCCCTGGTTATGACTCGTGTGATGTACAAGTGCCGGTTGCGGTGACCCTCATTGAGTCCGGTATAAATCAACCTTCCATCAGTTGGCATCCGTCCCATTCCTGGTTTCAACACACGAATGAGCAGCTAACTGAGGATGTGAACAACAGGATATCGAGGAAGTCCAAAAAGTTTGGCAACCAATCGGCTTCTCTCTAGTGTTGACACCATTGCGGGGCACCGGCCGATCTATGTCCTTGGAGTTTTTGACATCATCAACGTCAAGCTGGCCGCCTTCATGCATGATCGTCTGGATAAAGACAAAGAGGATCTTTTGTTCCTCATGCGGAAATATCCCGAAAAGGTTTGCACAAGAATCAAAGACCTCGATCAGGAGGCAGCTACCATCTTTATGGACTCGATTCCTGACGACGTTCGCCCTGAGCTTACCGAAGAGATTTTTAATTTCAAAATTCATGGAGTGACTCCAATGGCCCATCGAGAATATTTTGGTTCTCCTTGAATTGCCGACCCCTAGCGTCTATCCTTGAGAAGTTGTCGCGGTCGACAAAAATCCACAAGGCTCCACCTTTTCACAAGTCAACATTCCTTCATGCCTCGTCTTTTTAAGCGTTGATGTACAATTTCTCGCTCGATGCAATAATAATCAACGCTCAGATCTGCAGCTGTTAATTATCCGTGTAACGTAAAGTCAAAGCAAGCTTTTCATCAAATAAGGCGATCCTAGTAAGTTCTTCGGAACTAGTCAACCCTGAAGGGTGATTCCGCACGGCCCTCGATTCGCCTGTGCTAAAGGAGCCCGTAAATACAGATAATAGGGATCAGGCTTCACCTGTAATTCTCTGCGCAGCCGGTATTTTGAATAGGAGAGCCGGACCGCAAAAGGGATCTCAGAAATATTTACCGGTATATAAATTGATAGGGAGGCTCTGTAATCAAGGCACTGGAATGTGAGGTTTTGGCACCAAAGCTTTTCATCATTTCACACATTAGTGGGATGTCAAGGAATGCCAAAGATACCCACCTCAAATAACAGCAACGAATTGTACGCATCATCCTAGATTTTCGTTTTCAATAATATTTATGGAATCCGAAGCATCCTAGCATGTACTCATCGTCGGCCCTGGCCCTACCATCTAGCCAGCTAGACCACCAAATAACGGTACCGTATTCGGGGGAGCCTTTGACATTTGTCGATGAAAAGATCATGCCCAGCGGTGTGAATCCCACGACAGAGGTCCAGATCTCAAGGAAGCTGTCCAAGAGACTCAATGTTCTGATTCTCGTAACACAGCAGATCTCCAAGGTACCCGTGACATGACTGCTCTCGGTTTCGGCACACTCGTACCCTATGGGAATCTTTGACTTGGAGTGTGCCACATAGTAATTTACCAGGGAGCTGTCGGTGTATCAATGCCGGGAGGAATTTTAGGTGTGATGTCCGTGGTCAAGCTAAGATGGCTGGTTTTGGTCCTCTGAAAATCAGACAAACATCTCTTGTTTGGAAAATTTTCCATGATACACCTTGTATAAAACCTTAGGACACCCTCCCAGCTAGATGCGGCATCCCTGTGGTCTTTATCCGGTTGTAGAGAGGGATTTCACTGTGGTGGCCGATTTACGCCAGTTTTCAGCGGTAGGTTCCTCAAAAGGCTGATGAATGAGGAAAGCGAATTGGCTGATTGCGTCAATATGGGCAGTCCACCGCACCCTGGAGCCGGGAACCGCTAATTGTATGGATCTGCGCAATCCGCCCGCTGAGATAGCAAAAGGGGTTTCAGCGAGCTATCAGGACGAAGCCAATGATAAATAGCCGCCTAGCCCAACACCTGCCGGTTGTCCGCAGAGGATACTTGAAGTCAGGTTACAAGTACTCCGTACATCTCTTTGAATAATGGAAGCCATCAGAATACCCGGTGGCTGTCGTGGTGAAGCACACAAACCTGGAGGAAAAATAACTAGTTAGTTAAAAGTGAAAATCCAATGATGGCACAAAGGCCCGTTAGACTCCACCCGAAAAGACTTCAAGCTGTTGCTTGATCAGCCCGTTTCTTTCGAATTCGAGACAATGACTCGTTGCAACACATTGTTTTGTTAGCTAACCAACTCACTGGTTTAATAAAGGATCTGATGAATAGGATCTGCCCGAAATGCTTGGCTCATTGGTTGGTTTGGCGGCCAGAGGAACAATGAACAGCCTTGCATTGTCTAGCTGCACATCTCCACAGAGCCCGTGCCTTCAGAGGATTTCTCGATGAGCTTTCATTTTTTTTATTTGTATTTCGTTTTCTCTCGATCCCGTCCCTGTCCAGGGCTTCAACTCCACCTATCCCATTATCCGCGCGATTATTTGTCACGCGTCGGGGATGGTATCGCGATCGGATCTACATGGAACTGGTTTCGTCTGGCGTACATGATCATGTCACACGCGCCGACGGATGTGCGGTCAGTTGGAACATGCGTTTCTGCTGGTATGGCGATTGATCTCACCTCACTTTGATGTAGCGACATTGCTATAAAGGTAGCAGATCATTAACTTCTTGATATTCTTCTTGAACGATAGTGATGACCTCGTTCCTAGACGCCTCTAAGCTTGTGGAGCGCATGAAGACCGCAAACGGCACAGGAACGGACGAGGAACTGCTTGATTTCGAGAACTCACTTCTACTTGGACCGCCCGTTATCCAAGGCCAGTATGACCAGAACTTTCGCCGCTTTGGAGACGCCTACGAGGTGGGGGATCAGACAGCTCGAGAAGGCCTCAAAGATATTGTCATAAATCTACAGTTGACACTCCTTGCTACCCTGCGCATGGCGCTGCTGGACAATACTCATCCGGATTTAGCCGCTATGCTGGCTGCGTCGGACAATGCCCGCCTCGATGCCCTTATGTGTTTGTATAGGCTGGGGGAACGCATGGCTCTGGGCCCCCCGCAGCTAAATCCGTCATCATCGCCCCCCACGAAACCATCGAGTTCAACCGTGGGATCGCAATCCATGCAGCGAATCCCATCTCCTCCGCTAAATATTAGACGGCCGATGATAGGTCCAGGTTTTGAGACCTCGCCGCGAGATCCACATCGACTATCAACATCGCAGAGTGTTTCATCGTACGATACGAGGAATCACCACCTGCCTCCTATTTCTCCGGCCAGTGAGATGTCACTTGTTACCCCAATATCGCCGTTTAGCCTTGTGGCCAAGGATCACACACAGTTCCGGGATGCCAGGACACCGAGTCTGGATTCCTCAGTTGGAGGCTCCTTTACGGGGACCCGTTACCAGCACCCGACAATAAACCATCCTAGTAGACTCCCCGAATTAGATCCTTCAATCCCGCCCATTCATGAAGCAGGGGCCCAATCAAACAGTATTTACAGCGATAGTGTGTATAGCGAAAAGTCCTCTCGCCCGTTGATAGCATCCAGGCCCAGCAATGGAGGAGATATATCTTCAGTACTAGGTCCCATTCGACATGGGCCATACGGAAGAGGGGGCAGCTCTCAGGAAAATGTCTTAGCTGAACAGAATGCCCCTTCCCCCCGCTCTGGCTCGCTCTTGTCAGGCCTGCATGGCCGTAGGAAGCGAATATCTGCTTCTTCTGACGAAAAGGACACACCTGGGCCCGGTTCCCGCTCAATTTTCAGCTTTACACGACGGCCCCACCCCGTTCAAACTGGGCCAGCTCAAACCGCTCCGGGGGGGCCGCCTGTAACTGCCGTGGGAACAGAAAATCTCCTTCAAGCAGGTCTGTATTTACCAAGTGAAGAAAACAAATTCGCCGGCTTCTGCAAAGGTGCTTGGAGGCTGCAAAACGGAATCAAAAAGTCTTTCCGCGTTGATTTGAGGCCATCTGGTATGTACAAACAGATTTCCACCTGGAGATGCACAAAATGCCACTTTGAAGGCCCCATGGGCCAGACTCCTATTATCAGTCGCAATTCTCCCTCCGCACCCATCCGAGGATTCGCTCGCACCTCCCCCCTGGTGGGAAACTGTTCGCAAGATTTTGATCAGAGAGTGCGTCTCCACGGTCCCAGCGGAATCCGCTACCGGTGGTCCTTCCTGGCGAAAAGCCATTTTCCGATAAAAAGTAGCCCGAAAGCCAATGATGGCACAGGCGGCCGTTTCGGGTGCATATACTGCTGCGTGGAGCAGCAAGGGCCTGCGCCGGTGTTTGCAGATATAGATACATTCATGCAGCATTTGCGGCTTCATGCCGGATCGGCCGGGCTCGCCGATGCGAGAGCGACGCGAGAACCGCCCCAGGCACTGCTGGATTGGACGAAGTGTATCGTGGGTCGAGTTGCGACGGAAGAGGAGGGATTTGATATCAATATTCCCAAAGTAGTGGTGGAGATGGGGGATTGAAGTTGTATCAGGAAGTGTTTTGTAATGTCTCTTGGCTATGTTCTCCATGATGAGGATGTTGAAGGACGCCTACTTTTGATAATCGTCCATCTTAGATCCTGAATAATCCAGAAGTGAAGAGAGGTCATGGCGCTTCTGGAAATTTGGTATTCATAGATTATATCCTGTGTTCAGGCTTTAAAATGCATAACATCATGCTCAACCAAACTGTGTCATAAAGCGCAAAAGATGATCAAGAGAAGACGGACGCCTCTAGAGAGATTCAAACCAGCAACTCCGGTACTCTCACATAACCACACAGCATGTGTTTTGCTTTTTCGCCTGGCCGTAGAACATCTTGCTCTGTGCACTTAAGCCGTCGCTCTTTGCGACCAAACTGTCAATCTTCTCACCTCTCTCCAACACACTTTCAATTGTCTTGTGTAGCACAATCTTTGTCTCATCCAGCTCCTTCTGAATCTTCATGATACTATCAGCCTGGCTAGGGTCCTGGTACTTGGTGATGTATTCCTTCAACTGGGGGAAGGGAAGATTCCCGACGTCAGGGACGGCGAATGCAGTGCGGGGGTATTTGGCAAGGAACTCGTCCACGACTTTGGAAAGAAGCTGATGTGCAACAAGGCCGGGGTAATCTGCGTCGGAGATTATAATACCTGCTATACCTTCGGTCCGGCCGTAGGCATGGAAGGTGTATGATTTCTCCTCGACGTCTTGTCGTTGGCCGGGGCGGGTTCGTTCGGCGACTGTTTTGGAGAAAAGGGTCATGAATTCGCCGTAGCTATACACAGCGGAGGAGGTCCGTGAGTTTTCTTCATATACATTGTTGAGCCCGCGGGGGAGGGTATGCTTAGGGTTTTGGGTACCTGTCTCTTGTGAATCGAGAGAAACTGCTGAGATCCATCTCACGGCACAGCTCCACGGCCGGCCTGGTTTCGTTGCGAATAATCTAGGAGATGAAGGGTCATTAGGGTGCCAAAGAACAGCGAATAGGTGGAAGAATTGGCTCACTCCGATGTAGAATATCTTCATGGTTGCTCCTTTTCTGCTACGAGGCGGGAGTTCGCAGGCGGTGGCCAACCTTCGAGCGGCTGGACTGAGGGGCGGCAGGGGGCGGTAGCTTTCACGAGTACGGCGGGTTTGTGCTGAGGTAAGGAACAAGCAGAGGGATCAGGCAATATGTTCAGAGGACTTCAGGAGTTGCGGTGAGAGTCCTGCTTGGGAGTGTACAGTTATTATGTTGGTGTGCACATACGGGGAGGGAAACTATGGAGTATGGAGTAGGCGGTTAACTAACTGGTTAACTAATGAACTATCCGGTGGTGGGTTCGCTGTCACATGTGGTGCTGGGATAGATGGATGCGGCTGACGCCTGCGCGAACTCTGGCCGACCACCAACCACCCAAGGCGGGAGGACACAGGAGCACAGAGACCAGCGAAGTCTGCAGCAGAGTGCCTGTCTGGCAAGTCCTGAATTACTTAACTGGGAAGAGAAGTGCCGCTAGTTAGTTAGTAGAGAAGATATGAGGAATACAAAACTGCGTGGTTATAAAATAGTTCTGCCTAATCGTCACACAACACCCGCCATACTCTCTGTACAGGGCATAATCTCGGGTGCGTGATGAACTGCTTTGTTCTGGGGGTGTTTGGTTCTCTTCCACCCAACGCTCGATCTCAGTCCCGTCTGCGTCAAATTCTCTTATCTGTGTGAATTTCCGGCTTCTGAAATGCATGCTGCCTGCAGATGAGTCCCTGGAGACTTCATTGGAGCCTTTGAACCCCAGTTGCTTTTCCTAACATCCCAGATTCCGTCCCAAAATGTCGGTAATCCGAGCTTGATAAAAAGGATTATCCCCCTTTGTCTTCCTCTTAGTACCAAGAGCAAGCCGCGAACCAAGTACAAGAAGGGTGTCTGACTGGTTTTTCAGTGATATTTCGTCCTGAATGCACCCATCCCCCCTCTTCGTCATAGATGGATGTCAAAGATCCCTCTTGTTTAATCAACCCATTTCATCTAAGTACGGCACATGTTTGGAATGCGGGTTGGAGTGGCAGAGCGCTTTGCGATTCTCGCGACAACATATTGGAAGCCCTGGAGAGGCGGAGAAATTGCCCGGCACGCTCTTTACTCAACTAGCCCAGTTAGGTACAGCTAGGTGGATCAAGAGTCAAGGCACTTCTTTCATTGGCTATAAAATAGAATTTATACGCAGTCTGGTTGGACAATGAATAGAAAGTGTCGGCTGCTGATTCGTTTACGTAAATTAATTAATCAGCTAAACTTGCCAAATCCAGCCAATCGGCGCTAAGGCTTAACCTTCATTTTCCAGCGTCACTCTCTCCCTCTTCAAGCCTCTCTCAAAGCGCCTCTGTACTTGTTGGAGCTGGACGGCAGCAGAAAAGGCTCAACTTTAGACTCACCCCAGGGGAGGCTAGCCGGTGCTTTGACGTCTTGGAGAACTGCGTATTTCCCAGCCCCCTTACGACCCGCTGCCATCTCCCTTTGTTTTGAAGACTTTGCTGGATATACCATGTCATCGTCGCCTGACTCACAGTGGCTTGCCCAGCTCGAGGCCATGAGAAAGGCGATAGACCGCCTCAAGTTGTCCAAGGATACTGATACAAACTATTATTATGACGTTGATCTAAGTGATGAAGACCTTTCGTCCCCTTCCATCGACGACATCTGGGATATAATCAGCGACGGCGACGACACTCTCGACGACCTAGATGACATAAACGGCGTCCCTCTCCCGCCCGAGTCCGCATCGGCCGAGCTTTATGACCAGACGTGGCTCGAAGGGAGATGCCGATCCCTCGCCCAGCGAAACCAGGGCTTAGATGCCATTGGACTGCAGCAGCAGTTGAATGCAATTCTTGCCACTGACAGCTCCGATGAGGAGCTCCAAATGACCCTCGCGGAAGTCATTGGTTTTGATGACCTGGATCTTGTTATCGATCTCATCGCTCATCGGCATGAAGTACTGTGTTCTCCTTCCCAGACCGACAATTCCATTCTATCAAAGTTACAGACAAGGGCGCAGAGAGAAGAAGCCCTCCGCCGTCAAGACTTTGAACACAAGCACGCCAAACTTGCCGATAGGCAGGATCGGGAGGGCCCTCACTATCCTCATGTATACAAGACCTATAATGCTGGCAACACGCTGTCCGTCAATGGCAGAAAATACGGGCTTCCTTCCGGTACTACCCATCGGGAGGAGCCCAGGTACACGGAATATGCTGTTCCAGCAACTAAGGTCGGGACCCTTGGCATCGACCAAAAGCTTGTTCCGATATCTGAGATGGATGGACTGTGTCGAGGTACATTTAGGGGCTATCAAACTCTTAATCGCATGCAGAGCTTGCTTTACGATGTCGCCTACAAGACAAACGAGAATATGCTTGTTTGTGCTCCAACCGGTGCTGGTAAAACAGATGCTGCCATGCTTACCATTCTAAACACGATCGCCAGGTTCACTCTCCCCAGCCCACTGGAAGAACCCCGGGCCTCTGAATTCGTTGTCCAGACTGATGAGTTCAAGATCGTATATGTTGCCCCGATGAAAGCTTTAGCAGCTGAGGTGACGGAAAAACTAGGAAAGCGTCTCGCTTGGCTGGGAATTGAAGTCAGAGAGTTGACCGGAGATATGCAATTAACAAAACAAGAGATCGTCCAAACCCAAATCATCGTGACTACGCCCGAAAAGTGGGACGTGGTAACTAGGAAAAGTACAGGCGATACGGAACTGGTACAGAAGGTGCGCCTCTTGATAATCGATGAGGTCCATATGCTGCACGACGAAAGAGGCGCGGTCATCGAGTCCTTGGTTGCACGAACCCAGCGCCAGGTTGAAAGCACTCAGTCGTTGATCCGTATAATCGGGCTCTCAGCAACGCTTCCAAACTATCTTGATGTTGCAGATTTTCTCAAAGTCAATCGCATGGCGGGCTTATTCTACTTTGATGCTTCTTTCCGTCCGGTTCCGCTGGAGCAACACTTTATTGGCGTGAAAGGAGACCCAGGATCGAGAAAATCTCGAGAAAACCTTGATATCGTCGCTTTTGAGAAAGTCCGAGATATGCTCGAGCAGGGGCATCAAGTAATGGTTTTTGTCCATTCACGGAAAGACACCGTGAATACGGCCAGGCTCCTAGCACAAATGGCTGCTGATGAGCAATGCTCGGACTTGTTTAGTCCTGTAGATCATGAAAACTATTCTCAGGCATTACGGGATATCAAAAGTAGCCGTGGACGGGAAATTCGCGATCTAGTTCCAAAAGGCTTAGGAACTCACCATGCTGGAATGGCGAGATCAGATCGCAACCTCATGGAGCGTCTCTTCTCGGAGGGTATCATCAAGGTTCTCTGCTGCACTGCTACACTGGCTTGGGGTGTCAATCTTCCAGCTGCGGCGGTGGTAATAAAAGGAACCCAACTGTACAGCCCGCAAGAGGGAAAATTCATTGATTTGGGGATCCTAGACGTTCTCCAGATTTTTGGACGGGCGGGTCGTCCTCAATTTCAAGATACGGGCATTGGTTTCATTTGCACGACACACAACAAGCTGCAACATTATATTTCTGCAGTGACATCTCAAGAGCCTATCGAATCAAGATTCTCCCGGAAACTCGTGGATAATCTCAACGCAGAAATATCTCTTGGAACGGTAACTTCTGTCACTGAGGGAGTTCAGTGGCTCGGTTACTCGTATCTTTTCGTCCGGATGAGGCGGAATCCCCATTCATACGGTATTGACTGGGCTGAGATCCGCGATGACCCTCAACTTGTTCAACGCCGTCGCGATTTAATTATAAAGGCTGCACGAGTCCTCCAGCAGAGCCAGATGATCATATTCAACGAACGCACAGAAGAGCTCCGCTCCAAAGATGTTGGCCGTATTGCAAGCCAGTATTATGTCCTACAGACGAGCGTTGAGGTTTTCAATACGATGATGAATCCAAACGCCAGTGATGCAGATGTGATGAAGATGATTAGCATGAGTGGCGAGTTCGACAATATTCAATCAAGGGAAAACGAGTTCAAGGAGTTAGATAGGCTTCGACTAGAAGGCTTAAGAACCGAAGTCGAAGGCACAAACGACAGTCCACAAGCGAAGACCAATATACTACTCCAGTCGTACATATCTCGCGCTCGGGTGGAGGATTTTGCCTTGGTATCTGATACGGCGTACGTTGCTCAGAACGCTGCACGTATCTGCCGCTCTCTTTTCATGATTGCCCTGAACAGACGCTGGGGCTACCAATGTCAAGTTCTCCTCTCTATGTGCAAGTCAATTGAGAAACAAATATGGCCCTTCCAACATCCATTTTATCAGTTTGACTTACCAAGACCTATCCTAAAGAACCTGGATCAGAAGTCCCCTGCTTCGTCAATTGAAAACTTACGGGATATGGAGCCAGCAGAGCTCGGACAGCTCGTTCATAACAATAGAATGGGGAACGTACTTTCCAAGTTGCTGGATAACTTTCCAACATTAAGCGTCGAACCTGAAATTGCTCCTTTAAATCGTGATGTCCTGCGGATTCGTCTCTATATTTATCCCGACTTTGAATGGAACATAAGGCATCACGGCACTTTGGAGCCGTATTGGATATGGGTTGAAAACTCGGAGACGTCTGAAATCTATCACCACGAATATTTTATCCTCAGCCGGAAGAAGCTCCATGATCATCATGAATTGAATTTTACGATTCCTCTCTCCGATCCCCTTCCAACTCAAATTTATGTCAGAGCCATATCCGACCGGTGGCTAGGTGCTGAAACCGTTACTCCGGTATCTTTCCAGCATCTCATTCGACCGGATACGGTGAGTGTCTACACTGACTTACTAGACCTTCAGCCATTGTCTATTTCGGCTTTAAAAAACCCTGCCTTGGAAGAAATTTACGGGCAGAGATTTCAATTCTTCAACCCGATGCAGACTCAAATTTTCCATACGCTATACCACACATCAGCCAATGTCTTGCTGGGTTCTCCAACCGGGAGTGGCAAAACTGTCGCAGCAGAGCTGGCCATGTGGTGGGCATTTCGGGAAAAGCCTGGATCGAAGGTCGTTTACATTGCGCCCATGAAGGCATTAGTTCGAGAACGTGTACAGGATTGGCGCCGTCGACTAGCGATGCCACTGGGCCTCAAACTTGTTGAATTAACCGGTGATAACACACCTGACACGAGGACCATCCGAAATGCAGACATAATCATTACCACGCCTGAAAAGTGGGATGGTATCTCTCGAAGTTGGCAAACAAGAGGTTACGTGCGACAAGTCAGCCTGGTTATCATTGATGAAATTCACCTTTTGGGAGGTGATCGCGGCCCGATCTTAGAAATTATCGTCTCCCGCATGAATTATATCGCATCTCAAAGCAAAGGATCGGTACGACTGCTCGGCATGTCTACAGCATGCGCTAACGCGACGGATCTCGGTGACTGGCTTGGTGTGAAACAGGGTCTCTACAACTTCCGCCACTCAGTTCGACCTGTTCCTCTGGAGATATACATTGATGGATTCCCTGAGCAGCGAGGATTCTGCCCATTTATGCAGTCAATGAACCGCCCGACATTCCTTGCTATTAAGAATCACTCACCTGAGAAACCCGTAATTGTGTTTGTGGCCTCCCGACGACAAACTCGGCTCACGGCAAAGGACTTGATAAATTTTTGTGGCATGGAAGATAACCCACGGCGATTTGTAAACATGTCAGAGGATGACTTACAGGCTAACCTCGCTCGAGTGAAAGATGATGCTTTAAGGGAAGCATTAAGCTTTGGGATTGGTCTTCACCATGCCGGGTTGGTTGAATCAGACAGACAGCTAGCAGAGGAATTATTTGCCAACAACAAGGTCCAAATCCTTGTTGCCACTAGTACGCTCGCGTGGGGAGTGAATTTACCAGCCCATCTCGTCGTGGTTAAAGGAACGCAGTTCTTCGACGCGAAGATTGAAGCCTACAAGGATATGGACCTAACAGACGTGCTGCAAATGCTTGGCCGTGCTGGTCGTCCGCAGTTCGATTCTTCAGGTATTGCACGCATTTTCACTCAAGAATCTAAGAAAGCGTTTTACAAGCATTTTCTCCATACTGGTTTCCCCGTGGAATCCACGCTTCACAAAGTCCTTGATGATCATTTGGGCGCCGAAGTGTCTGCTGGTACGATTACAACCAAGCAGGATGCTCTTGACTACTTGACGTGGACTTTTTTCTTCAGACGATTACACAAGAATCCATCATACTATGGCCTTGAAATATCCGTGGAAGAGCACAATTCAATCGCGGCTCAACAAATGGCGGCGGGCTTCATGATCGAATTGGTTGATAAGTCTCTGGGGGAACTCGCTAAATCTTCATGCATCTCGTTTGACGAAGCTACTGGATATGTCGACCCAAGTCCTTACGGGAAGATTATGAGTTACTACTACATTTCCCATAAGACGGTCCGTTTCTGGATGTCGCATGCAAAGCCAGACCCCACGTTTACAGACGCTCTTGCTTGGATGTGCTCTGCAACCGAATTCAACGAGCTTCCTGTTCGCCACAACGAAGATCTAATTAACGCTGAGCTTGCGCGAAATTTACCGCTGCCCATTTCTGCGGTAAGTGCGGATCTGCCGCTCTGGGACCCTCATATCAAAGCCTTCCTTTTACTCCAAGCGTTTATGTCCCGCGTTGACCTCCCTATCTCCGATTATGTTGGAGACCAAACTTCAGTGCTGGATCAAGGGATCCGTGTTATCCAAGCCTGTATTGATGTTTTGGCTGAACTCGGTTATGCTAAAGGATGCTGGATGATGATGACCCTATTACAAAGTATAAAATCCGCTAGGTGGCCTGGCGATCACCCATTGTCGATTTTACCAGGCGTGAATCCTGAATTTGAGCAGGACAAGAACATAGACCTTACGAAGGTTCCCAAGAACCTCCTGGAGCTAGTCTCTCTAACACCAGCGGCAACCAAAAATCTTGTCAAAGTCTTGCGCCTAGACGAATCAACCGCGACTGAATTTACGAAAGTAGTAGCCTTACTACCTAATATCAAAGTATCGATTATTGAGGTGGCAGATACAGGACTCATCGTCGAGCTCGTGCGCCAACATCCACTATCGCATACACGATCTCGCCAAGACGCTGAGGGAATTCCAATCTATGCACCCAAATTCCCCAAGCCACAGATGGAAGGCTGGTTTATCGTTGTTACGAGAAGTGAGCCGGACGAAGAGGAGCTACTCGCCTTGAAGCGTGTCACTTGGTCGAACAAAGACAAAGACCGGACAAGTCGGGCTCGGGCGAATGTCACTGCGCGGACGAGGATTAAGTTGTCTTCTGGAGAGGGAAGAAGGGATGTGCATGATTTGAAAGGAAAAATGAAAGTGAAGGTCGTGAGTGATGGGTATCCGGGAATGGAATGGGTGGTTTCTTGCTGAAACAGCCTGATAAATTACCATATATGTATGTCCATTATATACGGAGTACATACATTGTGTTACAAATCGGCCGCTGCGAGCCGCTGCCGTCAAGACCAGGGGTATGTTAGCACCTAGCAGGGTACAGTCCACCCTGGACCAAATCTTTGAGCAAAATATACCCGAGTCTTCAAGAACAAGGCAAATCAAGCCAACTACTTGATGATCATGGTTCCAAAAGGATTCAAAAATAGGCTCAGGCTATTATGAGTCTACTTCCCCAGAAATTCCCATGAACATGTTACATCGGCACTCCGGTGCCTGGACCCCTGTTGCCCTCGCTTTGCCAACAACCAGGTTAACGGATCAGTTGGGGAGGTCCATGTCCATTATTAAATATTAACTACCCTGTCACGAGTGACAAGCAGCCCCATCAAATTACGCGAGTACGATGGCTCGGGTGCCAGCGAGAGACAAATTCTAACAATGGCAACCAATACGGTCTCTGGCCGAAGTGTGTCAGAAACCAGCCCACAATGCTGATGGAGCCTTTATTCATAGCTGCCTCGCTTTTCTAGACTAATAGCAGGGTTCCCAGTATTATCTCCAACTGACAGCGTGTTCTGCAGCTGACTAGGATGCTTGTACCTCCATGACAGGGGCGGACCGCGCTTTTCGCGTGCATTTCAATCATCAGCTCCAATATCATATGACAAGGAACGGCATCTATGACGAGAATATCGCATAGTGGATTGGTTCAAGAGAGGAATTTGTGTGGCCCGACATAACCCTTAGTCAAGCAGCGCATCAGGTTCAAATTCCGTATCTTACTCCTCCGTATCTCACAACACATCTCAGATGCTTTGTTCTTGGCAATGTGGTGCGCCAGATAGTAAGTTATGTCTGGAGTAGTCGGCCAAAAAAAAAAGAAAAAAAAGAAAAAAAAAGAAAAAAAAGGAAAAAACCGTTGCCCATCAAGTCTTTTCGACCCTCAACGGATATGTCTGGGAAGAGAGCAAGGGTCCTCACCTTCCCACTGTACAGTATATACTGATTACATTTCGCAGCACTTCGCTTTCCAGCAAGGCTTTGAGCGCCTGGCGCATTTCATCTGTGAGAATCCCCCCACCTTGGGCTTGTGAACGGTCTCGTCCCTTAATTGTAAGTAAGGGGCTCTTTTCTCTACGTATTCAGACAAAGCCACGGTTGCAGCTGCGAATTGGAAGAGTCAGCTGAGATGCGTATGAAATGAAGTTCTAGAAAACTTAAGCACCTGGCATCATGGTAAGTGAGTACAGTGTTAACCAGTGCATAAAACACACACTTAGGTATCTATAAGGTTACTCTTGTCCTCAATATGGCCAAGAGCTAAGTAACAGTGACCTAGATAATGTACATTATTGACCTTGTATTAGAAGTGAAGCGAACATTGTTTTATAAAGCTCTGGTCAACCGCTCTCGGCTTTTGAGCGCTCTGAATAGCTAAACTAGTCATTTGATTGCCTCCTCATATCTGGCTATCCAGAGCATTTTCTTTGAAACACACTCATCCTACGGCTGTGGGAACGATGATCGATCACAAAAATCAGTGAATACATGTCCTTGCTTGGTCATGGAACTGTTAGGTGTGACTGATGCGGACATGATTTGCTTTCGAGCATAGAATACTTGACAGTGTTAGAGCCAGAAAAGGGAGAGGCTTCTATGCTTCTCTAGAATTCGTTTTGTTTAAGACACGACATTTCCTTGCGGCATAACTAACATCCTTTCATGTTGAAGTTGCTCTATCTGCTGGTATTGGCCTATGATAATAAGCTCGTTACCTAAATTCACGACAAACGAAACAATTGTTAACCAAAGGTATCATCTCAACCTTTGGATTCTATGCCCTGGAAAATCATGAAGCGATGTTAATGGGAGCGCCGGCCACATCTCAGCACCGGCTTCAGCTAATACATCCATATTATTCTGGACTACCTCAATTTTGCATGATTGCTCCGTTTCCGTTTGGGTGGACTGTCTTGACCCCGCTCAGGGGTTGTCCAGCTTCATATTTGTTACGATTGAGCCCCCAAACACACCAGCGCCTGCCATCAAGGAGATTATTACAGAAGACCACGACAAATATTCCCTCAAATACGCAAAGATTATGGCCAAGTATAGGAGTAGCTTCAAGTATTCCCAACCGGCTAATACATAAGAAGGCCCAGAGAATCTATTCGGTGCTGGGTGAGGGGTAACCTAGGCATATACTCCTTATGGAGGATATTCATTAGAGGTATGCGGGTCAATGAAAAAGAGAAAAAAAAAAAAAAAAAAAAAAGAAAAAAGAAAAGGGAGGTGTAGTTGGAGGAAAGGAACGTGTAGGATAAGGGAAAATAAAAGTCGACAGAAACGATTTCCTCCCGGGGGTAAAATTCCCTAACCGAATATGATCAAACATTGAACTCCCATTATGCGGAAATGTGGCTACAAAAGAAGCCTAGCTCCGATATTCCTGCACCTTTTCCTGTCTCATTCGCGTAAAAGCACACTCACGGCGTGTGTCGTAGTTATGGTAAACCAAAAGACTGTATCCTCGTAGCACATCCAAACATTTCCCAGCTCCAAAGCATCCTCTGTCCGAGGCAAAGTTTAGAGAAAAATAAAGAATAATAAAAGAAGCGGGTGGAGTGTAGCGACCTAGTTATAGAAAGGAGTCAACACCTAGGAGGCTTTGATTTATAAAAAGGAGGTGAAGACAACTGAGGGTTCTGGATTCGACAGCGGAAGCAGCGGCATCACCCTTGGCGTCAATCTGAATTTTCCAGCACAGCAACTCGGGACTTCTCATAACGATGACCCTTATGCACAGCCTCTGCGGTAGGTGTCGCAACTCTCCTTTCCACAAGCCGTCCATTTGACCGGAGGGCGCTGGACTTTCCTCCAATCGGAACCAGCATATGTTTCCGCTTGCTGACTGATATGGACCTCGCGATTGAAACCTCAACTGTCTGAAAGTCATCACCGTACGAGTCTATCGACGGGTTGGACCTGTGGTAGCCACCCTGTCTACCCTGAGACGTGTCGCTGGGCTCCAGCGCCGAAGTGGCGTTTTTCGTTGAAGTTCTGGGTAATTGCAAGGAGTTTTTGAACGGAAGAGGGATAGCAGGTATCTCGTCCCGCAATTGCAACGGAGTTGATTGACCAGCCATTGGCTCCAGTGGTCCCTTCTCTCTCGGACTACCACTCGGTGGGCTTTCTTCCGACATCACATTCTGTAACTTTCTGACAGTTGATTGTGATAAAGTCTTACGTGCGGGGGTCACCATTTCCCACACAGGCTCCTCCTGTTCGGGTGGTTTAATGCGCAGTTTAATTGTCTCGTGGTCCTCATCTGAAAACTCATCATCCATTTCTGAGGGAGAGGTTGAAAAGTAGGAGGCCGATCCCCATCTGCTATGGGATGATTCCGATGTCTCCACAGGGCTCTGAAGAAGCTGTTTTTTTCGAGCGGCCATTTCAAAGGAGGTTGCGCCTGGCAAGACGGGTAGGGTGTGGGATTTTTGCAACGGAGTTGGCCTACGGGGAAGGCAGTGAGATCCTAAAAGTTTTGAGGCCTTATTGGTGGGTGTTGCTGGGAACAGTGTAAAAGTAGGAGACTTTGATGGCCCAGGGGAAGTAGCACGCCTTGGTCTGGCAAGATCGTTCTGCATCGCTTTCTGCTGAGAAATAAGTAATCATGCATTTAAGGTGGAGTTGGAAAGGAGTACATACCACCGTGGCTGGGTTTGTGAGGTTATCGAGGTTCTTGCTTCGACGAGAAAGCAAGTTTGATCCTATTTTTGTGTCATGTATCGAACCAAACATGACGCTATAACGTTCCATCCCAACATCAGGAATATGAACATTGAGAAGCGGAGCATTAGAGGTGGATCCATCTGGCTGAGATTCTGTGGTCTCCAAAGGTGTCTGAGGCCAAGGCCCCCGTTGGTGGTATTTCTCTTGATCTCCCGCTGCCCAAGCGCCTGTCTCTGCGGGATTGCTGTGGCCAACGTCGATCACCATCGACGGAAACTCCCCATGACGTGGAAGCGACTGCGATCGCGCAGGCCACGGTCGAGCTTCGGGTATAATTGGCTTCCTCCGTAGTAGCTGCATATCAGGCACGTACTCCGAGCTATCCAACGTTTGCAGCTGACGGTCGTTTACCCTAACCTCGTAAAATGGCACGCGAGGCGGGGATTCTGGACTTTTTGACTTGAATAGCCCACCGAATTTCTTCCATTTGCTTGGTTTACGCTTCAGTGAACTGTAATTCTTGCCGTGGACGTCTTCGTCCAACGTTAGGGGACTCATGCTGGAGATATCCGCCCATGTGTCATTGACCGGTTCCGTCGACGGATTGGCGGAAGCGACACCTATCCTCTGATCATCCCGTGATGCGTTCACGGATGCAAAATGGAGGGGAGACCCGTGAGGGAGTGAAGAGCTATATTCGTCTAAGGTTTCTGGGGGGTGGATGTCCTGTTGATGAGGCCGCACTGTCTTAACGATCTTGCGTCTTGATTCCTTTGCACTGCCAACTGGCCAGCTCTGGTTCGCCTGCAGAGAGTCAGCTGTTCCATCTCCAGTGGAACCAACACCGGTATCGGCCGTGTATGCTCGAGGTCGTGATGGAAAGAATTTCTTCCCCATTTTGCGGTGACGTGTAGTGTTAAATTCGTAAAAAAAAAAGACATAGATGATTAAAAGGGTACAGAATATATACAGAGTAACGAAGACTGAAAAAAATAAATAAAAAAATAAGAAAAGAATACACGAAAAGTCAGACAACAACAGGGAGGAAAAGAGCGGACGAGCTCCGGGAAAGCTCGAGAAATGAGCGGAGAAAATGGTACAACTACCCCAGGTTTCGCTGAAACAGGCGTGGCGGTAAATGCACAATTTATGTGAGAAGGCGAAGAAGGCGGATTAATACTCTGGAATATGAGGATGACTGTTGAAGAGTATCGGCAAAGACAAGGTCCCCCCAGAAGCGAGCCCGCAAGAGGTATCATCTATCGCTAAAGGGAACATGCAGAAGCCTTTGGTGGAGACCGAAGCAAGACTCGTGTCGTTTCGGAAAAGAAGAAAAGAGAGCCAACGAAAGCAGAAGTTTTTTTTTGGACATGGGTGGATTCGGAATTCTGGATAGGCCACTGTTTAAATTAAATGAGACAAGGGTGACGATTGAGACCCTTACATTGGTGAAACTGATAAAAGGGCATTTCATCAACGTGGACTATGATCGTCGAATTTCTTTTGATGTTTGGCAGCCCTGCATGGGCTGCTGGTTTCTAGAACAGCCCGACCAACCGCAGAAGCAGTATCTTAGCTAATTGTCTAAGCCAATAAAGGGTGGAATGCTCAGGAACAGGGAATCCAAGGTTCCTCGCAGTTCCTGAATGAAGGACTGAGACAGGGAGATGTGATTGGCCCGAGTCACGCTTTAGAAATTCATCTCGCCAATAATAAAGTAAGGGTAATAACAACAAAAAGGCTTTTCCGCTGCCGTGCGCCCCTCTCAGTTCTTGAGAGACCGGAGTATGAGTTTCGAAGTCACAGCGGAGGGAGCCAAAATAACAAGGTCAATTAACACTCGCAGTGTTTGGCGTAAAGGCAACTGGGGACTTGCGGGCGAACAGGAAAATCCTGAATCCATGATTCGAAGTTGAATTAAGGCTGAGACGCCGAGATCAACACGTAATTTGGTCAGTGGCCCTTGGTCGCTAGTCCTTAATTTCCGACATCAAGAATCGCTCTGTCTGGAAGGCCTCTAGGCCTCAAATCCAGACGACGTTGAGGCCGGCCTCTCAGTGTTCTAGAAATAGTTGATAATATCTCACGAACCTAGAATCCCGGGGTTGGATTGATGTCGACAGAGGGGCGCGGGCTAAAACCTTTCCAGGGTGGTTCTCGGGTGGTCAAACCACGGTTTGATCCGCCGCTAGCCCAGCGGGCGAGCCAAGGGCGTCTCCCTGCAAAAAGCAACGAAATGTCATCGGCTCCATTTTGCTAGCCGCGGGAGAGACTGGTCGGGACTTTGGAGTTAGGCCCGTGGTTCCCTGTCAAGTGGATTTTTAGCGCGACGGCAGGGGATGGATCTTCTGCGAGCAAGCACGTTGAGCAGCAAGTCTCAAGGTTGGCACTTGCTGGCCAAAGCGAGCTATGTAACCAACTCGTGAGTTAACTAGTTAGCTGTTGATCGCAGAAGTGGCAGGCCGGGGCCAAGATGCCGGGATGCCGCAGCCGGTGACCTTGAGCGGAAGAAGCATGGACCGTCCACCACCATCATCACCACCACCGCCCGGCAGAGTTGCGAGAAGAGGAAGAAAGAGTCGTTCGGGATCGCTGCGAAGGTTCGCAGAGCAGCTCAACCGCCAACCCGCTAACCCGTTAAGGGAAAAGCCCTTCTTCCAGCCCACCTGCTGAGTCAGCCATCAAACCCCGCCTCAGCCCACCATGTTTGTTAGTTAGTTACCTAAGCAGATCAGAACAACCAAAACATCCCACCTTCAAGCCCGAGTTGACGATCGAGAAGCCTTTCCGTCCACCTACCACCAAGCAAAACCAACCTCACAAGCCAGACTCGCTGTCCGTTCCTCCCCGCGACCATCGGAAGCATCCTCTGCACAAAGGGCCCCGTCTTCTGCTCCTTTGCGTGGCTCTGTTCTACTTGTCCCCCCTCCTCTTGCATCCCCCTCACCTCCCCATATCCCTTTTTTCGCGGATTATCCCCCTGAACTACATCTGCTGTCCCGGGTTCGACCCCTGCTTCTTCTCCCAACATCTCGGTTCATTCTTCTCTTCAAATCCCCTTCGGTTTTTCATTTGCAAAAGATGTCCTGGCAAGGTATGTTATACTCACCGATCAGCCTATGTCAAACCACGCTTCTGACCTGAAATGACGTCCACAGCTTATGTTGATACAAGGTACTCAATACCCCTCGTGGCTGAAGTCCTGCCACTTCGTGTGTCCTTTCTTTTTCTTTTTCTTTTCTTTTCTTTTTTTTAAGGCCTCCAGAGGTTTAAGAATGTTTGGCATCGATCCGTTATATCTAATTTCCCTCTAGTCTCGTCGGCTCTGGCCACATCGATAAGGCCGCCATCTTCGACAACCAAGGCACCAGCGTTTGGGCAACGTCTGCCGGATTCTCGGTACAGTCACCTGTACCTTTTCATCCATCTCTCACCCCTACCTTTAATACTGTGCTGTATGCTCTAGCCGACGAGCTAATGGGATTCAGGTCTCTCCGGCAGAGGTGAAAGTCATCGTCGACTCCTTTAATCCCGTATCTGGCGATGCGATCAAGGAAGTGCAGTCCGGCGGATTCTTCGTCGGTGGAGACAAATACGTTGCTCTACGATCAGACGAGTCTCGCCTCTATGGCAAGAAGGTGCGCTGGCTTCGAGTTCACTCCGGCTCCAGCACATAGGACTGACCAGATACATTCCGAATCCAGGGCAAAGAAGGCGTCGTGATCGTGAAGACGAAAAAAGCTCTCCTCATCGCACATTACCCGGAAACCGTCCAACCCGGCGCCGCGACCAACACGGTGGAAACTCTCGGCGACTACCTCATCGGATTAGGTTATTAGACAGACTTGCATGATCCACTGGTCATGAGTCAACAGTACATAATTGAGGCCCAAATACGGCTTGTTTTCATTTGTCGCGAATGCAAAACAGAGGATGTGCGATTAAGTCCAGATACATCTATTAGAAAATTGAATCTCTGGTTGACGGGGATACTGGCTCCCGGTCCTTTTTATAATATTTATTTTAGTTCAAATCAATCCCAATAGGCAAGATTGCTTGATCCTTTCCAGGTTTCTTTCCGCTATTCCTATTTGGTGAGGAATGTGACCTCCCACCTTTTCGTCTATACAGGCCATTTCCCATTTTCGTCAAATACCGCACCGAAATATACACATTTCGTTCTGAATGCCAGAATTCATTAAGTAGTCAAATGATAACCGGGGATATTTTGCATCTGATATACATATTCCGATGCTTCCGTCAAGGTGTTGCTGATAAAAGAAGAAAAGAAAAGAAATGTACAAGGCTGAAATTAAGAAAAAGTAAGCATTAAAATACAATCATAGCGTTCTCGCCGTCTCGCGAAGGGTTAGGCGGATTCGAATATCCTTGAAATGGGGACAGGGACGTTGAAAATGACGGTATCCTGAGAACGTCGGTGGTCCGCACGTTTAGAGCGTAGCCCACTCAGAAACCTTGCCATCCACGATTGTAATCAAAACGCCTTCTTTGTTGAGACGGCCCTGTTATTCGTAGGTATGTACGTTGCAAGATGCTCTAATAGTAACATCTAGGTGTGCAACTTTGGTTTTAGATCGTCCGATTCCATTGTCTTGAATCAGACTGGCAGATCTGAGCCGCCTCGCCGTCCGCCGAGGGTCCCAACCCAGGTCAAAGCCCTCTTCAACGGCGGCCCGACAATAGGGAAACCACCCACAAACGCGCCTAGAGTGACCAGGAAATCGCCGAATAAAATAAACAGGCCGTATAACTCGACGCAGAAGCCGATAAGTGGCCAGCGGAAGAGAATAAGGAGGATACCCAGGGCGAAGGTTACGGACCCCAAGAGCTTCTGGCGCCGGGCGAAGAAAGAGAGCGTCTTTTGTGGGCCGAGAATGAGAGGAAGGCCGATCACGAAAAGAATCTGGCAACTTGTTAGGCACTTGGATGTGTATGTGACAGGCAAACTGTGGTCAGAAGGGGTGCCTTTACATTTCCCATTGCAAGTCTGGTGTTTCACGCGTTAGCAAATCGGCAAGATAGGTGTATGGACAACACGCACAATGATCTGTCAAAGAACATAAGAATGCCCAAGAAGAAAAATAAACTCCCTAGTGTAGCAGACATCAGACCATTGCAGCGTTTATTCTCGATCGCATAATGTGCACGCAAAAGGGAGTTCCTCGGTCGATGTAATGTGCCATGATTTCGGACCGCACATACCAGCAGTGCAGAAGACCGCACCGATCTCTAATGCCGGCATTAGCAGTCTTCCCGGAGCACCAAATTGCCTGCTTAACTCACTCTGCATATCGGACAACCACATGGTGGGCATGGCGCCGTGTGCCTCCTATATTCCCAGCCAAAAAATGGCTACCGCAACACAGTCCCAAAGCGTGTACAAATCACAATATCCTCAGGTACACGGAAACCAAGGCGACGTCCGCGGGTTGGCGTAACTGGGGGTGGATGCGTGATTTAGGTCAATGTCATTCGGCTGCGAAAGAATTTAAGAGTGAAATTAGCCTAAACTGGTTTCGCTGAGATCAAGGTTGGTGTGGCAGGTAAGTTTTCTTGGAGAAGCTGAGCTTTGTTGTGGTCCTGGTTCTATATACATACCCCTGTTCATAAATTCATCATCAAAGGACAGATCGCAGTTCGGATATGGAGCTGTTCTGCCTGAGGAACTTGAGATGCAGGTTGTCAGACAGTCATAGAAATAGGTACACGGACTGAGACTAAAGGCAAGATATGAGCTCCAGGAGCCTAAAACATTCAGAAAGAGCGCGTCAAGCTACAAAACAATATAATCACAGATGAGAGGTTTGAACGCGCCAGTGCTTGAGTTTTGTGGTGAGCGCAGGTTGAACCCGGATAGATTCCCCACAGAGCACGCTAGGCCTGATCTGTGCTAGGATGAAACACACACCCATCCTTCTTCCCGCCAGGAAAAAAAAAAAAGGAAAAACAAAACTAATCGCTTCTCTGTCCTCTGTACTCCATACCAGCAACCCAGAGACCTGGACAAGGATGAAAAGGACAAAAATTGAGATCATGGATAGAGGGTTACAAGAGATTGGATGAGAGCACCACTGATGATCATGGCCACAAAGACATGCAAGATTAATGAGTGCCTCTTGTCTCGTGCCTGGCTGACTTGCCTGCCAGCACGGCGTTTAATTTCCTCCATGAAATAGCACCTGCTTCAAGAGCGCTGCTATCAACCAGATTCCATGCTGATTATAGATCAAAATGTCTCTCCACCACCGCCAAGGCCACGGTGTCCTCAGAAGGCGCCGTAACTGATCTTCCTTTCGATGGAATTTCGGTACCCGTCTACATTGCGTACGTACGCAGGCGGAGAAAAAAAACTCGCGGAAGTGCTTCTTCCAAGCCGGTCACGATTAAGCCGGAGCGTCGTCTTGAACCCCATCTCGAAAGGGATAGGGTGGGTGGACGGGGTTTGACTTTGGGGGCCAAACAAGTTTGTCCGTATCGTTGTTTCGCTGCACTCTGCAATTCCATGCCGGGATTGCCTGTCTCCCTCTTTGTTTTATCCTTCCTCTTTCCGTTCTTTCTCGATTCCAACAGTAAATAGTTGTGTCTTTGTGTCTTTTAATCTCATAATTTACTTCAACACAACATGCGCCCCCCTTGTCTCAAGGTAGCTCTCCGCCACACCCTGTCCCAACGATCGGATCACTCCAAACACCTCCTTATCATGATATCGTAGTCTCGTCTTAGGATCCTTGTACGGCGCTGGAAGGCCGGTGATATCACAGTAATGCTTCTGCTGCGCGGCATGTAGCGATGGCGCCGATTCGATATTCGTATACGTCACAGCAGGACCCATGGCGTACATCGAGCGGCTGAAATTCTTCTCAAGGACAAGGGTAGATAAGCTTTGCGCAGCCTGTGCGATGTTTGTCGGACGGGGGATTGGCCCAGACGGTGTACCTATGGTGGCATGAGGACCAGTGGTGACGGGAGTGGAAGTGTCTGTCCCATCAGCGGCTGCTCCAGCTCCTTTTGGCGTCGAGGTCCCACTGTTGTCCTGAGTTCCAACGGCTGAGGCTTCCTTCCGCGATGATTCTGAGAGGATCTGCTTAACGTTCTTGTTGCGGCGGGTGGAGGGTTTCCAATGTGGATTGCGGAATGGCCGCGGACTGCGGGTGATGTCGAGCTGGTCGAGAAGCTTCTGATGGGGGTCGTCACCGGGAGTGTTTGGAGGCATCGCAGAGAGCAGGACAGGGTCCTATTCAAGTAGTAAGAGCAATGATTATGATGGTAGAATCCTAGCACGGGATGGCTATTGGGCTGCTGGCTGGAGGTGCGGTTTGATGAAGCTGCTTGCAAGCAATGGAAACAAGCTCCGGGTCACGTGAAGCTAGTCAATCCCCGGCGCGATCGTGCGATGATAAACACTTGAAACACCTGGGTTTAAGTGACTATTAGTTGTTGTTCTCACCTCTTTTACTGCCTGCATAGAGAGAGAGAGAGAGAAAGGCCACAAGCAGTCAATGTGCAGTCATAATGGTAAGCTCATTTCTAGGGCCGGTAACTCCTCCGTTCTCTAATTAATATGTGATTACTTCCAGGAGAGCCCTCACGAGCATCAACAGAATCTTCTTCTGTCACGCATCGTCACCAATGTTGTAGGTTTTCCTTCTACTGGGCCAATGCTGTCCATTACTGATAGGCGCCCTTTAATGCAGGAGAAGCTCAATGAAGCCATCATGGTGTTGAACAAAAGTCTCCAGGTTGGCAACGCCACACTCTTCCTATGCGCTTGAAGCTGTGCTAATCAGGATTGGATCTGTGGACTAGGAGGTCAATGTGCAGAACATGAATGTGGAGTTGGTGGCCCAGATGTTCAAGAATTACCAATCCAATGTTCTCTTTCACCTTGAAGGTCAGTAACTCTCCCTGCCTGCAGAGTAACTTCTCATCGGCTACTAACAGTTGTAATAACTATGTAGCTACTGAGAGCTTGAAGGATCCATCATGAAAAAGGCGCAAAAGCTGAATCATAAACAAGCAACTAGAATAATGACTAATGATACCCATTCTCTATTCATGAAACTTGTAAGATTGTAATTGTGGCATCAAGTAGTTCTGCCACTTTGATCTGATGTTTGTCTCGGTTGCTGGAGGCGCATGTTCTTATCAAATCTTATCAATTTTTAGCTTCTTTTTGAGTCGCGACAAGAGTTAACAATCGCCTGAAGCTTGCCTCAACCTCCGCCAACGCTTCTCGGTCCTCCCAGCTTCATAAATATCCCCTCCTTGCCCAGAATGTGCTAATCTCATCAAAGGCACACACATCAGCATCATCCTCACCATGACGATCTCTTCCACCCAAACCATACCTTCATCCCGAATCACCCTGAACATAGCAGAGAAACGAGAACCTAAGCCGCCTCCGAAGGTCTTCCCCGTCCGCGAGCCCCCGTTCAAGGGCATCCTGCCCCCTCAACCAGATGGCTATGAGCGGAGTCGAGCTTCCCCAAGCACCAGCGCAATAGTTATCGACAATGGTATGTGCAAACGAACCCGCAGTCATCCTCACTTTCTGCTGACTTTTTTTTGGCCAGGATCGCATCTTGTTAAAGCCGGTTGGTCCTTCGACAAGGCCCCTCGTTTCATCATCCCCCCTATCATAGCCCGCTATAGAGACCGCAAAGCCAATCGCACATGCCAGTTCGTCGGATATGATGCCTATGTCGATGCGACAACCAGAGGCCAAGTGCGCAATGCGTTCGATCCTGGAACAAGCATCGTCGGTAATTGGGATGTCATGGAGGGCTTGCTGGATTATATTTTCTTGAAGCTTGGTGTGGATGGAGAAAACGGCGGCGTCGATCGACCGCTTGTCTTCACGGAGCCCATCGCCAATCTGGGATATTCACGACGAAGTATGATTTTGCACTCTATCGCTGGCATTTCTAGGAATTGGGGCTATGCTAATGGAATGGAACGTAGTGATGAACGAGATCGCCTTTGAATGCTATTCAGCTCCGTCTGTCGCCTATGGAATCGATTCTCTGTTTGCATACAAGTACAATCGCGGTACAAATGGCCTTGTCATCTCATCGTCCCATTCTTCTACCCATGTCATCCCGGTTCTTAACTCCAAGGCCATTTTATCGAATTGCACCAGGCTCAACTGGGGTGGCTACCAATCCTGTGACTATCTCATGAAACTCCTCAAGTTAAAGTATCCCACCTTTCCCGCGCGAATAACGGAGACCCAAATGGAAGAACTCCTGCATCAGCACTGCTATGTGTCGCAAGACTATGATCGAGAACTGAGCGGCTACCTTGACTGGGCCGGTTTAGAGGATCGGGACCATGTCATCCAATATCCCTTCACAGAGCACATCGTTCCAGAGAAGTCTGAAGAAGAGCTCGCTCGGATAGCGGAACGCAAAAAGGAGAGCGGAAGGCGGCTGCAAGAACAGGCGGCAAAAATGCGACTTGAAAAGTTGATGAAGAAGGAACAAGAATTAGAATACTACAAGGATCTACAGAAGAACTTGGCTTCAGAGAGTAAAAGGGAGGTCAGGCGGATCCTTGATGCGGAAGATATGAAGGATGAAGCGCAGCTAGAAAAAACTATAAGGGAGCTTGAAAAATCCATAAAACGATCGCGGAATAAAGATCTTGGACAGGAAGAAACGGAAGAAAACTCTGAGGAGATGTCGTTTGCCTTATTGGACGTTCCCGACGAAGAGCTCGACGAGGCTGGCCTCAAGGAGAAGAAACATCAACGGCTAATGAAATCTAACGTTGAAGCGAGACAGCGGGCCAAGGAGGAGAAAGAAAGAGAAAAAGCGAGAGTAGCGGAGGAAGAAAGGTTGGATACTGAAAAACGTGAAAATAATTTTGAAGTTTGGGTTGAAGAGCGGAGACAGGCAAGAGACGTGAGTATACTCACTTTTCCTGGCCCTCGCGCTCAGCAACTGACATGTCATATAGGCGATAATACAAAGGATCAAAGAACGCGAACGCATGAAGGCTGATCTCGGCAACCGCAAATCTCTCGCCAGCCAAATCCGCATGAAAACACTCGCCAATCTCGCCGCGGACGGGCCCAAGAAACGCCGCCGTGGTGGAGACGATGATACATTCGGCGCCAACGACGAGGACTGGGGAGTGTACCGTACAGTCGCCACAGGTGAAGGCAGCGATGACGAAGACGAAGAAGATCCCAATCAACAGCTCAAATCCATCGAAGCCGATCTCCTCAAGTACGACCCCGAGTTCACAGAAAACCACACGCTCGAAGCCCAGTCTGACTGGACGAAATCCCTCATCCACATGTTCCTCCGCGGCCCATGGCCATTTGACCCGGAGAGCCAGCGTGAGGCCCACCAGCTACACCTCAACGTGGAGCGCATCCGCGTTCCAGAAGTCGTTTTCCAGCCCTCCATCGCCGGCGTCGATCAATCCGGCATTGTCGAGATGGCAGCGGACATCGTGCTGCAGCGCTTCTCCTCTCGCGAAGACCAGGCCCACCTCCTGCGCGACGTGTTCATCACGGGCGGGAACTCTCTCTTCCAGGGTTTCGACGAGCGATTCGCGCGAGAATTCCGTGCCGTTCTTCCCGAAGGTTCAGACTTGCGGGTGCGCAGGGCGAATGATCCGGTGCTTGATGCGTGGAAGGGAGCAGCGCAGTGGGCGGCGGGTCCGGATCTAGCGACGTGTTCGATTTCAAGGCAGGAGTACTTGGAGAAGGGAAGCGAGTATATCAAGGAGCACATGCTGGGGAATGCAGCCTGAACCTTTTTTATGTGATTTACTGCTATACGGGGAGTATGTGACTATCTCTTTAGGTGTTTTTGTTGTTAACCCTCGGGTATTGGTGGACATTTCAAGGAATTTGCTCGGGCTGTTGTCTTTATGCCACCCTGCGTTTTTCTCTTCCTTTTTTTTTTTTTTGTTGGGGGGGGGGAATATTTTCATGTCAATTAGATGACACAAAACGAACGGGTGTGTATTATAATATTATTCTAGATGGGGAAGATATTCCCTAGGTCCTTATCTTGCAGGAGATTCCGCCACTGATGTGCCAAGCGTCCTACATTATCCACTCGGTGGTGAAAGCTGTTGCCAGGTGTTGGGATCTTGTGACGCAGTAAAGAGGCAAAATTAACGTATCGTACGTATTTCCTCGATAAAAATAACGATGCAGATTGCTACATGGTACAGGAAGCGTATGGGAAACACGATGGGTAAAAAAGAGAAATGTCAAACGCCATTGCCAGAGAACAGATGAACATCCCCGATTCCACAAATTAGCCATATCGCTCGTTCGAACCGCCATCGACGGTATGCCTCCATGTAATGAACCGTGATATGTTGGTCTCGTACCCTCATCTTAACTAAGATTTGAAAACAAAAGGAAAAAAAAAGGACGAAGTAAAAGAAGTTGAAAGAGCAAAGAGACGCCCACCGACCTAGCCCACGATGCGCCGAGCAAATACACGCAGTAAAAGACGTAAACGATAGAAAAGCGATTTGGGAAAACCCACAACTTTGGCCACCGATTTAACTGAATGATGATTTTGTTGTTTTGGAGTGAGCTTGTTCGGGTGCATATCTGATTTTGATATCCTCAGGAACCAATGGTCGGTGGTTGGGCGCCCTCAATTTTAGCAGGCTGTGTAGGGTCGGTGGGAACAGCACCCTGCTCGTCCACCACCATATCGGCACGGACACGCTTGGCGGGGAAGCTGTTATTGCCCAGGAAGGCGGCCTCCTCGTGCTGATGTTTGCGCATTCCCAGGCCCGCAACAGCGATGCGATTCAAGGCATTCATCTGCTCGGGTTGTCCGGAAGCGCCGGCGACCGCATTCGCAGCGGCCTCGACGGCGGCGGTGGCATCGGGGCGGGGCTGAGTGAGGTCGATGTTGGGTGGCAACTCGGGGACGTCGTTCTGGGAATCGATCAAGCGGGACTGGAGACCGATGATATATTCACGGAGCTGGTAGTTCTCGGCCTGAAGAGCTTTGTAATTCTCGGACATGATCTTGTACTCGTTGACCTGCTCCTCCAGCTTGCGGATATACCCTTCTTTGCGTTGACGGAAGGCGCGCTATAGAGCCCCAGCAGCTGTTAGTCTTTCTTTACTTTTATTTTTGTTTTGCATTATCACCATTTCAAGCTCGTCGATCCACGGGAAACGCATACCTGAGCGGCGCGATTCTGAGCGGCACGCTTCGAGGTCGACAGCTCACGCTTGCCGTACGTCTTGCGAGGTTCGGTGGGCTGCGCCTCCTGCATGACTTGATCCTGTGGCTGGACCTGAGGTTGCTGTGGTTGAGGCGGCGGCGGCGGGGGAGCGGGGATCATTCCGGTGGTCGGCGGAGCGCCAGAGATCGCGGGGTCAATGTTCGAGTGATCTCTTATCGGCTGGACGTGAGTCATCCCGGGCTGGGGACGCGGAGGCGGCGGAGCGGCAGCATGGCCTGCCTGGAGAGAAGCAGCGAGGAGTTGGTCCTGGAGAACTGCAAAACACCGAGAGCGGCGAGAGTCAGCATCCACGGAAGGCACCGAAAAAGGAGCGACCGGAGAAAGCAAATTCGAGGGGTAGGGCAAAAGAAAAACGGCGACTGGAGCGAGGGCTCACCTTGGTCTGCATGGTCCTGCACGGTTCCGAAGCCACGCCAAGGGGCGATAGGGCGGTGGTTAGCCATCGGTATAGCCACACAGAGGGCACGAGATTCCTTCGAATCAAGTCACGGTGATGGGGAGGGTCAGGCAAAGAGACGGAGAGGGAGAGACATGGCAATGCAGATGCGGGAAGAGGGAGAGGGAGATAGGGAAAAAAAAAAAAAAAAAAGAAAAAAGAAAAAGGAGAGAAGAGGGAAAAGGGAAAAGAACAAAGAGGTGAATGGTTCGGGGATGTGAGTGATGGGAGAGAGTGCGGCAAAAGGGCCAACTGCGGCTGGAGATGTTCAAACAAAAGTTTGCAGCGTCAAGCAGTTTGTTTTCGTCTCAAACAGGAACAGCGGTAGTTGTGGTAGCAATGGGGATATAAAAGGGGGAAAAAAGAGAAATATAAAGAAGAGAGATATAGAGAAGAGAAATATAGAGATATAGAGAAGTGAGATATAGAGAGAGAGAGGAAAAACAGGATTCTCACCTGGACGGAGTGGGCGGTGTTTGGATTGGGGTTGTTCTTGGATGGATCCTGTTGCGGCGGCGGCGGCTGCTGTGGTTGTTGCTGATGGTGCTGATGCAATTGCTGTTGAGATGGCTGCTGGGGCTGATGTTGTTGATGTGGTTGTTGTTGTTGTTGTTGTTGCTGTTGCTGTGGTGGTTGTTGTGATTGTTGCTGCTGTTGCGGCTGCTGCTGGTGCTGCTGGCCGGGATGGGGAGCGGGAGCTAGCGGCTGCTGAGGTTGCGACTGCATGGTTCGAGAGCGAACGAGGTCCGGGTCCTGGCGTCTCCTCGTCCTCTTCTTCCTTTTTTTTTTTTTTTTTCCCGGCGCTCACTGGCTGACTGGCTGACTGGCTGGCTTCTGCTGTTTGCTTTGCCTGCTGCTTAGTCGTCAAGTGCTGACTGATGAGGTTGGCGATGAGTAAGGGCTGACAAGTGACTCTCTCTCTGTTTTTTCGCTGGCGGCGGACGATCGCGTCGTTTAATAATCGAATTCCCGAATTACTAATCGCTAGGGCTGGGGGCCATCACCTGACCAGCCACCTCTCGCGCCCCCCCCGCTAGTCTCCTTCGGGAAGGCATGTCCCTCTTCTGTGAGTCGATTACATAATTATACGTACGCCACGCTTGATCGGGTGTGAAATGTAACCGGAATTCCTGATTAGGTTTAACTCTGTGTGCGTGTGTGGCTAAAACCAACTACTTTTAACCAGCCCCAACTAGCTTATGGTTAATCGATGTACACATATACCAGACCAGGTTCTCTATGTTCGTTCCGTCCAACTCCGAGCAATCCATATATATATATATATATATACGTGTATATATGTATATGTATAGAGGGTGAGAGATTTTTATGTAAATTGGCTGGAAAGCAAGATTTAAACCGAAATGTGTGGCTACGGACACAAACTATACACTCCCAAAAGATGCATTTTAAACTCCCTCGCTTTCACATCACTGGCTCTTCTTTTCCTTTAGCGATGCAGTGTAGCCCGCCTGGATGAGACTGACCCCAACCTGCGCACACTCCTTCCACCCCCGCTGCCGCGCCCAGAACATGTCCGCGGCGCTGGCGGAATGCTGGCTGAGCCGCCTGGCGTCCTCCTCCAGGGACTCCCGCGTTATCCTCTGCGCTCCTTCCTCCCCCCCGACTGCTGACTCTGCATTGTCTTCCCGTCCTTCTTCCGCCGCTTCCGCCGCTCCGTCCTGCTCCGGTAGGATCGTGTCCAGGTACGCCTTTCGGACCCTGTACCGCTGGCCCCTCTCGTGTCGCGTCTCCGGCGTGTCGATCTTGGAGAACGCAATCTGCACCCCCAGTCGCGCAAGCAGGTACAGATGCTCCGAGAAGAATATCGTCAGCAGTAACGCCCACCCCTTGATCTGCGACGGGCCGCCGTCCGGCCCCGTCTCCCCGTCCGAGAACATGTACACCAGCGCTGCACTGGTTATGCTTCCCAGCCACGCGAGGAACCCCAACGAGTCGAGCCACGGCCCGATGGTGTCCGACCGCACCGGAGCTGGCCGTCTGCACTCGATGCAGATCTTGACAAAGTCCGACCGCAACTCGATCCAGTTGTTGATCAGGAAAGATAGAGGGACCAGCGGCCACACCGGCGAGAAGAGGCTCAGGTACCCAAACTGCACACACATCTCGCGAAGATCCGTCGTGACATCGTACTCGCTCAGCTCTGATTCCTTTCGGACCCGAGCGAGGAAGTCTGCCTCCGCCGGAGCGTCCTGCATCGGACCGCTCTCCTGCTTCGAATGGTTCTCTTTCTTCTCTGCTTGCATCTCGTTGTACTTATTCAGCACTCTACGCTTGACGTGAGGCATCACGGCCTCGAGCCCAAAGTTGACTATCTGAGCGGTGACGGTGAAGTATATCACCTGGCGCCGAAGCCGGCTTCTGTCAATCTGGAACTCCGCCACTCTTGCTCGACCCTCTTTGGATACGAGTTGAGGAGCGGCGACGTGGAACACATCAAGGTACGGAACGATCTTCTGGGCGAACGGAACGTAGACAAAGGCCGTCAGGAAAACCGGCAAGTACGAGGTGATGAAGTTGAGAACGAAGATCTTCTGGGTCAACGCAACGTCGTAGCCGTCTTGCGTCTCGTAATTCTCGTAGTCGGTGAGCTCGGTGGCGATCTTGGTGAGAATTCCACTGATGGTTGGAACCATCAGCGAAAGGATCACCGTAGGAATAAACGCCTGTTTTTTTTTTTTTATCGCACAAGGTAAGACGTAGCCATTAAACAGTCGTGCAGGGGGAAAACATCTTACCAGATACGCCTTGAACGGTCCAGAGTAGATCTCGGAGATAAAGATCTCGATGCCAAAGCAAAACGCGATCAGCGTGCCCAATGCCAGCACGGCCGCAAGCGCAAACGGGACCTGCAAGAGCTGCCTCAGAAGTCGAGTCCTAGTCGAAAATACCAGTATCTTTTCACCGGTGACCGAATCAATAACCTCCTTGTCGTGCTTGAACTGGCGTCGCTTCGCCTTGATGGCCGAGACGCCTTTCACCTGCCATCGCAGCTTAAGATCCACCTCCTGTCTCTTCCAGAACTCGACAAACACCAGGCAAGCCAGCGAGTTGACGACGGCATAAACCACGGAGAATTCGCCCAGCAAGGCCCAGCAGGCGACCCCAAAGGCGGCGGGGAAGATCAGGAAGGTGAAGTACGCCTGCAGAAAAGTAAAGTAGAAGGCAACCCTTTCTCCGAGCCTGGCGCGGATCTGGTCGAGATCGTGGCGGCTGAGGAGAGTCTTGCGGCTCCAGTCCATTATCCACTCCTTGTTGACATCTTTATCGTGTAGAGGGAACACGGCCTCGACATGCTTCCAATCGCCGTATTTAGGAGTTATGCCCACACCGCCATCGGTGCGTGGCCAGGTGATCATGTGGTAGATGATGCGTAGCCGCTCGGCCTCGGTGGGCTCTTGTTTGGTGCCTTCTTCGTCTGAGCCGGGCTGGATCTGGCGAACACCGTAGAGCCAATCGCGCACTCTGCATGCGCGGTCAGAACACACACGGGCAAGAGAGGAGAAAGAAAGAGAGAGGGGGGGGGGGGAATTGTTTATATGGGCTTCGTTTGCAATTGGGCTTTGGCCTGTCTTAGGCAAACATACCTTCCTCTGTGGATGGCCTTGTTGAGACTATCCTCCCTCGCCTTGACAAATACAAAGAGCGTGCCCTCGCCGGCGGGCCTCACGGCGGTCTCCAGCCCGATGTAATCAAGGGCCTTTATCAACCGCTTAAACTGGTGTATCGCCTCTGCTTGGTCTGGAGGAGGGAGGGGCAAAAAAAAAAAAAAAAAAGGTCAACACATATCAACACAGTTTGTGGGTGTAGACAATCATGATGACGACGTACCTCCATCCTGGAAGCGGTACAGGATCACATATTCGACGTGGAAGATCTGGTCCAGCTTGGATCGATGGCTGGCCTCGAGCTCCGGCTCCATTGGAAGAGGGATAGGCTGTCCAGTGGTGGCTCCTCCAAAGAAGGGTAAAGCTGAAAGCACTCCGTGTTCGGTGGAAGAGCTCCCTACATATAATATCAACTTGACATTGTTCGTGAGAAGGTCAATAAATTCCACCGCAAGCGAGCAAAGGGGGAAAAACAGCTCACAAACCCGCGCCGGCCAACCAGCTGGCGGCTGGCTGAGCTGTGGCTTGAGCTGACGTCACCATGGCCCGTGCACGATCCTGCCCGATGCGGCGATCCGTTCAGGCCCGTATACGCAGTACATTATGCTCTATCAGGAGATTAGCCAGCTGTTCCGTACTCCGTATACATTCAGCATTCAGTTCTGTATTGGCCAGTAAATCTAATAATTTAAGATGAACATCGTCTGCCGGGATCAAGAGAGTTGTTGGCAACTCACAAGCTCGAGCCGCCACTCCAGCGGTTTACTGGATTGCTGAAGATCATTATCGATGGATGGAGCTTACTCCGTAGAGAGAGAATTATTATTGATTGCCCCCTGTTGAACACTTTGATTCAATCTTCTCATAATAAGGACTACTCCGTATCACTTCTATGGAGGAGCTGACGGAATCATGACTGGTGTACTCCATTCGACGATTGAGATGGAACCCACGTATATAAGGAGGCTTCTGCCTCCTCAAAAGAGCCCTTATGCCTTTTTGTATTCTCACAAACCTCATAGCTCGGCTGGGCTCCCGTATTCCAACATATGGGAAGCTTCAGCTACTTGACCAGCCTGGCGATCCTCCAACCAGGCTCCCTCTCGATTATTATTCGGGGTGCCTGATTGACCTACTCAACAATTCCCGCCAGCCTCCTCAGCGCATCCCCGTCCACCATCATCTTCAACCACTCGTCCATCGCCGTCGCTCCGATCGCCTTGTAGAACTGGATGCTCGGCTCATTCCACGCCAGCACGCTCCACTCTAGTCTCTTCCCTCCAACCCTGACAACCTCCTCCGCCAGCCGTCGCAGCAGCTTGAACCCGTATCCCTTCCCGCGGTACTCGGGCATCACATAGAGATCCTCCAGGTACACCCCCGGCGCAGACCGCCACGTCGAGTAGTTGTAGAAGAAGAGCGCCATCCCCACCGGCTTAGGCCCCGGTCCGCCGGCCTCCGCGGGCGGCTCGATCAGGAACGTGTACGCATTGCCGCGTTTGGGCGGGGAGTCCGGGAACGAGAGCGTTTCGCGGAGGGAAGACACTGTCGCTTCAACTTCGTGCGACGCTTTTTCGTACGCCGCCAGGTCCTCGATAAATCTGAGAATCGTCGGGATATCTGCGCGACTGGCTTAGTGAGCTAATTCAACGCCAAATCGCGTCCAAAATTTATCCCTACCGTCTTCGGTTGCAAACCGGATGGTGGGCTGCTGGTTGGCCATGGAGAAAGGATATCCAGGGAAGTAAGCACACGGAGAGAGAAGTGTTAGAAAGCCACAGCCTTTTATAGTTGAACCTTCAGTTCCACCCCGGAAAGAAGTACTCCGTACTCCGTATGGTAGTCAGAATACAAAAACCTCGGATCCAGGGCGGAAACGCTACCAGACTCAGCAATCGGGGCAGAGCTCCTTTTTATATTTATTTCCACGATGATGAAGCTGATTTGAGGGGAAAAAAATAGAAAAAAAAAAAAAGGAAACAGATCCGGAAAACCGGTCGCGCCCTTTAACATGGCAGGGACAATCGGGAAAATACAACTGGAGAACACTATCTTCCAGTGGATCAACCTTCCACGGGTCATAAATTTGTTGTCATGAATAGTATTCTACCATCGATGCCAATCCGGCACAGACGTGGGATGAGAAATAATGTACAGGATGGCTTAATAGGAAAGAAAGAAACGAAACGAAACGAAACTGAAAAGCAAAGGAGAAATCTCTGGTCAAATCATTTCGAGGATATAGCAGACATCCATCTCTGCTCATCGTTGCTGCATACGAGAAATTAGCTTCATCCAAGTGCCAGAAAGGTCCAGTTGCTCAAAGTGTCACTTACGCATCAAAATGCAGCAGCATCCCCAGCACGGGAATCAGCTGTTTTTGATAGCTTTTATCCTTTTGCTCCAGGAACTGCAGCAGTACATTCTTGAGGTAGACGTGATCGATATTTCCGGCTCCTGGCCCGGTCGTCGCCTCGCTGCGGGCGAGAGATTCGTTTCGTGCCCGTGGCGGCGGAGACATCACTCCGCGGCGTCTGCCTGAATCAATGGACGATCGAGGCGAACGATTGCCGGATTCAACGCGTCCCTTTCCGGCTTGGATCGCTTTCAGGTCCTCGGATAGGGATTTGTTTGTCTTCCTTAGCTTCTCGAGTCGCTGGTTGGTTTCTTCGACCGACCGGCGCAGTTCGGATCTCTCCTTCTCCAGTTCCCTCGCCTGTTTCTCACTCTCATCCAGTGCGTCACGTAATTGGGCCATAGCCTCCTTCACATCCGTGAGTTCCTGTCTTGATCGCTCCATCTCCGCTTCAAACTCTTCTCGTCGTCGTTTCCACTCTTTCTGGGCATGTTCAAGTTCCTCCTTGTCCTCCTCCGCTCTTCGTAAAGCCCGTTCTGCTTCTCGTGCTTTTGATTTGAGCTCCTCCATTTCCCTTGCGCGTCTGCGGCCAACAATGTTCGCTTCATCCTCGGCCCGGTCTCGTTCTTCGATGGCGGTCTCCAATCGCTCCTTAAAGTCCCTGACCTTGTGTTCTGTTCGCAGTTCGACCTCCGAGAGCAGTCGTCGCATGGTTTCGCCTTCCCTTGTCCGCTCCGATAAAAGACGCTGGGCGTCTGAAAGCTCTTCCTCTAAACTCTCACATCTCTCACGTACCTCTTTAATTTGCATTGCCATCTCCGAAGTTTGATCGCGCATACTGTTCATCAGGCTCTGGGCGCTTGCGTGTTGCGCCGTTTTGAGCTGTATCTCATCGTGTAAACTCTCGATCTCTCGGTTGAGCTTGGACACTTGCTCTTCTAATTCTCGCACTTTGGATTTGGCGGATTGGAGTTGTTCTTGTGTCTTGTTAAGGTCCTTTGACGTCTGTTCGTTCTTCTCAACTGCTTCCTGTTTTTGGCTTTCTGAGTATCGAAGGTCCGACTGCGCAACCTCCAACGCTTGCTCAGCCTTCAGCCGGCTATTGGTCTCCTGGGCGATCTTCTGATTGAGCGTCCTGACTTCGGCATCCTTATCGCCAATGGCCGACTTGAGATCCTTGATCTCGACGCGTAGATCTTCTTGCTTTCTCTCAACCCGCCCAAGCTCTGCCGTCTTATTCTTCAACTCCTCCTTTGTAGTCTTTAGATCCGCGGATTCTTGGCGGAGGGTTCGTAACTCGGGTTGGATCTTCTGCAATGTCTGACGCAAGTCGGTCAGGTCTTTAAACCGAGATGCGGCTAATTGCTGCGCAGCCGAGAGGTCGGTTTCTAAAGTTACGGCTTTGACCTTCAAATCCTCGAACTCGGTCATTAGATCTTTGTGGACTTTCTCGGCATCAGATGAAGCTGAAGCAGAGCTAGTTTTTAAGGCCACTATTTCGCTCTCGAGATCTTGAATTGTCTTCTCAAGCGCAGCTTTTTGTGCCAGCAACTCCTTGACTTTATCCTTTGCTTCCACGTGATCCTGGCCGATGTTCATGAGGTCATCTCGAAGAGATTCAATTTCTTCACGAAGGTTGTCTTCTCCTTTTAGCTTGCCATGAAGTCGATCTATCGCCGCATCCTTCTCCGCCAGGTCGGAACCGAGCTTGGTCACTTTATCCTCCAGCTCCCGAATCGCATCTGCGGATGAAATATTCGGGGGGTTTGGTTCATGAACCTGTTTAGTAGCAGCTTCTTTTGTGCCACTCTCAGGTTCTGATCTTCCACCTTTCTTCTTCTTTTTATTCTTTTTCTTGCCACCGGGAGCGGAGGGCGTTGAGGTGCTGACGGGAGCAAGCTGGGAGGCCGGCGCAATCAAATCTTGCCGAATATCTTCAAAATTAACTGACTGACCGCCCGAAATGAGTTCTTTTGCATCTTTCCACTTCTCATTTTCCTTTAAGCCGCTGTCTATGAAATCAACAATTGTCTGTGCTCGCGTTGCGTCGGCCTTGCTTGCAGAGAGATCGGTCTGGAGAGATTTGATGGTGGATTCGGCATCTTTTAATTGCGACTTCAAATTCGTCACAACACCCTGCAAAACCTCAAGCCGTTTCTTGTCGGCAGATTTCTGACCATCCCCTTCTGCCGACTGAGACTCAGCCGTATCCTTGATCTGCCGGAGCTCCTCTCTTGTTTTCTTTAGCTGGGAGTTGACATCGTCCATGGAGGTGGACGATCTCCGCAATTCAGATTCAGTCGCTCTCAACTTTGATTCTAGAGATATAATTTGCTCTCGCAAGTCATGGCGCTCATCTTTAAACCGGGACTCGAGGCGATCGTTCTTATCACGTAGCTCCGAGACATCGCGTGTTGCAGCTTCCAAACTATGAGCCATGCCTTCGGTAGACTCCCGAGCCACAGACAGATCCCCAGTCAAGGTCTTAACCTGAGCCTTAAGAGACTCGATCTCCTGTTCCTTTTCGTGTACTTCTGATTCCAATCTCGGGATTTCGTTATCGAAGGAGAAGAACTCTTCGTTTTCTTCCGGTGGAGGAGGCGGAGACATTACGGGCTTGGCTCTTGGAGAAAACAGCCCACGAATGGAAGCGGCACGAGAGGTTATCGATGTTGTAGGGGATTTTTGGGAATTATCCAGGGAGTCATCTCCAGCGGACGAAGTGGTCTGGATACTGGGAAGGTCGTTTCCATTCACATATTCTCCCTCTGGAGCCGTCTTCTTTTCATCACCGGGCTGAGAACGTTTCAAATTAGCGACCTCATCCCATGCTTCACGTGTGGATTTCTCGGCAGATTCAAGTTTCTTTTTAAAGTCGTCTCTTTCCGCGGTTACTCTCTTTAATTCGTCCACCACCATGTCTCCTTTTAGAGTGAGCTGGTTGAGATATTCGGCTAACGCACGGGGCTCGCTTATTGAGGTAAGTGGTGTATTCTCTCGCAGGGCAGCCTCGAATGGTTCGATCGACAGGACGCGCGCGTGAGCAATTCGATAGGCCTTTAAGAGCTCTTTGGCGAAAGGGATTCAATGAGTGATTGCGTAGACAGGGTCGTGAGAGTGTTAAGTATTCACCTTGGTATTTGGATTCCAACTTATCCAGCCTCCGTAGCTTCACTCTGACATCGGTTGGTAAATCCGCTGGTGTCTGACCCGAGGATTTCCCTAGTAGAGAGGTAGGTGCGGCGGGCGCCGACTCGTTAAGAGTGGCTTTCTCGTCTAGCTCGCCGCCGCCATCGGCCATGTTGTTCGCAGACTCCGGGCGAGGGGTGCTGGTCCTTGTCGATGAATCATCGTCACCGACGACAAATTCCGCATCGAATTCCGACGGATCTGGATTTTTGGCAAGGAAGCTGTTGCCGCGTTTGACCCTTGTGCTCGGACGTCTGGCAGGAGAGGGATTCGCGCGACGAGCGGAGTTTGAGCGGGAGAGGGTTTCCTGGGCACCTCTCTGGCGGGCTTGTTCTTCTGCAATCCGGGCATCAATGGCACCTCGGATACGCTATGGAGAGTGAAGTTAGGTGGGGGTTGGAACATCGACACGGGAGAAGGCTGGATAGAGGTACTTACGGAGAGCATTGCTGCTGCTCGCTTCTGCGAGCGCTCCAAATATGAGTATCAGACAAGCAACGGAACAAAAGAAATGGAGAGAATCGAAACTAGAAAGAGTGTGGTTTCTCAATTGCAGTCTGGCAGTCGGTGTATTCCGGTCCAAACTGGTGGTCTCTGTGTGCTCTGTGCTTCTCTCGCGATAGCTTTACTGTTTCGATGACATCGTTTGGGTTTGAAGAGCCCGTCCGCAGCGCGCATACTGTCCACTAAATCTGGATCCGGGGGAAATACAGTGGATTAGGTAATGTGCACAGCGCAGTGACCTGAGACCTTTGTCAGGTCTAACTATATCTGGTTAGTTGGTGGCTGGTGTCGACTCCATTCTGTGGCTGATTTAGAACACTAATTTAGTAACTGTAGTCTCCACGTGACATTACGTAAGGGAGAGAGCTGCTCTTGTGGGGTGGCTGGACAAATCCATCATCGGAAGCTTCCGACTTGCTGGCTCTTTTGGCCACAAAATAACACTCTCCGGTCGAGAGAGAGCGCATACTTGACTTACTTCCATACACGCAAGCTTAGTGGAACACTCGCAAAAAAGGCCATTTTCATGCTCACTGAATTTCCCAGCTGAAACAATGTTGTTGTGTGGAAACTGAACTAGTCATGGTGTCCTTCTGGCCATGGAGGGTGAGTAACCCCCCCAATTCCGGCGCCCAGGGGATCTCGAACGACGACGCGAAATCTTGACCGTAATAGGGCTCTGATAACTCCCCGGCATCCTTCGAGAAAGCTCTATCCCATCTGTCAAAGCGATTGGCAGACACAAACATCCACCTGGACAAATTGCGGCACCGCTCCCGCCGTTTCAGAGCTCTTTGGACACTATACACCAGCTTTGTCTACATCCTCCACTCGCTGATTCTCGTCCTCGTGCTGGGACAGGGACGATGGGGACCTATCGAATATACAGCCATATGCGGTGGGCCAGTTGTGTACGTTTCTTTTTCTTTTTTTTTTTTCCCAGTTTGTTGAGGATCTTCTTCTGCCAACGGCCTTCCGCTGACCTGTTCAGTATTTACGTCGTCCGACTCGCCGCAGAAAACTTCTATAACTATCGCATCTCCAAGACACAGAATGTCCTCGACGACCTCCAAAAGCAGCGTGACCAAACTATTGAAAAGCTCAAGGAGGCGACAAAGTACAATTCGACGCAGTTACTCCTGGAAAAATATGGTGGAGACTCGCCCAAACTAAAGCGCTCCGGCAACGATGCTAGCAGTGACGAAGGACGAGGTTCGCACAAACGTCGAACCCCGAAGGATAGAACTCCTCTTCCTCTTCCTGAGAGGAGAACAGGGCTTGCTCCACCACCCACAGCAAACATCCGGCAAATTGAATCGGGCTCCATCTCTCCCCCTCCACAGGCACAACATGACCGACCTCATACCTCCGCTGGATTTTCACCGCGCCCCCGAGCCCAAGTCCCAGCCCAGGCGGATGAGCCGGAATTCCACCCTAGCGCATTCTCCGCGTCCGTCTATACGGAATCCCGCCCGCCGCGATGGTATGATCGGGTACTGGATGTTTTGCTGGGCGAGGATGAAACTCTTCCGAAGAACCGCCTGGTTCTCATATGCCAGCAATGCCGCCTCGTTAATGGACAAGCGGCCCCCGGTGTTCGGACGCTGGAAGAACTGGGTGCGTGGAGATGTGGCAGCTGTGGCGTGTGGAACAACCAAGACGGTCAGGCCAAGGGTATCGCCACAGGGGCTCTTCCAGCGGATGCGCTCCTATCCACTCACTCTCGAACACGCAGTCAAAGCCTCCCTCATCATCCTGGGCAAAGCCCCGGCACCACGGAGCCGCCAAGTTCTCCTGAAAGGACGTGGGAGCCGGTGCCACGTCCAGGAAGTATTAGTAGCGCGGTGGATAGAGAAGATAATCCCGCGATGTAAGGCAGGGATGTGACTGCTGCCCATGCGGCGCCAAGCAGTGAAGACGGACTGGAGGCGGGAGACAAGTTTGAGGCGAGCGATGACTTCGTGGAAGACCGGGACGCGAAGTAGGGGAAGGGGGGAGGGAGAGGAGGTAGTAACATGAACAAGGCGTCTAACATGCCCTGCAAGTCTAAGACATCCAGGCCGGCGTGCCCCCACGGGCCTCTTGGCCGCAATGGCAATTGATGAGGCCCAGATGAGCTTATTTCTCCTCTCCTCCCTCCTCTGCTGATACTGTAGCCTGGCACGGAGTTAGACTCCTGTTTTGGGAACTCCTGCCATCACCTATACCACTGTAGCTTTATAAACTGTATGCGCTTGGCTAGTTACTTATCATTAGTTCCGTCACGCGATTGCTGCAAAGAATGGGAATTCCACATCCCCTTGAAGTATTATGTCTTCTTGATGGAGGCAAAGTTGAAGTGGTCATGTCAAGCAACAGCGGCTTTAGCTCAGTTGGGAGAGCGTTAGACTGAAGATTCTGCTTCTGTCTGCAATCTAAAGGTCGCCCGTTCGATCCGGGCAAGCCGCAGTTCTTTTTTCTTTTTTAAATATTTTTAAGTCCAGACATCCTTTCTCCGGATGATGTCTTTTCTGTTATTATTTTTTTTTTTTTTTTTTTTCTAGCCTGTCCAACTCGGAGTGCCAAAACACTGCATGTGGCGGGTGCCTGATCACCGCATCCTTCATGAGAGGACACTCGATGGGGCAACGAAAATAGCCGCGGGATGAACTTGGCTCATCTGTGTTCAAAGCTGTCTGCCACAACGGCATCGGAGGATTTGTAGATATCGCCCTCCCATCGGGAACGACATCAGCAACTTTCCTGACTGCAGTAACTGACCATCAGTTCAGCCGACAAATGCTATCATTTCTCCCAGACGATAGCCTCATCCTCGTCGCCCTCCAAACCCGCCAACATAAGAGTCTTTTAAGCCTTGTTCTTTGCTGCCGCCGCTTTCATTGCCTCCTGCTGCCTTACCTCTACAGGTCTCTGTCGCTCATGAACCTTGGTCCGCTCGACAGGCGCCCCTCTCAACTGAGCTCTTTTCTTGAGCTCATCCTTAAAGATCCCCGATTGGCATCAGCGGTGCGGGTCTTAGCCATTGGCTCACCTTTTGGGTATGGAGGCGTGGCTGAATCAAATACCCTCTCGCCTCTTACCCGGTCAGCACTATCAGGTGTCTGTCATCACCAGGGAGAACAGGATCAGTGGAGTGAAGACCTCTTGGGAAGCATCAATGAAGACCCGTGAATCGCCTTGATCCTAACACAATTCTGTAACCTCAAAGAATTAAAAGTGAACGTCCGCCATGGCGCAAAACATTTTGATAGGATAGTGGGGCGGGCCATCAGCAGAGAGAAACCGTTCCTAGAGAAACCTATCTTCTCATCACTGTCCCATATTTCCATCTCGTGGTACGATGTAGACGAGGGAGGTCTCAGGCTATACCGCGTCTTGCCGTTCTTCAAGCTTCCATCTCTCCGCAGCTTTCATGGCGGCATAATCACACGGAAGATTACCCCGTCGAGGACGACCTCTGCGAAACTGATTCTGTAGGCGAGGTCGATAGTCCGCAGAGCGAGAAGCCTTTGCTCCGCACCTCGAATGTCACAGAAATCGAGTTTTCTGCGAGCAATGGCAAACGAGGCATGTTCGATGCAATCTATTCTTGTGCACGCCTTGAGTTATTTAAGTATGAACATGCCGACGGAGGAGTTCCTGGAGACTTCTTTGACCCATGTGCATTTCGTAGGTCTCTTGAAGGGGCAAAGTCAACCCTCCGAAGCCTCTGGTTAGATTACGATTCCCGCCATTATTCCCTGTGCACCGAATCCGAGGATAGGTACTTCGGATCTCTGGTCGAGTTTACAGCACTGAGGAACGTTCATCTCAGGTACACCCAACTCCTCGATATGGGTATTGATGCTATCACCCCGCCAGCCACCCCTCTAACGGACACTCTTCCATTTACGCTTGAGACTTTACGCATTGCAGATTGCTTTGAACTTTTACTTCCAATTCTCGTGTCGCAACTTCATATGGTAGTTGCCAACCGACAAGAGCGGACGCCTAATCTTGTTGAGATAGTACTTCGAGGTACATTCGGCGATCGGGAGGCTCCCCAGGACCACTCTACTTGGCCGCGAGTTTACAAGATCAAGCAAGGAGTCTATGGGGCCACTGGATCCCTCCGGGCATCATGTGAGGAATCCGGTATCAGATTTCATATTGAGGATAATCCTAATTGAATCCTACGAGTTTGCGCTTTCTTCTTATTTGAGATTTGATGAAGGCATTGTGTTTAAATTTAACTCTGGTGAGCTTCGAACTATTCGCCTCGACGCCCACAGGCATGTAAATGTTGTGGTACTTCCGGACAAGGTTACCCTATTTCTCCTGCGTCCCGGTGGGACATGCATCGGCGATACAAAGAACGCGACCTTATCTATGTATATTAGAAACGAGCCTTTATATAAATACATATAGGTTGGTTATTATCTACATGGATCGGCAATTAGCCACTATCCAGATGCTATTTAGTAACCGAAAAGGCGCCCCTTCCACCTTGAGATTCACACCTAAAAGCCCCTTAAGCCACCATCAAAATATTTCTTTTCGCTGTTCACACATGGACATGCCACTTCTCGTAGAATGGATCAAATACTCGCCCGCCGCGGTGCCATCGTCCGTCTCAGCTTCTTCTTCTCTTCCGTCTCCTCCTGAATCGGCAATCCACCTTCGTTCTTCAGCCGGTCCAAGAACTCTTTGCCAAACTTGTACCCAACCTGGTAAATCTCGTCGAATTTTGCAAAATCCAGAGTCCCAAAGGCGTCGATCGGGGGCCTCATATAAAGGCATCCCGGCGTAGACTTGGCCCGTTCTAAAGCATCCACGGACGAAACGTATGCGAGTCGAGCTTGGATCTCGGAGAGTGTTGGCGGGTTAGGGAGGGAGGAGAACGGGTTCCACCTGTTCACTAATGCCCAAAAGCCGGAAAGGGAATCACCATATCCCTGTGGAGTGTTGTCGTCGATCGCACCAACGTCAACGGCGAAGATGACATCTGCGCCGAGAGATTTCATGCGTGCAACCGTGAGATTGTCCACGTATCCACCGTCAAGTAGCATGTTACCTTCATCACAGAGAGGAGGTATCAAGCCTGCTAGAGACATAGAAGCACGAACATACCGCCACGCGTAGCCAGACGAGTGGAACTCAAGTCGTGACTTGCTGATATTAGTCGTATTACAATAGAATTCTAGCCAGAAATCTTCAATGTGGCTATTCCCAAACGCCTTAAATATTCCGCGATTAAATTCGTGACCGGTGGTATATGAAGCCGAGGGGTAAGTGAGATCCAAAGCGAAACGCCACATACTGGCCATGCGTCCTGAAAACTTCTTCGCGCGGCCGTATGCGGGGACAACGTCCGCGTCTCGAGCATATAATGCGCCAATAAAGGATCCAATGGATGTGCCTCCAATGATATCGATAGGGATTCCAGCCTCTTCCAGTGCCTTTATCACGCCAATATGGGCAATACCTCTTGCGCCTCCACCACCCAGCACTAGCCCGACAGACTTGCCGCATAGACGACGAGCGAGCCGGTGGAAATCACCTTTGACCGGGGTCGATGTGGAATAAACTGGCGTCTGGCGAATCCTGCGAGAGGTGTACTTTTGAATCTCAGCCTGGATGACTTGAACTCTCTGCTTGAGCACGGCGCCGAGGCGTTTAGTCTCTGGATGGACGGGTTCCGCTGTCAGACGGAACGCCATTTGGATATGATGATGACCTCCGTTAATCCACATCCGATTCTTTAACCATTGTCTGGTGAGACCAGGTTGGGAGTATCTCTCAGCGTGCAAAAGAACAAGCTCTTTCCTTGCGGTCGTCTTCATCCCAAGAAGGAAGCGCTCATATTCACCAATCGCAGGAGAACCTTCGGCTAGGGCGACAAGAAGAATGCAATCCGCTTGGGCAATACATGTTTGGGTCCAGGGTGCATTGACGCTTGTATCTCCAACATACAGAACCATTCCGTATCTCTCCTCGAGATCTGCGAGATACTGCGCGAGTTTAAGCTTACCCATCTTGCTGAACGCATGTCGGCCAAGATGGTTTAAAATATCGGCTTGGTGGAGGGAAGTGACACCATTCGTCACGCCGACCTGATTAAAGGCATTCAACAGTCTGTTCCCGAACTCAACCACAGGAATACCGGCGGTAACAGGCAGAACGGCCACGGTTCGTAAATTCAAAGTAGACGTGGTCGGCTTGGTGCTGTCTGGGCTGCCTTTGTCACTGCCCTTTTCAAGTGGGTTGTCTATTATGTGACGCATCCGTTGGGCTATCAACTTTGAAATTTGGATTGTTATGCCAGGATGCTCCTGAGCAAGGCTATTAAACAAGGTCCGAGGGAATTTCGCCAGCTCTGTGTCACGGATTGCATGCAAGGTACCGGGCCGTGTCGATTCAGTCATGACTTCTAACTCTCCGACGCTGTCGCCCTGGCCGTATTCGCCCAGGACGCTAACTTTTCCATCTCCTTTATCAAGGACGGCACGGAGTCGACCGTTCAAGACGATGTAAATTGCGTCACTCTCGTCCCCTTGATGGTGTATAACTTGTCCAGCATTGACTTGGACCCATTCGAGAGCGAAGTCAATATGTAAAATAAGTCGTGGCAGGACCGTCGTCAACCGTTTTGCCATCGTGAGCATGACCAAAGGATATCGATCAGCGATTCTCTCCAGCACCGCTCGTGGAAGAAACCCAACATAGACATCCGTTTTTGCGGTAACATCCGTAAACGATCGATATGACGTTATAGAACCAATGTATCCTTCAACACCGCCAGGCTTAACCATATACAAGGAACGCCGGGAGGCCTTCTTCCTCTGGTTATGTGCGGTACCAAGCGTTGACGACACCCGTGAGGCATTACCTGTAATTGGTAGTAGAATGTCCTCGGCTGTAGGTCTCCGAGAAGAACCTATAAGATCTTCTCCCTTTTCATTGACAGGAATACCGACGTCTAGAAAGCCATCAATGACATAGTATAAGCCTGGGTTATGCTCCCCTTGTTCTATGAGCACGGAGCCCTTGGGAAAGTAAACTATCTCGATTTCATCTTGTAGTTCAGTTCTAAGGTTATGAACCGGGGACGTGCCCCCGGCAGATGTAACGGACATTGACATGAGCGATTCAGAATCCCCATCGCCGAAGCCGTCATATGGGTCTATGAAACCAAAGGCGTTATTGAAAACGGCTTTCTGACGGCGTGAGTCGTAGGAGACTAGGTGAGGGGAAGCATCCCCGGAATTATGCGTTTTGCGCAAGGCGTCTTGGGTGCTTCCCGTGAGCCCCAGTGCCTTCATCATGCAATCAAGAATGGATTCACGGAAAATAGCGTCCTGATCCAAAGAATCTTGTCTTTGGAAGGTAACATTTTGAGCCGGAAATCTAAACAGCGGTTGTCCAGGGGTCGCTAGTGGACTTGGTGGCCCTCCAGCAGGAGTTTTCATGCCAGAAGCTGCATCATAAAAGACGCTCCTCCCGTTCAACCGCTCGCTTCCGTATCGAGGGCCAAAGCGCGAGAGTTGTATGGTAGATAATAAGTCTCCAGGGCTAACACCGGTGGATTCATGATCACCATATCGAACAGGATTCGAAGCTGATCCTTTTCCTCGCACCACTGTAAGCTTAGCATGTAATGCAGCATCTTTTCTCAGTGAACTACTAGACCTTCTTCTCCGGTTGAGAGCCGGGTTGTGAAGCGCAATGCCTTTTGTCCCGTCCTCGGGGCCTAATCTTTCCTTTTCTTTTGTAAATTTAGACTTTAGCTTATCCAACGCTGCTCCACGAAGGTGGTTAGGTAGGTCGAAGGATGTATATTTGGTCATTTGCTGTTCAATGCTCAAAACTTCGGTGGTTAATCCGAGATATGAATGCGCAGTAGCAAATGTAACGCGCTGAAGTCTCGTGAGAATAACCTGTATGATATGGGCGGTAGCCTTCGGGTACACCCTGGTCAAGCGTCGGAAAGCACTCGCAGGAATAATTGCAATGGTAGTATCCACCATAGCTCGCGCCAAAATGTCGGGATGAACGGACTTGGCCCGTTTAGGCCTTGAGGGCCTCTTGCGTCGATGGCCGCGGGGCTTTGGATCGTGCTCGAATGGACCGGGGCTTCCCTCCAAAGCTAGAGGGGAGACCTTGGGCAGAGTGTCTGCGCTTGGCTGCGTTGGGATATCTCGCTGATCGGGAAAGCTCACCCTCGTGGGACTCTCTAAAAGAAGAGCCGGGCTCATTGGGTTTGAATCGGGTGCGGGGACATTGTTAAAGCTTGAGGAGCTTGACTCCATATCTTCGTTATGACGTAATTTGATATCTTCGCTGAATAGGGATAGAATCGAGAAGAGAGACGACATCGACGCACCGTTTTTCACCTCAGTGAGCAATTGGTATCCCTGATGACCCCGACGCCGAATCTCATCATCTTCATCGGCCGAATCGTCAACGGCTTCATCCAGCTGCCAGCCATCCCGATCATCGTCCCGCTCTTGGATCGACTTGACAAATATCTGGACCAATCCATCGACGACCAAGCAAAATCCTTTCTCCTCTTCCAACAGCAGCGTTTCACCGGCAATCAACTTCCGTGTCTGCATTGTTCGTGTAAGCTCATGAAAGACGGGCCGCTCCAGGTAGCCGAACACTTTTATGGCGCTGAGAAACTCGTCAAGGTAATTGGACAAGCCAGGTTTTGAGTCGCCATCCTGCGAGTCGGGAAAGAGGTCTATCTCGGGCTCTTTCCTCTGCGGCTCTGGCGGTAACCGGGAGTAGATATTAAGAAATCGATAACGGATGAACCAGCTAACGGTAGATACAAGAAGCAATACTATTATGAGACTTTTTATTTTATTCGAGGAGCGTTAGCGCCCAGTTTTGTTGGGGGGGTTGGGATTGGGAGTATGCTGAGCGCCTCAGGTAAGAGGAAAGGACTCACAGTGTCGTAAAGTTCATGGTAAAGGTCAAGCTCATGGAAAAGAGGGTGAACAGAGCTGTCGGGACGGTGATTGTAGTGAAGGTGATGGCCCAGTAGAGCAGGCTGGGCACGACCTGGAAGAGGTAGAGGAGCAGACGCCCGATGTAGGACGCCATGGCGAGCTGGGACACAATGCCCTGGAGGAGATTTGGAGGAGAGAGGGTGTTGGGAGGACAGGAGGAGATCGCGGGGGAGGGGCAGGGCGGCGGCAGGGAGGGAGAAAAAGAAAAGACGGGCTGGAGGGAGGAGGGCGGTGGGTCCGGATTCCAGGCATGGGTCGGGCAGTGCGAGGTCGACGAGGCCCGGCAGGACGACGAGGTTCTGGAGGCACCAGCTGCGTCACTGCTCTCGCTCAAGCTCCATGACGAGACGGCGAGCTGCGCTGGAGGGTCGGGCGCCACAGCCGCAGGCATGGTGGTCGTCAGGTTCATACACCTCCGACGAACGAGGGAGAAAGCGAGGTGCTGCTACGGCGGGATGTCATTCGCCGGGAGTTCGCGCGCTGCTGGACGCCGGGTTTGTTTCGCTCTTCCGCCGCTTCTCTGGAAGGCAGTTCGACCATGGCACGGTCCCACCCAAGTGACAGACCAACCCGTGAATCCGCAACGTGGGTGAGTTAACGCTGAGCTTGTTGGTGGGTAACAAACCTAGTTAGTAGTGAACCTAACCAGCCAACCCTTCCTGTGTGAGGCGGACAACGGTGATGTTCAATGTCAGAAGTGACAACACAGGCTCTCTGGAACCGGCACCGTTCTCAGAATCTGCCCGCCAGCACACCAGTGAGGTCTGATTTGCCAATTTTCCCACGTTCATCGACGGCAGATCGACCACAACATGTGATTGTGAGTTTTTGTCATCTTCTTAGCTTGGCTCGTGAGCTGGTTATGTCATCGCCAAGACAGCCATCCAAGTTCCAGAGCAACCTCCAAAACACTTCGCTTCGTTTCTTGACCAACAAAAAACGACAAGAAAATTTGCATTTCAAAAATAGATGTAGTTATTAACATAGCAACATCGATTTGAACATTTCAACATTCCACTATTTCGCTAATTCAGTATAATCTGGCGGGTAATCTTGACTTTTAATGTCAGTTGATAGTGAGAGTTAAAAATGTTCAACACCAAGCGTTGAGTATATCCAACATTCACAAGCAATTTTTCAGACAAATTCATTCAGAAGTTAAAGCAAGAAATTTAGCAACAATTTCACCAGCTTTAGTTAAGTCTCACGGTGAATAGTTTAAAGGTAAACTTCAGCAGCAATAACACAGTCATTTTCGCATTCAACACAATCACATTCAAGTGATCACAAAAGCCCTTGACCTGTCTTTCTCACCCATTCTTTAAAGTCATAAAATGGATATCTCAGGATCAGTATCACTATCCAAAGGGAAGGAGCCAATAAGCTTATCCGTGGATCCAGACTGCTAAGACAATCTGACCTGACTAGATGAACACCATGGCACCCAAAATCTGAGTATAGTTGGGTCTGGCCGCAGCCTAAACATAAGGAAATGCACCCAGGCCACTTTGCATCGGCAAAAATCTTAATAAGCCCTGGGGTTGCCCAGGGCGTCCAGGGCGCCCGACGCTTAAAAAAAAGAGTCCCTGCCATACGGAGTACGGCCACTCTTGTCTATTTCCGGGCCAGGGGCGTCGGGATCTTATGGTGGCGCCCGGGCCGCCCGGGGCCTGGAGGGGATTTGCCGATTTGGCACCCAGACTGGGCCTAATATAATCAGTTCACCTTATTTGTATCAGTTATATACTCCGCAGTTAAGCAGATTTCTCCCAATCCAACTGATATTAATCTAGATTTTTTTTTTGATGTAATTGTACTCCCTACTCCGTAGAAGGAGGAATCAATTTGTGATCAAAAAATACATGCTAGTCCATCCTAATTTGGGAGGGTTCAATGTATTCCTGATCCAGAGGTAATTTCTTAAGAGATTCAATTAACTAACTAGCTACTTGTTCCTGATCCGGATTAACTACTTAGCGCAAGCGACTCGCTGGTATATCCTCTCCCTTGCCCCGCCTGGCAACGATCAGGTAAGGAGAATAGGAGGTAGTCCAGAACCACCTTATCTACCTGCACTTTAGCTAAGGGAACTAGAAATATTTGTGTCCTGAACTCTGTACGGAGTACTGCCTTCTCCTATATTTCCCTCGAAACATTGTTGAATTCTTTAAAAGGTGTCCTGGCTTTAACTCATGAGCCTTCCTGAAGCATGGTTCTAACAGTGAAGATCAATTCGGTACTTACAAATCAACTCAACCCTGGTTCGTCAAATGAACATCTGATTCACCCCTACTGGAGAAAAATTGCTGTTTGTTAGTGCCCTTTGAAATGCATAACTTCCCTGCCTATGTTTGTTATTCTTCACAGTTGCATACACCTCTCTTCGACAGTAGAAGCGACAAAATGACACGTCAATTGAAATTGCCTCGGGGTGAGACAAGGCTGAGATAACCCAAGAATGGCGGTGTGAGTGACGGTATGGTTTTCGTCGAAGCAGATCGGAATTGGGGGACCGCAATCAGGACGTTTCCTCACTGGCCCTGGACTCAGAAGCCCTGCAAGCGGCTTGCGCCTCGCAGCTTGGGCGCAGGGAGGTTTTGGTCTTTTGCCACTGTAGCACAAGGCTCCAGTCTTCTTAGCTGACCAATGGGGTGACTTGAGCTCTTGCGTCACAGCTGTTGTCTAATATGTCCGTTAAAGACAACAAGGCGGCTCAGAAGGCGATTGCTCATTCGGATCAGCTCCAAAAGAAACTGATCTGGAACTTCTCTCTTCTTCTTGGGTTTCTCTCGGAGAAACAGACTGCATTGACTGCGGATGCATGTTTCTCGAAGACAATTTCCTCTACCACAGGGATTGCACCGACTCACCATGGCGAGTTTAGGACCTATTTGCTGGGACAACTACAAGGACATTTTGGAGGACTTATACCTACATCAAAACATGAGCCTCAAAGAGGTGCGGACGACGATGATTCCGAAGGGGCTGGAAGCGACGTACGGATCCTTTATGACAAACGATCCTACCTACCCTCAACTGACTTTGAAAAGGGAGTGTCAATACGAGGCTCAGTTCAAAGAATGGGGATTCCGTAAGAAGTTGAAGAAGGAGGAATGGAGGATCGTGGGTTACAAGACACTAAAAAGGAAAAGAGAGCAAAAGGAAACAGAAATGCTCCTGAACAAACGAGTCATCTGTCCAAAGAAGTTCAAAAGGCAATGCTCCCGATATATGAGACTGTCGGAAATGACGGGCATAACCAATGAAGGTAAATATGAAGGCGCCTTTAGCTAACTGATCTGACATACCTTTCCGATCTAGGACCACCACCAAAAACCCCCGATGGAGTAAAGCTTCGAACACCACAGACAGAGGCCGCACCACAGGAACTCGCCTTGATACAATCCCCGGCTTTGTCAGGCTCATTTGGTTTTTCTGGGAGTTTTGACCCTTCTTCAATCATGCAGCCATGTATCCAAAAGCTCGCTATACTGCCATGTGCTGAGCTATTGTCTATTCTGAGAGCAAATGGTGGGGGGTTGTCGTTTGTGATTCCTTTTCCCTTAGACCTGCATATAGTTGAAGTGTATACTGACATGGCCAGGTAGCAACTTATAACAGCGTCTTTACAAGGACTGTTGACCCGCTGACAATCCAAGCGTGTTCGAAAGGACTGGACCAAAGTGTACAAGAAAAACGTAGCCTAGGCTTGATCAACCAGGCTATGGAAGCCATGAACCCTGCGCATCGCAGTCAAACAGCAGTGGAGGAGGCCTTCCGGCTCTTTGTATATCTGGCTGCAAACAAGCTAATTAACATCGATGATGAAAAATACGAAGCCCTGTATGGCCAACTCCGAAGCTACTTCCCCCCAGCTGCTTGGAAGTGCATGTTCTCTATAAGAAGCCCAGCTGTTGAAGCACTTGCTGAAAGCCTCTTCCCTCTTGCTGTAAAGGCTGGAGATGCCGTCACGGTGCAGGAAATACTGCAACATACTACAATAGACCCCGACACACGGATCGACTTACCGGACTTACAAACTCCGCGGATCGACTTCCTGGACTTACCACCTCCGCGGATCGGCTTAACGAACTTACAAACTCCGCTTCAGTTTGCATGTACGCAAGGGTTTCTGGAGCTCGTGAGAGTGTTATTGGACGCTAGAGCGGATGTCAACAAGTTTCCTGCTCTTTCTTGTGCTTTAAGAGTTCGTTTCGCCGGCGGTCATGGCGCTGCATTGGTTAAAATTCTTTTACAGGCTGGGGCTAATGTCAACCCTGCAACTGGCGATTTCCCGCTCTCAGTAGCTGCTGCTAATGGGGATGCTCTAGCAGTCTCACTTCTTCTTGATGCAGGCGCCAATGTGAATCCTCTGTTTAAAACGCCTCCATTAGTACATGCTCTTAGGTCTTCCCTTAATAACGTTGAAAATGTCACTGCTGTCGTTTTCCAGCTCCTAGAGGCTGGAGCGATGATAGATGGGCCAATGTGGAACGTTGATCTGCCCGAGGAGGAGGATAATTGGGATACTATGCTGGAATTAGCAGCAGAGCTTAATGGAGATATCGAAGTAATCAGCCTTCTCATGGAATACGGAGCCCCCGTATCTGATGGACTTATGGAAATTGCGAGCTCGTATGGGGACATTGACGTGTTGCAGCTTTTGCTTGAGCGCGGAGTGCGACCTCCACGCAAACTTGATTATTTGACCGAGGAAATGGCAAAGCTATTTATGAAATACGAACCATGGAATAGTGTGCAAGCGCTCATATACGCCGCTTACACTGGGGACAATGACCTTATCAAATCGGTTTTCGAGGCTGGGGCACCCGTTACTCCATCAGCGCTGGAGAGAATGATCGGAGAAGTGGACAATGCAATGGTAATAGCCTTCCTGAACGCTGCAGCAGATGAGCGTAAACAGGATTGTTTCAAGGCTGTCCTATGTAAGGCCATCCTAGTCAAAGACGCGGGCCTTATTGAAGCGTTACATGCACTAGAGGGAGAGTTTGAACTTCATAGTGCTTTTCGGTTGGATGCCAAATTCCGACATGCTGCCCAAGAGAACTGCGTCGGTCTATTTCGCGCGCTTATTGGCCCTAAATCTCGGTTTCGGCCAAACGCCATCGAACATCTAAAAGGATCATTAATCGAAGCGATCTTGCGCGAAAGCAGAGATGTTATCGAGATCCTCTTACGGACATGCCCTATAGAAATTTTGGGGGATGGCCCACATTTACTCGCAGCCGCAATAAAAAAGAGAAATACAGAGCTTTTCCACCACCTATTGAGAAGCGGTGTGGCCGTGAATGAGATTAAGCAGCAGGGATTGAAGGGGGAAGATGTAGAGCACCGAACAGTCCTCTCCGAAGCTGTTGACACAGGCGATTTTTTGATTATCCGTGAACTCATCTATGCTGGAGCAGATCTAAATGCAAAAGGACTATATTCAGACAGAACACCGCTATCCTTGGCAGTTGAAAACGGAGACGTTGCCATTATAAATATCTTGATAGAAGCCGGCGCTGATATCAATGCCCCGCATGCGATGCTTTCAGGATCTAGCGCGCTTTTCGAGGCCGTCTGGAAAGGCAGCCTCTTGCTTGTCCAGAAATTGCTTGACCACGGGGCCAACATAGATGAGACAGCACTTGTAGCAGCAGTTTTTAGGCCAACTTCTATACTTCTGCTGCTTTTACAGACTCATCAGGCTCGCTATCGAATCATCCCCCATGGCTATGGTTGTGAGGCTCTCCAGTTAGCTATCACAGATAATCAAAGGGACAAGACCGAGGCATTGCTCAAATTTGGGGTTCAAGTGAATTGGATTGCTAGGGCCAAACCCGGTCTCAAAGGCTATTCGTTCTTGGAGGCTAAACTTCACTACGGGTTATCAGCCCTTGGTGTTGCCGTGGAAGGGATGGGCCATATCGATCCTTTCATTGTCACATTAATCCTTAATTCCCCGAATTTGAAAATCAATGCACTTGCAAAGACACAGCCCTCCAGAACGGGGCTTGATCTGGCTATCGAGCAGAATAGTGTTCTGGCGGTTGGAGAACTAATCAAGCTTGGAGCGGATGTGAACAAGGCTGCTACCCAGGACCTTCGCCGCACACCTCTTCAATTAGCCGCAGAAACGAGCAGCTTTGATATCGTCCAATTACTCCTGCACCACGGAGCCAAAGTCAATGCTCCCGCCTTCATAACATATGGCGCTACTGTCCTCCAATTGGCCAGCATTCGAGGTAATATTGAGATGGCGCAGTTGTTGCTGGAAGCAGGGGCTGAAGTTAATGCCTTACCCGCAGAAGTCGGAGGAAGGACGGCGATTGAAGGCGCGGCAGAACATGGACGTATAGATATGGTGATGTTCCTTCTAATGAGTGGTGCCGATATCATGAGCTCCGGTCGTGTGCAGTACAAACGCGCAAGGGAATTTGCTTTGCAAAACGGCCACTTGGCTATCTGTCGGTTACTTGATACATTTGCTGACCCACAGGATGCTGGAATATGAGTCCAAGACGATGTGATATTTCTTTTCTCAAAAACTAAGGGCGTGTGTGAACATATATATAGCCTTTCTAAGATCTCCGTTGCTATTTCCAATATTGCATGCAGAGAAATTGCATAGTAGTAATTCCACAAGCGCTATGCTCCTGCATATATACTTCGTGAGCAAGCAATTATTTTTGGCACTGGGGGTGTGCCGGGAACCCTTTCACATTCTTATCGTGTCTTCGGCGGATATGCATGTCCAAATTGTCTTTTCGATTGAAGGGTCGGTGGCATCCTTCCACCGGACACGGATACGAGTTGGCTTGTACATGGATGCTTCTGACGTGCCGAATCAGATCCTCCGTTCGCTGGAACGTTCCTTTGTATTTACAACCGTTCCATCCGCACGTAAAAGTGCCATTGCATGATTTTCCGTGTCCTCTAATACCCTTTCGTTAGAACAAACGAATGGAGGAGTACATAAGGCACTAGACTTGCCTTTGCTGGACATCTTCGGTGTGCGGAACTCGCTTTGATGATAAGGTATTGATGGAAGCTGAAGACTCCACGCCACCCAAGCCGTCACTAGCTATGGACAATGCCTTACATTGTCCCTTTTCGGTGCCTTCAATATCTTGGCTAGTATTGTAGGAAGGTGGCACGCCGCCACCTATTACAGTTCCGTTAGCAAACCCATCAGGCCCTGCAGCACCGTGTACTCCCCAGATACCGCTTTGGGCTCCGGCGAAAGATGGGTTGACCGTATAAGCTGGGGCAATCGAAGGATGGACAGGAAAGCTGAAGTCATCGTAGAGGTTCTCTGTCGCCTGAGAAGAACCGAGCTGTGAAGTCCAGTTCACTGGGGAAATGCCTGATGCTTGGTTGATGTGGTCCTGATTGCTGCATGTAGTCTCCTGCGACGTTGAATACATGCTGGAAAGGAGTATATTCTGGGAAGTCGCCGTTCCGAATTGGACGTTGGAAGTCATCTAGAGTTGCATAGCTTAGTAGAGCGAAACAAGGAGTAGCACTGAGGTCACGGAGAGTAGTGGTGAGAATACATACTTTAGGCCGTCCGGCAATTTATATCTCGGATGCAGGCTTTGCAATAGATTGGCCTCAGCAGATGTGCTGGCTTGCGGCGAGGGCCATTGGATTCGGACCTCCATGGTAGTTGGGGGTATTTAAATATTTTGTTACTGCAATATTAGTGTCGCTGTCGGTTTTGGTTGCTTGAGCCGAAGTTATCAACAGCCTGCCTGAATGGAATAAGTAACAATTGATACGCAGCGCCTTCAGGATCTGGGCAGCCGTCCAATCATCGAGACAGATTTTAGTAGCCGCGAATGGTGGAGCCGGATTTTGGCAGCTACCAATCATCAAGCCGTTCTTTTGGGATCAGATGAACGTGTATCCAGACACTAGTCTTTGTGTAGTTTAGCTTGGACCTTTCCTCCCAGTTCTGATGCCAATCTCTCGAGGTGAGCCAAGATTGAAAAGTTCAGGTTCTGGGGGGCCGTACGGAGGATAGCTTCGCATATTGGTCGAGAGCCTTACATGTCCAGCAAAAAACTGTTTTAAGCCTAGCGTGGTACTCCGTACGGAGTACAGATGTTAAAGCTTAACTAGTTATGTTGTTGTTAAAGTTTCCAATCTGACGTCCAGCGCTTGATTTTGGTTTTCCGTTCGCCTTGATGGGATCATCTCGAAGTCGGCCCTCTTGTGCTTCGACGAGGGCAGCTCCTCGTCGAGATCCTATCACCGCCTTTCACTGCACATGTCAACGTGGATGACGGCAGAGGCGCGTTCTTACTGAGGAACGTCACCTTACTTCCCTTGAGGCTCTCTAGCTTACGCCTCAAATTGCCTTATGCCAGCCGCTTCATGATCTCGTTTTGGCTTGTAGAAACCTCCAGAAGAGATAAAATCTTCCCAAAAGGCCTGCCTCCAGCGCTACTCCGGGCCTAGTACGAATGTTGCATTATGGGACAATCCAGATTATCTCTTGATTACTAGAGGTAACTAATTACTCCGTACTTATCGCGGCAAAGACTTTCTGGGGCACACCTCTATACTTAATAAAGGCAAAATAAATAGTAATTGCACAATTCTCAAGCTGCTATGAGATGGACGGCGAACTCATTACATATTGATATATGGTCAGACGTGAAAGAACAAGATATCCTTAGCTAAACTGCTAGGCAATAATGCTTGTGGGGCTTCATTCAACACCCTCTAGCGCCGCAAGCTCATCCAGCAGTTGCACGGTCTCGCCTGGATTCGAGACCCACGCTGTCGTGCACGCGAGCCGAGCCTGAACAGAACCTTGATTTAGCTTGGTAGCTTATGCGCTTGCGATGGCACCATCGTCATACCTTGAAATCGTTGGCTCCGGCAGACAGGAATTGATCGCCGATATGCAGTGTCTTGGACCTATCAATGCCACCGAAGAAGCTCTGGCAGCATAGCACCCCCCAGGACTTGTCTCCTATATCGACGAAGACGTCACTGCCGCCGTTGAACGCGCAGAATGGCAGCCGTCGGCCAACAGGAGACGTTTCAACCCGCTGCTGCGCAACCAGGACCGTCTCTTCGAGCTGCTCCCGGTGCATCTTATGGCCCTGGAGTGGATATATCCCTACAGCTCGCTCCTTTCGAAGAATCGACGCCGGTAGGTTGAGATTCGACACGCAGTCACGCAGCGCAGCCTCGGCTACATCGAGTAATTCTTTGATGTCCCGCTCGGTCCAGCCTTTCATCTCATCCAACAACCACTGGCTGCGTGGCACCCATTTCAGCCGATGAGGGGAGCTAGGATCGAATTCGAACATAAAGTTGCTCTCACCGCCAAGGATTATCAGACATTTCTTTTGGGCAGGTGTCAACTCGGTGGTGCTGTGGACCATGTCCAGCAGGCCATGGAGTCGTTCATAATACTTGTCTGCGCTGGTATATCCAGCTGCAGTCACGATGCCCACTTGCTTATCTTGTCTTAATAGGCGAATAATGCGGGATATAACTTCATTGTCAGGCGTCAACGAAGCGCCATCTTCATAAAGGGTGACGTCTCCATCGAATGTAATCAGCTGCACTTGGCTGCGATGGACAAGGCCCATTAGCTGGGCCGTATTCAATGTCAGGCGGATATCGTTGAACGACGGCGGCACAAACCGTCGACTGCTGATAAATCGTTTCTTATCTTGATACTTGAATGCCTCCTCGAGAAGCAGAGGGGTGAAAAATGTCCCCACGGAAGGAATCAGCATGCCCAGTGTAGAACGGCCATTTCGGCCTGATAATTGATGTTCAACTGTCCGCTCAGTCAGCAGCATAGCACTCTATCATTCAGGGGGGTTGGTACTATATATACGCACTGTGTTCGTTCACAAGATGTTCGACGTCTCGCATAATCTCCACATATCGATTGTGGGTTCGCTCTGCAATATGAGCAAGGTTTTGGCTGTGTTCCTTGTATGCAGCAGCCGGCTGGGAGTGCAGCACAAAGGGAACAGCAAGTAATCCCTGAGAGATAGGCTTAGCATAGATCCCCGGAGTAAAGCAAACGGTGAATACTGTACCTTAATCCATTCGATCTGGTTCCCAATACTACATGCATCAATGGCTGCAGGTCTCCCAAAGAGCCGCCACTTCTCCCGGGGCTTTTTTTACTTACAAGTTGGTCTCGCCGATGAGACTTTTGAATGGTTATGTCTCGTCAGCCACGGTTCAAGGGCGGGCAGATAACCACAAGGCTCACCTTCAGGGCATCTGTTTTTTGGTAGTATTCAGTAAGATAGTTACTTTTGACATACTCAGGGTCAGAGAGTTACTCACACTCCACCCGGTACCGGGTCGTCATTTTCGGCGATGTTTGGACAGACCGATACGGAGGTGATGACAGCTACAGCCGCGAACAACCGGATTTTGACAGAGGCCAGAGTTGGCTCCCGATCTTTGCAGTCTTGCGACGTTGGTTCGGAAAACGATACAGGTTGGAATCATTCAAGACCGATGATTGGGATTTACGCGCAAAAACAGGCGTTGGCATGGGAGAGCACCCACCCACCTGTTGCTCGTCATCGGTCTTGTGACACGCCACCTGTTCCTGGTGCGGCCAAACTCGTGCCCAACGTCGCCGAGCCCGCTGAATTTCCCGACCAATCACTAGGGAAATTCTACGGACCTGGACGGAGTATCGGATCGAGCGCTTTGATATTGTTGTCAATTGATGATGGCAGCTATTTCATGGTCTACGGAGTACATCAGTCCGCAACTACACCGTGAATGCAAGCTAATTCATGTAAAGTACATACACACAACTCTTTTAGTCACTGTGTTTTAAAACAGCCCAAACCTACCACGAAGATTCTGCTCAATCCTGTATCGCTTAATTGCTGGATCAGCGGAGAAATCAGCCTTGTCTCCTTTGGCGTCCTTGCAGCTCTACATGAACACGAGTTAAAGGTGTCAAAATTACTTTCGTGCTCGGACAAAATGTCAATATTAGTTATTTACTGCCGATGTTTTGGACAGTTTGGTCATCATATTTCTCCCCTAAAAGTTCCATCACCCGTTGAAGTGTAGGCCTCGAGGACTCTTCCGCTTCTCCCAGCATGTCCACTGCGCGCCATGTGAACAGTCTTTCCCCAGGCTGCTCATCTGCCTTAGTTGAAGGCCCTCTGTGTCTTACCCAGAAACATCGGAGTTGAAGCTGATCGCTCTGCAGTTGAATCTGCAGCTTCTTTGTGCGACAACGTGCTGGAGAGTAAGCAGTCAGCTCGCCTTGCTGGGGAAACGTCGGCTGCCAGGGTAATAAATAAACGTCATCCTGTTTTGCAGCTGGCGATGGAGCAAATTCATTTTCATCGGTTGATTCTTCTTCCACGAAGGCTTGAGATCCGGTATACCGAGAGATCAGAGTTTCTGAAGCACCAGCACTCGCGGAACCTTTGACTAGTGAAGGGACCAAATAAACAAGATCCAAAGTAAAGAGGTGGATAATCAAATCGCGCACATCCTCACGCAGTCCAAACCGGAAGGGCGACTGCTGCGCTGGGAAGTGGGCAAGATTCGTAACGAGTTCGAACTCAGATCCAAGGCCGTTTGGGTTGACATTGGTCGTGATTCGTACTCTGAACACGGAGCCTTGGGAAATAAGATTGCAACTGATGATCAACTCGGACGGGTTGATCAGAGTGTCTATGAGCCTTTCAACGGAAGATACTGTCAAGGTTTGCTGAGAGGAGGCGGCGCGGCTTTGAGGACGTTTCATCAAGGGGTATAGAGTGTAACTGCATTTCAAACCAGCGGACCGTAACGTCTTTGATAGAGTTCCAAAAACCGATGTAAACCACTGGTAATGCGATCTATGCTGGAAGTAGCAAAGAAGGGGCCGTATTATGTTATATTCGGGGGCCGGTCTCTTGTTTGGAGTCACTGGCGGCGGCACACGTGTTCGCCGATGGTGATTTTTCCGATGGGCATAAGAAAGGAGGATGCGGAAGGATTTGGCAACACCTTCGGCCAAAAGATTATCCAAGGGATCCAACCCGCCAATCTCTGGAAGCGCTTCGTCTAATCCGACCAGGTCAACAAATATCTGTTTGTTATCGTCTGCTGGGAACTTGATAAGATCGCGTCTGATTTCAACTCCGTGCTGGAGCAGAACACGAGCTTCCCGGTTCAGTTCATAGAACAGCTCTTCTTCATACAGGCTATCTCTGGCCTCGCGGATTCGACCATCTAGGCATTGATCATCGAGTTGCTTAGATATCGCTGGCATAGTCAACCCCAGAGTTTGATCTCCCCGTTGAACTCGCACTCGAACGAACCGTGGGGGCTTCAATTGAATTCCACGGTCCAAAATCAATCTCCCCGCCTCCCCTTTTCGCAAAGCAGCCAATCCTCGATCCCGAAAATTTTGTGTAGATTCCAGGAATCCAAAGTGAACTCCTAGTGTCTGTCTCTCTCGGGGTAGCCTACACACCTTCCATCCCTTTTCTTTGATCTTCAACACCTCAGACCAGTACTTTGTTTCAGCTGCGATGTCCTCCTCCAGCCTCTGCGCCGACTGGAGTAACTTGTTCGCCGCCGCGTCAAAGCTCTCCAACTTCCATCCACGTGACACAGCATCGACATCTCTCTTCTGCGTTTCCGATTGTTCTGGTGGTTTTATATGGTCCGCTCCGAGGGATCCCAGCGGTACTTTTTGTTTAAGAAGCGGAGACATGGACGTTTCCGCCTGTCGAGGGGTATGCTTGGATAGAAGCAGGGAAACAAATTCAAGCGCATAAGTCGCCTCCATGTGGGCATTCCTGAAGCAAGGCAGGGAGTTAGTATATGGATCTCTGTGGGCTCAGAACACAACGAACATGGCGAATTGTGAAATCTCAAGCCGGCTTTTGAATAGCTTTTCTTCTCTGTTTTCTTCCTCATCCTCGCCCGTTTTCACATCTACGGCTTCAGCCTCTCCATCTCCCACTGCCCGAGCGGCTTCAATCTCAGCTAGAAGACTCGCCTCAGTGACATCTCGAAAAGAACCCTTTTGGGCGTTAATCTGAGCGATTTTGACGGCCAGGTCATCCTCTCGATTAGCTTTTTGTCGCGCCGGCCGTAGCGGCAAGGTGAAGCTATTCGACATATCCGCAGGCAAGAAAGCACACTGAAAGACCAAGCGAAAGGTTATCTCATCTCCATCCGTTGGATAGAAAGATAGCTTCTGCCATTGCCATCGTCCCGAGGAAGCTCCGAATGCGATGAAGGTTATTTAGCTCACTGCACGTGATCTTCACCGCGGCTAACCCCAATCTTGGCGGTCGACGCGCTTGAACTTCCCAACGCGTTGGCTTCAAAGCTTTTCAGCCTCCTCGATCTCTGAACGAAAACACCTGCAGCTTTGGATTTCAAATTTTTGTGTCAACCTTTTCTTTTTTCTTTTTTCTTTTTTCTTTTTTTTTTTTTTTTTTTTTTTTTTGTTTATCATTTGTTTATCATACCCCGTACGGAGTACTCCGTAATCTGTGCTGCGGTTCTGTAGAATCTCCGGCAGCGTGTACTTTTCCAGCATGCATGGACCTTGGAGTTTGATATGTTCAATTGATTCTATTGGAGGGCCACAGTTGGCGTTGCTCAACTCCGCAACCTGATTATCCCCTCGTCCGTCCCTGTTGTGCAAATTAGCCTGCGGAAAGGCTAGGCTCAGAGTGAGCGGGAGCGGGCGGGGGTGTTGGACATTTTTAGTGGTTTAGCAACATTTTAGTTGGAACCGTGCATTGAGCCGCTAGTTTCTATTTAGTTAGTTTGCAGCTTCCCGACGCAGATCTCTCTTGATCTGATGCAAGCTCGTCCTCTTTTCTGACCTGTAAGCTGGGAGGGTTGAGAGAGGGGAGAGTGAGGAAGGGAATAAGAGCGCCTGAATGGAATGGTATACGTGGTTCCTATGGAGTATAGCTTCTATCCATGCTTAGTGGGCTAACTCGCCTCGAGACCGTGCTTGCTTGCTTCTTTAAGCACAAAGACTGCCCACCTAGGTTCGTGCAGGTCAAAGCAGCTTTTGCAATAACTACCTCATTATTCCTGACCTATCACCCCTTGCTTAATTGAAATAATCTCCCAATGGCTTCTGTACCTGAACCGGAAATTGACCAGCCTACGGCAGATCTCATTGTTCAACTGCAACTTCAAGATGCCGACCTTTACTTTGAATCCGCTAAAGGGAAGTCTCGCGAGCCTACAGACGAAGAGTTGGCATTCCAGTTACAGACTGAGGAATTTAAAAATGCTTCCCAATTCTTTGTGGATAGACGAATGGCTATGAGCTTCGCAACCGCTGTTCAAGTTGATGGGCCAATTCTGGTTGATAACTTTGTGGCCGAAGAGAATGCGATGAGAGATCGGGAGCTTGCTCGTTACTGCGAGGAAAACGGATCCCCTGTGGCTGCTGCAAAGGACCGCCAGTCAAACTCGGAACCAATAGCACTAGATGACGAGACCTTGTACAAACTCCAGATCTTATATGTGACTGGCCCCGGAGGCCACTGCCCCATCAGTGGCGTAGAAACAACCAGTTCAGAGAGTGATGAAGCCGAATCGTCTACCTGGGCAGCCCGACGAACCCACCAGGGACCACCATCAATGCGTCGCTGCGTCGCTTGCAGAGAAGAAACCGAATTTGTCAGGGTGGCACGTGTACCCTGTGGCCATGAGTATTGTCGTTCCTGCCTGGAGGATCTCTTCAAAGCCTCAATGAAGGACGAATCCCTGTTCCCTCCGCGCTGCTGCCGACAGCCTATTGTTATCAATATCGCTCGCATATTTCTCACAAACGACCTCGTGCAAAGGTACGAGAAAAAGAAGATTGAGTTTGAAACTCCAAACAGAACATACTGCTACTCTCCTAGGTGCAACGCCTTCATCGACGCATCTCACATTGAGGGTGAAGTAGCCACATGTCCCGAATGCGGATCCACAACTTGTACGAGCTGCAAGGGGCGAGCACATACAGGAGATTGTCCGAACGATACCGCAATGCAACAGCTCCTAAGTACCGCGCAGGATAATGGATGGCAGCGCTGCTATTCCTGCTGGCGAGTGGTAGAACTGGATCATGGCTGCAATCATATGACGTGGGTAGTCCCTCTTTTTTTTCTTGCCTCTGATATTAACTAGGATGGCGATAGCTGTCGTTGCGGTGCGCAATTTTGTTATAACTGTGGAGAGCGCTGGAAAGACTGTGCGTGTGAACAATGGAATGAACACCGTCTTCTTGCGCGTGCATATCAAATAATTGACCGAGAACAAAACATTCCCCTTGACGCTGCTCCTCAAGACCCTGATGACCGCCAACCGGAAATCAATGAATCCCAGTTAGACATCAATGGAGCTGAACCGGAAACACATGAGCTGCAGCCAGATCAAGGGCCTCAAGCAACAGTAACCCCAGAGCAAGGAAGGCACGCAACCTTTGGTCAGACAGCAAGAGAAATCTTGGTTGCAAGAACAATGCAGGAGCTCCGAGAAAATCATGAATGCAGCCATGTCAGATGGAATTATGTACGTGGCGCTCATGTATGCGAGGAATGCTCCGATCGTTTGAGCAAGTATATCTTTGAATGCCGTCAATGCAGGCTCCAGGCCTGCAACTGGTGTAGAAGAAACAGGCTCTAATAAGTACACCCTAATAGCACATTATTAATAGCTTTTACCCATGAATGTTGCTTCTGGTTATAAAAACACACACAGAAAGCGAGTGAATTCCATTAATTAAAGCATCATACTCAATCCAATAACATGGTAGCACATGTGGGGAATCACAGCGGCCCTTGCTGGTGGCGTGGATCCTGAGGACCACTAGCTGCGCAGATTTTGAAATTATCTCCTCCACAACTCAAACACCAGAATGTATGACCAAGTCCAGGTCAAGTTGGCTGTCAATGTTCTTCAAGTAGCGCCCAACAATATTCTTTTGGAGTTGCGATGCGAAGTCTTGACTGTGATTGCAAGCCTGAGGCAAAAAATCACCATTTCTTCAGATGGGTGCTTTGATAATTGGTGCTCAGGAGCCTCAGAACTTTGCAAACATGGATACTAGTAAGGAGAAGATGCACAGGGTGGCACCCGTCACTGGATCCACTCAAGAAGGCTGATCCTTGAACTAGCGGATCCACCAAAGTCATTCCTGGGAATGACATGTGGGTGATTTGCGAAGTGATCAATGAGTTGAATCAGATCTCTTGCTGGGAGCCAGTGGCAATCTTGTCTACAAGTTGTATATAGTTGCCAGAATATCAGATCTTTTACCTCACATACTCTTTTCGACATATATTCCTCCTAGAGATTATTGTCATGCTGATCCACACATACAATCCTCACATAAACAGTTCTTTAATGATATTTTAGACTCAAGCTGATGCCTCATCAGTTGCCAGGCTTTTTTCCTGATTAAGACAGATCCTACCTCATTAGACAGACACAGAAGTTCCTAACCAGGGCTGTCTGAAACATAATACTAGGGGAATTTTGAATTCAATGGTTTTTGCATTGTGGGATACTTAACGATAGACGGCTATTATAAATACAATATTTCGGGTTTCACGATTTCATCCCTAACACAGCCAGCGGCTTGAAAATAACAAGGGCTTGCGGGATACCAGCAGCCGTTCTCCACACCTTTACAACTGTTCCCCATCGCCAAAAGTTCCGGAGACCTATAACAATGGTGAGGTAGTTCAAACTTAGCTGTTGGTATTGGCAAATATGGTACTCCGTACTCCGTACAGAGTATATACTCTGCAGATGGGTGATGTTTCACCAGGAACTCTTCACCTCCTTAAAACTCCTTTTACTGTTCCAATACTCTGTACTCCGTAGTGAGCGCCTTAATTCTCGTCTTCCGTGGTTGAAGGTTGGATTGGAAGCTTTCGGGAGCAAAGGCGGCGGTGGCTGACTAGGCCGTTCCTGGATTAGCGCTTCTGCTGTCCTGGGTTACCGCCAAGAGCAGCAATGACATCACTATTACATAACTTCACTAGCCACTCAACCGGGCGCAGCGGTGGGGCTGGATTGCCAAGAACGCGAGACGGATCGCGACCGTCGAGGCAGCGCAGCGCAGGGCAGCGAGCCGAGCGGGCGGGCTGGCCGGTTGCGGCATATAATGTCAATTAACCAACTGGCTCATATCAATCCTGTCACCTCTTCTTTTCCCCCACTGTCGCGCTGAAAAATTCTGCTGCTTTTCCACATCGTCACTTCGAGAGCAGAACAGGCAACTTCGAAGGTTCGGCCCCAGGCTTGTTTCCGGTCCACTTCACGTGAATCAGTGGGGAGCTTCGTCCAGGTTTAGCTCAATTTCGCCCTGTTCACCCCACTGCTCCCATCCCTCCCCGACTCCCAGAGCTCCTCCTCCACCCGCCAGCGCAAACATCCCTTATCAACAGTCGCAATGGCTTCCTACGACCCTCCCGGACGTCTGCCGGTGCCTGTACCCAAACGACGCCGTGTTGCCATCCTCACCAGCGGCGGCGATGCCCCAGGAATGAATGGCGTCGTCCGTGCCGTGATCCGGATGTCCATACATTGCGGGTGCGAGGCGTATGCGATCCATGAAGGCTACGAAGGCTTGGTACAAGGAGGAGAGTTGATCCGGCGCATGCATTGGGAGGACGTGCGTGGCTGGCTATCTCGTGGTGGCACTCTCATTGGTTCCGCACGGTGCATGTCGTTTCTACAGAGAGAAGGCCGCTTGAAGGCCGCAAAGAACATGGTCACAAGAGGAATTGACGCTCTTATCGTCTGTGGTGGAGACGGTAGCTTGACTGGTGCTGATGTCTTCCGATCTGAATGGCCTGGCCTGCTGGACGAGCTCGTCAAGAAAGGAGAACTTACCGCCAACCAGACTTCCCCGTACAAAACCCTGAATATAGTTGGCTTGGTGGGATCAATTGACAATGACATGTCGACTACCGATGCTACCATTGGGTGCTATTCCTCCTTGCATCGTATTTGCGAGGCCGTCGACGAAGTCTTCGACACTGCCGCCTCCCATCAGCGCGGCTTCGTCATCGAGGTCATGGGCCGACATTGCGGCTGGCTTGCACTCATGTCTGCTATCAGCACAGGCGCTGATTGGCTCTTCATCCCTGAAATGCCTCCCCGTGATGGCTGGGAGGACGATATGTGCGAGATTATTACACAGGCACGTTAGGATCTCCCATTTGCCTGCCAGGATGTACTAACTTGGCGAATAGAACCGCCGGCGAGGCAAGCGGCGAACAATCGTCATCGTCGCCGAAGGTGCTCAGGATAGAAGTCTGAATAAAATCACCTCGGATGCAGTCAAGGCTATTCTTAGCAACAGACTCAAGCTCGACACCCGCGTCACTGTCTTGGGGCACACCCAGAGAGGTGGTCCGGCCTGCGCCTATGACAGGTGGCTCGCCACTCTTCAGGGCACCGAAGCCGTTAGAGCCGTCCTCGAAGCCACTCCCGACTCCCCATCACCAATTATCACAATTCGCGAAAATAAGATCGAGAGAGGGTCTTTGATCGACGCTGTCGCCGCGACAAAAAAGGTTGCAAAATGCGTTGCCGAGAAGAGATTTGAGGAGGCCATGCAACTCCGGGATTCCGAATTTAAAGCCTATCATAGAGCCTACATTAACACGACTACTCCCCATCACCCGAAAATGCTGCTTCCCCAGGAGAAGGTGCGTCTCCACATCCTACTTTTTGTTGCTAATCCCCGCTAACGCTTGTCGTATTATAGAGAATGCGCATTGCGATTATCCACGTCGGTGCACCTGCTGGGGGAATGAATCCAGCGACCCGTGCGGCAGTGGCTTATTGCATTGCTAGAGGCCATACTCCAGTCGCCATCTACAACGGATTCCCTGGGCTGTGCCGCCACCACGCCGATAAGCCACTAGGTTCCGTCCGCGAGGTAAATTGGCTAGAATCAGATTCCTGGGTGAACGAAGGTGGGTCTGAAATCGGAACCAATCGAGGTCTCCCTTCCGAGGATATGCCCACCACTGCCTATTGCTTTGAACGGTACAAGTTCGACGCTTTGTTCATCATTGGGGGCTTCGAGGCTTTTACTGCGGCAAGTCAGCTTCGAAAGGCAAGGAAAGATTATCCATCACTAAAAATTCCAATTGTGGTCCTCCCCGCTACGATTTCCAACAACGTTCCTGGCACTGAGTATTCGCTGGGCAGCGATACTTGCCTGAACACGCTGGTAAACTTCTGCGATGTGATCCGACAATCTGCTTCCTCATCGCGCCGCCGTGTATTTGTGATTGAGACCCAAGGTGGGCGATCCGGGTACATCGCAGTCATGGCAGGTTTAGCAGTGGGAGCGTACGCAGTGTACATCCCTGAGGAAGGAATTGATATCAAAATGCTTGCCCGCGATATCGAATATCTCCGACACAACTTTGCAACTGACCGGGGTGCAAGTCATGCCGGCAAAATCATCCTCCGCAACGAGAAAGCGTCTTCCACATATACCACACAGGTCATTGCAGACATGATTAAGGAAGAGGCCAAGGGCCGCTTCGAGTCCCGGGCCGCTGTTCCGGGCCACTTCCAACAAGGAGGGAAACCATCACCAATGGACCGAATCCGTGCACTCCGCCTGGCTCTTCGCTGTGTCCAACACCTCGAGTCATTTTCGGGGCGCAGCCGTGATGAAATCGATGCCGATGAGATGTCAAGCGTTGTGATCGGAATTCGAGGTAGCGAAGTTGTATTTGGCCCAATGTCCGGTGAAGAGGGCCTCGAGGCGACCAACACAGACTGGGAGCATCGATGCCCACGCAATCAGTTCTGGATGAAGCTAAGGAATCTGGTTGACACGCTCAGCGGACGGCCTTCCGAGAGCAAGGACGGAAAGGTCAAATTGGCCGATGACGAAGGGTGGGATTCAGGAGCCGTGTCTGATCCCTGTCATTTTTGCGGGACTCCGAAAATTGCGATCGGCTAGATAATGAAAGCTTCGTCCACAGGCCAGAGAGCTTCCAGAGTGTACATAATTAACTCCCACCAAAGCGCATCTGCTGCTTTTAGTTATAGAAAGGTGGTGTCTGAAATTGGATGGCCAGCTTAGATGCCCTTTTTTTCTTTTTGGAGAACAAAAGAATACACAGAAATCTTCTCTCAGAGGCCCCTCTGATAGCTAGTGAACCCCTGTTCAAAGTTTTCTATTTTCACGTTCTACGCACTAACTAACTAGTTAGTTAAGTAACTAACCAAGTTATTTTAGAGAACCTGATCTCCAGTTCATCCGATCTTGGCAGCCATCTCGTCGATTTGTGTCAGGGCAACATGCAGAGTCCTCCATGTCCTTCTTCTCGTCGTTCATTTCTCAGTAACTATCCAGATCTACTCTTTAAATGTTAGTGGGAGATAATTATAAGGGGAATTCTCTGTCACTCATGGCAGCTCCTCCGGACTTGTGCAGTCAGGGAGGTCAGTCAGCATCTCCAGTGCCCTGGATACCCTATTAAATTGGCACATATTCATCAAGCGGAAATGGCTGGGTTTAGGAGAATGGCAGATATCCTGGCGTTGACTTTTATTAGTTTGTGAGATGGCATCCTGGTTCGATGGATGCACCCATTCCTTGGGTTCAATAAACCAGCACAAACAAGCTCTTTATGCTAAACACTGAACCAGGGACCTTCTGCCAGCTATCACTGTTTCGCTCAGGACGAACCCCTGCCTGAGAGCTTGTTAGCTCTGGTACAATCCTCTGTATGAGTTCCATGACTGCATTATGCTGTCATAGCTGATTTAAGTTGCACCCTCCCATTCTCTCTGCTTCCCTAGAGAATATCGCTGTCTCATCCGAATTCCATTTACCATGCCATTTAAGTCAGCTTGCACTGGAAGCAGGGGATGGTTGATTCCTTCAACTATGCGTGCAGCTCAAACCTCGGCGCTGGGTGCCTGGTCAACATCTGCTGAACTCTGCTGCGTGCTTCCTGCCCTACCTTCAACCTCACTTCAGGTGCGTGGTTTAGGGCTTCACAAGAGCATCCCTATTCTCTTCTTGATGAGGCTCATATAGTGCATATCTCCTCTGCTCAGTTTTCTACAATCTATACCCTACAGTTAGATTTTACTTTTTTTATTTTCACCTAGGATGAGGCTGTTTTCCTGGTCATCATCCTCAGGATGGATGGCTCAATCGCTGCTGGCTCTCGTGGGGATGCTGTCAATTGTTTCAGCTATAGATCTGAACCTCGATGATCACGGTATTTCCTCTCTAGGCTTATAGCAACCCCGTGCGTTCTAATAACAGCTTTTACTATAGAATCTATCAAACTAGCCGCCAAAACCGCCGCAACCGGAATGACCTCTTTCTACACAGGGCACCATCCGGGCGGGATCCCAGGCACGCTACCGCTCCCATACTACTGGTGGGAAGCCGGTGCGATGTTTGGCGCATTGATCGATTACTGGTTCTACACTGGAGATGACACCTGGAACGAGATGACGACCACTGCACTGCTGCACCAGGCCAGCTCCACGAAGAACTTCATGCCTCTCAACCAAACAAGCACACTAGGGAACGACGATCAGGCTTTTTGGGGGCTAGCAGCATTGGCCGCCGCCGAACGCAATTTTCCCAATCCGCCCGCCCACGAGCCACAATGGCTAGCGTTGGCTCAAGGCGTGTTCAACTCTCAGGCTGCTCGATGGAATACGGCGACCTGCGGTGGCGGGCTCAACTGGCAGATATTCCAGTTTAACCGCGGATTTAACTACAAAAACTCCATTTCGAATGGCTGCTTTTTCAACATCGCTGCCAGATTAGCGCGATACACGGGAAACGACACATATGCAGAATGGGCAGTCCGAACGTGGGATTGGACCAAGGGAGTCGGGTTGCTAACCGGTGATTATCAGTTTTTCGATGGGTCAGATGAAAAGCTGAATTGCAGCGAGGTGAACCGCATCCAGTGGACATACAACGCGGGTGTGTACCTCCTCGGGGCAGCAAGCATGTACAACTATGTAAGACTCTTTTGACTCTTCCAAGCCACCCAGCGAGGATGCTAATTTACAGACCGACGGTGAGCAAATCTGGCGCGAGCGCGTCCAAGGGATTATTGACGGTCTTCGCCCTTTCTTCCCCGAACAGGCAGATATCATGGTTGAGTCTTCATGCGAACCTCATGATAACTGCCTCACTGATCAGCGGTCATTCAAAGCCTTTCTCTCACGGTGGATGGCGGAAACGACGCAACTTGCCCCGTTCACTAGAGAGCTCATTATGCCCAAGCTTCGTGCGTCTGCTATGGCTGCCGCGAAGGCATGCACCGGCGGTAATGACGGGAAATCATGCGGTCTGAAGTGGTCGACGGGTGGATTCGATGGCAGCGTTGGCATCGGCGAGCAGATGGCGGCATTGGAGGTTATCCAGTCGAATCTAATCGATAGCGTGGATCCTCCTGTTACAGAGAAGAACGGTGGAACGAGCAAGGGAAACCCGGGTGCGGGCGTGTCTACGGGTGATGCCATAGGAATGCAACGGGGGATAAAGACGGCAGACAAGGCGGGAGCGTGGATAACCACGATGATCTTGATTGGGGTAATCCTAGGTGGATTCTATTTTTCGGTTTCCTAGTCGCGATAGAGCACATTCTTATATAGGATGTGGCCTTCTCTGTCTCTCCAAAAGGTGAGGCTGGCTGTAGCCAAGTACCAGCATGCGCACGTGGTGTATGGAGGAAGTTCTTTTCAGATGTAATTATACTGGGTACCAGTGAATATCAGCCGTTCTCTCCCTCTAAATCTAACCGCTAACTGCGATACCGGGCAAGAAATACATTTACTTGGAAGCAGTCCTGACCACATGGTTCTCTCAAGAGTCCCGTCAAGCAGGCCGTCGACAGACATGTACACACAAACAATCCCAGAGTCATGAAATCGATACGTTAGAACGGGTTTCAGGTGTGAAGCTCAAGAAAGATATTATTGATAGGATAGCAAGTTAAAGAGAGGGAAGAAGCGGTAAACTGACAATACTTGCCATATGGCATTCATATTAGGCGACAAAATAAGTTACATAAATACTCCGTACATGTAGATATACTAGATACTTGAGCAAATAATCGCTAAGGGTAACTTGCAAAAAGCTCCTCAACCATCCTCAACCATCATTATTATTATTGTATTACCATCACCACTTGGGGATCAAAAAGGAAATAACACATGAAGTGAAACGTCAAAAAATTAAGCAAATCAAGCACATGGTATAATCTTGCTTTGCGTCTGTAAGTATCAAATTGAGTCGAATACGCTGGAGGGGAGAGTCAGCACGGCTAATTTCCCTGATAAGCAAATCCAAGCAATCTTGTTTAAATAACCGCGCAGGAAATGGGGTATATAAGAGCGTATTTTCGTTTGGACGAAGAACTTGCTTTTACACTGCTTGGCCGCCATTTCCGGTGACAGCGGTATCGGCAGATTCTCTATGCAGCTCCTTAGAATGACCACCAGTGTTTGAGCGGGAAGAGTTGTAATAGGTCCAGAGGTTCCAACTCTCCATTGCCGCAGAGCACATAGTACAGAAGCTATTTGCCACATGAGCATACAGTCCAAGAGTATTACACCAATCTACATTAATCCAGGGGACACTTACAAGGCGATGAAGATGAAAGATTGAGACGCATGCTTGATGGCACAACCTTGTCCGGGTGGAGCATTAGCCGAACAGACAGCTCCGGCGCTGTAATCTTGGGATGCAAAGATAAAGGAGGTCAACCAGCTAGACACTACTTTTAGCGAGCCCCTCTACAATAGCTGCGTGGTGTCGAAAACCAGGATACACTTACAGGTAGGAGAAGATGAGATCAATCGGGAACGCGAGCCAGCCGACTGCCGGGGCGAATGGTGAGACGAGGCCTGGCACGAAGAAAGCAACAGACAGCACGGCCTGGTGAAAAGTCAGTTAACTTTTCTCGAAAGTTTTAGGGAATGTGCAGGTCCCAAAGGATAATTTCCAGGCACGAGAGAGTGTTGAACCAAGCGGGAGCAGAAACTTACAATGACTTCCTCATAGATCAAATGCGCTCCTTTTGGACCCTCGTTGATGAGATATGAGACGATTCCCACGATAATCACGGCGCTCGCCCATTGGAGCAGACGCATGAGCAGCAAGCAGCCGCGTATGAGAGAGCCACGTTCCATATCGTATCAACTGTGGTTTCTTGCTAATGAGATATTGACGAAGTTTGAATCGAGATAGGTAACCTAGAGTATGTGGATTTATTGCGGAGAGCCCAGCTCAGCAAAGGCTATTTTGCAAGTTCAATATCGTATGGATTTGAAGGGCGTACAAATAAGGCCACAACACGGGCTATCACCAATTTATATACATCTCACCGTTAAGCAACAGGCCTGCATGTGGCACCTGATGACGGCAGAGGACGAGTTCCAGACGATGCCGTCTTGCCATTATTCGTCAACCTTCCCGCGGACGATCGTCATGTAACTATGTACTGTATGTATACATGCAGCAGAAGCAGAGAACAGGAATTGCAGAAAGCATCCGAAGCAGCCGGCATGTAGCCACTCGAAGCAGATCGGAGACAACGGCCTGTACCAAACGGGGGGGCAACTGGTGAAATTCTCTAGCAAAATGCAGCCTCTCACGTCATTGTTGAAATGGACGGCGCGAAGCCAAACAGTTTGCGGGGATCACGAGCAAAGTGATCGCCGAGAATATACCGGAGATGGCAAAAGCAAGCATTACAGGCAGCATCGGGGAGGGATATCCGGCCTATCCTTGAGCACCTTCGGGTTTAACTCTTCGAGAACGAATACTGCCGTGACTTTGGAACGTGAGGGGATTTGGGAAGCCTGCGCTAACTTGGCGAGTTGACTAGGACAAGATTGGCGCTGAAGGCTGGCTGCTTTTAAATATCGAAGCAAAATTCAACCGTTGAAGTCAACATCGCCGAGCACGCCCGCAGCGGCGCTTGGCATCTTGCGACAGCAGGAAGCGGTTTTCTTTGTTTGTTTGACGTCCTTTTGCCCGGCTAACGCCACCGTCTTAACCAGTGCATCGCACCCCTACCACTCCCGAAGCCTTGGTTCCTGTCAAAAATTTGATATTCATTGTTGGTCTCCGGAATCCACTCTCGAAGGTTCTTGGGGTCCTGCGACTGGCAAGATATCAAAAACAGAAAAGGGCGCCTGGAAGAGAAGAAGACAGCTTCCTCGTTATGATCATCATCATTTTTTAAAACTAGGACCTAGGATTGATTCTTATCATACCAACAGGCAGCACTCAGTCAACATTTGCTCCTCTCGAATCCCATGAGTCAATGATAAGAGTCCACAAGGGTTATCATACCAGGCACCTCCAATATTTACTCCCTGGCGCATAACACTGGGATGTTGCGCAGGTGATCTCACAAGAGGTTCCTAGGTTAGCGTATCTTCCGGCCTTTGGTGAGAGGATTAAATGTCCACATGTTGTGGAGTGAGCCGGTATATTAACCACTTTGAGGCCCTTTCGGTGGCAGGCTTTTTCTAGAACCGCGAGTTAGAAAAGCGTTTCGGATCTTCTCCCCGTCAACGGGGTATCAACGGGGTATCTATAGCACACCCCATTCCTCAATTTTAGCCTTGCCAACCTCTCTGCAGTGTACACTGGAAGGTTCTTCTCTATCTACTAGCCACYTTCGACGTACCCATCTATTCCTTCCTGGCGTCGGGTGCAGTTGTCGGCGTGAAGGATATCTGGATAGACACTATACTAATCCCTACCCAGTATTGCCATCTGTCTGGTCGCTGTGGGCCTAACCGGGTGAAGCCTTATCGGCCCCTTACCCTTCTTGCACCCTCGACCTCTTTGCACTGATTCGTTATTGAGGATACATGACTCACTCTTAGCCTTCAGACCTTCAGAATTCACCTCCGAAATTAACTCCATAGGGGGGAAGTGGCCGCTATGTTCTCTACTGATGGTTCACCTTTGACCGCCAAGGCGATGGCCCAAGCTCTGCTCTTGTTGAAAGCATTCTCTATCTGCGATAGGGCTATTTGCAGCGAAGTTAACATGGCGGATCCCAGTATGCTAACCACTGGCACGCCATCATTATTCGAGCACTGAGCGTTTCTTTTCTCGGTCGCTAAAGCACTCTCGATTGGATTTCATCATTCTTTGATGATCTGATTTTAAGCAAACCGCAGGGCTTAGGACTAATTACTATTGAAGACGGTATTCTCGCCATGGAAGCAGCAAACAAAGGAACAGAGCACTCCACTGCCAAACTTTGACCAACTTCAAATTCACTGCATGGACCTTGCGCTATGCTTGCTCTCTCTCTCTCACACAACACACACACTCTCTCTCTCACAGGGACTCAAAGACAAGGCTGAATAGGGCTAGACAGAGCTGCAAATTATTTCTCATCAAGTTCTCAGGAGAGAAGCATTTGAAGCTACCTTTTACAGTTATCTGTTGTTCGGCTCAACCCTGTCCAGCCTGCCAAATGGACCACGGATATTTCATCAACAATTCACAGTATCAGGGCTTGAAGGGATTCGTGCGAAAAAAAAAGGGCCTATATATGCCTCCTTCCTATGCAAATTTGAGAAGATCTCTGTGTGAAATACTCTGTACTTGCAGTCAAAAGAAGCTCCAGAGTTCCATGTGTAGAGTGGGGAGCGATCGGAAGTGATTGCCGGGAGGGTGCTGCTTTAACCTGTTAACAAGCCAGGTATGGAGTACCGAGTACATCTGTATCCTGCTAGCTGTGGCGTCTGCAGGGATCACCAACTCCTCTCAGGAGGGCGAGACTGTTGTGGATTTGCAGTGACGTTATTTGACATCAGTAGCAAGCTGCGAAGGGGAAAACCGGTTTGCTTGGCACTTGGCTTGTCGGTGATTCTGCTGATTGGAAGCCAGCTGTGTGCTCAAGTGGCTCAAGAGCTTTTGACCTAATAACCATCCAGGCAGTTGGTTTTTTTTCTTTTTTTTTTTTTTTTCCCTCTTTCTTCAGGAACTGTAGCAAGGCAATTCTAATAAGCTAACAAAGAAAATTCTATTATTAATAGTAGACTATCAGATTTTTTCATGGTTCATTGTCCAAGGGGAATAGCTGCTTGAGTGGGAGGGAGATGGTGATTAACGACAATCGCTCCTTTGCGCAACTCTGTACTCTGTACTCCGTAACTACATTAGTGAATGCCGTGATTATAGCGATGGGCGCGCCCTTCTGGTCTCCCAATCCAGGAGCCCTTTCTTGGTCTAAAGGTTAAAAGGGGCTTAATCGCTTTTATGCAGAGCAAATATTATTGATAGGATAAGTTGACTTTGGTCATGAGATCGGATTATCAAGCATCTTTTAAGTCCAACGAGGGGGAGTCGAGACTCCAGATTCGTATCTCGAAACCCATCGCTGGAGGGCGGCGATTGGACACTGATCAGTCAACGTGCCGGCCGACTCCCAGGAAGCACTGTTCATATGGGTGGTTGCTAGTCTTCAGACTGCTTGGAGTGGGGCCAGCATTGCTGCCGTATTCAAATTCTTTGCTGTCAAAGTACTTATACAATAGCCACTGCAGATAGCTAGTTAGGAAAGTATAAAAGCTGCAAAGTACTCGTTACAATTTTTGCGTTTGACACCAGACCGGGATCGTGCAAATGGGAGTCGAGAGGAGAAGCTTCCTGGCTCGCAAGTATCTGGTGTTGATCAGTCCGAAATGCAGGATATACAGCTCCTAGTCACAGAGTCATGCGATCAGTCAATGAGTAAGTCCGGAAAGTCTTTCCACCCCAAGGGAAAAAAAAAAAAAAAAAAAAAAAAGGGCAGTTGATATTATAAATTTAGATTTTTATTCGCTCTTGTCCTGGAGTTGGTTAAAGCAAAGAGGTGCTGCAAGTCATTCTTGGTCAATGGCAAATTTTATGTGTGTGCCAGCTGGGTTGTTACCTTAGGCAGGATACATTCAACGTCCCGTGTATATATGTCCGTTGGTTATATATCTCCTTCCCTGTCTTCCCGAATGCCGGAGTGACGGAAAAGAGCTTCCCATTCCATCCAGTTTGGGGAGTCGAAATCTTGCGACGGAGCATACAAACCGTCGAGCACGCTGCTAGGATCTTGCATCTCGGTCGAAGATTCCACACCCATACCGGAATTTGATACGCTGGATGCGAAAAGAAAAAGTGGCGCAGAATTATTCCCATCTATCAACGCTGAAGAATCACTGACCAAGGGGGATTCGTTCGTGTTTGGCTGATGGCATATGTTATCCCCTAGTTTTTGCTTCGTTGGTAGAATACCAGACCGCCGGGCCCTAAGCGTCTCTATAAACTGGGGCACGCGCATTTCCACGCCAGGAACATGCACTCCTGAGACCTTCTGTTCCCAGGCCTTAAGGACAAGATTCCCAGCAGCCACAATTAATTTATTCTTCACGTCTGTCAAAAACCGCGACCTATTTTCGTAAACTTTCTCGATTTGAAACCATGCTTTATCGACCTCTTCGCCAGACGTGCGATTCCGCAATTCATAAAGCAGAAATATAAAAGCATGCCATTGGAAATGCGCCTCGACATGCCAATAATATCGTCGCACGTTTGGCATGGATTTGGCCAGATTATCGTACTCGAGAATTTTGATAGAATTGGCGAAGAGTGTGTCGCTCTCTTCGCGGTCGAGGGATCGCCCGCCAGGCTTTCCCGGGCACCCTAACATGTAAACCCGGTGTTTCATCATAGAGATGCCACAGCGGCCAACCATCGAAACGATAAAGTGAAAAGGAATGGAGATGTCACAATATTGAAGAAACTTCTGCTCGATCAACTTATCCAAGTCTTCGAGCTCCTGAATCTTTTCGGGAATGGATATCATTGGGTTAGTCAAATGCTGCCATGAGCCATCAAAAGTGTGCTTCGTTCTTGAGTCCCGGAGAAACCGCCCAATAGTATATCGAAGCAGACAGAAGCTCATCTCCGTAATACCATTGTGCTCAACAGGAACCCCTGTCATATTGGGATCCAAGTCGATGTCATTAACATTGAGAGGTAAAGGAATAGGCGGATTGTGGACACCGCCAAGTATCCCAACACCTGAGAGCTCTGCTGAAAAGCCATCAAGCACGACAATCTGCCACCACAATCGGCGACGCATTTCGGTCTCGAACACGGAGAGCTGAAGTGACGCTCCATCATGATGCAGGCCAATACGCTGCGCAATTCGCAGGGCTACTCCGCTGAGTATCCAAAGTGTCTGTGCCTCCATATGAGGTCTCATGGCAAGCTGTTTCACCAAAAGACCAGGAAGTTAGGAATAGATGACGTTCTGGTGGGATATGGTAGAGCGAAAATAGCCGTAGCAAAACTCACGAGATATAACGCAAATGCTTGTAGAACAGTCACATCCGAACTCTTGATAAATTCTGCATTTATCAAAGCCTGCTCTGCTCCAAGCCGATACCTTTGTAGGACAACCTTTCTCGGTTCTCCCAGTAACCCACGAGATTCTTCATCACTCAACGATACCACAGCGCAGAGATATATTGCGAACATCAACGCCTCGAACGGCTTTGGCATATTACCAAGGCTACCGCTTACTTTTAGCACTTGTTGCTGAACGGTTGGAGTGTGGAAGATCTTGGTGAGCGGGTCGACGTTCTCTAGGAACTTTTGCCAGAGAGTAAAGATTTTAACTGGCTCTGGATGCAAATATAGGAGACTCGGGCGGTTTATGGCCGAACCAAAAAGTAATCGGCTCTCATCCGGAGAAAAGCGATCCATCTGCTCTGGCATCAATGCTTCAATTTCGTCCGCGTCATCTTCTCCGCCTTGTGTCGACGAGTCTTCGAGATCGTGGGACGTATGAAGCTATTGGATATAGATCTCATTAGTCAAATCCACCGTCTCTTCGCATCATTTAAGAGCAGTTACACAATGTAGTTAGTTACCTCGTCGCCCACGCTTACCCAAAGCGCACTGTTCAGTGGCAGTCAGTGTCGTCCTATTCCAACATCGACCCGCCTCAATCAAGCAGGTCTTACTTTTCCAAAAACCTTGGTTTCCCATCCACAACAATCAGCCTTCCCAGCTTACTGCCGAGACAGGCGACGTCTTCCGGCCTCGTCTTGCTGGTGTCTTTAGGGGCTTGCGCAGCATCGTGGGAGCTCACCGGCCCATCATCCTTTTCGCCCGGGCCGGTGCCCTCGTTTGCATCGACATTGACTCCCAAATTCTTAAGAATCGCTTCGTACCTGCGGAGGCGCGCACGGAGAATTTCCTCCGGGGACCTCCTTTTGCGCCTCCTCGGCGGGGCCGGGGCGCGATAGACACAGTCCGTTCCCGCCTTGGCACAACCGGAACAGGGCTGTTGGCGGTCACACTTCACTTTTCGCTGCTGGCAAAGCTGGCACGAGTGAAGTCTGGCAGCTGGGGGGGAAGTTGGAGTGGGATGCGGCATTGACATACTCACAGGTGGGCTCGCGTTTGGGAGCAGGTGTTTGGAGTTTTGAAGGTAGAGTACGGAGTACTCCGTAGCTAGTTAACACATTACTTTATTGATAACTAATAGCTATTTGTGCATTGCGACGAAGTAGAAATTAAAAAGGCATTCTAAATACTCCGTACTCCGTATAAATACCCTAGCGCCCTAACTAGTTACTGCGTCGCCTGGAAACTGTTTGCTGATGAGCCCCTTTCTTTTTTTTTTTTTTTTTTTTTTTTTTTTTCCCTCCCCCCATTGCACGGCTGCTCTGTTATTGGCATGATAGATGTAAATGCCCGAATTTCATACTGCTCTGCTGTGTTAAGCAAACAGATAATCATAGGAGAGCTATCAAGCTGATATGGAGTGATCAAAATGCTATATTTGTTGCCATGAATCGGGGCGTATCATGCCATGCACAGCGAAAGTGACATTCTAGTGTCGTCCAAGCACTTCAACACGTCTGGAAGAGATCGCTGACAGAGTTTTGCTCCGGACGATCGCTCAGCGATCCATAAGAATGTCGAGGCTGGAGAGTCAGGCTGCCCGACGGAACACGGGACTTCTTTTAAATTTCAAACCTCTTCACCGGATGTCTCTATTGAACGGGAGTAGTAGGACCTCACACGGGATTTGACTTGTTGTATTCGACAGGACTCTTGATGAATTGGAGTTCTCTATCAAGTTCGTCTATCGCCCCTATTACCTATGACACATCCTATCGCGACATTAAATCCAAGAAAATGACATCCCATCTCGTTTGATACCTGATTGTTGTATGCATTTACATTCTTATTGCTTCTCCTTCCCCTTCACACTCTTCCATTCCACGGCTATCACACCAAGGATAGACGCGCATGCTAAACCCAAAGCCACACGAAATGCATCCGTCAAGGCGTCGTTGTAGATGGCCAATACACGGGTCAGCGTTTCGGGATCTTTAACAACTTTATGGATAGCTGTGGCGCCGATATTGAGTATGATCGACGGGTCCATATCGGGAATTTTCGCGAGGCCCTCAGTAAGTTTATTCGTGAAGATATTCTGCGCAACGGCAACAAATACCGCTCCTCCAAGAGATTGGGCGAAAAATACAAGGGCAACGCCAATCGGAACGTCCTTTTTCGATAGAATCGTCTGCGATGCGACGGCTGCTTGTTGCATGCCTAGCCCTAACCCTAGGCCGTACGCGATTTGGTATCCGATCCATTTTGGGTGGCCTGTTGTCGGGGTAAAAGTGGTGATGAGTCCGGCGCCGATGGACATAAGGACACAACAAAGAAACATGAAGGGGTTATAATAACCCGTGGCAGTGACGAGACCGCCGGCCATGATGCTACCGAGTACGAGAGAGAGGATCAGAGGCAGATTCATAATGCCTGACTTAACGGCGCTAGCTCCTTTGATGGCCTGGAACCAGATGGGGAGGTAGTAGACAAGGACAAGCATGGAACCAGCCACGCAAATCGTGTACCAAAAGCCGGACAGAATGCTTCGTTGAGTGAAGATCCTTGGAGGGACGGTTGCATCCTCCGCGCCCCAAATTTGGATCGCGACAAAGGCACAGATGAGAACAGCGAATACGACGAGCAAGGGAATGACCTTTCCGCTGCTCCAGGGGTAAGTCGATCCTCCCCATTGCAGAGCTAGGAGGAGACACACCATGCTTGGAAGAAAGCAGATGGTGCCGAGCGGGTCTAAGCGCATGATATGCCGGCCAATCGAGGCCTTGTTATCGGCTTTCTTCACATGTGGAAGCTTAAGGAGCAATAGGATGATCACCATTGCAAATCCCCCGATGGGCAAGTTGATGTAAAAGCACCACCTCCATGAGACATTATCAGTAAATGCACCCCCTAACAACGGAGCGACCACCGACGAGATCCCGAAGATTCCGCCCATGAACCCCGTATAGGCAGGTCGCTTCCTTAGCGGGACTGTGTTCACAATAATGACAACTGTTCCTGAAAACATTCCCGCCGACCCTAGTCCAGCAATAGCTCGTCCGACAATAAACGCCGTCGAGGTTGGCGCAGCGCCGCAAATAGTAGAACCAACTTCGAAAAGAACAATGCTGCACACATACACCCATTTAGGATGGTAGAGAGTGTATACCTTGCCGTAGAGTAACTGAAACGAACACGCTGCGATGAGGTAGCTGCTCCCGTACCAGCCAACATCGTTTAGCGAGTGGAAATCATCTGTTATTCGTGGGATGGCCGTTGCAATGATTGTTCGGTCCTATTAAATAAATGAGCATTTGAATAAGCGATGGCTTTGTGAGCTAAGAAGCTAAAAGCATACCAATGCGACGAGAAATACACCGAGATACAAGGCAGCCATAATAGGGATGACGGTCGCTAGTCCTGGGTACTGAGAGTCATCAGGCTGCGTAGGAGTAGACTCCTCAACGCCGTCTTTCTCCATGTCGGTAGACGACTTTTGGCTATCGTTTTCTGACAAGTCTTGAGTAGAAAAATTTAAAATCAACACAGAAGGTATTATATGAATCAAGAAAAATAGAGGCCTCCCTACTCCCGGCTTTGGAATGGGAACGAGAGGGAAGTGGAATGAAAAAGCAAAGGCAATCCATGATGACCCGGATATATGTTTGTATACGTATATATATGCTTTTCATCACTGGCAGATACAAACTGCTCCGAGATTTTTATATTTTGCTGCGATCAATGCGCAGTCGGGGGTGGAGAGTCAAGTCTCGGGGCCGAGACCAGCATTGATGCCCCCGACAGGCCACGGACGGCACGAAAGACATTTCCGGAAATGGGGAAAAAAAAAAAAAAAAAAAAAAAGGGTTGTCGTCAATAAATACGAAAAGCAATTTAGAAGTAGAGTAACTGGCTAGTTACTCTCTATAGATAAAGATTTTCGATCGGTCATGCAACCGTAGCACGAGTTCGAAGTTAACAAAGGCTCTCCGTAGCAAAAGCTCGGCTTGGCTTGGGGCTTTTAAGTATAAGGCTGAGGCCGGGTACGGTGACGTTCTCCCGCCGACTGCTGGACACTTTCATCGGCCTGGACCGGGTCAGTGTCAGGCCGCATCTCGAGACTCGGTCGGCTTGCACAGAGACTCAGCAGCTCACCAGATCCATGAATCTTCCTCCCGGCGGATTACTAACAAGCAGCGATTACTAACTAACTAACTTACGCAGGCCGGAAAAGCGGCTGGAAATCATGCGGCCCGCGCCAATGACGTCGACACCGACATCTGGAATTCAATGTTGCGTGTGTTGGGTGCTTTTGATGCTCTTCCTCCTCCCCATCCAACCTATATAAGCTCTTCGCCCTCTCTGCCTCGATAATGGCCCTTGTGAACAGCGGAAACATTAGCCTCTTCGTTCGATTGCTCCCACTCACAGCCTCGACTCTTCTCGTCTTGCTTCTTATCCTCGATTACCCTCCTGATCTAACTACTCCGTTCGTCAGTGCCGTCCGGTCGCTTGTGCTTCGTGCTAAAGACAATGTCTAAGCTAATTGTCGTGTTTGGGGCGACGGGGAACCAAGGTGGCTCGGTGGTGGATGCTATTTTGCAGGATCCAGTGTTGAGCAAGGAGTTCAGGATCCGGGGCATCACTCGCGATGTCACCAAGCCCGCAGCCAAGGCGTTGGAGAGCAAGGGCGTAGAGGTGAAAACCGTATGCACTCTCCTCCCAATCACAGTTCCACCGTCTTCACACCCAGCTGACCAGATGGACATAGGCAAACATGGACTCTCCGGCATCCGTCGGTGATGCCGTGGCCGGAGCCCATACCGTCTTCCTAGTGACAAGTTATTGGGAATCATTAGACGCAGAAACAGAGTATAATCAGGGCAAAAATGTAGCAACCGCTGCAAAAGAAGCGAATGTCTCTCATCTCATCTTCTCTTCACTCTATCATATCATGGACGCCAGTGCCGGCGCACTCCTACACTGTCCACACTTCGACACAAAAGCCAACATTGAGGTATACATTCGGGAACTCCAAATTCCCGCCACGTTTGTCCTACCGGGGTACTTCATGTCCAACTTTTTGAGTACACTTCTCAAGGGAGAAGACGGGATGTATACCCTCATGCTACCGATAACGGACAAGGCTCAGTTCCCTCTCTTCGATGTTGCTGACACCGGTGAGTCACGCCCGTATTAACAAATACACCAACAGCGTTGGCTGACGTTCCCTTTTTCCAACAAAAGGCAAATACGTTTTGACCGCGATAAAGCACCGCGACTCCCTCCTCGGCAAGCAGATCCTCGAAGCTGTCGATTACTACTCTCCGGATCGCATCGTGGAGGAGTTCGAGCAAGTCACCGGGCACAAAGCCAAGTTCTTGACCATCGATGCCGATGATTACATGAAATTTCTCCCGCCAGCAGTTGCCAAGGAGATGCTCCAGACGCACCAATTGCTGGAAAACCCAGGGTACTATGCCGGAGCAACCTTGGAGGAGAGCTTGAAGCTGGTTGAGCAGAAGCCGACGACGTGGAAGGAGTATGTGGCAAAGAGGAGCGAATGGAAATGATAACTTGCTGCTAGTTGATGATAAAAATTCTTCAGATCAGACTGAAGGACTGAGCTGAGTTTGGGCATGATTTTGTGAGCCGATGCGCAGGGATCTGGAGGAAGTAATATGACATTATCTCTGATTTTATTCATTCATTAGTACCTTAGAATCACACCAAACCAATACGTTCAGCGCTTGAAGCTCTCAGAACATCAGCCCTGCTGTACTAATTGCATCTGGCCTGGGAATTGCATACCTGGAACAGCCCCATATGCTAATCGTCATTGACATACTTGTCAAACACATCCCCATAGAACTTCTTTCCCACATCCCGATGGCTTCTAATTTTCGTTCGCAGCTGAGACTCGCCCCACGTATCATATTTGCCCCTTAAAAATGCCGAATCAATGTCTTTTGCTTCGACGGATTCCCCGCCGGCAGCAAACCTGCTGAAATGCTCCTTAAGCGTTTCCACAGCTTCCGTTTTGGTGAGATTCCGCCTAACACCCTGGAAGAAGGGGACACTATATCTATCCTTGTACCCAGACATAAGCACCCGGTGCGTCGTGGCTTTGCAGACACCGTTGGTCACAACCTCAAAGGCCTGGCCGATGTTTACGACAAACGTCCCCGGTATGACAGGAACATCGATCCAGTCGCCATTCTTATTGAGTGCTTGCAGGCCTTTTATTTCGGGCGGCGAAGCTTGCAGGAGAAATGTCCACCAGCCAGATGAATCTTTGTGAGGACCTACTCCTTGTGTTATGGTTCCCGATGAGGGTGAATTCGATGCACCTGGGTAGTGCACAAGCTTCAAGCGATGCTGATCTGAGAGAAAGTGGAAGAATGTTTCTTGTGGGAGGGAGAGGGCCTCTGCGACAAGTCGAAGAAACCGCTCGCCAAGAGCTGTGAGTTCTTGAATGTATGATGTGACAGCGGGTCGGAGTGGCGGCAGCTGGGGAGGCCACTTTCAAAAGTGAGAAAACACAAAGAAATACTCTCCATAAACAGGGTGAAGCAAATCGTACCTGGTTTGGGCCCCTTAGTCTCTCATAAAGTGGTGCGTCTTTTGATTCCACGGCCAACAATTCCGTCGCAAACTCAGCCTGTTCGCGCTTGTCTGCCTTCCCACCAGTGGTTTCCGAACCAACGCTGGAATACCCCAGGAAGTGGGGGGAATTTCGCAAAGCGATCTCTTCTTTCGCGGACTCCGGAAGATCAAAGAGCTCTGGAAGTACGTTGACAAGATCATTGATCACTTTTTCCGGGACTCCATGGTTTGAAATGTACAAGAATCCCACAGAGATTAGCGCATAGCGCAGTTGCTCAAACAGAACTGGACGAGTAAGCGGGTCCTTTGCCAGGGAGAGATCTATCAATGGGATCTCTGTAAATGCGTGAGTTGAGCCCATAGTAACGACAGACTAGGTGGAGAAAGGACTATGATCAAAGAAGATTGATCGTAGATGCTCCCTCACAGGTCAACGGAGAATGGACTGGTCTCTGGCTTTCAGGCCTGAGGACAAAGTAGGATCAAAATATGTGACTGTTTAAGCACTCAGTTCGACAACAGCCTGGGTATGAGGTGCTCTTCTCCGTATAACTACCATCTTTCGGCGATGGAAGGGCGGAAATAATGGCCCAGACATCTCGGCGATTCGGGTATGAACTTTCACCTCGTTAAAACGACCATGACCCATAAACCTTCCACTCATGCCAGCCAGCTAAACACAGAGTACAATAACTGAATGCTACGCTGCTCAACGGGGTAGTTCCTCTTTGGATCTTGATATTAAAATTAGATATTCGCTAGAAGACCGACCATCCCGAAGTGACGGAGGAGGAGAAAATTACATCTTTCATCGACTTTGCCCGAAATGGTGGGCTTCAAATTTAACGAATTAAGGTAGTTCACCACTCAACGAGCCAAACCACTCAACGAGCCAAATTTTCGCACCATCAAATTTCTTCAACGCTCAACTTCATTATGCAATAGCATGGTCAACAACGAAGCAATTAAGCTTGCAATTGAAGATCTTGAATCGCAAGAGACTCCAAATTACAGTGCGACCGCGAAAAAATATTCACTCAGCCGAGAGACCCTGCGCCGGCGGCATCAAGGCCTACAAGTTGATTGCCATGAAGCAACCTCCAGACATAAGAAGAAGCTCACCAATATACAGGAGGATGAGCTCCTAGAGTATATAAACAAGCTCTGCAACCGCGGCCTTGCTCCTACGCCTCAAATCCTTTGAAATATCGTGCAAGAGATGACGGGAGAGGACATGGGAATCAACTGGGTGACATGGTTTCGTGAGCGCCACAAGGACAAGATCAAGACTGTTTATCTCAAGCTGCTTGACAAGAATAGACAGGTAGCAGATAATTACCACTGCTTTCAGCACTTCTATAGCCTTGTAATTTGATGCTTTTTTTTGCTTCTTTGCAAGTGCAGTTGTTGAATTTGGCTAACTTGTTGAGTGCTTGCACTGCTGCATTTAGTTGAGCAAGAAAATCAGCCAGTATAATATTACACCGGAAAACACATACAACTTTGATGAAAAAGGATTCCTCCTAGGCTCCTGTCATGCCTTGAAGTGCCTTGTCTCTATTAAAGCCCTACAAGCTGGTAAAAGTGTTGCAACTCAGGATGGAAGCTGGGAATTCCTCTCACTGCTCTGTTCAGTCTCTGCAGATGGGATTGCATTACCTCCAGCTCTTATTTATCAGGGTGAATCCAGAGATCTTCAGGATACGTGGCTGGATGATTTTGATGGAAGTGAATATGCCTACTTTGCAGCCTCAGTGAACGGCTGGAGCAATGATGAATATGGCCTGGAGTGGTTGCAACGGGTTTTTAATCCGCATACAAAGGCAAAAGCAGGTAGGGCAAGACGTCTGCTTCTACTAGATGGGCATTCTTCCCATATAAATATGAAATTTATTGAATATGCAAACCGCGAAAGGATCCTGCTGTTGATCCTTCCACCGCACTCTACCCACCGTTTGCAGCCTCTTGATGTTGGTGTTTTTGGGCCGCTGGGCAAGGCGTATTCCAGCGAGCTGGAATCCCTACTACACCGTGGACTGGGCTATATTCGAATGACAAAAAGGGATTTCTGGAGACTATTCAATGCAGCATGGAAGAAGGCTTTGATGGGTGACAATATACGTGCTGGCTTTGCAAAGACTGGCATTTATTCCCTGGATCCCCAGTGTCAACTAAGCCGATTTGAAACTGCTGATCAACAAGGCCCTGCACCACTAGTTGAGCCTTCCATCCCTACAAATATACAGGAGCTTCGTCAAGAGGTTAAGGGTATTTGTCTTCGGCACAGCTTAAATTTGCAGAGTATTGGACGGGTTATCAAAGCCAGCAAGCAATTTGCAATACGAAATGAACTGCTAGAGCATGAAAATCGGGCTCTAAAATTGACTATCGTGATGGAGAAACAGCGCCGCAAGCGAGGCAAGCCCCTAGGCCTACTTGATCGCGATAATCCGAGCCAGGCCCAGTTCTGGAGTCCTACAAAAGTTCTGCAGGCTCGGGAACGCCGGGATGAAATAGAGGCTGAGAAAGCTCACAAAATTGCTCAAACACAAGAGGCAAAGCTTCAATGGGAGCTCCAAAGAGAGCAGGCAGCTAGGGAGGCTGAAGAAAAACGGATTGAACGAGAGACTGCCTGTATGAAGGCCCGCGAGCAACAAGAGGCTGAAAAGCTTGAACGTGCTATACAACAAGAGGCCCAGCGTGTTGCCCGTGAGGAGAAAAAGGCTTTACAACAAGCAGAGAAGGAGAGACAGGCTGTTGAACGTGCTAGTAAACACCGGCAGTCAGAGCTTCAAGCGCCGGCTTCAAAGCGCCGTCGGCAGGGCCTCCCTACAAAAGAACCTCATCGCGGCAAGCCTATACAATCTTCCCAAAGCAGTAGTAAGAGCTTTACTAGCCTCCCTAACAAGCCTTTAGGCTCTCTAGCTGAGAAATCTACTGCTGACATTCCTTTACAATCTTTCCTATCCACCCCCCGTATCTCTCGCTCTGGCCGCAATATCAGGCCGTCCACACGTTTATTTTCATAGCCACACTAATTTCTATGCTTTAAAGAACACACTCATTTAATATTTAATAGCTAGTTTAATAATAATAATTCGTTGTTGAGATAATTAATAAATTCGTAGCGTGGAGCATTGGAAGGAATTTGGCTCGTTGAGTGGTTTGGCTCGTTGAGTGGTGAGCCACCTTACATAATCAGGATGACCAGCAGGGCAGACAAACAAAGAAAACAAAGCATGGAAGCCACTTTTACAGCTTTGTACCCATGTTGACATGCACAGCCTTGGTCTGCGAGTATGCCTCCAGGCCGGCCTCGCCGAGCTCTCTTCCAATACCGCTCTGCTTGACACCACCAAACGGAACCCGGAAGTCGCTATCATTGCTGCTGTTGATCCAGACCATGCCTGCTTCGATCTCAGCGGCAACGCGGTGAGCACGCTCGATATCGCGAGTGAACACTGCGGCACCCAGGCCGTATGTCGTGTCATTTGCTTTGCTCAGGGCCTCCTCTTCAGTCGAGAACTTCGCAATGACGACGAAAGGGCCAAAGACTTCTTCGCGGTAGATTTTCATGTTATCGTTCACGTTGGTGAAAATGGTCGGCTCGATGAAGAAACCTTTGCCATCGCCGACATTCTTGTGTGGAACACCGCCAGATTCCAGCTTGGCACCTTCAGACTTACCGCTCTCGATGTACGAAAGGACTCTGTCATACTGTGCCTTTGTAACTTGGGGACCTTGGAAGGTGTCATCCGCGAATGGGTCGCCCACCTTGCTGGTTGAGGCGACAACCTCCTTAAATTGGGCAACGAATTTGTCATAGACGGTGTCCTGCACCAGTATCCGGGATGTCGCCGTGCAAATCTGACCCATGTTCGACATGATACCGATATGCGCCCATTTGGCAGCCTGTTCCAGATCTGCGTCTCCAAAGACGAGAAGGGGGGACTTTCCTCCGGTTTCCAAAGTGATATTCTTCATATTCACAGCGGCCATCTTCATAATCTGTCTTCCAGTTGCCGTGGAGCCGGTGAACGCAATCTTGTCGATGTCCAAGTGAGACGCGATGGCTGCACCGGCGTCTTTACCAAAGCCGTTGAGGATGTTCACAACGCCCGGAGGGAAGCCAGCTTCCTTGATCAGGTTCGCGAAGTAAAGAATACTTAGCGGCGTCTGTTCTGCAGGCTTGAGCACCACAGTGTTACCGCAGGCCAAGGCGGGCCCAAGCTTCCATGCAGCCATTGCCAATGGATAGTTCCACGGGATGATCTGGCCGACAACACCGATCGGTTGGCGTAGGGTGTAAGCGAACTTGGCGGGGGATGTGCTGATTGTGCTACCGTAGACCTTATCTGCAAAGCCACCGTAGAATCGTAATGTCTCGGCGACTTCGACGCAGTCCTCGCTGACGGCGACTGAATATGGTTTGCCTAGTACAACCGAGACCGGTAAGCCTTGTTGTACATATCACCAGGTGTAGGGGAGAGGGAGGGGCAACAGTCTAACCATTGTCCCAAGCTTCAATCGTGGCAAGGGTCTCGATGTGCTGCTCGACCAATTCCGCAAGCTTTACCATGAGCTTTCCACGGTCAGTGGGAGGCAATTCCTTCCACGAAGGATCTTTCAGCGCTTTTTTGGCGGCCTTAACTGCGATATCGACGTCCTCGGCACCGGCGGCATGTACCGACGCGATTTCGGCCTCATTCCTATGACAGTCATTAGGACAGCTCCGGCGAGGCTTGCGAGCGGGATTTGCTCGACTCACGTAGGATTAATTGAGGTGATTTTCTGTCCCGATTTGGCGGCAACGAATTCATTGTTGATGAACAAGCCCAATGGCTGGGTGTACTTGCGCCCGTTGGGGGCTGTAAGCTCGGTAAAAAGATCCGACATTTCGGAGGAGCTTGAATAATGCTGTGTCCGGATGATCGATTGGATTGCAGCTCTTGAAGGTACGGACGATGAGGATAGGCTTGACTGCTTTATATACGGCAGGAAGACTGGGGATAGTCTTCGAGCATGCAATCTGAAGCCGACCATATATGCAGAGGTCCCTTGTCCTCCGTTCTGACCTTGTCCTCCAGTGCTGATAAATCCAAACCCACCCAAAAACGGGCAAAATAGTTATAGCGGAACGGGAGCGTTCGTTGCCCCTCCACCCGGCGTAACCCCGCCCGGCGACCCGGGCCTGTCGGAAGCGGCTGCCCCCTGTGGTTTAGCGTCGTCGCGCCGAACGCGCACACCACCCACCACCGCAGGACACCCTCTGGCAAGCATTGCCCGAACGAGAGAATCTTTCCCCCCCCCTTCCTAACCGCCCAAGACCCCTTCGCCACCCCGTGGGCCTGGGACACTGCTGGGCTCCAGGGACCGCAGCCTGAAATCTTGCACCGTCAAACCAGGCATCGAACAGATATCGTCCCAGACAGTCCCATACCCTAAAAGGATGGCTCCGCCTTCACCAAAGAATAAAACACGCTCACGCAGTGCTATAGTTGTAAATGAAACAGCCGCATCTACGCGTCCAAGGCGCGTTGCTAAGAACATCATAAAGGAGGTTGGGGAGTCTGTTGCCCAGCGCTCTGCAACAAGATGTACGTTGCTATCAAAAGAATAACTAAATAGTTACGTCTAGTTAACTATGATGCTTTGGACAAAAACTGATACTTCACTTATAGCTGCAAATGAGGCCAAGACGACTGACACCCGCAAGGCTACAGGCAACAAAGGCAAGGTGGACCGACTGCCTAAGAGAAAGGCTGGGAAAGAGGCTTCAGAACAAACCACATCCGATAACAATGCTCGCAAGCGTACGAAGACAGCCAACACGGAGCCCAATGGAAAGCATGAAGATGAAGCCAACCCCAAGGTCAACCACGAAGAGGCTCGAGAGGTCGATGTAGATGACAAAGGCGCCGGCAAGTCCTATTGGCTTATGAAGGCCGAGCCTGAGTCGCGATTTGAAAAAGGTGTCGATGTTAAGTTTTCAATTGATGATCTACGCGAAGCAAAAGAGCCCGAGGCTTGGGATGGTGAGTCTCTCCTGCTAAAATGATAATGTCCCACCTACAGCTGCGGGTCTCTAACTCCGTCTTCTCTCGCAGGTGTTCGCAATGCAGCAGGTGAGTGTACTGTGATTTGTAACATTGGATGATCTGATATGGAAGGTAATTTAACCGCTTTTCAGCACGAAACCATATGCGCGCCATGAAAAAAGGCGATCTGGCCTTTTTCTACCACTCAAATTGCAAAGTACCAGGCATTGCTGGCACAATGGAAATTGTTAGAGAGCATTCTGTGGATGGTATAATATTCAAGTTTTTCCATGTGCAAGCATCAATGGACGCTGACTTTGGTGGTTAGAATCTGCTTTTGACCCAGCTCATCCTTATTACGACGCAAAGTCTAGCCGGGATAACCCAAAATGGGAAGTCGTGCATGTCGAGTTTAGGAGCAAGTTCCAAAACCTCGTCACGCTGGCCGAGCTAAAGTCCTTAGCAAAGCCCGGTGATGCGCTAGAGAATCTCCAGATGTTGAAGCAATCCCGCCTAAGCGTATCTCCGGTGAGGCCCGAGGAGTGGTGGTTCATCATGAGTTTGGCTGAAGAGCAGGATATTAAGATATGAAGACTAGTGTGAGGACAACGTCAATGAAAACGAGGAAAAGGGAAATGGCTGGAAGGTCCTGGAGCCGCTCAGCCATCCTAATCGGCGGGGACATATGTCCTTTTTCTTTGCACTCGTCTTGTGTACTCTATCCGCAAGGGCGTTTGAAGGGCGTTAGCAGGGATTTCCGTGCCTTTACAGCTTTATTCCGGGTCATTCTGCAAGCTTAGGACAGGTCATTTCATCATGTCGCAGATTTACATCGGCAATTGGATTGTCGTATTTTGTTTTACCCCCCCCTTTACGAACGGTTTCATCAGGCGTTTCTGTGATGCCATGGGTTCGACGAATTGGGCGATGACTCTTCCAATCGCTATTCTTTCTTAGGGCGAAGCGCGTACATCATCACCGGATATAGTCCCAGCCGCTTAGGGAAGCCCAGCTGCTCCTCAGATCGCACGACTTCATATCCCGCCCGAGCAAACAATTTCCTAAAGTTTGGCTCTGCCCGTGTAACAGAGCTATCCGTATCATCATAAAAATCTTCATATGGATTCGAATTGATATTCTCTTTCACCACAATCAAGCCCGCGTCCGAGAGCGCATCGCGGCACCGGTCAAGGTACTCTACCAACTGTGCATCCGTCAGATGCAGCAGGCACCACTGGTTCCAAATCAAATCGTATTTCTTCGTCGGGACCCAATCCTGCAATCCTACCACATATATATCGCCAACCTTCCCTTCTTGCTTTAATTTCCCATCGCGAATAACCTTTGCAAATTTTTCCACCGGCTCGACAACGTCCACCATATCACATTGTTTACTCAGAAAACCGTCGGTGATGCGGCCGATACCAGCACCGCAATCGACAGCTAATTGGAGTGGCTTGGATTCCATGGAGGGAATTGATCGACGGACCTTTGCAAGAAAACTTTTCGACCCGCGCAGGTCGATCTGAGAGAGCTGGGGGTAGCCGCCGAGGATACCATTGAGGTCCGGGGTGACTGATGACCAGTAGTTGATGGCTGCCTCGTGGTCAATGTGAGAGTCCGGCGGGGAGTTGGCGGTGTCTTCTGCCATGGTGTCGTTGTTCCAGGGGAATTCAAGCAGTCGGAATCAACGACGCAGTGTTTCAGTGATTCATTGACTTTGAATCGAGCGAGGTTTGTTTAACGGTGAACGTTTGTGAGTCGCAGCGAAATGCCAAGAATCATTCCCCAACCGGCCTCCTCATTGGTGGCTCTTTAGTTACTCCCAGGCTGCCCCAAGCAACCCGAAAGTTCGAGTTCCCATTGTACCAGGTTTAAATGTTGGGGAAACCCTTCCACTTATATAAATATGTGCTCTAGTTTTGTCTCTATCGCTGTTATGATTGGCAAAACTCCCTGTCTCATTGATACCATCCCGCGAGGAGACGATGTTGATATTAAGTTGATATTAACACCGGGGTACGGAGTACTCCGTACGTAGAAATGCATTCGAGATTGATGGCCTATTGGCTATGCCTATGGGAATTTCAAAGCTTCAATCCTTGACCAGCAGGGGTCACACCGGCATTCCGCTACTTTCCTAACAATCCACTGGTTGAAATCTACTTCTCCGTCCCCGACAACTGCCTGTATCTATCTTACTATAACAAGAGCTTCTTATCCAATCCATGGCAAAGGCCAAACAGGAATCTCTTCGCAAGCTTCCCCGTTTCAGCTAATTCAGGGAGATCTAGCCTCTGTTTTGCACGCAGTTCATCAATCAACTTCTTATCGAGATCCGAAAGGCCAGCGAGTTCTGAGTAGAGGCCATGCAGGTCGGCCGTAAATAGTGATATGCCAAATGCTTCGCAGGAAGGGACGAACCTCGCAAACTGCCAATCGATGATCCCAGTGATATTGTAGTTCTCATCGACGAGCAAGCGACCCCCTGTGTCATCGACATGCTTAAGATAGAAAGTCCTGGGCGCCTGCTTGGTGCACATAGCGGCGAAAAGCCGGCTAAAAACATGATAGAAGACGAACGCTTCTTTAGGGTAATCGGAGTAGACTTACCTATCGGCAATCAAATCAAGGTACTGATCTGCGATGCTTTTGAAATATTGCAAAGCATCGTCAAATGGGCCGTATCTATCCAGGACAAGAAAACCGTTACTCGCAATGGCTGAGATTTCAGGTTTTTCATTCCTCCAAGCGAGGGATCCCGCTTTCGATAATGGATGCTTGCCTAGCTCGATCATGAAACCTGCGACTTGACTGATCACATAATACTTTTGCTCGGCCGTTGCGTCGATCTCACGCTCCAAGTACGACTTTCCCGGAAAACATTCCATCAACATAGCTTATGCCGACATTGTTCGCCGGAACCCAAAGCCAACTGAAACCCAAATGCTCTTGGCGAAGGAACATTCGTGGACTCGAGAAATTTCAACGTTGTATATTCGCTCTCAACAAAATACTCAATTAACGCAGCCGGCACATCACAAAAATCAATCCTGGGTATCCGAACAATCCCTTGGCGTTATCATCAAATACAAGATATGTATAGTAGTTGGCAGAGCCTATCATGGCGCCTTTGGCGAGGTGGCCCTCTATACAGAATGTGCATGTTTTCCCAGAATTCAGCTCACCAGGGCGTTTAGTGAACTAGTGAGCTCGTCCACGGTGATCAGGGACAATAATTCTGATACCTCATCATTTCATCCTTTCTGTCAGGTTTCTTCATCCAGCCACAACTCAGGATCATTATCAGTCTGCTAATTATTTCCAAAAGCAGGGAACATACCTCCGCAACAGAAGGACATGTGTAGTATTGTTGACGCCCATGCACAGCACAGAGATGGCGCCTCCACACTGAGCAGCTATCACCCCGAGTTGCTAGCTCTTCGCAATTGGAGAATAAGTATGTCACTCGGCGTGTTTCCTTTGCACCATATGCTGTTTGCTAGGTCTTTTCGGGGTGAGGGAATGTATGGTGGGATGTAAGGCTTAATGCACAGCAAGAGCAATAGAGAGAGAGTTGTCAGTACAGGTCAAGAATCCTTATCTGTGTGCTCCGTGCTGGCGTAGTTTTCATGGGCGATGGAGGAGATGGGGTGTTTTAAAACATTGCTCCGTGTGTGTTCAATGTACAGGGTGCTGCCTAATAATTCCAATGTAAACATTTGATCTCTCCTCTTTGCGGCACATCAGCTCACATCCCTGTTTGGTTGTTGAGACTGACAGCCGGAAACACCAATGCCATTGGTAAGATCGAGCTCGAGCATGGGATTGGTTTCAACATGTTTATGGAGTACTCCATACATATGATATTCGAGTGTTCCAGGTCGATTTTGGCGGCGCATTCATCGCTTATCAGAGATGGAGTTAACGAAGCCCTTCCCAGGCGTCATGGGTAACCAATTATGTATGAGGTTACGGAGTTTGCTACTCCTTGCTCCGTACTCTGGATAGAGTAACTAGTCCAGAGTTCTCCGTACGAAGTTGTCAACGAGGTGGTAAGGCCATGAGACCTACCAGGCGGTTGGGCTGGTCGAACCATCTCCTTATGTGTGGCAGGAAGAGAGAGCTCCTGCCCACAGAGCTTCAAACGTGCCGTATAGTTATAGTAAGCCACCTGATCATCCCAAAGAAACCCCAAGGTTTGGCGATTCACTTCATCATCAACATATAGGTTCTGTAATGAGCCTGTTCACTCATTCCAAATACCGGGAAAAAAAAAAAAGAAACTCGATATTGCAGGCAAATGATGTGAGGGAACGCGCCCTGTGATCCATGTCTCCATAAACCTTCATCGACTCCGAAGATGGAGCGTCCAAGCGTTGCATATGTAGACGCACTAGGCAGGTTGGCTCCTCTATAGAGGAATGCTGCAAGGTGCAAAGGAGAAGAGACATCAGAAGGCGTGCTGAGCCCACCTTTGCAGTAACTCATAGGATACCGGCCGAGTTGTGGCATTTTCCTAAAGTAGTTGTCTGAGGAGTTGACGACTTGCAGCAACGCAGATCAACTCGCTAACTAACTAGGTGGAGGTGCCATGTGGTTCTTCTATTTTATTTTTTCTTTTCCCTCTCCAGAAAAAGCCATGCTCAGCAACACGAAATTTGTGATGTCACCATCGGAATATTTGACCAAAGAGGCTGTTTCTGGATGGGAACACCAGCGGCAGCGCGAAACTCGCGAATAGGTGAGCTTTTCTTTATTCAACGGTTGTGCTCCGTCAGGTGGGCACGTTGTTCCACCTTCCCCTGATCTAGACGAGAGAAGCCTCGTCAGGTGAGGGTGGTGGTCATACACAACATAACTTGGTGTCGATTGTCGCCCTGTTGATTCAAAACTGCCAGACATGAACCCGTCGAGCGAACCCGTCGAGCGGTAATCTTGAGTATTGGACTGCGATAATAATTTATCCCGTGGTTGCACAAGAGAGGGGGGTTTTTTGGAATTTTTTCTCCACAAGAGTTTGTTCGCGTGGGGAATCTTGGCGACGCAGAGTTGAACCCAAATGATCCCTCCAAGGCGTGCTGCACTCCGGCCCGGTGTTAAAAATTGGCCCCCGGAAGGGTTGTTTTCACAGGCTTGCGGAAAATATCCAATTGGTCGGGTGATGACTCGGTCCTCCGTGGTGCCGACCAATGGCAAAAGCGATCATAACGTGAGGTTCCGCATTATCCAATTCGATACTTGTGATGAAGCGGTTAATATCTTTCGAATGGGAGCGGGAAACCCGGCACAATGTGACAACCCTTGGACCTTGATTCATTTCCAGCCTGAAAGAAATAAGTATGTATGGAACAATCCGCAGCCGACTCCACACTAGTAGCAAAGAACGTGCTTGTGTCGGCATGTCTGGAATACAGAATCTCGCTAGCTATGTCCTCCGGCACGTCTGTCTCATGACATGCAGACAATTTTGGGGAATTAGGAACCATAAATACATACATGGCTTCAAGATCCCGGGTTCTACGGAGAAAGTGTGAGTGTTACGGCCCCGATTTGCGCATTTCCAGGGCGCAAATGTTGGACATTAGCCAACTATTTGTAACAAGTGAACTGGCCGCCGCCCATGACTCCACAGTTGGGGAAAGGGAGGCGATTGGGGAAATTTTGGAGTAAAAACAGCTTAACGTCGTCCACAAAGATAGCTGGTTATTAATTAGTAATTGGCCCGGCGACCTGCTGTGAAATCACGTCGTTTATAAACACATCCTCGTGAGTTAATCAGCTGTTAGATCTGGTTCTCACCGCTTGTGTATCGCGCATAGAATCAAAGGGGATGTATTGGGCGTTGACATGGAAGATCATATAGTTTTGAAAAATGGCGCTGGGCAAGATGCGATCGCATCAGGAGCCGAGCCCGGTATAGAACCGTCACAATCTCAGCAGCAATCGCCAATCAGCAAAGGCTCTAATACAACACTTGTCGATGCCTCAGGGGGGAGTGATGCATGCGACTCAAAATCACCAACCCCGGTTCAGGTATCAGGCCAGGAAATTGAATACCTCTTTCTCAATTTCAGCACTCATCTCCCAGCCCCCTCGGCTTTGCCTGGCTCGCGTTCCGATAAGCCGGCTTTACCAGAGCCTCCGGATTTAAAGCCCTACACATCACCGTTCGAATGGCCGAACACTCGCAAATATGTGATTACAATGCTGGCATGCACTGTCACCGTGCTAAGTGCCGCCGCTGCGGGATGTTATAGTCCTCCCGAGGCCGAACTCACTGTAGCTTGGGGGATTAGTGGCGTGGTATACAATATTGGTATTACCATCTTCACGTTTGGTTTTGCAATTGCACCGATGGTTTCGGCCCCCTTCTCGGAGATCAATGGACGAAGGCCAATGTTTATAGCTAGCGGGATATTGTTCGTTGGTCAGTTACTTTCGTCTTGCGATGGCATTGACGGAGCCCGCGTGGATGCTAATTTGAGCCGCGATAGTTTGCCAAATCGGGTGTGGTGTCACCAGATCTTTTCCTGGTATGATTCTTGCTCGGTTCTTCTTGGGTGTCGGGGGCTGTATGTTGAAAAATCTTCTTCTCAACCATCACGCATTGACCTGAGAGTCTAACTGATACAGCAACCTTTTCAACAATCGTCGGCGGAATTATAAGTGACATATATCATACCAAGGACCGCAACACTCCAATGGCTCTCTTTTCCACCGCGGCACTGTTTGGAACCGGGTTAGGTCCTCTAGTAGCTGGTGTGATTGTGAAGCACACATCATGGCGTTGGGTGTACTACGCGCAGGCCATAGAGGCGGCCGTGATCCTGGTTGCTATAATTTTATTTTTCAAAGAGACCCGAGGCAGTGTGTTGTTGAGCCGCAAAGCAAAGGTACTCAATAAATGGTATGAGGAGCTGGAGAACGCGGGTTGTCCTGGCCTGGACATTCCGGTTTCTGAAGACAGCGAAAAGAAGCGATGTCAGCGAATACGCTGGAAGGTGAAAAGCGATGAGGAAAGGGAGTCGCTCTTGAATATGCTCAGCATATCATTATATCGGCCATTCCGTAAGTTAATTTTTTTGTCCTGACACAGCCTGTCATTTACTCTTGCAACTTTTGCTAACGGATTCACGGAAGACCTCCTGGTTACCGAGCCAGTCGTCTTCTTCTTCTCCCTCTGGGTTTCGTTCAGTTGGGCCGTGCTGTACCTACAGTTTGGTTCGATACCGCTCGTCTTCCAGAACAATCATGGATTCGATATTGCACAATCTAGCGCGGTATTCACATGTAAGTTCACCATCCTTTGCGTTCTATTACAAATTGAGGGTCTTCAAGGAGAGCGTAATTGACTTACATGCTTAGCAATATCCGTCGGCGCGATTATCGCATTTTTCATCAGTACCGGGCAGGAGAAGATCGCGAAAAAACTTGGGATGATGCCAACAACTCCAGAAGGCCGATTATATTTTGTCTGTGTCGAATCCATCCTCATGCCAGCGGGTATGTTCTGGTTCGGATGGACTTCTGGTCCTTCGACGCATTGGATCTGGCCCGCTCTTGCCGTGGGATGTGCCACGATTGGCATATTCTCAATATATCTCGCCGTCTTCAATTACCTGGCCGATACGTATCACCGATATGCGAGCTCAGCTTTGGCAGCTCAGTCATGTTGTACGTTATCATTAAAAACCTACACCGAGTTTGTGCAGGTCAACCTAACCACTTTATTTGCGCAGGCCGGAATCTCCTCGGTGGAGCCTTCCCGCTAGTTACCCGCGCCATGTACAATAACCTAGGATATCCTGAAGCATCCAGTTTGCTTGGTGGAATTGTGTGTCGCTAGCTTTCCTCCCAGGTGACACGTATCAAAATTTGATTGCTAACCGCGGGATAGGGATCTTTATTAACCATTGTTCCATGGGTTCTGGCATTCTTCGGGCCTAAAATCAGGGCCAGGAGCAAATTTGCGAGTGTACGTCAAGTGGCTCAGGCCCACCTTAACTTATCGGGCGAAGTAAACTGACTTCTTCTAGGAAATCATGGCGGGCCATGAATAGATCCCGAAGATGGACCCCGTCTTTTTATGCAAAAGGATCAATGTGGTATCTGTTGTTCTTTCCCGGCATGGATCTGCGATCGGGAGTTACCCGGTTTTGCATGACAATAGAGTACTCCAAACAGCATTTTGATTTGGCGCTGGCGTTTGATGTGTCTTTTTCTTTTTTTTTGTTTTGGTGGTCTTTCTATCCATTATTAATGCCAACCTCTGGGGATTCCTTTTGAAAACAGCATGCAGCTCGATGAAGTGTCGCAATTGGCATCTTTATATGCCGAATTGTCAGCAAGGTGAACGGGACGAGGAGAAAAGTGCCTTCGATTCCAGTGTGGTCTCCCAGAGTAGCAGGGTCATAATAATGAAACGTTCTCAATGCTCCGCATGCATTTCTCGGCCGCGGGCCAGCTGATCAGACGACACTTTATACGAGAACGCCGAAGGCTCAGGATTCACGAAAGAGTCCAACCATGTGATGTCACTGATGCTGTGACAGTGGGTCCCGATCGATGTTCATGAGGAGAAGCTGCTTGGAGTCTAGATTTTGATTGTGTGTTGATTAGTGATAAAGGAGAAATATCATAGATAATCTATATATAATACGGAGTATATATCCCTGAATACTCCGTGGTGAGCATTGATATCCAGCGAAGTAAGGATCCACGCTTGAGAAGCCTCAATTACCTGCAGCAACTCTGCGAGCAAACAGACCGAGGTACGCACCCAAGCCACGGGAATGGGAGTGGTCGCCGATGCCCAGTCTCAGATCGCAAGGGATGATCCCAGTCACGCCGTTGTCCGCCGTTCCCGCGTTCGCGATGTCGACGATTGTGCTGTGGTTTCATCCGCAAATAGCCTAGCGGCTGGGTGCGACTCCCTGCCACCTGATTGGCCGCCGATGAGCTCATGGCGATTTTCGACTTTCGAACTTTGCGGACGAAACAGCCCACTTCGCACTGGCCAATCACAGCGCGGAATCCGACAGGCGGTGAGGCATTGCGTGATTGAGCGGGAGATTCTGCCGCGGGGGGGCTTTTGCTGCTCCTGCTGCTACCAGCCAGGTTTAGGTCTTCTTATCAAGACGGATGGCGGGCATGGTGGAGTCAATATAACTCGCTGGAGGTTTGCAATTGCTATCACTCGTCTGAGACCTTTTTTTTTAATTTTTTTTTTTCCCCCCTCCTCCCTTCGTCCTCTTCCTCGCCTCCTCCCACAGCTCTTCCCTCGAGTCATCCATCGTAGAAACTCAATTTCTTTTGTTTGGCTGTTAAGTCCTCTTGTATATCGCATTTTTCATTTACGACCAAACATGGCAGACCAGAGCCAGCGCGCCGCTCCGTGAGTCCAGTCCCCATGCCAGAATGCCTCTGTTCCTTCTTCTGACGCGTCCACCAGTCTTCGCCTCGGCTCTGAGGCCCCCAACTTCAAGGCCGTCACCACCAAGGGCGAGATCGACTTCCATGAGTTTATCGGCGACAATTGGGTCATCCTCTTCTCGCACCCTGTATGTGAAAGATACCCTCATGCCGCAAAAGACCTGCCATCAGTCGCTAACGGCCGGCTCGGCCCGTTCCAGGATGACTTCACTCCAACCTGCACCACCGAGCTCGGTGCTTTCGCCAAACTCGAACCCGAATTCACGAAGCGGGGCGTTAAGCTTATCGGATTGGTGAGGAACACAAACATCGCCCCATGTTCAGGCGAGGAAATGCACCCGCTGACCGGATCTTGTAGAGTGCCAACGGCTTGAAGTCCCACCACGACTGGATCAAAGACATCGACGAGGTCACCGGCTCCCACTTGCAGTTCCCCATCATTGCAGATGCCGATCGCCACATCTCGTATCTCTATGACATGATCGACTATCAGGACACCACAAACGTTGACGAGAAAGGTATGCTTAGGCCAAGTCCTCGGTGTGGTTTGCTTTTCGAGAAACCTGGGCTAACGATCAGGACAGGCATGGCCATGACCATTCGCTCCGTCTTCATCATCGACCCCAAGAAGAAGATCCGTCTGATAATGAGCTACCCAGCCAGCACCGGCCGCAACACCGCAGAAGTCCTCAGAGTGGTCGATGCTCTCCAGACGACGGACAAGAACGGTGTCAACACCGCCATCAATTGGACCCCAGGCGACGATGTGATCGTCCCACCCTTCGTGTCCACCGAGGATGCGATCAAGAAGTTCGGCGACGTCAGAATTGTCAAGCCGTAAGTTTTCCCGCAGCAGTGATGGCCCTGTTCGGATGCTGACCACGCACCAGGTACCTCCGATATGCCACTATTAAGAACTAAATTGTGCTTTGGGTTTCAGGAGTTGAGAATCGGGGAGTTTTTATGCGGTATCTGTAATGACCAATGAATCAAGTTGATCTAACCACCTTTGAGTAACCAACCACTCCATAACTAGTCTTTAATTGCAAAATTAAACCAAGAATTGCCTTGATAGAATTGAACCGCCAAGTGTGTACAGAGTACGGAGTACTCCATACTTATAAACATGCGTTCTACTGCATGGGACTAGGGCTTTGCGTGTAGGCTGCCTCCGTATTCTGCCATCACCCACCGCCTCATGGAAATTTTGATGAGTAACTAACTAACTAGCAAGACCAATCAGGGTATAATCAGCAATACACCAAGTTCTATAAACTCTAAGCAACTGTTAACTAAATAGTTAACTAGTTAGCGGGGTGGCAGGTTGCGGCGGGTTACTACCCAGGCGCCCCATGTAACCTGGTTAGACAGGGGGTTAGTCAGCAAGACCGCAAAAATAACCAGGTTTTCTGGGGGGTTGGCGTCGTACGGTTATCTTGGCGGTTGCATACTAGCTGGTACAGAGGGTGGTGCTGAGTCAGCCATTTGGACCAGTGAGAGTTCTTTATTACAGAGGTCTTTCAGACAGCACCGTACAGCTGGAACAGCAGTATCAGGGTGCACCCACTGGACAACCAACCAACCATCTGTGATAGCTCAGGTCAGCAGCTGGGGATCTCAGAGAAGGTCCTGTAGAGCAGGCAAATATAGGTTCTGTAGATAGCTAGATGCCTACATAGTATGATTATACTATTCTCTATCCTGTATGGGGCAGAGTGTGTGTGTAGCAGTGCTGCTCAGCACCAGCACCTGATGCAGCTGTGATGCTGCCCCAATGCTCTGTTTGTTTATATACACCATACCAATACACTGTACAACAGGTAGTATCAGAATCAGTAAACAGTAGATTAAGTATTGTCTTGACAACAGATTTTCTTTTCCTTTCTTCCTTCTCTCCTCTCCTCTCCTCTTCTCTTCTCTCTTTCTTTTACTCTAAGCCTGTTCATCAGAGTCTTCATTACCACCATTGCTTTGCTTCTCTTGTGAGTCTTCCTGTAGATTATGCATCAGCCATCATCTATCAATCATACAATAGCAAGCTGACTGACTCACAGAATAATTTCACAATTTTGTGTTGCTACAACATCCTCTGCTGCTAAGACCTCCACTCACCCCTCCCCCCTCCTCCCCCCACAAATCTGAGAAAGAAAATGTCTGTACGGCCCTGGGTGTTGGTGGAATGTGAGAAGGAGGTGCTGACTTGTTGATATAGAGTGCTTGTTTGATGGACCCCCTCCCATCCTGACCAGATGGAGCAGGACCTTGCTGAAGCTGCTGCCTGGACTCAAACTGATGGTCAACCACCCTGTCTCTTTGTTGAACAGAATCAGCTGGCCCTGTATGCCCACTCCCCTCAGTCATGGTGACTGCTTGCTCAATCAGAAAGGAATGTGGAGTTTGTTCTTGGATGAATCTTCCTCTACCAGATTAACATGCACTGCCAGTTGTACATCAATGCAATTCTGATCCAGTCATGTGGGAGAACTTTGCACTGGAGCAGTATCTGTAACAGATGCACAGAGATGAAGCCCATGGCCCCATTCTCATTGTGCTGCTGTGTGTATGGTCACTTTGGAGGTGCATGTGAAAACTGCAAATGGCCAGACTATGCATCCTGCTGCTCTCTGCATGGCAGGCCAGAATCTGCAGTGAGATATAATGACAGAGGACTGAGTTTGTACAGAGCTGCTGGCCACCCACACACATCAGACAGCAGGGCCAGCCTGGGACTGTCTTCTGCCTGCTCAATTCTTCTCCTTGAGAGTGGGACAGCAAATGATCCCATCCATGTTGAAACCAATTCCCCCCCACCCTGCTCTGGAGATCCACCATCAGTCTTCCCGTACAAGATTGAGAAGCCTGAGGAGCCAGAGGATGGCTCTCAGAGCAATCCTATCACCTTAAACTAGATATGCATGGACTTTCTTTTCTGGCTTGTCTGCTTTCTTTCTTTTCTTTGTGATTTTTCTCAACTGCTCTTGCCTAGTTGTACAGGCCCTGTATACAGCACCTGGACATGGTTTGCACTTCTATGCAGTGTCCAGGACCAGTAGCCCTAAGGGGTGAAGCCAAGCAAACCACCATCATATATTCAGCATCTCTTCTTCTTTATCTTCCTATTGTATGATGGGCCGTGCTGGGTATGATGGACAGGGTTTGCCATAATAAGAATCAGAGCAGTTTCTTTTTCACTTGCAGCATTCTGGATAGTCTGTTCAAACTGAGCTTCCCATGCTGCTGTACAAGCTCTAGTTCCTCTACAGCAGCACTGCCACTGGCACTTCCCTGTCTCTGTCTGTTAATATAATCAATAATCATCTTTCTTCTGCTGTAGAACATTCTCTCTGTGCCACCTGGCCACCATTTTGCTCTGTACAAGGCATCTAGACTCTGTACTGAAGGGCCACCCCCCAGACCAACTGTCCATTCCTGCCACAGATCTGGGACTGTAGTGATTGTACAAGAAAGCTGGTATGTGGCTGGAACAGAGGCACTAGCAGAGGCTGGAGCTATCTCTAATGAACAGGCTGGGGCTTGTGCTTCTCTGGATGCTGTAGAACCACTGTCTCTCTCTTCATCTTTATCTTCAAAGGCAGCAGCTGCTGTCATCATTCTTTGATCAGCAGGAAATGCTTGTACAAGAAAAGAAACCTGCTCACTGGTCAGTGCTTCTAACTGGTTGTTAATTTTTTGCAGTCCTGTTTCCAGAGCAGTATATAAATGACCACAGGCCACACCCAGATCCTGCTGTACAATGCACAGCTGATCTGCCACCATGGGCACTGTCTGCTGCAGCTGCATTTCATACAGCTCCTCTTTGTGGGTGTTGGCCACCTGGACTGCCTCTGCAAACTGATGATAGTCCTCCCTCATGAATACAGGGCTGGTCCACAGGGGGTGGCCAGGGAAGAGAGGCTGAAGGATGACAGAGTCCTGCAGGAGGACCATACAGAGATGATGGAGCAGGCATAGAAACCCTTGAGCAGCCAGATCATCTCTATCCAGCTGCACAGCAGAAGGTCCCCTGGGCTGGTCCCAAGAACCACTCTGATCTGAAAATCTTCTCAGCTCTGGCCCCTGGAGGCAGAAGTTGGGGTCCTGGGCATTGTATGATTCAAACCACTGCATCCAGTTGTCAACCCAGGGCCAGACAGTGTGCTCCAGTAACTCAGGCACAGGCACCCTGGCCTGTGGCAGGTAGAAGTTCCCAGGTGTGTGAGAGTTAAAGCCAGCCATGGCCTGTACAAACTTTCTGGGGATATTAGTCAGATAGCACTGGCTGAGAGCATCACTGTTCCATCTTCCAGCATGGTGGATCTGGCCCTCACTGACCCCAATCTGCTCTGCATGTCTGGCTCCAGCAGCTCACCCAGCATGAGTCTTCTTCAGGCCAGAAAGCCCTGTCCCACTGTAGATGCATCAAATCCAGTCCAGCTGGGTCTTGTATGACAGGGGCTTCCTCACATCATCCCTCTTGATCAGGTGCAGCTGATACCAGTCCTGGTGGTTGTGGAACTGGGGTGGTGGCTCTTGTACAATGTTCCATTGGTAGAAGAGGTAAAAGGCTGTCTGTGCCATGGTGCAGAGCAAGGGGTTGTGATGGTGCATCACTGTGGCATACTCAATCCAGCCCATCTGGTTAGTCTTGCCATTTCCCATGATCAAAACCATGGGGAAGCAAGGGGTTGGGCCTTCATTTGTCAGCTCCAGGGTGAAGAGATCAGCCAGCTGTGCTGTACAGTGGGATTCACTGTGGAGAAGCATGCTGTGGCCCATTAGGAAGTCCACTGCAGTGCAGAGATGTGGCTCCACTGACTGGCCTTTTTTGAACTCTGACCAGCCCTGCCAGCAGTACTCAACCAGCTGTACAATATTCTTCTCATGATATCCATCCAGCAGGGTTCCTGTGCTGTGATCCACAAACTCTGCCTTCTTGTGTTCATGCTTCTGTCTTGAATGGGTTTCAAGCAGGGCCTGGATGGCCTGGCCAACTGGATGGGGGTGAGAGTTTGTACAACAGCTCTGTTGGTAGCTCCAGAGATTGACAATTGCAGCCTTGTAGACCTTGATAGATGGTTGGCCCAGGGTTTGCACAACAGGCTCTCCATTCTCATTTGTATGGTTGCAGAAATGGCAGGATCTTTTGGCTGGACAGCCAACCACACATTCAGACAGGAACCAGAGCAGCTTCTGCTCTGTCACCAGCTCTCCATTCTGGAAGCCCTTCATCCAGCAGAAATGCTAGCAAGTAGAAGCCAGAGGGTGTCAGCCAGGCCAATGCAGATGCATCATACAGCATAAGAACAGGGCAGAAGAGAGCAAGAATCAACAAGAGGATGCATATAATACAGATACCTACCCTCCACTCCTCCTGACACAACTCATACTGCATCCAGGTCTTCTTTGGCCGGGCATCCAGGGTGCTATCAAGTGCATGCTGTATGTGTGCCTCCATCTCCACCATCAGGGCAGACTGGCTGTTCAGAGTTGGAGTGGCCATGCTGTCTAGTGTTGTAGAGAGTATGTCAATTAATGTAGATTCATCAGAAGCAGAAGCTCCTGTACAATACAGAATGGATTGAGATGGAGCTGAAAAGATTAGTGATCTTGATCACTCTGTACTGATTATATAATCTACCTCCCACCCTCCCTAGTCCAAACAGGTTATTTGGCGGCTTGGCAGTAACCAGGCAGCAACCTGGGTGATCACCCACACTAAACCCCCCCCATCTATCCGCTAGTTAGGCACAGAGTACTCCATACAGAGTGGTTAATACAGTTGGTCCTCCCACATCCTTCCTGGAATAGTGACCTAACAAAAGGTATCCCGTACATCGTTGATGACATATTAAGGTTGAGGTGCCCAAGTGTGTTGATTTGAAAATAATCTGCACGTTCCAGAGTACTTTGTAGTGACAGAAGCTTGTTCACCCAGTTCAGTACTCTTTTCGCTTCTATCAGCTTGCCGGCGCTGTCAACAAGAACTCTACTTCAAAGTCTAGTCTGTGCAGCTGAAAGAATATGCTGTAGCTATTAGAATTCTGTCCAGAGTGTTCCGCAGACACTCTCCTCTCTCTTGCAGTTTCTTTTCATTTCATTTTCGACTTTTATTCTCCTGCTGCTCTTTTGTCTGTTGGCCCCTGTTTTCTTCTCTTCTGCTTCTGCTTCTTTTTCTTCTTCTTCTTCTTCTTCTTCTTCTGCTTCTTCTTTTCCCCATTGTCTTTGGATGTTGTTATTTGATCAGTCTTCAGTAGCACCGATTCTCCGCTCCTCTCATCTACCTTCTGGTCCATCGTCCCCCCTAACATCGCCTTTACATTCTCTTCGTCACGTCCATGGGATCTTGGCTGATTTGAACAGTTGGAGGATTCGAGATTGTGCTCCATAGTTTCGATGGTTGTTTTCTCTGCCCTCTCCTTTTCGCATTCATCGTCTTTGAATCTGTCGGTTAACCCAGCCTCCACAGGACTTATTAGTAAATCAACCTGATAACTATTCCCGGCTTTTTCATTGTATTCTTCAAGCTCAGCCCAGTCATCGTCTATCGGGAAGTCTAGGCTAGAAGGCAATGGCATCTGCTCGGTTGCGGCGATCAATTCCTTAGGACAAAACTTTTTGCAGAGAGTTGCCATTCCGTCCTTGACGCTATGGGGTGTCAATCCCGCGTATGATTAGGTTTGCGAGAGGAATGTAGCTTACATCTGGCGAAGATTGCATCCGGGTATGAGGATTGCGGCGCCTAGATCGTATCTTAGGGAGTATAAAAGGTTTCTATCATCCCAGTCATCCTCTGCCTAGAGATTAGCTTTGGCTACACCATCCGCAAACCCAAAGAAACTTTGAAAACCTACCAGGCTCGGAGACGGGATAGAACCGCCGATAGTTTTTGACATAGACTTTGTCGCTTAGGCGATGTCTTGGCGCTCTCCAATTTCCAATTTCATATTCATTATGGGCATAAAATGACCCTGCATCAAACACAAAGGGCTCACCGGTATCCATATTAGTCGCAGCGTTTTCATCCCACATATCTCCATGGACCAAGCATGGCTTTATGCTGCGACCTTCGCTCTGCAGTGGCCGGAGAAGCCTTGGTATAACCTTTTCAAGCACGAGCCGAGCTACAGCCTGGAACTCCGGCCATTCCCCATGTTTTTGTTCGTCTAATTTGACCATATGGCCCAACTGTTTTCTATACAGGACCTCCCATGATTCCTCCCAGCAATCGGTTATTTGGGGAAGTTTCGCATGACATGTGGTTATATGAAAGCCGAATTTTCCTGTTGGCGACACGGATGTTTGATGCAGTTCTGCGAGACGAGCAGTAAATCTGAGGGGATTTGGGGGCTGTTCACCCACTTCTCGGTACTCCGCAAGGAGGAAATAAGTACTTTCTTCGTCTTTTCGGAACTTTCCCCATGCGTAGGGCTCTGGTCCGAAGTCCGGCGATACTGCGTGAATTGCTTTCAGAGACTCGTATTCACCCTCAATCATGACACGACCGTCATCTCCAAGTGACACGGCCTGCGTTTTTGCAGGTGAGCATGATTCACAGGCTGAGAAACAAAGAACTGAGACCTAATACCTTCAGGAAATATTCCTTCCGCTCTCCGGTTGGCAGAACCGTATATATCTTTGCAGTCTGACCCCAGAGAGACATCCCATAATTATATGCCGAGATAACTTTGGTTCCAGGTATGGGTAGAGCTATTGGAGGTATTAGTTGATTGCCTCATTTCTTTTCTAGCTTCGAATGATCTGGCCCACCATCCACAACAGCATCGTCCAGGTCAAAATTGCCCCGAACCTCGGGCTTTGGGACTGGAGCAGCTGGAGCCTGGTCTCCCCCATGCCTATCTACATCAAGGGTATGTTCGCCAAAGTCATCTTTGAAGATGATATCCTGCAAGACTGGAGAGGCAGCGGCAGCCATGACTGTATTTTGAGAACGACTGTGGTCTTCAACGTATTTTTCGACTGCAGGAATACCTAGACATTGGATAATGTGGCGGAAATAAGGAGACTGGTGCTCTCAGCACCTCAGGTTTCCGTATGTTTCGCACAGTGTGAAAGAAGTTTCGTGTTTTGATCGGAGAAATCCGCCGCTGTCGTTCCCTCCCATCTCACTAACGTCTCCCCCCATTGGTCGGTACGTTGGTTGCATGTTCCGTCAATTCTGAGCCGGGGTTCCATGTTAGGTGGAAAATGGCCGCATCAAGGAAATTGACACCCCAGTCAGACCACATCGCACTTTGAGCGCAGGACCTCTAACGGTCGAGGCTCGGATCCCACGGCCGACAACTGTGCTGAATGAACTCTTCTTACACACATAGGAGTTCCGAGCTCATCTCACTGTCGGCTCATGTGTGCCCTGGATTTTATTCTCCATGCCCGTGAGCTCTTTGGGTTAGGCGCTGGACCCACTGCTCTAGGTAGGGTTGAAGCGGGGAACGGGCCGGGCTTGGCTGGACTCGAGATTGTGACCTAAATTAGCCGCCGGAATTTTGGCCTCACCTTCTGTCAGACTGTCAATACCCCGTCCAAATAACTATACCTAACAACGTCAAAACCACCGGACCTGGATCTGGTCTTGGTCATTAACTGCGCAAAGCTCGCTTCCTTGGTCGCATTTCATGCAAAATGGTAAGCTGGGTTTGGACTTTTCAAAATTCCAGGAGCGCCGTTGCTAATCTAGTTATCTCACAACACGCCAGCTCCGCAGATTTCGGAGTCGAGGTCCTGAACAAAAAGACGAAGCTACAGATTACACCGCAGAATCTATTAGGGCAGCTCAACGTGTTGAGCTGTGTGATAGAAGCGAGAGTGTCTCGAATGCGTCAACCGCTGCACCATCTACGGTCTCGAAGACCACATCGCTTAGTAGCAATCCATCTACCTCTGATCTTGAGGGACTCTCTGTCGTCTACAACCCTCCATATTCTACAACAGACATAATTTTCGTTCATGGCCTTGGTGGCTCATCCAGAAGATCATGGTCATGGGATCACAACCCTGAAATCTTCTGGCCGGAATGGCTGCCACATCATCCAGGTTTTTCGTATTGTAGAATATTTACCTTTGGATACAAGGCCAATCTTACCGACAACAGAACCTCACAGAGCATCCTCGACTTTTCCATAAATCTCTTATCAGCAATGCAGAGTTATGGATTTGGCGGCCCGGATGGCGATAAACTTATAGGAACGGTGGGCCAAGTTTTGCATACAAAAAATGGGACTTCAAGAGGTATCTTACTAACCATAGGTTGTATGTATAGCAACCTATCGTTTTTGTTTCCCATTCCATGGGTGGTTTGATTGTCAAGAAGGTACAACGCACCTTTCTAATTTTTGCCCGCTTTCTAGAATTCAACTAATATTCATTCAGGCATATGTTGTTGGCCAGCAGAACAAGAATTTTTCTCAAATCATCTCGAAAGTACATGGAATTATGTTCCTCTCCACCCCGCATAAAGGCATTCTATATGCGAACGCCCTGAACAGCATCCTGGCAATGACAGGAATACCTCGAAAAATATATGTCTCTGAGCTTGACATCATGTTGCCGTCGATGCAAGATCTACATGTCCAATTCCTTGCTGTTTGTGACCGTTTACGGATTGTCTCTGTGGTTGAATCTAGCGCCACCAAAACTGGGCCGGGGAAAAAGCGGATAGTGAGTGGCTCCCATTCCACCAATTCTTGACATCTCCGTTAACTTACCCAGATTGTAGATCGTGATTCGGCTGTCCTCAACCTGCCAAATGAGATTTGGACTCCACTCCCTGCAGACCACCATACAGTCTGTAAATTTCGGGATCAATCTGACTCAAATTTTATCACAGTCACCGGCTATCTGAGGCGATTAACTGAAGGATCAGGTATTACAAATAGATTCAGGTCATATGTATATCAGCCTGGAGTGCTAATAAATTTCGGCAGAAATCCACCCCGAGGGGGCGCTTATGGAAGCATTGGGAATCAAGCAAGCCCCGGAAGACGACCTTTCCCAATATTTAAAACAAGGGACGCCGGGATCCTGCCAGTGGTTTCACAATCGTGATAGTTTTAATCGATGGCTTGACAATAGCCCAGGTACATCCACCAACATTCTCTGGCTTACGGGGATGCCAGGAGCTGGCAAGTCAACCTTGTCCGCCATGACCATCGGTTTGCTCCACGAACGGTACTTTAAGGAAAATTGTCAATTCTATTTCTTCATTGGGTCCCAGCCAACAAAAAGACGCGTCGCATACTGCTTGCGCTCAATCGCGTTTCAGCTGGCTCGATCCAATCGAGAGTTTGCCGCCAGGCTACTTCGACTGTACCGCGAGACTTCTTTGACTATTGAAAACCAGAAGTTTCAGGCTATTTGGGATACAATTTTTGAGGGCATTATCTTCAAAATGAACTTCACTCACACTCTCTATTGGGTGATAGACGCTATAGATGAGGCAGAAACATCGAAGGACTTCGTCGCCCTTCTCATGCAGATGCGGCCAAGAAGCCAAATCAAACTTTTACTCTTCAGTCGGCCCTTGAGCGATCTGACGAACCTCGCTTTGTCTCGAAAAGGCGATGTTTGCCTGGAGGCTACTTCCATCTCAGACGTAAACGAGGATATTAACATCTACCTAAAAGCTGCTGCCCCAATAACTTTTCCACGCAATCCAGAAATCCAACCGAGGGTTATTGAACAAATATTGGCAAAAGCTGAGGGCTCATTCCTCTGGGCAAAATTGGCATTGGAGACATTACGGCGTACCGGGCACCTGGAACATGATATTAGAACGGCTTTGGACGACGTTCCGAGCGACATGGAATCCATGTACAGAAAGATGCTGCAACAAATTCATAATTATGATATACCGATGTTGCAAGAAGTGGCTATGGCAATATTAACATGGGCATCCTGCAGCTTTCGCCCACTTCGAGTTACCGAGTTTGAAACCGCGCTTCGACGAAGGTTTAATAAGAAACAAGTCAGTTTCAATGAGTCGACTATCGAATTATGTTGTCATTTTATTCGTATTGATAAGGATCAAGTGTCTCTGATTCACGCTACTGCGCGGAAATTCCTCTTTAGCAGCTCAAATGGACTGCCCCCAGCAATAGATTTCCATGTTGGTCATGAAAGTCTTGCTATAATCTGCCTCGACTACCTTTGCGATGATAAGCTGCAGCCTACCCTTGAATCTGCGAAGGGTGACAAGCCCTCCCGAACACCTGACATGTTGAACGTAATCTTAAAGGCACATCCCTTCTTGGGATATGCCAAAGATAATTGGGCTTTCCATCTGAGCCACTCGACCACTCAATCCCCGCAACTCAAAGGCCTTCTAACCCGCTTCTTCAACAAATATGTCTTAACTTGGGTTCATGCAGTAGCATTTTTCAACGAATTACAAACCCTTACCCGTACTGCTCGGTACCTGAAAGCTTATATGCGTAAACTAAGAAAAACTGGGCATGTTTCTGCCACATCTATCCCAATCCCCAGTGAAAGGGATGGGACAGTTTTACCCTTAGAGCTTTGGACCCTTGATCTCATCCGATTGGTGGGAAAGTTTGGCTCAAACTTGATTCAAAAACCTTCGATCATTCACCAACTTATTCCTCCTCTATGCCCGAAGGATTCCATCATATCTGAGGTCTATAATGAACCGAAAACATCGGCTGTAGCTGTTAAAGGTGTGCCTTTTCGTGGCTGGGGTGATAATCTAGCTCATCTTTCCGTTGGCCAAGATGAGACCGCTTCGAAGGTTCGCTGTGCAGGTGTCTTTTTCCTTACGCTCGTCTCGAGCAAAGGGGCGATCATTGTTTGGTACGCGGAGACGTTCGAAAAACTTCGACTCCTAGAGCACGGCGAATGGGTGACTCTCATGGAAGTCAATAGGTCTCGTACTTTACTGGTTACGACCGGACGATATACCTTCAAAGTATGGGATATTTCGACAGGAGAACAGATTCATTTACTTAAAAGAGATCGCCAGGCACGAGTCATGTGTATCAGTTTTGGGGATAATGATTCCGAATTACTCGTGGGATATGATGACTGCACAGTTGCCAAGTATGACCTTTGCACGTCCCGCGTTCTAGCAGAATACGATGTGGAGGATAGGAGCGATCGCAGACATAGTTGTCCGCGCCTCATGGCAATCAGTCCCGATCTATCCAAGATAGCTGTTGCATATCGCGGACGACCCGTGCTTATTTGGGACCTTATTGAAGATTCTTCCCAGGAACCAAAACGGTGTATCCGGGACAAAGACTGGGAACGATTGCGAACCAAACCACAGGACGACGTATTTTGCGCCCCCGAAATAGTATGTTGGCAACCAAACGGGATATCATTGTTCATTCTCTACCAGGACAACACTATTGTTCATTGGTATCTAGCAGAAGAAGGCTCTCAAATTGAATATGAAAACACCGAAGCCCGCGAGATGGCCACGAGCGACGACGGGACACTGCTTTTGACCAGCAGCAACACTGGAACATTGAGTGTTTGGACCGTATCAAATTTTAATTTAATATACAGGCTTTATTGCGGCCCGTTCGTTCGGGACCTCACTCTGAGCCCTGATAACCAGCGTATCTACGATGTACGGGGATCTATTTGCAACGTCTGGGAACCAGATGCACTTGTTCGATTAGAGGAAGGAGATCAAGAAGAGGGTTCAAGTCTCTTTGGTGGTTCCGACGTCTCTGAGCCCACATTCTCGCGAGGGACACAGGACACTCCCATAACCACTTCTGTGGCCTACGACTGTTTAGCTGACTATTATGTCTGCGGAAGAGATGACGGCACAATCTGGCTTCATGAAATGAAGGAAGGTGAGAAAATAAAAAAGCTCTGGAGTCATTCAGTCATGAGTGATGTTATTGTCCTTGAGTGGTCTCCGTCCCGCAGATTCCTTGTCTCAGCGGATGATGCCGGAAAGGTCATCCTAAAAGCACTCGGCAAAAAAGATGGAAAATGGATTGTATTCAATGTTTTCGATTTCCGAATCCGGGAACTTGTTCGGCAAGCCCTCTTCAGTCCCGACGAAAGTATGTTGCTCGTTAGTACTGGGACGATGGATTGTATCTGGAACATCAAGAAGAAGAGCGAAGTTAGTAGGATCAGATGGCAGCATCCGTCGGGACGAAGGTGGTTCAACCATCCATCTGATATGGGCAAACTCATCTGGATTGACCCAAAGGAATATCATGTTCATCACTGGCAGGATTTAAGACGCGTTGATGACGTACAAAGCCCGAAAATCGACATGCAACAGTCCCGGTTTGGAAATATTTCAAACGACACAGCCGTACAGGTCCCATCTTTCAGTTCAAACCCCTCCGCGGGAGTCCAGGACAATGTCCAGAAAATTACTAAGACTATTGACGGGTGTTACCTGATTTGCGAAATTGGCAGTGATACAACTCCATGTTTGAGGGTTGATGTTATCCTCGTGTCTGATCTAGAATCTAGAACACAGAAACGCAGGAACCTGATCATGTCGGGTACCGTTCAACGATTTCTTGGTTGCATTTGCCCCCGTACAAAACCCTCAGCCAGTGAGGGACAATTGGTTTTCCTTGACTATGAGAATTGGATATGTACACTTGACTTCGATGTCACTATGGCAAAACCCAGGCCGCAGTTCTTCATTCCAAGGGATTGGCTAAATACATCAAACATAAACTTAATGACTTTAGCCCCCAACAGGACACTTTTATGCCCAAAAGGTGGAGAGATAGCTATGGTTACGCACCGAAGGGGATTGGAGTCCTGAGTGGTATTTTGGTCGGAGCTGACTGAATGCATCGTAGCATGCAGACTACCCTTACATCTCCAGACCTCCAAGTTAACTATGCAGTTACATAGATACGAGAGCTAGTCAGCTTCCAACCTTCTTCCGCCGCAAATAACTTGCAAGCCCACAAGACATTGGTGTCAAAAATATAATATTGCCTTGTATGTACTTACTATCACTCGTATTACCACGGTTACCGCGCTACGCTAGGTAGAAAAGATGCTCTGAAATGTTAATCGTGGAGTTTTCAATAACAGATTATCATGTGAAAACTGAAGTGAAGAATCCAAGTTTGGCGAAGTTGAAGATGCAAAGAGTATAGTAGTTACAGTTGACAGTTTGTATGGCAATGATAGAATGAAATTTACACATAATTTATAGCTAAATGTGCATCTGCCGGTGCTGCTATTTACAAATACTCGTAATATCCTCTTCCTGAATGTCCACCATGTTGCTCCCTTGCAGTTACGACTTACGCTAAATCCTCCGAGACAGTCACAATCTACCTAACTTCAAAGGCCATTCAAAGTGATTAGGACGTGACAACGTTTCATACAGGTATGTGTATACATATGCATGTCTATGGTGCATCCCTGAATGTACTGGAGATCATGATGGCTAGCTACCCCTCACTGCTCCGCCAAATTTTGCAAATCTACTCCGTACCACACACAGATCCCTCTATATCATAACTGATTCAATAAACGGTACATATTTCCTCGAGTTGTAACTTACTCTCCGAAAGTCGAGTCCCACACACTATAAACAATGCCTATCGCTACCTCCTTCGCGCTCAAGAATACTTCCATTCGTATTCCCGCCCGCGGCCTAGGAACCTTCCAAGTTGATCCCAGCCTGTACCCAGAAGGATCCGTCAAAGATTCTGTTCTCCATGCGTTGAAGGTTGGATACAGACACATTGACGCGGCGCTGGCGTATGGTTGGGGTTCGGTAGAAAGAGACATAGGCGCTGCGATCCGTGCGAGCGGTGTTCCGAGGGAGGATGTGTTTGTGGTGACGAAGCTGTAAGAACTTGTTCATTGCCCAACTACCTGATCTGTTCCCGTTACTAATGACATTTGGGAATCAAGTCATAATTGCTTCCATGCGCCCGAAGATGTCGAGGTTGGGATGAATATGAGCCTGAAGAATTTGGGGCTCGCCTATGGTAAGGCGACATAGCCTCAATAATGGTATTAATACTGATCGTGTTGGGATCAAGTCGATCTATATCTGATGCACTGTATGTTATAAGTCTTTTTGGATGAACTTTGCTGCAAGCTTGATTAATATCGGTGCCCAGTTCCATATGCGTATACCAAAGGGGAAAATTACTCCACTGTGAGAAAGCTGGACGGAAAAGTACGAAACCCTCGAGAGATCTCGTTCTTCAGCTGATAGTAGCAGCCTGTTGTTGACATCGAGCTCTCGAGAGCGTTTGACACCACCTGGAAAGCCATGGAGAATTTAGTAGACCAAGGCAAAGCAAAACTAATAGGTTAGTGCCTGCGATACTTGGGATTCCCGTAGGAAGTTACGGGGCAGAATTTATCGTTTGTTAACTACCGGCTGTCTAAGGGGTATCGAATTTCTCAACCCCTAAGTTGAAGCGTCTCTTGAGCGTCTGCCGTATCTTCCCAGTTGTGAACCAGGTTGAACTCAACCCGTATTTCCCGCAGAAGACACTCCTGCGATTTTGTCACGAGCACGAAATCCATGTTACTGCATACGGACCTCTGGGCTGCACACCAGTCCCATACTTAATTGGAAGAAAAACCCCTGGTCCACTTGAAGACTGCACTGTAAGTGACCAAATCTTACCTGGGCTATCTCTTCCGGCAATAAACCCTCCATTTAATCATTCGACGCAGGTTAAGGCAATGGCGGAAAGGTATTCTCGGACTCCAGCGCAAATTATACTGGCTCATTTGATCATGTTGGGTGTATCTGTGATACCGAAAAGTAATAATTTGTCAAGAATCTCAGAAAACTTTGACTGCTTGGTGGAGCTGAGTCCCGAAGACCATGCTGCGCTTGGTCAGCTCATGGGTTCAAACGGAGAGAAAGCCGTACGGAATCTGGAGACAAAAGAGTATCTCGGCTTCGATAACTTCAATGAGGAGTTCGAAGAGCCCTGATTAAATTCGTAGTGCGAGAGAATGATTCGGCATTCTCAGGATCGAGGAATAGCATCAGAGAGTCAGACTACAATATAGCTAGACAATAAAGATGATAGCAAGGTTTTAGAACCTTTCAGACAAATTCGGGTATCTTCAAACATCAGCAAGGGCAAAGTAAAACGAAACACTCGGAGGATTCTCGAGTTTATGAAGTAGGGGTGCATAAGGACTGCTGATCATCGATTATCACGCATGGTCTAAGAGGAAAAATGACTCTAGCGCGCCGATAAAGGCGACAGTACTTAGAGTCCAAAATGCAATTCCAATATATCCTTCCTGAATACCCCATTTAAACAGTCGCCCGGATATCAATGGGCCAATTGATCGTGCAAGGCAGCCGAATGAGGCAGCCACACCATTGATCCTCGCTAGAAAACTTTTCGATGGTGCAGTGTTCGTAATCATGCAACGGAGTCAGACATAGCTTTATGTAAGGCGACAGACTTAACTTACAAGATAGCAGAACATATGTATCCTGTGGATGAAAGTAATACCTTCACCCATAGATCAAACAATAATGCGATTATAGAAAAAGGCGACTTCAGCTTAACGAGGAATGGTGTGAATAGATATGCGACCGGAAAGATGCAGAGAATCATTCGATAGCATTTTAATGCTCCAAATCGACCGACAATCCAAGGAATTAAGGTTGACTGTGCGATGATAGCCACTCCAGCTTGGGTAAGAAGGATGAAACCAATTTTCTGAGAGCTGAAGCCGAATACATCAGTAAACTGGAAAATATTCCTCTCCACAAGGTTATCGGCTGGTTTGGTTGTTTTTGCGGGAATTGCGAGAAATATGGGCGTTATAATGTCTGAAGATACTTTGTGAAACGCCAATAAAAAAACAGAGATAACTTGCAGTATAACCTGAAGTGTGAAAGCCTTTGAAAGTGGCTTTTCAGTGGGCTTGGTTTTGTGTGGAGTTGTTATGGCACACGGTGCCTGTATTGCCTCCTGTTCAGGCTCTGCTTCAGTTTCCATTCTTAATTCTATTCCATCCTCTTCAGCTTGGTCCAAACGCGAATATCGAGCGCAATTGTGTTTTCTGAAATTTCCTGTAAAAAGGTACTTAAATGCAAGATATGTGCGAATTCCAATATCTGGTTTGTTCACCAGCTGTGGATGGGTTTCTTGTAAAAGCAGAAGCCCCAAGACCATGCCAGAGAACGAAAGCACACCAACAAGCAAGTTTGGAAGTAAGTATGGAAAGCTCTTCCAAATCGACTTTTCTTGAAACACATTCGGGTATAATTTCACCGGGTCTGCTAGGAGTCCGCCTAACGGCGGGCCGAGGAGAGTTCTAGGTGCATTCAAGGTCAGGTATTAGGCCTCACTATGGAGAATATCATGCCTTACCCAAGGCTGCGAAGAAAAGGAACAACAGAGAATGCTTTTGCTGAAACCGAGTTAGCTCCAGTAGCACAACTCATTTTCTCGGAGTTCCATTCCATGTCCTGAAGCTTTACGGGCTGTAGCGCATACCTTGCTGTTCTTTCCGCTCAACCAATTCGCCAACACAAGTTTGCACTACGCCAACATTTGGGTTTGTAAGCCCTCCCAATGCTCTTGACAGTGCAATCGCAACCATAGACTTGGATAGCCCGAATGATATGGCTGTAATGATGCCACAGAGAGCCCCAATCAATAAAGTTGGCTTTCTTCCAATCCGGTCGCTGATTTTGGCCCATACCATCCCACTAAGGAATTCACAAAATGTGAATATGGATATGAGCATACCAGAATACAACGGTATATCTGCATGATCCACCTCATCAAAAGATTGGATCATGAAATATACATATGGGAAAATGCTTGTCCACGCGATGGCTTCTGTTGCTCGAAAAGTCCCTGTTGCACTAACTATTAGATAGCAAGTTGGGTGCGAGATTAGGATAGAGTTGATCCCACCTAACATGAATAGTTGAAGCTGGATACCAGACAGTGAACTGGCTGGGGTGATCTCTCCATCTGCTTGGCTCATGATGGATGCCAAGAGCACCGTGCAAGACTTGGATGATGGAGTACAGCTTTTACTGATCTAAATCATTAAGCTATGTGCGAATATACAAAATGGCATTTGATTGAGAACCACCCAGGTTTGCAGTAAGACAAATTAACAATTGGGAGATTATTGCTGGCGCATTCTCACCCTTTCAGGATCAGCACTGCTTAGTCGCTGTCAGATTACCTGTTTCCCTGTTAGTCCAGTCCTGAAAGCTGGATCTTGCCAATACAATCCTCAGGGGTTGGAATCTTTGTAACTAAGATTCATTGCCAGGACACAGATCAACCCCGTTGTAACGCAAGCTGACAAAGAGAGCGCCAAGCCGACCGCAGCGGCCTGGACCGCCTTACCTCAGCAGTGCAGGTGTCTCGGCCTAACTTTGTTCCACCGGCCATGTTTCTCGGGGCCACTGACAGCCGCCTGCGCTAAACCATACAAGGCTTAGTCCCGATTACTCAGAAACGCTCGTCGCCGTTCCATGGATGGCGGATTCCCTTGCGCAACGAACGCCCTCGTCCGTCTTCCCCCCTTTCACGTCGACCGGCTGGCAAGGACCTGTCTTCCTGAGCAGTCTGGGCGAGGCAGTCGACGATTTAACGCACTTGCGTTGTCATTTTACCGACTGGCTAGCCTGGACGAGTTTTCATGCACGAAGCCTCTGTATTCATTTCAAGCCTTCATGAGAGTTCCCTGCAGGCAATCCTCGAATCCCGCCTCTGAGTGAAATTGGATCGCCTGCTCCCTCTAGCCCCGCCAAGCTCGTTACCCTATTAAAGGCGTCAGCTGGGGGGAACCAGGCGAAAGGAGAGGTACCGATTTGACCAGCCTCCAAGCCTCCCCAGGGACCACACATAATCGTCAACGGCCTGCAATGCAACCCTGATATTTCGCCCTTTTTTTCTCCGTACATCACACACCCTCAACGTTTTCTTGAGCCGAAGGAAAAGCCGAGAGGGTACAAGAAAATTAAAGTATTCAAAATTGTATTATTCTCTGCATTGATTTTTTTTTCTCTTTCAGCCTCCAATTACTGCGCCAGCCTTGTCCATTGTCTTGTCAATATTCCGTTTCAGATATTCCTAGGGTCTGCTTGGTGGGGGCGCCATTTTATATTGCCTGTCAACAGGGAACCACGCTCCAAGGGGAAATGCGCTTTGCGTTGCGCTGACTGACGCTTGTCAAGAGTACGTATCTTGGTTTCGTCCGACTTTTTTTTGCTGCTTTGGTGTTTTGTTTATTGCATTGACCATACTCCCCTCACTTTTGACATTGGCTTTTCCCTTTCAGAGAAAAAACCGAATTGTGTCAACAAACTCTTCTTGTTTCTGGAATGTGGCGGTTAACCGACCATGACGCGTTTAGGTGCTGAACGGCGAGCTTCGAAGGTCATTATCCCTTCAGGTGACTCGTTTCCGAATTCTGGGCCCCCAAACTTCGAAATATCGAACCCGTTTTCGTCGGTAAAGAGATATTTTCGACACGGCGACGCCAAACCTAAGGACCTTGGGCCTTCATCACAATCGCGGCCATCTACTTCGTTTTCAGAGGGGCAAGGCTTTTTGAACTCTGCGGCATTGCCCGACCCTAATATCTCTCAGGTCTTCGATACTTCATCTCAGCAACCCGCACCTAAATCGAACTCGAGTCGCCGCTCGAGCTTACCCGCTGCTTCCTCTATCACGGAGTTCGGACTCAAGTCGAGATTTCGAAGGTCAACTTTGACTGGAAATAAACGACCCAAATTTGTATTTAGTGTTAATGCACCTCCAACCGAAAGACCCTCGTTAGATTTGAAAACTTCACGCCCATCTTTAGACGAAAATACCCCGCATGGACGATCCAAAGAATACTATAACACTCAGCATCAAAACTCAATCCCTTCGCCGATAACACCCCTCATCCCCCATAGTGAGCCCGCGAAAATGTCATCAAATATGGGCCTTGACACCAGCCGCGATGAATACAACGCCCAGCACTCGAATCTGCACCCAAGGCCTACAGTTGCCGGGCCCACGACCAACGTTGGCTCTACGAACCTGTCGGGGTTGGTATGCAATGTTTATAAAACTACCGGGAGAGAGCCTCACGCGTTAGTAGGCGCCACTACCACTATTCTCGGCGACAAATTATACGTTTTTGGAGGGCGCATGCTATCTAGGACTCGACCAGATTTAACCTCAGATCTCTACGAACTGGATCTGATAAGGCGCCATTGGAGTAAGCTGCAGACTACCGGACATGTGCCGTCACCAAGATATTTTCATAGTGTATGTGCACTAGGTGATACAAAACTCGTTTGCTACGGCGGAATGTCTCCTAGAACCACGCAGACGAGCCAGTCATCAAGTTTATCCCCATCCGGTAACCTGGAATCGCAGCCGGAAATTGTGGTGATGTCCGATGTACATATCTTGGACGTACCGACGCGAACCTGGACTCGCATTCACACCGATAACACACCCCAAGGGAGGTACGCTCATTGTGCGGCTATACTTCCATCGTCGGCTATTTTCACGTCTGCTCAGGCGCCCCTATCCGCCATCCAAAATAATCCATCGTCCGCAAATCCACATCAGGGAACGATCGGAGTAGATATTGATGGCTTTGGGGGGGCAGAGATGGTTGTGGTTGGAGGCCAAGACAGCTCAAATCATTATATTGAACAAATAAGCGTCTTCAACCTGCGCAGCTTGAAGTGGACAGTGACAACACCCCTGGACCGGAGTTGTGGAGCCTACCGAAGCGTCGTCGCGCCACTTATCAATACTCCAGCATCGCAAATCGGAGAAAGTCACAAGGAATCGGACCCGACAAACACAGAATCAGAAAACCAGGGAACTCCTCTCCTGATTTATTCCAATTACCACTTTCTTAATGTCAAACTTGAGCTTCAAGTGCGCCTCCCGGACGGCAATTTAATAGAGAAGACGATGGATACTTCTATTTCACCACCTGGCCTTAGATTCCCGAATGGCGGCATTATCAATGGTCACTTCGTTGTTAGCGGCACGTATTTAACGTCATCGAAACAAGAGTATGCGCTCTGGGCGCTGAACCTAAAAACGTTGACATGGGGACGTATAGATGTGGGTGGAACTATATTCAGCAACGGAAGCTGGAATCGCGGTGTTTTGTGGAACAGAAGGAGCACGTTTGTGATTTTGGGACATAGAAAAAGAAGCCTGGTTGAGGATTACAACCATCGGCGGCTCAATTTTGCCCACGTCTGCATGGTGGAATTGGAGGCTTTTGGACTCTACGAGAATCCGCGGAGGACATCACCGACGTCAGGATATCAGTCAGTGAGCGCTCCCGCAATACCAGCGTCTATTCAACCAAAATTCTCTCAACAAGCTGGCGGTGGCCGACAGTATTCCTCAGCGGCACAGCAGTTGGGTCTCATGGCCCAGTCCTTTGTGGAATTGTCCGATATGGAGCTGCTTACAATTGGCGGCGAACGAATACCCGTCAATTCTCATATCATTGCTCGACGATGGGGCCCCTATTTTGTCCGCCTGCTTCGTGAATCCACAGCTGTTGCTTCAGACAGTCTTTCTGATGTGGCTACCGTTCGCCAGCCGGGCTCTTCTTTTGGCAATAATCACTCCAGCAATAAACGCAATTCGAATATCACAATAACTCCCTCCATCAGCAATACTAGCCAGTATTCCACAGCAACAACCTTGGTTAACCAGCCTGGCACCATTGCCAACACCGGCAGGAAAGACTCTGCTGCCGCGCTTCCTAACCTTGAGATACCCTCCGCTCACTCCCTCACGCCAACTTCACGACCTCGCACCCTCTACCTTCCACACACCCACCTAACCGTCCAACTCCTCGTCCATTTTCTCTACACTTCATCCCTGCCGCCTATTGATTCTCCGTTATGTACCCCTCAAATTCTCTGCTCGCTTCTACAGCTAGCTCGACCGTACCAGGTTGATGGATTGCTTGAAGCCACCGTTGAACGTCTCCACCAGGTTCTTGATGGTAGAAATGCGGCCGCAGTATTCAACGCCGCCGCCATGGCCGCCGGAGGTGGACGTGGGACCGGCTTCACAAGTGGTCCTGGTGGGACATTGGAGGTGCTGAACGGTGTCAAATTGCGCTCTGATCAGCCTGGGACTTCTTCAAATTCACAAATGTCTGCAATTCATTCTAGCTCAGATAATGACGGCGGACATGTGGACAGAAAATCTGCGTCTGGTCGTCGCGAGTCCAGCAACTCTGCTTCCCAGCAACGACCGTCAAATCTTCGAATCAACACCGACCTGGGAATGCGTCATCGCGCGGAATCAATCAGTAGCGCTAGTACCGTTACCTCCGCGTCGACAAATACTAGTTTCAGTTATACTGACTCCGATATGGGCCGCCAATCTAGCAGCGGTGATGGGTCTAGCAGACATCATGCCCACAGCAGGCCGGATAGAGACGTCTGGACGGGAGGAATCAGTTGCGTAGTTGGTCTACAGAAACGTGGGTTGAGGGGGTTAATGGAAGGGCGACGCCTTAGAGAACGAGGTGCGATAAATGGCGGCGATGATCGGAGTACGCCTACGGCTGGTATAACGTCGAATACCACGTATATGACCAGTGCTGCTCCTGGCTCTGCAATGGGAATATGAAGATGTTATGAATTATATATGGTATGACCCGAATTTTGGACCTATCTTACTACTACATTGCATGTCTATTTTGATGGTGATGTGCAGAGAGTTCATCACTTTCATCTGAGCTACAATGCTATTTGATGTGATCCATGTTGTTTTAAACTTATGTTTTATGTCAAGATGTTTTCTGTTGTGCCGTGTTGTGGCCTTTCTAGAATGGTTTGCGCTCTCACTTGATACATCGTGAATACCCCCTTATCCGCAGTTGCTTGGAATTTCTGGTATGTTGTTAACCTCCGTTTTGGTGTGATCTCCCGTTTCCACTTGCACTCTTGTTTTTGGCTCACTGATTGATATTTTGACATCGGTATTTATCTAACATTTGTCTTTCTTTTCCTTATCGATAGTGCGACAAGTCATATCTAATGATCCTATGAGAAAATTGGAATTGGAATGCTGAAAAGTAAGGCTTGAAAGAACATATTTGCTCCCTCAAAGAATTTTTACTCCGAAGGATATGCAACAAGCGCAATAATTATACCCATAATTATTAAAGAGGATAAAATTACCCTAGACCAAGAGGCCCGGGAAAGAGAAAGGTGCTAGAAATACACAAGGAAGAATCATATAGAAGGAGAGAAAGAAAGAAAACACTCCAGTCCCAACCTGAATCCACAGCCAGAACCAAAGACGTAACAAAGAAATAATATGAAACGAGAAGTACAATAACCCAATTTTTTTGTTTGCCCTTCACCATTAGAAAAAATATATCGTCGAAAGAAGAGAGGAAAAAGGAAGAAGCCGAACCGATAGGTTATCACAATTATCTTCCGGGTACCGCTCTTGCAAGCACCCTGACATTATCCACGAACCCTTTGATCAGTTCCTCGTATTGATTAGCTGGGTCGCCCGCAAGAGCAAGATCGCCTTGTCGTCTAATTTCTGCAGAGGAAATTTCGATTTCGAGTTCGTGCTCAAAATCAGCTTGTGGGTTTGGAGGATTGTTTGCCTGCAGCGGGGGTAACGTCAATAAATTACTCCACAGAACCGAGCCCGAGTCTATAAAATTGGAGAGTACTCACTTCCGCAGTGGCAACCTGCGTGAGGTCAATTTGATATGCTAAATGCCGATAACTCATGCGATCCTTGTTCCTAGACTTAGCCCTCCCACCAAAGTTACCCGCGTCGCTCGCTGGTATGAGTTCATTGATGTCTCCCTCATAGTTCATTTCCAAGTTCACGCTAATCCGCCAATCGAGGTTCGTTCTCGGGCTATAAACATCCAGGTCTGCAATGCGGCATTTGATAATCCGAGCCAGTATCGCTCCTGTCCGTTGATCTGTAGTAACACGGACTTTGGGCTTGTGGCGGGGATTGAGGTGATGCTGGACGATTGGAGGGAGCGCGGAGGAGGATATTTCATAGAAAGTATCACGTTCCTTTTTGTGTGCATATGTAATTGGGATGCGGGATGAACCAGGTCCCATGGAGGATTTGACGGATTCATTGAGGAAGTTGTTCAAAGAGCGATGTTGAGCCTAGATCTCAATCATTAACACCTACTCGGAAATGTCAACAGCGGCAAACAGCGGACGGAATGCGTACCAGTGTCATGGAGCTTTCGAAGGCGATTCGCATGCTTGGATCATCTCTGCTGATAATGCATTCAGTGAGCACCGGAAGGCGTACTCTCTCGCCTCTATTTTTGTCAACCAGCTGTCCAAGTTTGGCTTCTACCTCTAAAATGGCTCCGGATCCTGTGGCTGATCCTCCAGCAGGACCAGCACCGATGTCCTTTCGCATGACGACCTGTTGGAATAAAAAGTCACATATTAACTTCGTAACCTCTTCGTGCGGAATGACACCGGTGATCGAGGGCTCCCACGGTCCGAGGGACGATGTAGAGTCACCAGCCGTGCTAGATCGTGTGGCGTTTCCATTGACATCGGATCGAGTACTTTGTGGTGTTGGAGCTTGTCGAGGAGGCATAGACCTGTTTCGTGACACAGGCCGATCATCCGGGGTCTCGCGCTTAGGAAACGGAGGTTTGAACGGAAAAGAAGAGCCGGCCTTATATCTCGTTGGAATCGCAGGAGGGGTTCCTGTAGTCCGAGGAGCTTTTTGAGCGTAGATTGGAGGTTCATGATATCGCTTGCGCTTCTTTCGTGGTACAAACGAAGAGGCAACTGAGGGAGGAGCCGGTTGATCGGTTATCTTCATCGGTGTATCCTGGTGCTGAAACGATAAATCTGTCTCTCTCCTAAATTGCTGCTTCGACGTCGGAGATACGGTTGAAGGATGACTAGAGTTTGAAGGATGAGATGTTTTAGGGGTGGTGGGTGGATACAATGACTGGGATGTAGGGTCACTTTCATGTGGTGGTGCCGGATTGTTTGTTGTCGTACTGGATGTTTGCCATGATAACCTGTCAGGTTCATTGTTCGAATGAACTTGCAAAGAGCGATCTTGAACACGCCCAAGGTCCCCAGCAGCATGGCCAGATTTTCCGAGTACCGTTTTAGGGCTCACGCTGGTCCTCTGGCGATCGACGTCTCGCTCGAGCAAGTGTTGTTTATGCAGTTGGTCCGCCAGAGATGATCGCTGCCGTGAGATCTGCGATTGAAGAATAGGCGAGACTGATTCCTTTTGCTCCCTTTGCTGATCGGGTCTGTCCCATGGGCTGGTTAACGGTGCATGGTCCGCATCAAGCCCTGAAGAAGTTGGACGCGTCGGATGAGGGGACGGTCTCTTCAGCGATGCCGAAGGAGGCCCCAGAGGGGTCGCCGGCTGCGAGCCTGCTTGGTTGGGGGAATATGGCAAAGATTGAGGCAACTCAGCATGCTGAGCTGTTCCGGCTTCCTCGCGTGGAGCAGGAAACGAGAAGCTGCGAACCGACGACGGCGTCGTGGCGGAATGAATCGAGTGAGAGCGGGCCTGGGAGAAGTAAGTCTGCTGTGTTCCCGAGCTCAATGGCTGCGGAGTAAATGGCGAGCAGATGGAGCTTGTGGGGTGAGCTAGGGGGGCGGATGTGGCCGCAAAGGAGTCGCGCGCAACGGGGAGGAAGGACTGGGAGCCTTGGGGGTGGGATGAGGCGTTCGGGGGCGGAGGAATGCCACTTAGGATTGAGCTGGCGGAAGAATGCTGGTATGGCGATTGAGCAGAGCCGTAGGAAGAAGATCGTCCTGGTGAATGAAGAGGAGGCTGCAGTGGTGGAGGCGGTGGTGGCCTTACACGCGGTTCGGGTGGATGGGAGGGATGGACCGGAGGAGATGTTTCATTAGGATAACTCGCTCGGCGAGGGCTGGGTTCTCTCGTGCGCGGCTGCAAGGGAGAGGGTGGAGGTTGTGCTTGGGGCGGTTTGCTCGGGACCCCCGCGGAGTCGGAGTTCATGATTGTGCGCAAGTCCATGATGGATTTGGATCACACATTGAGGTTAAGCTGATGAAAACTCGGGCGTTCGCCTCATAGTAGTCGGGATGGATGGTTCTTCGATGTCGACTAGTCAGTAGATGAGCTAGTATAGGCTTTCTGATGCCCAGCAGAGAGTACGGCAGCAGCAGGAGGATTCGTCGCCATCCATGCGAGATCTTCTCTCTGGCGACGTCGGATGTTTTGGGTGCGGACGAAGTCTGCTCATTGCCTGCTGTATGGAACTGTAAATACTAGGTCTGTACGGAATGCCCCAGCAGACTTAGCAGTTATTGCAATGTTAATTACCGTAAATATGTGCACTTAACCATACTAGCAAAACGGTCACCGCCCGTCCGTCGCCGCGCTGATTCGACCAGCTTGCAGCACTTTCTCGCCGCCTCGCGCTCGGGCTGGACGGCGAGATGCTCTATTAATGCATTGACGGGTGGTGAGAGTGTTGCTTTTTCTGACCTCGTTCTGCGGTGGTTCGGACACCTCCGAACCCCTTTTTGAGCCGACAGCACCGGAATGAAGATGGACCCGTTTCAGGTCAGGCATCTTGCACCAAGACATGCAGTTTAATCCTGTACACCAATTGATTCTACCAGCCAATGCATGGCAGCCAGCGTGTGCTGGCTGTACTCCACAGAGGCCAAGAAGAATGTCTATGCAGAGTACACATTGCTACAGAGTACAGTAGAGGATGGTTACCCTAAAGAAGAGGGCAAACAACCAGCGACGAATCATCCATTAACAAACCCAGGTGTCTTTCCATCTTTTCGGGGATACTGGGAATGATTCTCTTTGCTTCCTGCTTCGGTGTCATTGTCAAACAAATAGCAGTCAACTAACAACCATGCGGCAGCGCTTTTTACAAAGGTTTATTCCCTTTAGGGCTAGTTTTCACTCTTCACATCTCTGACCTCTTGCGAGAATGGCAACTGGTTTGTTCAGAAGCATTGGCTTTACCGGATATGCAGGCCGGTTGACAATAATCACATAGCTTCCAGTATATGAGCATTTGGAGCATTTGACTACACTTGCGAACAGTTTCTTCTTGGAGAAAATGAACAAATTGCCAAACACAATAGTTATATATTTTAACGCACATGAGCTTGAATCCATAGCAACAAATTCAGTAAATGTGAGGATGCATATTGGCATCAATCAAAAAAAAAAAAAAGGAAAAAAGGAAAAAAAAGGCCCTGATGACCTGTACAACAAAGTGTATCAAATAGATAAGAGCAAGGAAGTTATCACAAAGATCTCAAAGCCCAATGCTGGCATATCCCATACCACTGCTAGTGAAGCTACGCAATGTACTCTAAAACCCTGCACCACAGGTGTGTATACATGGCATTGCTCTTGTAAAACGATCTCTGTCAACCCTCTGCCAATATGCATTTTCATTGTGTGCTCTGCCTTGGATTATCGAAAAGCGATTGACCACTGCGAGCACCAGCCGTTAAAGCTGATCCGAACGAACCGGTTTTGCATCAAGTATGGTCACGAGTATACTTATATTTACCGACAAGATACCACATACGCGCCAGGCATCATCAGTCTAGGTTCACTATTGAAGAAAGAAACGGTCCTCGACAACTAGGGAGCCTAAAAAGTATTCCTAATTTGCTTGCCCATGTACCACCTTTCAAGTTGCCCAAAATCTAGGGTGGAGCAAGGACGAGTCAACTAACACAACCAGTTAAGTTTTCTCGGTTCTATATTCAAAATAATAGTTTGACCCATACCATCAATTATCTTTTCGGGATGCTGATATGAAATAACCATTAACTATTGTCACCTATGCTCTCTATATTAGCTCTATCGTATCAGGGATTCCATATCCTGTTATGGAGAACAATAGTATGTGGAACCTGGGAGCAAGTTATTTACCTAACATTAAAGAAGGAACTGCTCCAAAGGGATAAAATGAGTTCTCATATTGTACCCAGGATGTATCGTAAACGCTCATAATAATCATAGGCATGCAAATATGGTTTTCAAGTGCCAGCACCAAGAATGATGAGCAAAAGAAGAAAGAAACAAAAGTGAACAACAAGCCCAGATCAGCTGGGATATGCAAAATAAACCAATATACTTCCAAAAACTGGCTCATACGCCTTCTGCAAAAGAAAAAAAAATTCAGAAAAAAAAAGGTGAAATCACACTCCACAAAGCTGCATCAGCAATGCACAAGCTGGACAAAACCTGCTGGATGACTGTGCCCAATGCTATACAAAGACGCAAAAATAAAAATAAAAAATAAAGGGACCGGAACAGGCCTGGACCAGATGGTATAGTGTGGTATGGGCATAGAAATGGGATTCTAATCATATAGATACACCCCATAATCCTTTCCCGCCAGACACACCCAACCAGCCTGAGACATTGCCACTAGGGGCATGGGGCGCCCAGCTGACGTTGGACACCTCGTAATCACACTGCCATGCTGCAGCCGGTCCGCGCTCCATCGTTGAGGCGCCACTTGAGCTGTTATGATGTGGCTGGCCAGCTGGCGTCTGTGAGCTTATTGCAGCCGCATTGTTCTGATTTATCAAATCCCATATGAGAACAAGGGAGTCATCGGCACCCGAAGCAAGAGTCCCTCGGCGGGCAGGACACCACTCCACGCAATTGATTGGCGCGGAATGGCCCTTGAGCTCGAGAAGAGCCTGGCCTGGCTGCCGGACGTCAAGTATTCGGATGACGCTAGAGTCTTGAGAAAACGTTGCCAAAAGATGTGCATCATGAGGAGAAGCTACATGTGAAGTTTAATCAGCATAAGACCAACACTGGCAAAATATATATATATATATATGAAGCTGAATAAATCATACCGGCAATTCGTAATAATGGCGGGGGCCAAACACTTGGATAGGATGATGGAGACAAATTGCCAGGGTTAGCCACTATGCTTAGTTAGCACAAAGCATGTTCAAGATGGATTTCTCACACGTACATTTGTCATTCTTTTCTGACGGTTCGTAGATGATGGTGCTGTGTTCCAGGCTTCTTAAGTCAAACATTCGAACACTACCATCCGCGCCACAACTGACAAACACATCGACGCTATTGGCACAAAACCGGACATCATAAACCTCCCTGTCATGAGCAATGAGTTGTGTTTTGGCGGTTAAGGTAGGGATATCCCATATTGTGCAAGTTGTATCGATGCTGGATGTGATGATGAGGCTTGGGGAGACTACATTCCAGTCAAGAGATGTTATGGGGGCTGTATGCTCGGGAGATTTCGAGTTGGAAAGCAGAGCAAGGGGCGATAGTTTCTGAACAGGAGGTCGGGCATTTGTTGACCGGTTAATAGAACTGCTTCCATGATGGCGAAATTGAGACGACTCTGACGGCAGCGACCACAGCCGGAGATGGTCCCCGGAGGTCGCCAACAGATCGGTAGATTGCTTTTGTGATGATGGAGGCTCCCATAGTATTCGAGTGACCGGATAAGAATGTGTTGCTTCGGCGATCTTGACGAATTCTAGCCCTGGTAGGCCATCTGGTTCCGGGTAGTCCCTATCGGGTGGCGTGTACTGGGCGCTCAAAATTTGGATCTATCCTATCTCGTTAGCAAGGAGAGCGGGATATAATTGAAACGGAAGATAGACGAAGGAGCCATACGTAATTATGGTTGTCCTCAAGATAACTCCCAATAGCCACCTTTCCGGCGGTTGGAGTGCCCGGCGGGACCGACCATTTACACCAGTCTAACGCATAGACACTCCAAGGGGCCATATAGTTGCAATTCGTGGAAATCGGAGGATCTGCATTATTTGCCTGGCCCGCTCCGCTCACGTCCTCCATCATCCCATGGTCCATACGTGACCGAATGTCTGCCAAACCCAACGGTGAATACTGATTACCCTGCGAATACGTAGCTAACGTTGGGGAGATGTACTTCGAGCCATCTGAAGAACCTCCAAAGGGCTTATACTTTTGCTGATCGAAAGCAGCAGGGCTGGAAGCGGAGTAGGAGTGCGGCTGGGTCGCTAGGGCTGGCCTGGAAGGGGAGGAGGCTGGAGGTTGTTGCGAGATAGTAGGCAAAGTAGGGGCGGTATTGCTTGATATAGGGCCCGAGCGGCTTGCATTTCCAGGCTGGAGAGCGCCTGGCAACACATTCCCGGGGTTGGTTTGGCCGGTGCTCGCGGAATACTGGGGATGGGATTGCGGTGGTGGTTGGGAGGCGGAAGCTTGGATGCCCACCGTCGTCGGAGGATGATTGGCAGCATATTCTGGCGGTGCAGGGAATTGATGCTGCGCAGGTCGTGGGCCATTCGAGGGGAGAGAGCTGTTCGCGGATGGGATGTGCAGCTCCTCTGGCTGTCGGGGAAATGTTGGGCCTCGACCAGCCCCTCCGAAGCCATGAGAGTCTGCCATGGGTCGCTAGAGGACCAACGGGGTCCTTGACCTCGCGAAACTGGTCGGTCGTCGAAGCTGAAAGACGGCGCAACCTGTAGACTATCGGGACGGGTCAAATTTGCATGATTGTGCTGTAGCTCGTGGCGTGAGAGCGGTGGATGTCGAGAGTTCGAAGCGCTGCGGCTCCGGAACCCAACTCCTTGGTTGGCCCTCGACCAAACTCCAGCTACCAGCTCACGAGCAATATAACTGACGACAAAAGATCTCGTTCTGAACAGCTTTAAGTAGGTAAACAGTAGTTTGACGAAAGCGATTTACGAGCCAGATGCGATACTTTCAATATATATATATATAATAGCCGCTGCGAGGATGAAATGCGAGTGACAGCAGCCAGCTCGAGGACGTGTCATCCCAACGACTGTGCCTCGAACTATTGAATGATACCAAGTAACTAACTATGGGTTACAACATGGCTACTGCTATCCCCGAGCTTCCAGCTCTCTGCGACCCCCCTCTTTCAGTCCTTCCCTTAACCCAGGCAATCTCCAATTGCAGGTACAAGGGCAAGGGGAGGTGAGCAGAGGTTACTTATCAAATATCATCCTCTTCTCGTTGTGCTTGCCGTGTTTCCCACGCTCTCAATTTCTGATGAGGCTGTGCCTTGGCGGCTTAGTAAGCTAGCTTAGAGCTGAGCGCGCAAAAAGTCACCCGCTAAAACTGTCGTCGCGAAGCTTGCAGCTTGAAAGGTTGAATTCCCTCGGCTTAACCCGCGATGACGCTCGCTTCCGGCTGCTTGGCCCATAGTATATTGGCGTGCTGCCGTCCCTTCATTATTTTGATACCCCCGAGTCAGTGAAAGGCCCAACAAACAGAAGCAATCTCATCTAGGACACGCTCTGTCGGAATTTACAGTTAAGGCGTCTGTCCTGTCAGCAAATTATCTCGCTCTTCCTTACAGCGTGCCCCGCTTGCTTGCGACTGGGATGGCCGGAGACGGCAATAACCTTCGCCATGAAGCTCTCCTTCTTTTGCCTGGAGCGACATTTCCTTCGTTTGCTGCCTTGAAACTCGCATACGAACAAGCTATATCCACGGCCCTGTTAGCATTATCCAGCTGTGTGAACGGATCAAGACGCTCTGCCATACTGGATATAGCTGTTGCGGTCTCTGGCCTCTCTCTTCCGGATGCCGAGCTGAGAACCAAATCGTTTGATCGCCTTCAGCGACTGCTGGCCAGTATTTATAGACTCGTGGGAGTCGTTGGCGTCAAGCGGTCCGTTGACCTCGATGGCCCCGGCGGTGTTGACGCCAGGATCTTCTTCGTGGACTGTACCCACGGGAAGCCAATTGAATCGCAGACTTCCGGCCCGCCTCAGATTGGGCCTGTCGTCGACCTTGCGTCCCTGGCGGCCGCTGGACGCTCCTGGGAACACATTTACTCTGTCGATTCGCCTCAGGGAGACGAGTTCTTACGTGATTTGAGGGAGGCAATAGCGCCCAACTTGGGCAATCAATTGAAGATACGGAAGTTGCCTGGCACGAGTGGCGCACGGTCACTGGCTCTGCACGTTGACAGAACCACGACGCACTCGACTCCACATTATTCCGTCGCCGTCGGGGGCACATTCGACCATCTGCATACCGGGCACAAGCTGCTCCTCACAGCTACGGTCCTCCCTCTGGATCCATATGTCGCCCAATCTCCACAAAAACGGAGAATCGTCACAATCGGAATTACGGGGGATGAGATGCTAGTGAACAAGAAATACGCCGAGTTCTTAGAGTCCTGGGAAGAGCGATGGCGGGGTGTGTGGGAATTTCTACAGTCAGTTGTAGACTTTTCCTCTCCGTCAGACCGCAGTCAGACCAAATTTGAGCGCATTTCGGACCCCGGTCCAAATGGTCAACGCGTTATCGTCCTAGTCGGTTCCAGTTTAGAGTTCAGATTCGTGCAGATCGCCGACCCATTCGGTCCGACCATCACGGATGAGGATATTACGGCTTTGGTTGTCTCCAAAGAAACTCGATCTGGTGGGAAATCCGTCAATGACGAGCGCGAGAAAAAGGGCTGGGCCACGCTAGAAGTTTTCGAAGTCGATGTTCTGGACCTGAGTGAAGCAGAGGCAGGAACGGGCGAGACGTCTGCAGAGAATTTTGAATCAAAGATCAGCAGCACTGAGATTCGAAGACGTCGTATGAATGTAGCAAAAGGCAGCCCAAGTCTCTGAAACATATGCCAACGCATCAATTGATTTTTCACATTTAATGGATCTCTATCTAGCTCTTTCTTTTTTTTTTTCTTTTTTTTTTTTTTTTTTGGTTGGGAGTGGAATCACTTCTATTGTATTTCGAAGCCAACCACTGACAAGGGTGTCCATTACAGCCTCCGTCTTCGCTGCACTATTTTCACTCAGGCGTAGGGATTTCTTGCATGGCGTCCACACCTATCGTGTCGGCTCGCCTCTGCAGATTAAACAAAGCTCAAAACCCCACACGAATGATCGAGAATGCAATAGGTGCCTGATGGAATCCCTTTTGAGACATGACAACGAGCCGCTTTGGATGCCACATTGGCCGAGCCCCGCAGTTACGGGAATGTTGGAGTCCTTCCGATACAGGTTGTTTATGCAGGACGTGCAGCGATGGCAGGACAATCGTCTCGAAAATACTCCTGCTAGTTTCTCCTTGGCAGCAAGGTGGGATGTGAAGGAATTGCGTGGTTGTATGTATGATTTTCTCTGCAAGATGTGTGAGAGCAAGGGTTATCAGCGGCATGCACAGCCGGTGATTTGGCATGAAAGCTGTGTTTCGCTTTTTGGCCACCTTGGGAATCCATGTTGATACATTTCCCCTGATAGATCACCTTAAAAAAAAAAGAAAAGAGAGAGAGAGAGAGGAACAAGAAAATTAGTAGTCTTTATTTGTTCGAGGTTATTCATCTTCGAATGCGTGGAAAGCTTCCGGCGGTGGCGATGGCCCGTTTCTCTTTTCATTGCCTGAAGACCAAGAGTCATTGCTGAACCGAGAAACAACAGGGGAGGGGGAAAAGAGAAAAAAAAAAAAGGAACAAATGGACCAAAGGAGGGGTTGCTCCATGTTCACTCTCGGGATTAGTTATTGTCCCCGTTCTTAGCTTGCAAAAACCGTATTCGAGACGGGTCCCGGGATGAATCGCAACCCCAGCAGCGCTTAAACCTTCAGACCTCTTCTGCTGGCCTCTGTCGACAGTCATTGACTGGGCGGCCTTTTTTTTTTTTGGCCCCCTCGCCTTTAGCAGAGCTGCTAAGCTCCAATGCCCGTTAACTAGCTGATTAACCAACCGGTTAAATCTTCTCGTGAACATCAGCCGATGGGAGTAGAAGCGGCAATTTTGTTTCCCACCCCAACGTTGTACAAGAACGATCGCTCTCAACCACTCGCGAGGGAGTACCCCATCCCACTTCATGTAGGGAGCAGTTACATATCTTCTCTGCGGTCCACATGAAGTCATTAGTTAACCTCCGCGTTCCAGACCCGGATGCCATCGCGCCCGTGTTTACGACCCTTGCGCCAACCAACGAATTTCCTTGTCGGTTGGACCGAACCGCTGATTCGTCTCGATATTTACAAGCCTTCGCTGCTGACGAGCCAGGGGGTCATACCTGTGCATGTCTTGGGGCGCTTTCCGCTACCCACCAGGGATTGACCGGTGCAGACTGTCAACAGTCAACGACAAGATCCATCTCTCACCAACGATTCGTCCGCCACAGCCGCGCCAGAGCACCGACTGTGCCTGTCTCTTGTTCTTCTCAGTCTCCATTCGCTCAACGCGCATTGCTCCCGCAGCGGGCTGAACGATCTGCTGGTGTCTTTTCGGTCAGCTGATTTCTTGGTGTAGGAGGAATTATCGTCATTGGACCAACAGGTTCTTTTCCTCTTGTATCCCTTGCTTTCGCTGATAAGCTGTCTCGAAGGGAGGAATAAGAAAATAAATAGAGGTCAGAGAAGCCCTGTCTGGATATGCACACGTTTGTTGATGCTACTCGACAATGGCGACGGGGATGAGAACGCCTGAATTGATGGATTTCTATCATGTGCGTACGTAGCCCAGTTGTCTTTGCGATCCGTTTGCTCGTATGGCCATCGCCATCTTTTGTTCCCCTGACCTCGCGGCCCCTCCCCCTTCAGTTCCCTCTTGCTGGCACATCTGAGGACTTTGACAACGGTCCCCGTGTCGCCTGTTGTTCCTCTTCTTTTCTACCTTCCTTTCCTCCTTTGTTTCCCTTCCCTTCCCCTTCCTCTACAGCCTCAGGAATATTTCTCTCTTCGTATTCTTTGGTGCCTACTATTCCAGATTTCAAAATGCTATGTATCTGATTCTGACCTCCCTTTCACCCGCCGCTGCTGATGTTGACTTGTCTCCGTAAATACTACCACCTGGTTTGATCCAAATCTTCTGGCGTGACTAGTTACCACAACCCGCCAGCCAAAATCCCCTCCTCCGTTCGTCAAGCTGGCGTATCTGCTTCAGTCACTTTTCTCTTTCCTTTCGTCTTTCTTTGAGCGTTTTCGTCTTTCCCATGACGACCAATCTGATAAAGACGCTCAAGCGGCCCGTGAACCGCTGACAGAATCTAGGGGCACGCAGATGAACGACGAACCACGTGGCATTCTGAGACTCTCCAACGAGCTTCTCAAGGAGATTCTCGACCACCTTTCTCGGGATCCTGACAGGTGTATCAGCGTGGACCATCGCGCATCTCTGTCCATTGAGAGTTTCAAGAAGCCAGGCCCGCCAGAACCCCCGTCCCTTGATGTTCGCAGTGACATCGACCGGTTTAGGGAGGTATGCAGGAGGTTTGCAGACGTTGGAGCCGCCCATAAGTTCAATCGCGTAGTGGTACGATTCTCTACGTCTGCATTTCAAAGGCTAGACAAGCTTTCTAGCGCTCCCCATCTGGCTCGGCATGCGAAGAGCTTTACATACATCATTCGGTCCTTTTACGTGGAAGGTGGTACTGCCTTTCCAACACTCTGCACATTTTATGCCTTGGTGGGACGCTGACCTTGGCCTATAGGACGCGACAATATACCCCAACTGCTGCTAACCGCCAATTCCAGCAAGATCAGAATTGATGATCATCTTCGTAGGATAGAAGAGCAGAGGAAGCTGGTTAGATCGGGCGAAGATCTCGCTTCGTTAAAACGTGCCATGAAGGTATTCACGACGCTTCAACATGTCAAGATCCTGAGAGTGCAAGATGAAGTGGAGCGTGATTTGCGGCAGTTTATTGAAAGGCATGATAATCCCCTGGACCCTTTGGTTGTGCTGGATTGGAACCCGGCTTGCATTCGCGCAGTCCAGACGATCGGTACCGCTATTTTAGAATCCGGGTCCCCCATCAACCGTTTCTCCGGTCCACAGATAAGCCCGCAAGCCGCCCTTTATTTAAGGTTTGCTCCTGCTGAGCAGATGTCGATTCTCGCGGGGAAAATAACGTGCCTTGAGATACACTTCGACGCAATGAGGTACGTAAACGCGGAAATGAGAGAGCTGTCCGATGTCTTCCACACCCTTTTCCTTGCGGCAAGGAATATGGAGGCTGTTCACCTGGGATTTCCATCTCGTCTACCCCTCGATTTATCTCTAGAGGACATATTCCATAATGTTTACTGGCCACGACTCCGAGCCTTTGGAATCCAAGCGTGGCGACTGGATTCTGATGAGATTATCAATTTCGCCCGTCGTCACCGCAAGACACTACGCGGTCTCCGGCTTCGCGATGTTTTGTTAAAAGAAGGTAGCATGTGGAAAGACGTACTCTCCATGTTGCATGATGAGATGGAGCAACTCGAATGGGTCAGTCTTCGACGAATAGACTACTCGAACGCCTTCGACGAAAAATGGGCCACAAGCGCAGATATCTCCGATATTCAATCCTTCCCGAACTCAGATAGTGAAGAGGAAGATATTTTCGACGGATACGATGGACAGAATGGGCATGTAGACGACAATATGAGCATTGGGGAGGAGTCCGATGGAATGAGCGACCACAACGGCGATGATGGTCCGCGAGCAAATCAAATTGAGCTGGCTCCCGACACAACCATTAATGCGCCAGTCCTGCAGCTACCGCCGTTCACAAACCAATGGGAACTCTTATCTACCGTATCGGCTGACGAACTTGATGACAATGGGCTGAATGTGGAGTATAGACAGCGAAAGATCTGGGAGGCTTGGGTTATTTCAAAAGCGAGGAACAAATGACTGTGATTTATTCCTTGGGAGCGGGAATAGTAGGTTTTTCTTTCCGGTACTAAATGGTTATATATCGTACTTTGCTCACAATCATGGCGGTCTTATACCGGACGTGGGTTCCCCTGGGTTATTTCGTGATACCTATCTCTTTTTTGGACCTTGGCCTGTATGGGTGGATTCCCCTGCTTTTCCAGATTTATGACGTGATGATAAAGGTTTGATTTATAAGTTTAGACTTAAGATTAGTATGATGTTTCTCTGATTTCAATCTTGGTAATAGCTCTACATATACAAACTGCTGGCGTCTCGTAGAAGCGAAGACTGATGATTAAGGACATAAATCCGGTGGGATAAACGATTCCTCCCTTTCAGAAAACTATTCTCCATCCAAACGCTGAACCAAGGATCAAGAGATATCTAGTAAGAACCCGACTCCTCACCCACCACTGATCTCAAAAATGTTCCCGAGCCCAGATGCAGTGAGTCTTCGGGCTCGGCCGTAAAGCCATCACATGATGGACTGCCAAATTGGGTAACACGCATATAGCTCTACTCCGACGACACGCCACGAGCGAAAGGAGGGACCCAACAAGCTGTTTGCAACGATTAAAACTAGCGACATCGTGGTTCAATCTCACCTCGTTTTCCCGCATTCACGGAATACAAGACTCTTTCATTCCATCAAGGTTTGCTCTAGCAATTGCAGGCTAGACTCAAGTAGTTCGTCCTCTCGCTGATGTTTGAGAACATACCCACATGCAGACGCCGGGTATTCGAGCAGTTTCAAGATCCGTGGGTCATCACTATGCTCCAAGAACATGCAGAGAGCTGTGCACTCGGCGTGCATTCGTGGGTATATCCACCACTCCTTCTGCTCGCACATCTTAGCCATCCAAATCGCCAGAATGAGACACGCTCTCGGTTCCTTTCGATGCAAGAGATTGGTGTATGGCGGTAGGAGTCTGCCCATAAAAGTGCAGAATTTGCTAAAATGTTCGCGAATCATCGGTAGGTTGAGCAGCGGACTGAGCATTCTCAAGGGCCAGTGGTATGGGTTATCATCCTCCGTAGTCGTTTCTCCAATTTCACACAGATCTGCGAGTTGTGGGTCTAGGCCAACACGACCAGGGCGATGGTCGTCGAACGTTTTGTTTTCGTCATCGGACTCCATGAAAAAATCCCACCAAATACTCTGCCGAATCCATGGCACGGCAGATTGGATGAGATATCGAAGGCCGCCTTGAACTAAAAGCCAATTGAGGTCCGTCGGGCGTGACGAGAAGACCCAAGAATCAAGGGGGTTGTATTCTTTTTCGCAAAAGGATAAAACCCCCATCATCATGCAAGTTGACATGAGTGCGTCCATGTTGTGTGCTCCAACTGGATTCTGGATTTCCTTTTTGTATAATCTGATGGCGACTTCCCAGTGATACGCTTCCGCAACCTTGTGTGATTTATCATGTATCGACATCTGATACATGGATGTGCAGGCTACACCTAAAATAGCATGCATAAGATGTGGTGTCTAAATCGGTAAACGGTAAGGGGTCAGCCGAAGAAATAAACGGGAGACAACAGGGGGTGGTGGCACGGACACGAAATGCCAACCGCATCATATCCCCCCTAACTACCTTCCTCGACGAATCCGTCATGGATGCTATCAGGCCCACTGTCTGTACAAAATGATTCAACGCTAACGGTGCATTTTTCGCTGTGAATGATGGCAGTGGTCCGGGGTCAACGCCTGATAACGAGCCTGAGCGAAGCACCTCCAATATCCTATTGCCGAGATCCGTCACAGACATAGAGAAAGCCGACGCGTCGATTTGGCGAGAATTAGATGCACATGCGGTTGCAAGCGTTAATTGGTTGTCTACGGCTGTATAGTCGCAAGATACACCATAAGCTTCACACCTTTGACAGTGAGGCTTCGTTTCGTCACACTACGATAAGCATCATTAGGACCCAATTTCAAGAAATGCCCACATACTCAGACCACTCATGGGAGGCGTAAGAAGGCGATTAGCTCAGTCAGCTTTGGGGTGAACATGATTCTAACCTTGACTCTCCGTCTTTTGCAGTTTCCGCATCCTGTTCGAGATTTGCGATGTGACCTTCGGGGGCGGAAAACGGGTTCTGCCGCGGTGCCGCTTTGGTCCTGCGTCCCGAGGCGCCGTGTCCTTGTCGTTGGCTTACGAGAATCTTTAATCCGAAAAACAATTTGATTCTTAACAACTCGATTGGTGCTGGTCATCGAGCCATCCCTTGCGTCTTGTAGAGCTTGGCGAGGCAATGCCAATGCGGAAGAGGTATCTGCCTGTGCGACTGGCAGAGCTGGCAGGCGGGATGCAGGGGCATTACGAGGATATTCCATTATTGGAATAGTAAATTCTGATCAATTTCAGATTGGGAGTTCGATTCTCCAAAAGGGGGAGACACCACAAAATATAGCTCTCATCAGGCTCCCCTGCGCTACTTCAGGTTCGAGACAGTGCTAAATTGCTGGGGTCGCCAGAGATTAATGAATCCGTGGGTTGGAAATATAAGCCAAGCTTGAGGCGATGACGAGAAAGTAACGGCCGAATGTGGAGGAAAAACGGGCAGGTTGTGCATGGGTGTACCTCAGACGAACGCTCGACCTGGCAGGGCGCTCTCCAATCTCTGGGCAGATCCAGCCCTACGGTGAGCCTTACCGATGATCCGATCCTTGGCGTACGATGACTAGTCCGAACGCGGGAAAGCCTCAACCCCCAGGCCGCAGTCTTGGCATGGCTCGCCATGAAGCTTCTTTGGTGTGGCAACGGCGAACGACCAACCGCTGCTTGCTTGAGCCAAAGGTTCAGCGAGGACGGACCCTGCGTTTCCCCGGCCGGCTGACTCCACTCCGGGAAGCCTTGAGCCACACAGCCCGTCTCTACATATGGAGTTTCCGAGATGGAGTACGGAGTATCGAGCTCAGCCATGGGATTTGGGTAGCAATCTCGCCATTCCCACGAACCAATCTTGCCGAAATTCTGCAAGCTAAAAACAGCCAAGGAACTATTTATGCACTTCCGCCTGATTATCATGGCGATATCTCTTGGACAGCTCAAATCTTCCATTGCGATGATATCTCCGAACTATACTTTAGTCTGGGGTTCGCCTCATAGTAGGGGCTGAGTCAGTTACAGGCCTTCCCGTGGTAGTGCCTCGCCTGAAATAGACGTTTGCAGTGAGTTCCCCGTCATTGCAAGATTCGTGGAAATCCTTTGGCACGTTGCCCTCCGAGGAGAAGGCTGGGCGAAAAGCATGGACTTTTAAGCAGCGATGGGCCAAACGCTAATTTGACGCAAGAGCGCTCTATTTATGGAAATACAGAAACAAATGCAGGTAAAAAGAGACTTTCCATGTGCCTCGTTCACGTCTGTCTGCGATTCTTCATCCATAGTATACAGAAGGAAGTCAATTGGTTTCGCCAGATAAGCGACAAAAATTCCTGTTAATATACACAGCCTGGCGCCACTTTCAAACAAGAGGCTTTGCAGGTTGGCTCATGTGAGTAGAGACATGAGTGTCCTCGGTTTCGACGAAGTCCTCGTCTTCATCCTCATCACCTGCAATTCCCATGGCTCTGTTCCAAACCCCATCCCATACACCCTTCTTTGCAACTAATGTCCCCGCCATCAGCAGGGGCAAGTGCCACACGCTAGCCCAAAACAAGCCTCGTGCCGTCCCTTTCGCACCTTGCAATTTCCAGAATCTATATGCTTCCTTGGTGAGCCAGAAATTAACCAGTGTCCCACCAATTAAAAACCCTTTGTTCACGACGCCGACCCACCAGAGCCCAGCGCAAAGAGGGAACATGAGGATTGAATATCGGAGGGCAACACGGCCATTTCGTGCCGGGTTCGTCCACGCAAGCATCTTGTACCCAGCATTCTTGTATTCTTCTCTAATCGTGTGGGAAAGGGCATTGAAATGGGGAAATTGCCACGCGAAGAGAACTCCAGCAAGAAGCCACCCACCGATACTGTCTGGTCCCAACAAAAGATCCCTCCAAGTATCGTGTCCCGTTGTCGCCGTTTGACCCGCTGCAGCCGCCCAACCCATTAACGGGGGGATTCCGCCAACAATTGCGCCAACCCAAGTATTGAGCACCGACATTCGTTTCATGGGAGTATACACGAAAGCGTACAATGCTATATTGAAAGCGGATAGAGCTGCAACGGTGGGGTTTGTGCCGAAATATAGAGCGGTGATACCAGCTGTAGCAGTGCCAATTGCAAAGAGCCAAGCAGCGCGGGAAGTAACGAGCTTGCGGACAAGCGGTCGATTGCGTGTACGGGACATTTGGGCGTCATACTTGGGCTCAAAAAGCATGTTGAGAGTATTGGCGCTCGCAGAGGAGAGAAAGGTGCCCACCGTAAGGTATAGACATGTCAACGTTGACGTGGACAAGGTGGGAAGCGGAGCGATGGAAGGATCGAGGGTGAGGAGAGTGGGCATGGGATACAATCCAAACCCGGTAGTAGCGGTGAGGACGACGAGGAATGATAGCTGGGGCTTTGTGAGAGCTAGATACGATGCTAACTTTCGTCGCAAAGAGCTTTTAGGTAGTGTCGATGAGAGAGTCGAGAGGCGTGAGGATGCGTCTGGTCGTATGGCAGTCTCCGCGGAGATGTTTTGTCCATCATTTTGCGCATGTTGGGTTTCAGCTTTTAACCGCTGTCTCCGTCGATGGGGTAGCTCACCAACTAGCCCAGACTCGCTTTTCTGGTTGGCGACTGTATTGGATGCTATTCCCCTCGATGTCGGAGCGGCAGAATCAAAGAGCGACGCTCGATGTGCAGGAGAGGTGGTACGTTTCGACCATGGTAAGATTCTCGATCTGAGGAGGTCTTTTGTGATCGGGGCTTTGGAAGAAAAGTATGCTTTCCTTAATATTCGTGGCAAGGCTCGAGTCTGCGACAATTCATTCTGCAACGTTCTTGACGCTGTAAACATCCGCCGAGGGGTCGCACTGGGGCGGGATAGGCAGCGGAATAAACATTCGCTGCAGAGGGTCGCTGGCTCAAACGTGGCTCCAGGCCTCAGGTAAATAGCCCGGAGGCTCATTGCCAGGGAATTGTGCGTCCAAAGAGGGACTCAAACCTGTGGAAGCATCGCAATTTTCGAAACTGCGCGCGGATCTCTGGGAAGATTTGGGCTGAGTTTAGCGGAACAAAGTTGGACCTAAAATCTTAGTCAGCCAATGAACACGTGCACTGACCAGGGGAGCTCGGCTGGGCTGCTCTTTTCGCTGATAACTCAACCGGGAATCGCAGCTGGTGGTGGTGGTCATTTTCGTCAACAGATCACCTTTTCCCACGCAACCATGGAGTCAGTTCAGCAATCCATCCAGTCCCTTATTCTGGATCCTCTTCAGCCTTATCTCCAGCCCATCACGACGTCTCTTCCCGATCCAGTTAGCAACGCCCTCATCTCCCTCCTCGGCGACAAATGTTATACCTCCCTAATCCTCGCCGTTGACATCACAAAAGACCCGGCCTGTCTCCCACTTGCGATCTCCAAAGCCTTAGGTCTTGCGATCGTTGCATTCAGCGCAATCGTCAAAGTTCCTCAGATCCTTAAACTGCTCTCGTCACGATCGTCTGCAGGCGTTTCTTTCACTTCGTACGCACTCGAAACCACCAGTTTGCTCATCACCCTTGCGTATAATGCACGCCAAAAATTTCCATTTAGCACCTATGGCGAAGCAGCGTTGATTGCAGTACAAGATGTTGTGGTTGGGGTTTTGGTCTTGGTTTTCTCCGGGCAGGCTGCAAGCGCTGGCGCCTTTTTAGCAGCCGTAGGCGGAGTCATCTATGCGCTTTTGTTTAGCGGAGAGACTATTGTGGATAATAGCATGATGGGATATTTGCAAGCCGGCGCCGGTGTCCTGGGTGTGGCCAGCAAAGTACCTCAGATTTGGACCGTGTGGTCTCAAGGTGGTACAGGTCAATTGAGCGCCTTTGCGGTACGGATTCCACCGTAGACCATGTTATTAGCTTTGCTATGTTGTGCTGACAAGTTGTTATAGGTGTTCAATTACCTCCTTGGGTCCCTCTCGCGCATCTTTACAACTCTGCAGGAGGTCGATGATAAGCTCATTCTCTATGGCTTCATCGCAGGATTTTCTCTCAATCTCATCCTCGCTATGCAAATGGTTTACTACTGGAAATCTCCCACCGTCGCTTCGGAGAAACAGTCGGAGAAGGCTCGTCCAGTACAACGAATGGAAGAGGTGAAAATCCCCGTTGCAAAGAGCACTGGCATCTCTCCCAGTCCCTCTGGAAAAGGCCCAAGTACAAGGCGACGGGGATGACTTTCATTCGTCTTTTAATTCATTGGAATTCTCAGTTAACTCCGTGCAGATTAATGCCTCTATATGCAATGTAAAGTAACAAAAGTATTAATATCACCTTCTAATCCAGTTTGATCCCATCTCACATCTCCGGTAAATATGCAATCACGGCATCTATTCGGACCAGTCGCAATCATGGTATCATGTTAAAAAGAGCTCCTCGAATGGTAATAACAAGCTCTTCCACAACTTCCAGCAAATCAATCCGGGTTATCTTGGCCTCGGCGGCGCACCCGTCATCATAAATCGAAAAATGTCATCAAGTGGCATACCAGGCGCCACAGGTTTCGAAGGGATATGACTGCTCCCTCTAGCAATATCAAATTCCACGCCCGAACCCCCACCAGCCTTAGTATGTGCGCCCACGACCACTTCCATCTCTTCGCCCTGCATATCCTCCTCCTCCTCCTCCTCCTCCTCTTCCTCTTCCTCCTCCTCGTCACCTTCATCAAGTTGTCTCTTCAGGCCCGTAATAACATTTTTCACACCCATTTCCTTTTCTTCCAGCGTATAGTCGCCACCCCAATCCCTCCGTCGAGCCTCCATATTCGCTGCGATGGGGGCCCAGTGCCACAGATCAAGTAACTCATCCACGGATAGGCGGACAGTCTCACCTTCTCCCGCAGCCCCCTGTTGCGCCCGGATTTGCGATGAAGCAGTATTATGCCTGGCTACGTTTCTTCCTCTAGCGACCCATTCTTCTACGCGAGGTTCTAGTTTCGTGCGCATTAGCTGGTGCAGGATGGTAGACTCTGTGCGTCCTGGGAAGTTGGGCGTTGGATAGGCGACGATAGAAGAGAGGAGCTCTTGGTGTTCAGTGAGGAGGTGAGAGATGGAAAGTAGGTTGTTGGATATGATCGTGGCTTGGGATTGGAGGGAGGACCTAAGAGTGTCTGGATGTCAGCCTCTTGAAAAATTATCTACTTTCATCTTCATAGCCTGAAGGAGGGAAATGGGTCCGGGCCTACCATGGCGGCAACGGATCGCTTTGGTTGATGCTGTTTGACAGCGAGCCAAGGGATTGCGTCAGATGAAGAAGCCGCTGGCGCGTTTGTTCCAAGATTTTGAGCTGCTCCTGGTTTAAGGACGCCATTATGAAGATGCATTCGAAAGATTTCTTCGTGCTGGGAGTGAGTTTACGCGGGGGTGCGTTGTTTGCACAGATCTTCGCTCGTTGCTTTCGGGGGACGATGGACACTGTCACGATCTTATCTGATTGATTGATAACATCCTGGTGGCCGGCCGGGCCAGTGGTCGCATGGACACCCGTTTGGCCAAAGGAGTCGCCAACTGAAAACAATAGAGTTAATTTATGAATAAAAGAGAGACAATAATTATAAGCTAGATAATCATTGCATCTTTGATAACCTACATATTTCTTGGTCAAAATGACTTAGCAACCACCCACTTCTTGTGGTGAAATGCATCTACTTGATAGCGATGAAGCTCAAAAGAGTGAAATGGAAGGATGCATGCTACCGCTACACCTCATTTCCCTTGCGAAGGACTATATAAGTTAAGCTGGTCGAACCTGGGAGCTGAACACATGAACGAAGCACAGTTTGCATTGAATCGGAGGAAGCGACGTTTCAATCGGTTAATCTATCATCTGAGACAGCTACTCAAAGATGAAAGGGATATTACTACTAGCTTGAAATAGCCTGCATTAATAGATCAAAGGGGTATATTCGCGTATCAAAATAATGATAGTACAAATCAAGGGGTGCTAGATGACAGCAGGTGGAATATCCAATATTCATATTCAGAGCCATCGGCTCATAAGACAGTTAGGAGTTTCGGAGTTTTTTCGTGCGGAAATCAAGGAACATAGAGAGGTATTATTGGTTATTCACTGATCAGTAGAGAGCGACTTGCGCCCCGGAGGAGGGGCCGAAAGTGTTGGTACTGTGGGGGTCACGAATTCTGCTTTTTTGGTATCATCCGGGGGAGAAGAGACCGGGCCCATCTGATACACCTCGGGTGGGTACTTGATATCTTGTTCGCCGCCATAATACCCGTTGTGAGATGCCGGATTATAATGATAAGCTTGGGCTGGATGCATCTGAGGCGACGTCTCACCCCAGATCTGTCGGAGCCCGCCTCCAACAGGCGTCATGATGGATGTGTCATTCCATCTTTCGTGGAGGTGGCCCGCATGGCTACTTTGGCGGGCCTTCCGACGTCGTCGTCGGATATAAAAGAAGCAGCAGAAGCACGATACCAGACAAAGCAGTAAGAACCCGACAATCGGGAGAACAATCACAAGGACTAGATTTTTTTTCCCTTTGGGTTCAGTGCCTGGAGGAGCAATGGATTCAGTGCTCGGAGGAAGGAGGGTAGTATTAAAGATGCGATCAGGATCGATAATGAATTCGTGTCCCGATGGTACTTTGGAGTGACAGCCTTCTCTTATAGCTTCAATGACTTTAAACCGCTGTCAGCAAAAGATGCAGTCTCACGTCGAATATTGCAAATGTACGTACAGTTTCCTATCAACTTCTCGTCATCGGTGAGCGAGTAACACAGAGCGCATTTCGTCACAAAATCGTCTGAGAAACTATCCATGCCGCAGAAATCATAGGCTTCCTGAGGAACAGGATTCAGCAACTGGTACTTGACAGCATCCATCAATGAATCACATGTCACTTGACATGGTGTCGACAACGACTGCTTGGATACTGGGAAGGCATATATGCAACTCGAGAATGCGTAACGGAGGTTGTCTAGGCATTGATGAGCACAAGTGGTTGACTCTATTTCAGAAGGAGGGCGGGTTCATACACAATCCCCATTTCAAATCTGATTGGTATGATCTTCTATGCTCGAAAGTGCTGCGCAATTCGCACTTAACACAGTCTTGAAAAACGACTCCTTCCGGTTTGCGTGAATACTCATAATCACGGCAGACAACGTCAGCGCCCGTCGTGTTCGTGGTTACCGGACCACATTTTTCTTCGCACGGAGAACCAGGGGTTACTCGGAGGCCGAGGGCGGTGAGGACAAAGAGGTAGAAGAGGGCGAGAAGCCTGTAAAGCATGGTTGGGTCGAACATCAGGCCTCAAACTCGAAGCGCAGAAGTCTTTCAGCTTATGACATCCAGCCTCATTCTCGTACGGATATCACTGGTTGACTAAAAGTAATGTGATTCACGCTCGGCCGCGATGTCGCAGGGTAGTCACTCTCTCAACTGTTCAACCATCTGAGCATTAGGAAAACCCCAAGGCGTAAAGGGTACAAGGGAGAATCTAACAACAGTTGTCGATCGAAACGAGATATCCAAACACACATACCAGCTTTGAGAAGGTAGAATTTAACATTTAACTACCCCACTCTGGGGATAAAGGTATTTAAGATCCGTGACCGTCGGCTAGTTCAAGAGCTCCAGGCGGTTGAGCTCACCACTGCGCATCAGAGGGCGCGTTGGAGCACGGCGCTTAGAGAAGCGCAAAATGAGAAAGGAGTTAATGGGGCGGGAAGGAACCCAAGAGGCAGAGTATTGATCCACGGCCTGTCCACGGTGATGTATGCTTGACCTGGCCCATAGCTGGGTTACCGAAAAGTGATATTGAGCGCTCTCTCATGAAGAACCCTCAAGGATGCAGGTGACCAACCATTTGTGCCATTGCCTGGGCGGACTGATGGCCTCAACCTGGCCTCTCCACCCGCCAACGGGACTGAAGGGGGGGTTCGGTCCTTGTTCGTGCGCATCGCAAAAGGTGCATGGATCTCAGCGCGATCGACCTGAAGGGGGGGGGAAGAGCGAGGTCTTGAGACTGCTGATTGGGGGCCGCCTCGGGCCTGGGCGATGTCACTAGCTGCAGTGGGTTAGAAAAGAAATTTCGCAGGCGCATCATTGGTGTGATCACATCGCATTAGTCTGTGACCGCCGTTTCCTTCGGTGTTGACAAACTATTTGGTCGGGAAGAGAATTTTTTTTTTTTTTTTTCCCATCGACAGATTTTGCTGCTTGGTGTCGGGCTGTGGTTAGAACTTCGAAAAGACCTCATTGCGGACCATTTTTTACATAGAATAGCTACCCGCAACACAGCCAACAGAAAGTCAACAGCAAGGCGGGTGTCTATTGTTAACAGACTCCTCTGTTGTCTAAAGTCTCCTTTCATCTCCCAGCCGTGAAAAAGCCTTGTACAACATAAATCGCAAAATGTGCAATGGATCTCGGGAACTGACCTCATATGGCCTAGCAGTCTCTGATCCTTCACACATTACACAAATTCAGGTTGCACTTCCGGCTGCAAATCTCGCACTCTCCCCTGCAACCATCCCAACCACTCCATAAAATGTCTGTATGGGTTCCCCATGCACAGTTTTCACAAGCCACACAACCCTACAAGCAAGCAGCCAATCACATCACCATCCGAGGGATCCTCACTCAGAGTGCTCTGCTTCAGTCGCTAGTTCTTCAAGCCTGCCCTGGCCCCAAAAAGGGAGGGTGTTTGGTCTATCACCCGTGAGGGACAAAGAACTTGCCGTGTTATGTGACTTCGTGCGTCCTGTGTTCATACATGGTGGTGACGAGCGGCAAGCAGCAGCATTGACTGAAATTCAGGAAATGGAGCTGTTACTCGCAATATTGAGGGAACATTGGTGGGAGCATTGGTTGGAACATCATCATAAATTTAAGCGCTGGAGTGTGATTGGAGCATCCCTTCGTCACTCATCCATGCACCCCTGCTCGCATTCTCCTTGCAGGGGACTAAACAGGGCTGGGGGTAATAACCAGTATACAGAGTACAAAGTACAAAGTAGAGAGTATATCTGAAAAATTAAAAAAGAAAAAGAAAAAGAATAAGAAAAAGAATAAAAAAAAAAAGGGTAAAAACTGGTAATTTTATGTTTGGATGGGAGTTTGGCCAGCCCTCATTAAGTAACAAACCACTCGGTACAAACTTATCTTTGTGGGTGTGTTGTGAGCACAGTTGACTGAGGTTCAGTTTAGCTAGTTATGTGCAGTAACTACTCCGTACTCCGTGCAGAGTTACACCTTATCAACCTGGTTTGTAGGCAGTAGAAGMCCAAAAAAAAAAAAAAAAAAAAAAAAAAATATATATATATATATATATATAAATTATATTAGTGTTTGATAGTGTGCATTGCTCTGTCCCATGCTACACATCTATAAATCTTAGTCACTAGTAAAAGGCCTAAGTGAAGTTTACAAAATTGATCTGGGAAAACACCACCGAATCTTGGAAAAGATAATAAAAATACCTAGTTTCAATGATTCGAAGCCAAAAGAAAGCATGTCATTGCAGTAATTCGCCAGCAGAAACACTATCAACAAAGCAGCTGATAGCCTCTGGGCCCAAATGGTATGCAAGGCCCACGATTTCACCATCATAGATCTGCAATAAATGTCGCACAACTATCAAAGTCATTGTTGCTGTGTCGGGCTGTAAAAGCTGCCATTTTGCCTTGCAGTAGATATAATATATCCATTACATAGATATTCTTCTGGCCGAAGTTGGAAGGGGTGACAAAGCCACCTCCCATTCGCATGCAGCTGTTTTGATAGACCTGTGCTCCCAAGCCTGTCAGAAAGAATATCCCGACCAATAGACAAAAATTTGAAAAGGTGTTTGAAGCTATTCCGCCAGCTAAACATACCATTCTCTATCAAGTCAAACAGATACCACATTCTTGCAGCCATCATGCCCTGGTACAGTAAGGACAAAGGCGTTTATGATGTTGCTAATAAGTTTGGTGTTTGAAATGATGAGACTGTAATTCTTGTAAGTAGTGATTCATGTTTCACCTTAACCATATACATACCGACTTTCAGCTTCCATGATCTTTTAGAGATCTCCTATGTTTCCAGATGCCTAGAATGCGATGTCAACGTCGCGAATTTTGCGAGAATGTCCCATCAGTCCGTATGGGATTTCAGTGCGGTCGAACAAGCTGGCCACGAACAAGGCAACAGATGCCAAGTGGTAACGTTCTCGGTCTTCGTCTGAGTTATACTCGACAAGATTGTATCAAGAAGCCATGAACAAAGAGTTCAGTGGTTGGTTGGTATATGGGCGTTAACGAAGCGAGGAGTTATAGGGAAATAAGCAGGAGGAAAAGTTTGCCTAAACAATGTAAAGAGGAGAGATCGTGATCAAACTAGGAAGTAGATAGAGATGAGAAATGATTGGGCAAAGCTGCAGCATTATGTGTACTGGGTACCACGAAAGCTGAAGGCCTGAGGAAAATGAAAGCCTAAGTAGGGAAGCCGTATCGGGGCGGGTTGACCCCAGAATACTCTCTTAGAGGCAGAGGTCGCAACTTCGCTGGTGGTGGGTGGCAAACTCCCATGCCTACACTTTGACGCATATTGTTGGAAAGTCCCGCGCACTGGGGTTGTGGGGCATATATCGCACGTCTAGGCCGCGGAGGTATAGTTCTGGGGGATATCGCAGAATCGGAGGGGCTAGGAGGTTCAGAAAGATACTGAACATGTTGAGGGCTAGAGTCATGGTGAGCGGCCTGTGTCGCGGGGCTTAAGGCGGGCTGAGAGACAGGAGAGGGAGGATGGCGGGGCTGTTTAGTTGATCGCATGAGAGTGCGATATACCTCGACTGGCTGGTAGTAGGAAGTCAAAAGACTTGGAAGGCCTGGGTGGTATGGACAGGTCTGATAGAGGGCGCCTTCCGGGCCGTAGAATACCTGCAAGTTGGTTTTCGGTGTCCCTATGGAACGCATCGATTCATGATGTCGTCTGAAGGTATTTTCTGGCGGTGGACTTCTGAGATTCCTTCGGGTACCTTTGCGCGTGAATCTCAATGGGATGGCCCGGCACCAACTTTTTTGATACCGGGCGATGACCAGGATACTCAGAAGAACTACTCAAGAAGATATCAGCCACACAGTTTCTCGTGAGGTAGAATTCAACCTCACCACACAATCCACCAATTCCCGCACCAAGGCCGATAATTAGCTTCTCGCGGCTTGACAAGCCCTGATGCTCACTCTCTGAAGCCCGGGCATAAATCCGGTGCACATGCGCAGCTGCATCTTCACGTTTGTTGAAGGAAGCACGGTTGCCAGGGAAACTGAAGAGAGCGAAGTAGGATGTATCACAACGCCCTGTAGTCGATGGCAAAGGGGAGGCAGGAGATCCCCGATTTTCAGTGGCCGCTCCTGGTCCAGAGAAATACGGGTCAACTGGTTGGCCGGTGACTAACTCAAACAATATAATGACAGATATCAAAAGGATGACGAAAGCTCTAACCGAAGAGCATGTGGACGCCATGATGAGTAGGATATACAGAAGAGAAAAGACAGTGTGTCGAGGGTTGGCTGACTGTATGCTCCTGGACTGGTGGGAGAAACACCAAAAAAGGGGATCAAGTCGGTGGGAGCAGCTTGAATTTATAGAGAGCATTGCTTCTGGAGAATATGCCGAAACAAAGCCATGAGAGGACGATGGCAAACGCTCCCCGGGAGCAAAAAACATGAGGGCGGTATCTTCAATGACCAGGCGGCCGGCTTGCAGTCGGCGCCAAACCGCTCCCTTTGCCCTGTAGGGCTGGAAATTCTTCTAGAAGCCTTCCAAATCGGGAAACGTGCAGCCTGTGGCTTGCAGCTCGGCGAATGACGGCGCTTCTATTGACGACCCCAAGCAGGAGAAGCCGGGACCCTGGCCTTCTAGTGGCCTTCTAGAAGCCTTCTAGAAGTCTTCTGGTTGTTGCTGCGCCGCCATTTAAGTGGTGCACTCCGGAGTCGTGACTTTCTTGTTTGGACAAGACCAGACCCAAGTTTACTCGCTGGGAAGCCACCTTCTCGCCAGCGCGTCGAACACGGGGTAGGGACGATCTTGGTCGGCCCGACAATCTGGTCACTGGCGCGCCAACGTAGAACGATTGGTTTAAGGACCATGCTTGGCGGGTCTATTCGGCCCTGAATTAGGCTTAGCGTACCATGCTTGGGCTCTCAAACATATCAAAATTCCGACCCCATCGCGACGAGAAGAGCGCGGGGATGGCTAATATGAAACTCGACAGTGAGAGCTGACATCCATGGCTAATGCAGCTGGTGGTTAAGACCCACAACGATCAGCGTGCAGAGGAGAGAGAGAGAGAGAAAAAAAAAAAAAAAAAAAAAAGGAAAGCGTTCTAAAATCAACATCGGCTAGGATGGCCCCCTTTCCAGTCATACTCCCTGCCCGAGCACGCTTTCCTTCACCGATGATCAAACATTGGCGATCAGAGCCATCTCAGGAAAAGAAACAAATATCCTAGTTTTGTCTGCCACTAGGCTGATTGGCTCCTAGACCACCCCTTCATTACATCCCTGACCGACAAAGTTCTCTCTCATACCTGCATGGAGGATCGGGCTGGCTTGGTCATGGTGTGAGGGTGGCCAGTTGCATAGAAAACCTAAAACTCCTTCGGCTATCTTGCCGCTTCGTCAGCGCCTACCTCAAAATTGTGGTCGTTTCGAAGGTATTGCCATGCGCCAGATACACGTATCGGCAGTACGAACCTCGCAATGGCCCAGTGGCGCAATAATTAGTTCATTGAGGCCATTGGCAATCCTGAAAAGGTTGATACTCTGGAATTCGACAAACAATCCTTTAGTCATATTGCTGGCTTACGATATATTTCAAACGAGACTCGGGATAACTACCTCGAGCTTGACACAGCCCTCTGGAAACAACTATTACAGAATTTCTGGCAGAATTTGTAGATAAAAATATCATGACTCCAAAGAGTAATTCTTGTTACACATCAAAAAGAAAAAGGCCAACCCAATACCCCATACAGATTAAATAGTTCCAGCGACGCTTGTAGAGACGTATTCCCAGTATTTGTCCCTCGAGAATTTTCTCAGCTTCTTGCCCCAGACTGTCATAATTAAGAAAGTAGCCGTCGTCGCGAGCGAAACCATACCCACCGTGATGAAGCAGTTACGGAGACCCTGCGCCTCAATCCAAGGGGTAATAGCATAGCTAAACCCGAATCCGAGGGTGTTGCGAATGATAATTACAGACACCATCGATTCACCACTGAGTTCCTTAAAGCAGTCGATGTTGTAGGAGATGGCGATAGAGCCTCCTGTGATGCAGCCAAACGCAAGCATGCCAAGGCCGAACTCAAGACCAACCCAGTGTACTCCATACGAAGCGCCAACGCCCCATATGATCAGACCGGCAGTGGATACGACACCGGAGACAACAAGCGGCCACAGGCGGTGCTCTGGTTCACGAACACCCTTATTGCGTCGAGCAAGATAGATCGCAACCTTATCAGCGACGATTCCGGACCAAGCGCAGGCAAAGATAGCTCCAATGATAGGTGCCGCATAGGCGGAACCAACAAGCGCCGCAGTCCAGTTGTACGGAGCTGCGGAGAGGACGGGGGAGGCGGTTGCGTTTAGCACATTGTACCAAGACAGGTTGATACCGTAAAGGAATCCTGCCCACGAGGTACAAGGGAAATAGAGAATGATCAACAAGGGCCGGTACATCATCGTGAGCATTTGCTTGATGGTTGGTCGTCCTTGTAGAAAGACGAAGAGGTTTAACTTCTGAATATAGGTGCGTGCAAGCGGGAATGATTCGACGTTTTCGGAGGTGGATGCGGCGTGGACCTCTCGCTTCTCCTTCGAGCTTTCTCGATTAAGGGAATTCCCATCACTTGATGAGACGTCTAACTCTTCACCTTCGACGGTCTTTCGAAAATACAGCGTTTCTTCCATGAAGAAAAAGATAATAACTGTGGCAACTGCACTGATCATTGCCCCGAAATGCATGACCCATCGCCACCCGTAGGCGTCGTTGAACCAACCCGCGATAAGGGGAGCAATAAAGTTCGATCCAAACAAGAATAACACATAACCGCCCATCCACCTACCACGCTCGTGAGCAAAGAATATGTCGGGGATCGACACTTCTGGGAGAGATTCGATGGGCGAGGCGGCCAGACCCATAATAATTCGATGCGCATACCATTCTCCATAGGATTTGGAGTATGCCGTCCAGACCATCATGGGAACGCAGAAGAGACATGAAAGGACGTAAACGCCGCGACGGCCGTACGTAATTGCGATAGGTTGCCAGAGCAGGCATCCCCATCCGAGAAATAAGAACATGAGGCCGGTACCGTTGACCAATTGAGCAGTAGTTATACCGGTATCGCGTGTAATATCCGCGAGCACACTGTATTGTAAGGTCGTTGGAATACCCACGCCGAGGGTATAGATGAACAACATGGCCATGTGTAATAATTTGCGACGACGACTCCAATTCAGAGGATCTTCCGGGTCTGCGCTCGGTCGAGGAACTAAAACGATATCTTTTTCGCGTTTCGAATTTCCTGCCTCTCCAGCGACGTCCACCAGATGGACTGTCCCTGGGACGAGGTCCGAACGATCGAGGTGGTTGGGCGCCATTTCGACCGGCGGCGTCAGATTTCGTCTTCGGTGAAGCCCGGCAGGGAAGGAAAGGGTGGTTAAACCGCAATAGAGTAACGATATCACTGGATAAAGATCAACCAGGGCTTCGCGGTCAGCTTTGTATAAGCTGCTGATAATACGCCAAACCTGTGGCAGAGTCGAAATGACACAGATTTTTGCAGGTGAAAGCAAGCAGCTCCAAGTGGGATTACCCCGGATATTAAGTACGGGGCCGTACCTGGCTTTTCGAAGCTGGAAATATAAAGCCAAAACCACGGCCACGGCGCAACCCAGAAAATATCTGAAGAATTTCGGATTCTAGCCAGCTGGATTCGCCTCCAGTTTTTCAGTCAGAGATAGCGCACTGATGATTGGCGTAGAGCTCAAAGCTGCCAGCTCCAGCTCTACGTCCCGGCCAAAGGAACCTTGGCCGTGCGGAGAAGGTGGAGCTCGCTATATCTGACGATATCTCATCCTCCAATCGTGAAACAAACAAGACGGATAGAGGTTTAATTACCCCACGAGTCACCAGGTGTCCACGATAGTCTTTCGCGCCGTTATCAGCTCTGCTTTGCAACTCTAATCCTCCTTCGGACGGGCAGTATTCCCAGATAATAATCCTTCCATTCGCAGGGGAAGTAATTCTCAGGCCTCAGCAGCCATAGCCCTGAATATGCTTCAAACCGTAGCTACCCTGCATTATTGTTCTATCATCCTGTCAGTAGTGTGCGCTTTGTTCCACGGTGGAAATCGCTGTTCCGTGTACGCTGAGTGCCGGTGGAGATAGGCATCTCAACCAAGCCTGCCTCCGCCGAATACATCCCATTACCCACAACACCCACCAGTATCCCTAGGGTGGGAGAGTAATATTTGAATCCAGAATACTGGCCTAGTAACCGACCATCCCTAATACAGCCTAGCGCGTATTAGCGTACCCGGCCGGCTGGATCCCTCGGCAATGCGTTCCCCACGGGTAGACTTTCCGTTCTTCGCCTCGGTGGCAGCCGCCTTTCCGCCGCCCACGTTGCCAGTCAATCTGATCTCGCTTACAAGCAACAGGTTTCAGCGCGATGAGGTCCCCGTGCGCTGCCCTTCTTATCGGTGACAAGATCCGCCCTTATCGCTGCCGCTTTCGGGACTGGGTCGTGAGCCGCGCGCCTGCGGGGCCTCTGCCTGCTTCGCGTCTGTCACGAGAGACAGATACATTTCTCCAGAAAGCACGCAGATAGCGATGCAGCGATATCGTGATGAAGCTATCGATGGGATCAGCGTTACGCCAGAGACACAGCAATCAATACCCTATGCCTGGAGGAGCATCCGCTACCTCTTTCCCCGATTATAGACGCGAAGGCTGGACTGACTCGTGTAAATTTATTTGGTAGAGTGGATCACTGCGGAGAGCTATACAGCATCAACCAATCGCTTTGATCCAGAATAACCGGCTCCGAGAGACCAACGGTAAGCTTCAGCCCAGAGCTAAAGGTGGACGTAATGGGCTGCAGAATGGCGAGGCGGACAGGAAGCTCTAGCTTTGCGACCAGAGGCTTCTCACCAGTACGTATGTCAGACGACATGACAACCTTATATTATGCTCCTTTCCCCCGGAATCACTAGCCTGCGCGAAGGGTGCGGGTTCCGAGAAAGGTTTGTCACCCCACGGGGCAATGGGGATCAGAAGACGATTTAAAGTTCGAGGGACGGCTCATCCGATATATCAATGTGTATTGGAGTAGCAAGGAGCGCTTACCCTATCTGGCCCTTCCTTTTATCCGTGAGTCCACTTTGTCTGAGATATTGGGTGAAAGGAGATTTGCCCCTGAAGGCTGGTGTGAGCAGCCGCCACCAACTGAACATGTCTTAACTGTTGGAGAAAGCGGTCCTGAAAACTGTATTTGAATAGCTTCCGCAGAGATAGTTATGGATGTTAGGGTAGTCATCACTTCACAGACTGGAGGGTAGAAAGAAATTTTCCAAGACATTGACCTAAAAGCAACCTATCAGCGTTGCAGGGCCGGAGAAGACACGAGGTTTTATCAAGCTGGGCGCTGGCAGGGTCTCTAAATTCCTCGAACACCTGGAATCCATCATAAGCTATTGTTTTAATCGACAGGCTCACCTCAATAAAGTCCAAAAGCATTTGTTCACGAAAAGTATATTTATGTGTGGAAGGCCGAGGGTCAAGGCTAAGTGTCAGTCTGTCTGACGCTTTAAGGAGATTTTACACCTCAATGTCCATTTAACATAAGAAACCCTTGGTCGCCAATACTGAGCGTGAACGCCTCTTGAAATGTTGACAGCCAGACATGTGAGATAGAAAAAATTTTTGCTCGTCTGCATCCTGTCAGCAATAGACACAAGGTTATCAAAACCATTATATCTTTGTAAACACGGCACAGCTTCCAGGTTACTCTAGTGTAACACTTGCTTCCGGGAAATCTGGGTTAGCATCTAGACAACCCAGTCCAGCGATAGTGACAGCGAGATGTTATGAAAAATGCGGTGAATCTCTTTCAATGAGGCTGCACCACCTACAAGGTAGGTCATCTCACGTAAGGTGTTCCCTTTTCGTTGGAATGTTCCGGACCGCTGCCGCAACGACCCACCTCGAGCTCCTTTGCCTTGCTGCGTATTACAGTTCATCGTACGAACGGGCGGCGAACATGTCCAGCTTTGACTAAGACATCAGAGTAAGCTTCCTTTCGCACTCCTTATTGATACCCTCTAAGCGCTGATGGCGACTACGTACCTAAGTTGGCCCTAGTAGCATATGAATTGCTTTCGGTCTTTCTATCCTGGCGCTATCGCCAGAAAGTCCTCCATCTATGGTAGTCTCACTTTGGCAAACAGGAACGGTCTTCCAGCGAGGCATCTGGGCTCCAAGTGCGATGAGCTCTCCGATCTATGCCTTTGTCCCTTTTCTCCTATACCTCGGGCCACTCTACAACGAAGCCATTCGACTCCGCGAGAGATATGTCGAGTTCAATGTTGCAGGGCACGGGAAAGTTGTGGGCCTCCGGAAGCTGAGCAAGGGCGGGTTCAACCGTATGGTCCTTGCCATGCTTGAGGATAGCATCTAGGTCATTATCAAGATTTCATATGACCTCTCCGTGCCAAAAAAACTATGCAACTGCTAGTGAGGTGGCAACACTTATGTACCTGTGGTTCAAGAGAGTCCCTATTCCCAAGGTGTATGCGTGGTCATCAACAACAAACAATCCTCTTGGAGTCAAATATATTATCAAGTTAGAGGAGGAATACTCTGTGTGCTTGTCATTCACTAAAGCTACTCCGTACCTCAAGGAGTATTTCATCTAATCCTATTTTTGGTCACGTGAGTGAGGTGCTGCTGAGAACAAAATTCACTCCACAAACAAAACTTGGGGGGACATGCGTCTCTGAAGACCGTTTGTTTTACCCGAAAGAGAAAAATTCGGATGCCGAATCACAAGCAAAGAAGGTTGATGCCGAAGGAGCCGATAGAATCAAACACCGGTGTTGTTTCAAAATTGCAGGTAAAACATTATGCATACTCGGCCTCCACACAGGCGGCTAATCCAGATTTCTCATTGCGCCGCCCTCGCTTCCCAGATTGCGTTGCAATTTGCCATGCATTTCTAAACGGCCTATTGTAGTTAGAAAAAAGAAATCAAGAAGAAGAAAAGGAACAATTGTGCTATTTACGGACTCTTCTATGGTGAATTGTAGACCGCCTGGAGACATCCTGATGAGCCCAAATTGAAATGACGAACACAAAAATAGCAGAGCTAACTCTACTCCGTATAGCTGCGTGCTATTGAATGGCCAACCACAGTAGGTGATTCGTTGCATGAAATATTAAGCGGACTGCCTGTTTGTTACCTGTGCATGTTATTACTACTCTCAATAGTTTATAGGTCTCCATCTGGTAAGGAGTTCAATGGCATTCTGTGTTCTCTGCCAATGGCTGAAAGTCTGTAGAGTAAACAAAAACTCCTGAAATTAAGATTCATTTGAAAGACTAGGGGTATTGAAGGCATTCAAACTAGGGCCAAAGCATCTTCAATCTCAGAACCAGCTTCATGATATCGTAATGTTCACACAATTTGGCGAAAGAAAAGGAACAAGTACTCCATCCCAGCAGTAGAAGCCAGGTTCACCTAACTCCTAAACTCCAAAAATATAAAACTCCTTCAAAGGCCGCTAAAGTGTAAAATGCAACGAGGCAAGGAAAAATTTTTAGGGATATCATCCGAAAAGTTCCATCGTAGATGGCACCAATTCTTCTGTAACGGCTCGCCGTGACTTCTTCTGCTTCTTTTTGGTGCTCAATGGTATTGTAGTTAGGACTCGCTTTTCTACGTCCTCGTCCGTAATCTCGTTTGATCGCGTCGACAGCGCGGGGCTGTTCGCTCGACTGCATTGTGCATGCAGCGGGGGGCTCCTGTGATAGCCGGAGCAAGAGCTGCCGTGTGGCGATGATGTGCGTATGTTCCTCTGGTAAGAGGGATGGCAAGGTATCTCTCCAGCCGAACTCGGGTCGAGAGAACTTGCACTTCGCATTGAGGTTTGCCGCCGATGTTTCTCTGTGATTGTGGAGGGGGGTGGTGAATATTTCGGTCTGCCGATTTCTGCCATATCTTTAAAGAATGCCTCACTGGCAGGTTTGTAGACAAAATCTGGCGGCTTCTCGTGGGATGGCCTTGCTGGGGTGTCATAGACCGACTCGCTGATGCATACGAAGGGTTGCGCCCCCGTGTGTGCTCTGAATTGAACGTGTCCAACACCTTGTCTCTGACGTCTTGTGCCGCTTCGTGATACCGGCACGGAGGTCGAGCGTTTCTCAGATGGGAACGAGGGAAGCTGGTTCCATCCTCCATCCATAGGGCCACTGATGTCCATATCTCCATAACGCTCGTCTAGCTGCCTGGTCCCTTTCCGATGCCGTTGTCCCAAACGACCTCGCTCGAAACAACATTTCACCCATGTCGCCATGACCGCGTCCAAATAAAGAATCGAGCTTCCAAGGTAATGACGGCCGTAGTCCTTTAGAATATCCTTGACAGATGATAAGGTGTCACCGCTATTAAAACGTATCTTCGGTAGAACTGTTCAATTCCTTTCAAGCACTGATGGGGGTGGTATAGTAATAATAAGACGAATGTAAAGGAGGGAGATAGGCAGTAAAAGAATGGAAGGGAAGGATTCAAGCCAAGACAGACACGCCGTCTCGGGCAGTGCATATCCAAAGGGTCATGAAAATCTGGCGGCACGGCTGCTGGAGCCAGGTATAAAATTCGGATCAGGAATTGAAGATCAAGAGCTTACTCCTCGGGAAATGAAGTTGCCGTTGCACGGCAAGGCACACTAGATCGCTGAACGGAGGCGCGACTGAAGTGTATTAGTGGCACCCGAAGCAGCACGAGAGCACTGGGAGTAACAATAAAACCTAGGTGATAACAGGTAACTAGCCAGCCCCGAGAAGGGTAAGAATGTTTGTTTCACAGCATGCGGCAGATCCGCCCATGATAGAGAGTAGATAATAAGCGTCACACGGGCACGGACAGCGGCCAAAAAGCGCTTCCAAGAATATCGCATCTCCACGACAGCAATGCATAATGTGGAGCATGGAGTTTGAGAAATGACATCTGCCTTAAGCGCTGCGATTATCGAATTAATGGCTGCATCTGAAGTATGGAGTAGTGTACTCCGTAGAGGCCAAGCAATATGGCCGGTTTCGAGCCGGCAAACGGCAGCTGGGGGCCAGGGGTCTGAACGACCCATGGTGGCGCACGACCAGGGGGTGGGCGGGATCAGTTCCGACTGTGGTCTCCGGAAATGGCAAACTTGGACGACAGGCACAGTCCGATTGAACACAAAGGGCGTACTCCGTACATTGAGCATAGACTTCCTAAGAAGATCATCGCCTAGATTTTGACTACATTTTGTAAATCTCGGACCAACCTGTCTTAAAGCTTCTTTAACTTTGGTAGCTGCCTTCCAGAATTCTCTGGTCGGATTTGAGACACAGATGGAAGACGTAACTCTTTCGACTGTGAATCGGCCAGTCTCTCTGTAAGTACGAGCAACGAGATGGTGGGAGAGCGCTGTACTCTGCTGCGTGTGGCCGCTGCGCCGGACGCAGGAGCTCGTCCAAGCAAATTCAGGGTCGTGAGGGCGGGGCAAGCTTCTCTCTCACAAAGAACAGATCCAGGATAGTTCATCAACTAACCAACGATCCACCTAGTCGAGAATAGGATCAGAGAACTTGTGAAGAGTTACAAGAGCGAGCTGAGCCCCAACGGCTTTCTCTCCGGGCGAAAACGCTGTGAAGCCTGTGTCTGGCCTGCGCTCCGTCGCTCTGTACTTCTGGAGTTCAGAGGGCGCAGCATTTTGATCGAGCAGACGACACCATCAGCCATCTATTCTCTGGATTACCCCGTCCAACCCCATCGACCTCGTCCTTCCGCGAAGCAAGGCGAAGAGGTGGTGAGCAGCGCGGCCTCTGAGTGGTCGGCATCTCGCGGCTTGGTTCGCCGATTACGCGAACGGTGCGGCTACTGACTCACTGATTGGTCAGATTCCTGGCTGGTGTGTAACGAGGCCTCCAGCCAATCAGCACGCGTATTTAGCAGTTGGCGCTTAACTTTCCTCCCACATCCTCTTAGTCATCACTTTTCGGCCAAAACAGCGAGAATCAGCCTGCATCCGGCCTACATACATCCCACGGAGTGCCCCCCTTTAGAGACGTGTTTCGTGGTAATGATAGCAGCGGAGGTTTGCCGCTCTGAACTAGTGTGCACGACATACGAGAGACTTGAATTGCCGGAAGAAGGATTTGCGCCCCTCGCTGTTGGCAAATTGTGGAATGGCGGAAGAACGCACCGGACATAGTGTCACAGGGCATGTCGTATCATGCGCACCTCCGTTGCGCGTCTACCCTGGCTTGACATTCTTTATTCTGCAGGCGGCATACATATTCCGCGCCCCTGCACCATATCATGATGTTCCCGAGGCCAACCCATGCTGCTTAGTGGGAATGCACATCTGCATTTTCTCAACTACTTCTGTTATCGGACACAGAGATGCTCACGCCGAAGAGGCAAAATTTTCCAGCCTGGTATCGCTACCTGCTTTTGAAAGAGCCGGCATAGCCAGCAAACTTGCGAACTGCTCTTGTTCTTTGTTTGTATTGGCGGAACCCGCGCCTCTTGGATTACCTGCTACAGCCATGTCAGCAAGCCTCCAAGCATCCCTGTCGGCACGGCCATACTTTTGCGGCATTTTCAGTATCGAACGCCAATGGGATGCGTGACCTTACCCGAAAATGTCGAAATTCAAAGTACAAGATGCGATCTCAGCGCCCTGATTCGAGTACCGACAGCACGGTTGCGGCGTCAGGGTTGTGGATCGCCGTTCCCTGCTGCCAAGTCCCACCTTGGCCTAAGCGAATGGGCCTCGTCATGAGTGATCAGGGAAATATTTCCGGGACTTCTCACCTGCACCGCAGCCAGTCTCAATTTTTAGACAGCGTTGCCCAACTAGCCGCATCCGACACAATGGCACAAGTAATGACGATGATGTGGCAACTCGAGCCAAACGCTCTGCCGTCCTCTTTGGAATAATTATAGAGTACGGAGTACTCTGTGCATCTTTTTGATTTCGGTGAGGCTAACTGCGTCCCACCCAGAGAATCCAAAGTTGAGAGATAAGTACAAACATGATTCGCGCTCTCCAAAACCCTTCTCAAAGAAACCGGCAAGATCAACATTAGAGATCGACGAGAAAACACATGATCTGTCCTTCCATCTGCCCTGGAGAAGCGAATAATTCTACAATGCCACTAGCTCAAATGTCGGGGATAAGAACATGGAAAACGCCGTCAACATCCTTGTCCCATTGTAGCAGGTTGGTGTACCCCAATTTACCCACGGTTACTCCATACGCGCTTGTGAATTCAGATCCGAGCCTGGCCTGAAGTACATCTGGATCACTATCGACATATCTGCCGCCAGTGTTGATGGCCACGCTGATTCATCGAGGAGGCTATCTTTCAAAATCAATCCACTTTCCCTCAGCTTGTTCGGGCGCGACCTCTCAGCCCCAATACCCTTTTCATCCGAAAGAAGCGCTTATCCATATATATGTATTCTGAATGTATATACATCCGTATGTTGACATGCAGGGCCCAAGACGACAGGGTGTATTCCTGCTCTTTTTCTCGTCGTGTCTCACCTGGACCAGCCCAACGGAACCGGCGATGGCTCCATTTACGTTGCATTTTTCATCTGGTAGCACTTCCATACGAAAACAGGCAACACTTCCTCATGTACCAGCCCATCAACCAATGTGGTGCACCAGTCCATACCGCGATACTCTCAAACATGGCTCTCCCTGACCCCTCAAAGGGGAAAAAAAAGGTTTCCACAGGGTTGATTCCGCCGTTTTGCGAACCGGGATGTGTATATCAAGGTAAATCTTATACTCTTCTAGGTAGTGGCGGAGCGAGAGCCCTCTATGGCAAAGAACACTAATTTCGCCCATACCAGGTAAACTACGGGGTAAAAGCAAAGTGATAGTCCTCCATACGGAGTAGTGTTTTGGCATCACTTGGGACCACAAAGCGCCCGCGCCCGCATGTATTACAATGGAAATTGCCAGCTTTGATTCCAATTTCCAATCCAAGTATAACCTTTCCCTTGCACGGATACCCCACAGAACCAGATATGCCAGGGAAACAATGATCCTGAACTGGTGATCAAAATCTGATTGGCAAAGCACAAAACTCAGGAAAAGACCCCAAAGGGCCATCTTGAGATCGACAGGAGATCCAGTAGGGGAGGGAGCAATGAGGCCAAGTGCATACAAATTGAAACTTGATCAGTGGTGCATTCCCTATCATTTCCACAGCAAAAAGGCAGACTCAACTAGTTGTTTATTGCATTCTGGATCCATACTAATGTATATCAGCAAGGACAGTATCAAGCTACCCCTTAATTTATGATTGCAGGACAACTAAAGTGCTTTCTCTACAAAGAACCGTATTATAGTCAGTGAGCCATTCCAAGGTCCGGGAGTCACGTATAACTAGACAGCCCTCACTTGCTTTGAGAAACAGTGTGAGTGTTTGGACTCAACCTGCTGAGCTACCTAGTATTAAATCTTCCTTTGAAATGAGCCTACATGAGGACCGCACGGGATCCCTCTTGCAGGGTCATGGCATAGACATCGGGGAAAACACGATGGCTGGTGTTTTATGGTCCATTTTATCAGATCTTGCTACGCCTTTGCCCCTCTGGTTACCCCTTTAAGTACCCTTTCCCTCCTATTTGATCGGACTATAACAGGCATATCTCGGTTCCTGCTTAGAAGTACAGAGTGGGCTTTCAGCATTATTTTTCAAGTTTAGGGTAGCAAACTTTCACAAGAAAGGAAAACCCTGCGAGTTTTGGGGGTGGCCTAGTTAGTGGAATCTGGACAAGCGGGTAGGTGGTCAGGTAGGGGCGGCTATATTGGGTTCGCAACGTAACCGACAGCGACATCTGAGCAGAGGCATGTTTCGGGAGCCCATTTGTTCGGTGTCTTATTTACATCATATCCATCTACTCAGTGGCATGGCTACCAGATCACTGGATTCGCTATGAGACCTATCTAAACCACAACCTATTACACTTTAAAAAGGGACTTAGTGTGGGAATGCGGCCGAGAAATTGACATCCACACATAGTTACGCTTGAAATCATGCCCAGTCCTTAGCCCCGTCGGGGGGAAAAAAAAAGGCCTGCCTTTTCCATGATTCGACAATGGCAATATCCAACGATACCACGTAGAACATGCCCCTAAATCGAGTCCCGTCAACAATTAACCGCCCGGTTAGAATTCGAATCGCTCGATTGCTTTCGAAGAAACCTATAGTGCTCGTGTTCACGCACCGGCGATGGAGGCCCGGTTTGAACAGCCATGATTAGACGCGGAAGCGAGACAGTTGACAGGGATGTTTCGTAGGTGTTCGCACGGCGGGCCCGTCGACGCTGGGTGGGAAGGGCTGTGCTCTGGATAAAAGATCCGCGACGTGATAGAGTCATCGGTGTGTGCCTCTCCGATCTGGAGGATACATATGATAAAGATGGTCGTCTGAACCTTGCGGACGCGCCGATACCTGATTCAGGAGGCATGTGACGAATTCTCTCCCCGGAGAATGTGATTGCTGGTATCCACGCCGAACTTGACCGCTTGGCCTTAATTGGTATACTGTTATATGGCTGAGCATAAGATTTGAGGCCACGCCGAACTTCTGGCATGTGAAGAGAACCTTTGCTCCTTTGAAACTGATAACTTGCGTCGAAGTGAGAGTGGGCGCGGATCGGCTTTAGTCTATGTACCCCTTTTTTCGGCGGTGCTAACTGCTGAACTTCTGGCATATCCTCTTCGGTGTAGACGTTTTCCTCGATGTAGGATGAAACAGACCTCAAAGGTATATTAGCATTTCTTGCAGCAGCGGCGACCTTTTCACGCATAATCAAAACCGCTGCGTCCAGAGCAAACTCGAGAGCACAGTGGTTTCTAATGCGGCTTAGTTTGGACCATGTAGCGCGCTCGCCACTGAGACACGCTCGTAACATGAAATCGGGCGTGGGGTTCCTAAGCATGCTGGGAAACACCTCATAAGTGATCTCTGGAAGGATATTGATATCACCATAATATTCCTGTCTCAGGACAGAAGCAAATTTGCTCAGGGGGTTAGACAGCACTCCGAGTTCGGACAACATAGTGAACTTTCCAATTGTCTCCTCTTTTATCAGCATCTTGGGAAGATCAACCGGCTCAGGTTCGGGTTCCCGCGGGCGTTCGCTGAGTTTTGCAAATAAAACGGCTTCTCCCGGGGGAACAAATGGTATCACATGAGGATTGACTTGGGACACAATGAAATGGTTAACGTTAAACATTTCCGACAGGCGAGCCATCGGCAAATCACTATCAACGGACCCGTCGATCCACTGAACAAGGGATTCTCCCCATTCTAGTATATTTCCGGTAGTCGGGTCTTTCGCCATTAACGCGGAGGTTGAAAATATAAGTGGAGCAGAGCACGATGTAGCGCTAAGACCGTTAGTTCTCTGTTGATGTTTGAGGTTATGGGTACTTACATTGCAGACCAAATTATGATATTTGGGGCAGTTATGTAATTTAATAACCGGGGCAGCTCATGAGTCTCTGCGTGGGAAACTGTGATGTTGAGGATCCTTCTCGTCCGATTATATGCTTCTAGGAATGTCACATCCCCTAATATGTCTCGCATAACCCGTGTTAGATGAGCGATATCAAAGAAAGAGCCTGAAATAAGAAATCTCCTCAATCGGTGCCACAGGGTCTCCACGCCGTCGTTCGATTCAAAAACGGAGAAGTCACCGTTTCCGAAACACGATAAAATTTGTGGGATCTCATCGTCCATATGAGCACAGAGAACGCCGGCAACGATGCTGCCGGCGGAAGAACCAGATATTACCCGTGGCAAAAGCCTCATCTGCCAGAGAGTCTTGACAACGCCGGTATGATTCATTCCAAAGGTAGCACCACCAGAGAGCAATAATGCTGTTCGTCCAAAAGCTTGTCGAGTAGCTTGCAGTTGCTCCAAAAGAAACCGAGATTCGGCAATGTTGAATTCCAGCTTGTCTGCCATTTCCAGTGCCACAGATACCGCGTTCGTGGCTGTTGTGACATAGAGATCTATCAAATTTTTGGTACCGATATGGGCACGTGTATAGAGATCCGGATTTGTCATATTCGCAAGATGTCGACTAAAGGAGGTTCGAATAATATGGACGAGAGCGCCGAAATCGTCAGTACGCAAAGCCTGCTCCAGATCATCCAGTCGCGCCCGGAGTAGGGCATGATCGTACTCGTTGGATTCATCAACCGACTTCCACTCTTTATTCCCTTCAAGTTTATCCAATTCCCCCGCTATCTGAAGCCACTCATGCAGGGAAGTCGCCTGCAACAACTGTTAGCCGTTGATATCTTTTCGAATGTCAAAGACCACCTACGGCCTGAAGCTTGAAAGAAAGATCCCGTTTTCTCCTCTCAATCTGCAAGGATCTCTCGTATTCATCACGCGAGAGCCCGCGCCAGAGACCGAAAGCGATAAAACCCGCATGCGCGAGGGAGTCCCATGCAAGTGATGATAGATATGAGATTGAAACATATTTTCGTAGGGCGCCCAGCCGAGACTGTTTCGAGGGGGTTAAACGCGACACTACTGGAAACGTAGTGTCGGTGATCAAGGACATCGCGAGTCTGTTCTGGAAGCCATTAAAAACCAAACCTCCACTCGCGGTTCTTTGACAGCATGCGCCAAAGGTCCCATTGACGCGACCAATAATGAGAAATGTCTGTGTTCAAGCTAATGCTGCAACTTGGTGCTAGTGTGCATAGAACATATAGCTCAGTGAGAACAGCTGAGGATGAAAAGACTGCCGGTGCAAAGCATATCGAACAGGTTCCTGTCTAAATACCGTCATTCTGATCGGGGCCCAACCCAACCAAGGCATCAGGTCATGCGCACAGGCGTGGGGAGAAGGTACCGCCATGTACCAAATTGGATCTGACAACTTTAGGGAAGAGCTTTTCTGCGTGGGAGGCGAGAAACGGTACATCGAGGTACACCCATGTGGGGATGCGGTACCCGGTTCATGATGACAGCTGAACCAGACCGTGATCTGTGGCGGTGAACTTTCATGATTCAGTTCATTTGGTAAAAATTCCCGGAGAAAGAGAATTGAGAGTGCGCCTCATGACTTCATGTTCTCGGAAGCTTCATTTAGTTAAAATGCCCGCCTACCAAACATAAATCCTGCTGGGCCACGAAAGTTGAGCTACCTCGCCAACGAAAAGTCTCGTATGGCGCTTTTCAATAAAAATTCTACTCCGTTTTCGCGCCAAAAGTGACCTGCTCCTCGGATTTCTAAGAACTCGAATGACGAATTGGGTTTACTCGATAGTTCACGAGACCAGTCTCGTAACTTTTTGATCGAAGTAAAGAAGTCACTGTCCCCGTAGATGGCGAGGCTTCGATGACTTGTCAGCGCTTCTTCAGGTAGAAGCCCAGTGATCGAAGACCCGTCGACGGTTGTGCTAAGATTTTTATGTGAAGCGAAAAACGACATGGTCACGAAAAGTGACACCGGAGGTAGTATCGGGGAGACCAGGAGATAGTGAACATCCGGAGGCGACGGATTGATTGTCTCTACTCCCTTGCCTATCCGCCCTGATACCCGCGATTCTGGTTGATAGTTACATGCTCCAGAGGGAGTAGCGGGCCTTCTTGCATTTAGTATTCCTTGAGAGCGTGAGAAGACAGGGAGCAATGCGTGGAAAGCAACCTCGTACCTGATGGATAAGCTGTGTTCACGCGCCAATTCAAGTGCTATTCGCCTGATCTTCATAGCTGAGCTATCATCCTCGGCGGATGAAAACGTCTCAACAACTTGAACCGCCGAAGGAAGAAGGGTGGCCAACATCGATCCAAAGGAATATCCAGATAGGATAAGCTTCATATTATCATCTTCTCCCTTTACAGAGGGATAATCATCCTCTTCAACTGGCGAACGGATTTCTCCAGACAATTGGGAGCCGTCTTCCATGAGAAGATTGTGCATATAATGGATCACGAACCCATAGAAAGAGATGTAATCCGCCAGCTCCGGCTTAGCGGTCCAGCTTGTCCGGCCTTGCGATTCCCCCGCACCTCTAAACCAAGTATGTTAGAGGCATTCAAGTAGCTAATAATTTGCTCCATCTGGAGAAGAGAAAGGAAAAGAAATTAAGTCTTGCCATGACATAGTTACCTTAAGTTAAAAGTGCCTACAACGTAGCCTGCTTGTAAAAGCTCGTCTGTAATCACACCCACAATGGGGTCATCAAAACATCCTCCAAGTGGGGCATACGGGTGAGCTACAATCGCTGCTTTCTTTTCTACCTTGCATTTCCCACGGGCGTGCACTGACCTCGGAGAGTGAAATAGACGGCATTCGAGATGGACACCATCGTAGAGGGAAGGAATAGTGAACGAATAGCTTGGCGGTATTAAGTCCATGATGCAAAACAGGATTCTACTTTGTATCTGATAGCTGTGATTTTCAAAATCTGCGCGTGATGCACTGATGGGTGGCTTCTTGATGCACTTTGTGGCGAGAAGTTTTGTGGTTGATGGTTCCTAACAAATTAACTAATAACTTGGCGCTGCTCAAAAACAAGAGGTATTTAAAGACCTCCGAACAACAGGCTCTGCCCATACAACCAGGGGCTACATAGTAGTTAGGGAGCAGTGACATGACAGAAAGTGAAAGGCGGATTATGTCATTAGGCAATTATGCCTTCATCTATGGGCTAGTCTACCTTAGAGAATAGAAAGACTTGATCTTGCTCATCGTCGTCACTGGGTCTAATGGGGGAACACCGAGGCGAAGATTTCACAGTGTCACTCACATCACTACAAGATGCATTTGAAGGAGGTTCGGGTTGTGGCGTTGGCGACGGTGATTCGGTTACCCTCAGCAATTCTTCTGGAACATTTCCAACGGCAGTGCCACCCTGGTCGTCCGTAGCCTCCTTGTCATGATAGTCAAACATTTCCATGAATGCAGATCTACCTTGACGAAAAGCTTCAAGCTCGGCACCAATGCTGCAAATGAGTAGATTCCAGCTCTTCTCCTCGGCAACTTGCAGATTGGCGGCTAACTGTCCAATCACATCATTCATGTCTCGTACAATGCAATCCTGAATAGACTTATCGCCTGTCTCAAGGCGACTTTCTGAAATACGTGACATTTTCTTGCGTATTGATGTTTCGAAAGTTGATATTGTGGATATAACTTCATGCCACACTTTTCCTCCTTCTTTGAGCGCACCGATCTCATGATCAACTTTTCTTCTCCGTTTGCGAAGTTCCATGCTTTCGTGCTGCCAGTGTTCCTTTGCCATCTCTAGTGTCCGACGTTTCGGATGGAGCGAGTAGAACGTCGGTGTATCCGGGAACATAGTCAGAAGGGGCTGAACCGGTGGGGATCTCAGATAGTTTTGTACGTCCTTGTGAACCAGTGCTAGCGACTCTTTGTATGACGACAGTTTTGAATCGACGGAATTTTGGAGCTGCGTTATCTCATTGAAAATTTGCCTGTGACGTGCTTTCATCTCGGCGAGATGGTTCTCTAATGCCATGATTTCCTTTTCAAGAGCACGGGACTCATTTTTGAGAGAATCCATCCTCAACGTTTCTTGGTCTCCTTGCATCTGGGATAGTGCTATTTCCAACCCGTTATGCTTGCTGACAAAATTATCGACCTCTCTCAAGGCTTCCCGCCGGCAACCGAGCTCGAAGCCAATGACACGGCGTTCTTCTTCTCTCAAAGTCAGAAGCCCATCCATAGCTTTCAAAATACCCCTCCTAGCTCCTCTCAAACTAATTTTCTTCTTGGGCGGCTGTCGAACAGGGATTGTCATGGTCGCCTTTGGGCTCGCAAGGCGAGACGTGGAAGAAGTAGAGCTCGTAGTCGAAGTGTGATCGTTCGAGGACGCTGACAGTCCGGCCGACAAGCCGGCGCTTTGTACATCGAGAAGCGCCTGTAAGTCATTCTGGAGCTGTCGTGACTGCCTCTCGATGAAGATAAATGGATCCGAATGATGAACAGAGGCAGAGAGTGGCACCGGCAGGAGCTTGCCGCTCTTGTCCAAGGGTGACGTCGCCATGACCTGGACAGCGAGTAGCTTCAACTACGAGTTGTGAGACACACACCTGGCAAAGAACAAGATGTAGCTAGAGCAAAGAATCGATGCGATGGCTCGATGGCCATTTCAGATCGTGCGTTGTCTCCCCATTGTTCGATCTTCCTAACATCGCCATTCTGGCCTCGTGCTGGCGAGCCGAAGGTCGTGTGACCTGATTGGCTGGTCACGCAGTGAGGCTGGGGAGCTGGTTCTCGGATGACTAAGCAAATATACGAGCTTGTTGGGCCAGCCAATCAGTGCAGGGCGCCAGGTTCCCAGCATCGCCAACGCATTTGACGTGCGTTCCGGCCTGAAGCTCTCTTCATCAGTCAGTCTGACTAGCCCTCATCGTCTTCCCTCCATCAAGTTATCCATTCCTCATCCTTGGTTTTACTCTTTCTAGACGTTTACCTGTGAGTTATTTTCTACGTGCAATCTTGTCTGGGGGTTCTCTAATAAGCGTGCCTTCACCGATAGGTTTCCTTTTCCCAAGGCCACCGTGACAGTTCTGCGTTCCACGTCTGCCTTGATATAGAATAGATCAGTCGGAGTGCAATAGACGGCGCAATATGGTCGGACTCGTTTCAGCAGCCGGCCTGGTGGGCTTTCTATCGGAGCCTGACACCGAGCTCAAGGTATTCGCCCTGAAGACTTTGGATACTCAGGTGGACTCGTTATGGTCCGAAATTGCTGGATCCGTCGGCCAAATGTAAGCAAGAATCTACCGGTCGCCCATCCTCACTGCATTTGCCTTCCTTTGTCCCATATTTTTAGGTTCAAGCGTCCATTTACGTGTTTATCTTTTGCCTAATGCGTCTATAGCGAAGCTCTCTGCGAAGACGAATCCTTTCCTGAACGTGAACTTGCCTCTCTCGTTGCGGCTAAGGTTTACTATAACCTACAGGAGTATAACGAAAGTACAGTTTTCGCATTGGGAGCGGGGCATCTGTTCGATATTGAGAACGGCGGCGAATTTGAAGAAACCATCATCTGTAGGTGGACTACAAGTAAGAGCGGGCATGACTTCCTTCAATACTAATTCGGTTGGTGTAGCAAAATGCATAGATACATTTGTGTCTATATCTGCGATGCAAAAGAGCAGTCCAAATGTCGATGCGTCGGGTAAACCCCATGTCAACACCTCGTTTCCTCAACAAGTTAATGGAGCTGCAAGCACGTCAGCCGGTCTTACGTCCCCCATTACACCATTTTCGCAATCTACGTTACCATCCAAGTCTCTTCTATCCCGCCCCGAATCGTCGGCTGATAGTAGCTATCAGAGAGGTGAGAGTGATGACGTTGAAGGCCCGACTGAGGTGCCACTTGTGATTCAACGTGGAGTCCAGAAGCAGCTTCAAGCAGTCATCAGCCGCCTCTTTGAACGGTGTTTCCAGCAGAAGAGATATCGCCAGGTCATTGGCATTGCGGTGGAAGCAAAGAATTTGGACATTCTCCGAACGGCTATACTACGCGCTGCTGAAGATGAAAAGAGCCAGGGAGGTGAATCGTCACGCCGCGGGGAAGAATTAATGGAATATGTTCTCGGAATTTGCATGAACGTTGTGCAAGAACGGGCATTTAGAAACGAGGTATGTCGTGTCTTTTGTGATCCCATGGGAAATTAGCGCTGATAAAAGGGTTCTCTGTGAAGATTTTAAAGTTGATACTCGAGCTACTGAGCGAAATTCCTTCCCCCGACTACTTTTCCATTGCTAAGTGTGTGGTGTACCTGAATGAGCACACTATGGCCTCCGACATTCTTCGACAGCTTGTGGAGAAGGGAGATGCGAGATCTCTGGCAGTCGCTTATCAGATTTCTTTTGACCTGTATGACAACAGCACACAAGAGTTTTTAAGGAAGGTTCGTCAAGAAGTGGCTGGATTTTGCCCTGAGGACGACCCTACGTCGGAAAATCCAGATAAAATGGAAGAAGAAGCAAAAGAAACGGATGCTCTCCTTCAAGACAAGGACGAGGCAAATGCTTCCAGTTCAGGGCTTGGAAAAAGTAACCTCTCATCGGAGGCGCGTTCCGCATTCACCAATATTCGCAATATCCTAGACGGTGTTAATTCGATTCAGCTGAATCTCGAATTCCTTTACAGAAACAACAAAGCCGATATTGCGATATTGAATAGGATTAAGGATAGCCTTGAAGCTCGGAACTCGATTTTCCATACCGCCGTGACTCTATCGAATGCATTTATGCATGCTGGAACTACACACGACAAATTTTTCCGAGACAACCTGGAATGGCTTGGGAAAGCTGTCAATTGGTCGAAATTCACAGCCACCGCTGCCCTCGGTGTTATTCATCGTGGAAATCTCACACAGGGTCAGAAACTTTTGGCACCCTATCTACCTAAAGAAAATATTGCGGGAGTGGGCAGTTCGGGTTCTGTTTACAGCCAAGGTGGATCTCTCTATGCTTTCGGTTTGATCTATGCGAACCACGAGGGTTGGGCTGTTGATCTTATCCGTGAGCATTTCAACAAGGCAACCGAAGAAGTCGTCCAGCACGGTGGCGCACTTGGTTTGGGCGTTTCAGCTATGGCAACCGGTGATGAGGACATTTATAGGGACTTGAAAAATGTTCTTCACACGGACTCGGCTCTAAATGGAGAGGCTGTTGGTCTTGCAATGGGGCTGGTAATGCTGGGGACTGGAAATATGAAGGCTCTCGAAGATATGATTCAATATGCACACGAGACTCAACATGAGAAGATTATTCGAGGTCTTGCGATGGGGATGGCTCTCATTATGTACGGCCGCCAGGAAGCGGCGGACGAGCTGATCAATGGTTTGCTGGGTGACCCGGATCCCACTCTACGCTATGGCGGTATTATGGCTATTGCTTTGGCTTACTGTGGAACTGGTAGCAACAAGGCCGTTCGCAGACTGCTCCATGTTGCTGTCAGTGATGTTAATGATGATGTCCGACGAGTTGCAGTGATGAGTCTGGGATTCATCCTCTTCAGAAAGTATCACAGTGTTCCCCGAATGGTCGAGCTCCTTTCAGAATCCTACAACCCGCATGTCCGGTACGGAGCTGCTATGGCCCTTGGCATCTCTTGCGCTGGAACCGGCCTAGACGAAGCGGTTGATCTCTTAGAACCGATGCTAAAGGACCCGACTGACTTCGTTCGACAAGGAGCTCTGATAGCACTAGCCATGGTTCTCGTGCAGCAGAACGAGACCATGAACCCCAAAGTCGGGACGATCCGAAAGGCAATGCAGAAAGTGATTGGTGACCGCCACGAAGACGCGATGGCTAAATTCGGCTGTGCTGTCGCCTTGGGTATCATCGATGCGGGTGGACGCAACTGCACCATCAGCCTGCAGACACAAACCGGCAATCTCAACATGCCTGGAATTGTCGGGGCTGCCGTTTTCACGCAATACTGGTACTGGTTCCCGTTGACACATTTCTTGTCTCTCAGCTTTACCCCCACCGCCGTTATTGGTGTCGATCAGAAGCTAGAGGCGCCAGTTTTCAAATTCCATTGCAATACCCGACCTAGCTTGTTCGACTACCCACCCGAGCAGCAGGTCAAGGCCGACGAGGCCCCGGAAAAAGTGAAGACTGCGGTCCTCTCGACCACCGCGCAGGCCAAGCGGCGAGCGCAGCGCAAAGAAAGGCAACAGCGCCGAGAGAGCATGGATGTGGACCAAACGCCAACGACGCCCAAGGGGACTGGTCAGTCCCACGACAAGATGGAAGTGGACGAAAGCCAGCCCAAGGGTGAGGATGAGGGCAAGGCTGCTGAAAAAGAAGCCGAAACACCCAAGCGCAAAGTCGAAAAGGAGAAAGTGGGCTATGAGCTGGCCAACATGTCGAGAGTTCTTCCTGCGCAGCTAAAATACTTGACGTTCCCTGATCCACGATATGAGCCGGTGAAACGGGTAAGTGAATAATTGTAACAGGGGGCAAAACTAAGACTATGATGCTAATGATGTCTCTACGAAGCCCACTGGCGGTGTCACAGTTGTCCTCGACAAAAGTCCGTCCGAACCACGCGAGATTATGGAATTGAAAGCCAGCAAGGACGTCCGGCAAGCCGCTGCGCCGCAGACGCTACAGGATCGAATCAACGCTGCGATCTACGGTGCGGAAGGAGTTCCGGCAGCGGGTCAAGCAGAAACGGCTCCTCAAGTGCCTGCCGTTGGTGGCAGCGGTGCTGCGGCGGCGGCAGGAGTCTTAACCGCTGTAGACGAGGATGAGGAAAGCGGCGAGGAAGCTCCAGTGCCCGATGAATTCAGTTACTACTCTGATGCGGAGTGATGATCAAGTATTTAGTCCAGCCACACCCTCCGGCCCACTCCTTATTTTCTTGTTTGTCCCTGATTTCCGCGTGTTAAAGATTCGTGTGATCCGCGGCCGATCTTGTGTCTTTTTCTTTGGATGTCTTTTTTTACTCCATATTCTTTTTTTTCATCTTTCCTGATAGCATCCCAGGCATCTAGAGAACCTCGTGTACTTCTATTGTCTACTAGTAGTGTATGTACGAAATTATCTGTGAACTCATGAGCCTTCCAGCATTTTCAGAGGAGCTGGCCGCTTCATAGGTTGATAATTATATATCAGTCCGTTGGTTGATTGGACTCCCGTGCGTGGACCAATGGGCTCGTAGGCAATTTGCAACTTGTCAGACTCCCAGACTGTCACATGCGTGGCGATCGCCCGCCATGCGCGGAGTATCCAAGGTTGGAATTGGAAGTTTCCCGCCGCGTCGGACAAACTCCTTCCGCCGCCGCTCCCCGCTACCTAGTTAAAGGGAGCCGCAGTTGCCGAGGCTCCTACCATTTACAGCTTAGCGTGATACCAAATTAGCAAGCTTAGTAATAGAATCGGTGCCACAGGACGAAAGTCGGCGAGCATGTGAAAAGGATGTCGAGAAAGCGGCATCGCATGCGACAAGTCGATGCTGAGAGATAGCTAAGCTACGAGACTGTGGATAATGCCCTTGGAGGAATCTACGGGAGTGAGCAGCCGTACTCGCACCAACACCAGTCACTTTAGCTTGACCGAAGAACACAGAGAGAGAAAACCGCCAGGGTGGGGAAGAGGCAACAACCATGGCAAAGCTCAAAAAGACATGTGAAGACACATATGTCACCATCGCAGAAAAGCTGGTAAGTTAGCCATGTGGGCTGTGACCATGAGACCAATTACGGCCGCCGCCAGCGAGCGTTTGAGCCTAGGCAGTTTAACCAGCTCCCACTCCCCTCAGCTCTGTCACAGAATATACTCGCAGAAGGGCCGCCCTGGTCTGCGTCCGCTACTTATTTCTCCTTCACAAGCTCTTTTTTTTTTTTTTTTTTTCTCGGGGCCCCGGATTTTCACTTCTTCACCCTCCCTATCCCTACTTTTATCCCACCCTCCGTAGTACAAAATTTGCCTCATCCGCTCTTCTCTTTTGTACTTCTCATCTCATTCCCGCTTTGCATTACTAAATATATATTTATATATACCTTGTACGAATATAGACGCATACTTGTTATAGATTTCGACCATGGCGGCAAAGTTCTCCAAGGACGCTGTTGCGTCGCACAACAACGCTGGCGACCTTTGGGTTATCATTGATGAGGATGTTTTTGATTTGACCAAGTTTCAGGATGATCACCCAGGTAAGCATGCCCTTCCGCTCAGAGATCTCGCGGCCTCCAGACACAACTTCGAGATGCTGACAACACCTAGGTGGGAAGAAGAGTACGTTGCATGACTTGGCCAGACGATCTCGAGTGTCTGAACTGATCGAATTACCTTAGTCCTACAACGAGTTGCGGGCAAAGATGCCTCGAAGCAATTTTGGAAATACCACAATCCCGCCGTGTTGAAGAAATACCGGAAGCAGCTCCAGGTCGGATCGTTAGATACTAAGAAGGAGGCTGCTCCTCCTGCTCCTGCTCCTGCTCCTGCTCCTGCTCCCCAGACTCCACCAGCTACTCCCCCCGCCGAGAAGAAAGAGGCTACCACATCTATCGCGACTCCGGCTCCTAGCGCTCCCTTGGAGCCTTATGGCGACTTGATCCCATTCGCCGACCCGGCTTGGTATCACGGTGTATGGACCCACTCATCATTCTGCTACATGTTGTAATTGTACCTTTCTCGGCTGACAGTGAACTTCCATCCAGTACTATTCCCCTTACTACAACGAGACCCATGCTGCCCTTCGTGATGAAGTCCGCCAGTGGGTCGAGACCGAGATCGAGCCCCATGTTTTCGAGTGGGATGAAGCCAAGAAAGTCCCCGACCACATTTACAAGCAGATGGGAGAAAGAGGATACCTTGCTGGTTTGCTTGGTGTCGGATACGACCCTTCACTCTCAAAGAATACCGTCAAGAGCGTTCCTCCCGAGAAATGGGATCTGTTCCACGAGGTGATCGTGACCGACGAACTTTCCCGCTGTGCCAGCGGAGGCGTCGTCTGGAATCTCATTGGTGGCTTCGGTATTGGCTGCCCGCCCCTTCTCAAGTTTGGAAACAAGGAAGTCGTGAAGAGAGTTGTGCCCGGCATCCTCTCTGGAGACAAACGTATCTGCCTTGCCATCACTGAGCCCGACGCTGGAAGTGACGTGTCGAACTTGACCTGCGAGGCCAAACTGACCCCTGACGGGAAGCACTACATCGTCAACGGTGAGAAGAAATGGATCACAAACGGTGTGTGGGCAGATTATTTCACCGTGGCCGTTCGCACCGGTGGCCCTGGCATGAACGGCGTCAGCGTCTTGCTTATCGAGCGGGAGTTCGAAGGTGTGAGCACGCGTAGAATGGATTGCCAGGGAGTTTGGAGCAGTGGCACTACATACATCACATTTGAGGATGTCAAGGTTCCAGTCGAGAACTTGATCGGCAAGGAGAACAGGGGCTTCAAGGGTAAGCCATCTACTTTTATCCATAATCGATTCACCGCTTCTAATTCCTTATAGTTATCATGACCAACTTTAACCACGAGCGTATCGGAATTGTCATCCAATCTCTGCGTTTCGCTCGCGTCTGCTACGAGGAATCTGTGAAGTACGCCCACAAGCGCCGCACCTTTGGCAAGCGCTTGATCGACCACCCCGTTATCCGTATGAAACTCGCCCACATGGCCCGCCAGATCGAAGCGTCGCACAACTGGCTCGAGAACATCATCTACCAATGCCAGAATTACGAGGACATGGAAGCGTCCCTTCGCCTCGGTGGTGCCATTGCCGGCCTCAAGGCTCAGTCTACCACGACCTTTGAATTCTGCGCGCGCGAGGCCAGTCAGATCTTTGGTGGACTCAGTTACAGCCGCGGCGGGCAAGGTGGTAAAATTGAGCGCCTGTATCGTGACGTTAGGGCGTACGCCATTCCCGGAGGCAGCGAAGAAATTATGTTGGATCTCAGCATGAGACAGAGCTTGAGAGTCCACAAAGCTTTCGGCATGAGCTTGTGATAAAGGGGAAAAAAAAAAAAAAAAAAAAAAAAAAAAAAAAAAAAAAGAAAAAAGAAAAAAGAAAAAAGCAAAAGGCAAAAAAAGGCCTTAAACGCCACATATGCGCATAGTCTTCTAGGGTGACTAGAAGTCCTACTCCGTATAATAAACAGAATTACTCCATAATATTTCTTTCTTTCTTGACTTTGCCTATTATGCATGCATCATACCATGTCATCAAGGATGGGAACTGGCATGGGGAGAGATACCTGGTTTGGATGTGTGTAGATAGCATATACAGAGAGTAGCTGTGTCGTCAAACAATCCGTTCCATCTCCCTTATTACACCTCTTCTTAAGCTGGCCTTTTTTAGTGCGACCCGTGCAACAAACCGTCTCACGCGGTAACCGGCGGTTTGTTTAGTGTATCACGTGCTATGCAGATTACTCAGGAATTGGTAGAGGATGCCACAGGGACCAATAGCGCAGTTAGCTCCATCCGACCTCAAAGCTGGCTCTCTTCTGCTAAGTGGATGATAAGACCGCTCGTCCTTTTGCAACATCGATCCTCTTCTAGGATTGCCTTGTACAATACCCTCTACAAAGCGGTTTTCACTTGGTTTCCTTTCCTTTTTCTGATTTTCCTTTCCCCCCGAGTCCCGCTAAAACTCCCAGCTCGACTCTCGACAGCCGATGCGACTATGATAAAGTGAGCTTTCCCTGCTACACCACAGCTCCCATCACGATCTCCCAAATCTGTCAAATTTTCAACCCACGTGCAACCAGCCACAGTTCTCCGATCTGAATCTGTGCCCTTTTGGGCTATTTGAAATCGGTGGCGATAGCCCTTCGACGTTGGTGAATAACCAAGTGCGCCCCCCGATTTACCTCCGCGCAACTTAGCGACAACCGGATTTTCAAATAGAACGAAAGACAGAATGTCCCACCATCCGGCCTCATTTATTGACCATGATTTCGGCTCTGAAGAAGAAGACGATGACTTCAACCCGGCACCGGTAGAGGAGTCCGATGCTGAGGACAAGGAGGTGACAGGAGAGAAGCGCCGCAGCGCGGATAGAGATGTTGAAGATGCCGATGGAGAGGGCGTTGAAAATGCTGGCGGTCCTGTAGAGAAGCACGATGATGAGGACAAGGATGGCGAGGATGAAGAGCACGTAGGCGATGAAGATGCCGTTGGGGAGAGAGACGGGAATGGTGAAGATGAAGAGGACGAGGATGAGGACGAGGAGGAAGAAGAAGAAGAGGAAGAAGAGGAAGAAGAGGAAGAGATCACTGTGAGATATCCCTCCATTCTACTAGGTATATCTGACTCGCCTCTAACCACTATTCGCCGTTAGGGTCGACCACGAAAACGTAGACGAGGCGGACTGAATAATTTCTTCGAGGAAGAAGCAGAAGTTGAGGAGGAAGAAGAAGATGTCGAGGATGAAGAAGAAGAGATGGAAGCCGAATTTGTTCATCCTGATGACGATGCAATCCTGCCCGCTGGCGCCGAGACCGATGATCGAAGACATCGTGAACTCGATAGAAAACGAGACCTCGAGGCATCCATGGATGCAGAAAAACAGGCTCAAGCCTTGAAAGAGCGATATGGACGAAACCGTGCCGCCGCCTCTGACTTGGTAGTTGTTCCCAAGAGGTTATTGCTGCCAAGCGTCGACGATCCGAGTATCTGGGCTGTCAAGTGCCGGCCTGGAAAGGAGCGGGAGATAGTCTTTAATATAATGAAGAGAATAGAGGAGCGTCATCCTGCTTCAAGGAACCCCATTCGGATTACATCTGCGTTTGAGCGAGGCGGAACTATGAGCGGCTACGTTTACATTGAAGCTCGGAAGCAGGCGGATGTCATGGACGCTTTGGACAATTTATCGAACGTGTTCATTAGATCCAAATTGACTTTAATCTCTGTCAAGGAAATGCCTGATCTTTTGAGGGTCCAGAAATCGGAAGAATTGCAGCCCGGAGGTTGGGTCCGCATAAAGCGAGGAAAATATCAAGGCGATTTGGCGCAAATCGAAGAGGTCGAAACCAATGGGCTCGAAGTTACTGTCAGGCTTGTACCTCGTCTCGATTACGGTTTGAATGATGATGTCCAGATTCCAAACGGCGATACAAAGCGGAAGCGACCTGGTGGCAAAAGTGCTGTCGCCCGCCCACCACAGCGCCTGTTCAGCGAAGCAGAAGCGAAGAAGCGACATGGCAGATACTTATCTGCTGCCGCTGGGCTCGGAGGTAAATCATGGACTTATCTCGGCGATACCTATATCGACGGGTTCCTCATCAAAGACATGAAAATCCAGCATCTTATTACCAAGAATGTTAATCCCCAGCTTGATGAAGTTACCAAATTTGCACGCGGTGCTGATGATGGTACTGTCAACCTGGACCTTGCTTCGCTGGCAGCTAGTCTCAAAGACACTACGGGTGAAGACTCCTATGTGCCGGGAGACACGGTAGAAGTCTTTAGCGGGGAACAGAAAGGTGTTGTTGGCAGGGTTATTGCCGGTCGCGCAGATATTGTTTCCATCAAGGTCGTCGAAGGTGAACTGGAGGGTCAGAGGCTTGAGGTTCCTGTTAAAGGTTTAAGAAAACGATTCCGAGAAGGCGACCATGTCAAAGTTATCGGTGGTAGTAAATATCGTGACGAACTCGGAATGGTTGTCCGCATTAAGGATGACCGGGTTACTTTGCTCACTGATATGAGCATGCAAGAGATCACGGTTTTCAGCAAAGATTTGAGGGAAGCGGAAGATGTTGGCGTCGATGGAAAACTAGGCCAGTACGACGTTCATGATCTTGTACAACTTGAGTAAGTCTCTCATGCTATGTCTTAGGACTTAAGCTAACGTTTTACTAGCCAAACCACCGTTGGTTGTATTATCAAACTCGATCGGGAGTCGATGAAGGTGATCGACCAGCACGGATCAGTTAGGACCCTTCTCCCATCTCGAGTTTTGGGAAAGATCGAGCATCGTCGAAATGCAGTGACTACTGATAGAAATGGTGCTGAAATCAAATATGGAGATACTGTCCGCGAGGTTGCAGGCGAGCAAAGACTAGGTGTGATTCTTCATGTCCACCGAGCTTTCCTCTTCTTGCAGAGTAAGGTGGTCGGTGATAATGCCGGTATTATCGTTTCTAGAGCGTCTAACGTTGTGACTGTTGCTACAAGCGGAGGAAGTCTGGCGCCCCGAGGCCCTGACTTGTCGAAAATGAATCCCGCGCTGCAGAGGAACGGTATGAATGGTAGTGGTATGCCGCCGCCTCGAACTGTCGGAAGAGACCGGACGGTTGGCAAGACGGTCACTATCCGAAAAGGTCCATACAAAGGACTTCTTGGTATCGTTAAGGATACTACGGATGATATTGCGAGAGTTGAGTTGCATTCGGTCTCGAAAGTTGTTCCTGTCGAGAAGGAAAACCTCACAATCAAAGAGTATGGCTTTCATATCGGTTCATTTTCTTGGATCGTTCTTACTAACGGCCTATTTTAGCCCGATAACCGGTCAGCCAATTGATCTTCGCCAATTTGGGCGAGGAGCCGGTCGTGGTGGCCCTCGAACCCCTCAAGGCACGTCTGCCGCCCCTCCGAGGGCACAGAGTGCTTGGCAGGGCGGCAGAACCCCTATCGCGGCGAACGATTCTTCTCGAACTCCTGCCTGGCGTGCTTCATCATCACGAAGTAAGTATTATCTTGGTGCTATGCTGATGGATTCAGTGTCTAATAATTCTACAGCTCCTGCATGGAATGCAGCCGCAAGCGGTGCTCGCACCCCAGCATGGAAGACAGACGGCTCCCGAACAGTGAACGCCTATGATGCTGGATACAAGTCAACTCTTGGAAGTCGGACACCTGCTTGGGCTGCCGGCAGCAAAACTCCTCATCATGCGTCGTCTGGATTCGGTGGATCGTCTTCAAGTTCGGGTTTCGATGCCTTCCTTGCCGGGGCGCGTACTCCTGCACACACAGGCACTCTTGGCGGTTCTCGCACACCCGCTTGGGGCCATAGTTCCGGTTCTAGTGGCAAGGCCTTTGATGCTCCCACTCCGGGTGGTGACTACGCAGCCCCTTCTCCTGCTGCCTTCGGGACCGCGCCAACACCCGGTGCAACTGGGCCCACGCCTCGTCCATGGAATGACGCCGCCCCAACCCCCGGAGCAACAAGCGCGCCCACACCCGGTGCTTCAGGGTACCCTAGCACTTCTACTTCTGCGGGTGGGATGGGTTTGCCTGCTACACCTGGTGCACTTGATGACGGAGGACCACGATACGAAGAAGGGACACCCAGTCCGTGATTCGGCACTTCTCTTCCTTCGTCAGTAGCGGCTCTTGTCCGCAAGCCTTCCATCGCTTTCACGAGGACGTTATGGCTAGATTAGAAATGAAGAATATTTTCCCTTCATATTTCCTTCCTATCTCAAAAATATCGCGGGCGCCTTTTCCTCTCCATATTTTTATCCTTTTTTTATTCCTTCAACTTCGGCGCGTGGACGTTGCATTCGTTTCTTTATAACAATTTGTTTCCCCGAGGTTGGGTAACGGCAAAGGACACGGAAATCAGGAAAATTAGCCATTTTCTCTTCAATTAGATATTACTGCACACTGTTTTTTTGTTTGCAATTTGTATTTCTAGCAATGATTAGCTAATAGCTACTATGTCTAGTTAAGTTAGGAACTGAAGCTTCAGCTCTGAGCGGGCATATTAGTAGGAACGCCGCAAAGTGACGGCCAAGCAATACGACCTGTTTGCACTGTTTGCTTGGAAGCTCCGCTCCCCGCCAAAAGACAGGAAGGTGGGATGTCGCGATCTTCGACGAGGCGATGGCAGAACAGAGCGCTCAATATTCAAGATTCTCTCGTTTGATTATCGTATTACTTTCAGCCTACGTCTAGAAAAGGGCTAATAATCGTCCCTGTCTTATTATTTTCGATTCTTCTTCTAGAGGTAGCGAAAACTCGAAATTAAGTACGACGACGGAAGAATGTCTTCCTCTGACCCCTTGGAATCCGAACCCTCTGTCGCGGAGCGCGAACGTCAGGATCGAGAGCACAGAGAAAAGGAAGCTGCAGAACAAGCCAAGCTACCCTATAAATGGACGCAGACCATTGGCGACGCGGATGTGACCATTGTAGTCCCGGCAGAGGTCAGGGGGCGTGATTTAGATGTTGTCCTGACAAAAACAAAGATCAGGGTTGGACTGAAGGGAAAGGAGCCCATCATTGATGTGCGTTAAGGCCCATTCTGCAGCTATGTTTTTGAAGAATTGGCACTGAGTTTTTCCCTCTTATATATCAACAGGGTGATTTTCCTCACCCAATTCATGTTGACGAATCCACCTGGACGCTTGAGCCCACTTCAAACCCTCCCGGAAAGGAGGTATCCATTCATCTCGACAAAGTCAATAAAATGGAATGGTGGTCACACATCATCACCTCCGCTCCCAAGATAGATGTCACCAAAATCCAACCAGAAAATTCCAAACTGAGCGATCTAGATGGTGAGACAAGAAGCATGGTTGAGAAAATGATGTACGACCAGAGACAGAAGGAGATGGGAAAGCCAACTAGCGATGAAGAAAAGAAGATGGAAATGCTAAGAAAGTTCCAGGAACAGCATCCAGGTATGTCTTTTGGCTGTGACGCTGCTGTTACAGCCATGTGCTCTTCTGCTAACCGCGCTGATAGAAATGGATTTCTCGAATGCGAAAATTGGATAAATCAAAATTAAGTCTCTGGATTCAAAAGGATGATCTCAGTATGTAAGCGACTATTTGAAATGGATCTCTTGTGGTTAAGCATAGCGGGTGAAAATCTATTGTTTTATGTATTCTCATCGTATGTGATTTCGTCGAGGCGCGTTGCGCGAATCTATAAATTCGAAACTCGCTATCGTACATTCTATCATGCAGGATCTTTATCTATTATGAGGAATATGTCAAGTAAATACTCCTAAAACCGAGCAATATCACAATAAGTGTGCCCGGCCCACAAAGCCATTCCAAATTCGTGTTTTGCTTCACACAGCGAAGAGACGTGTGGTCTATATCTTTCGTCGTAGTTGCAAATGGTAGGTCTCCAGGGCTTCCTCGGTCATCTCGCTTGGCGTTCTCACCATGACATCCTCGCCTTTGCCAGATTTAGGGAAAGCGATAACATCACGGACGCTTTCCTTGCCCAACATAACGGCGATCAGCCTGTCGAATCCTAATGCTATCCCGGAATGTGGAGGACATCCCGCCCTCAGTGCGTCCAAGAGATGGGAAAAGTCAGCGAGGCGAGATTCCGGCATTTTGAGGATGTCACGGAGAATGAACTCTTGGACTTCGGCAGAGTGTATACGTCGACTGCCGCCCCCTAACTCAACGCCGTTGACGACAATGTCATAATGGTCTGCGGTTGCTTTGGTGGGATCGGTAAGGAGGAGAGAGACGTCTTCTGGGGTGAGAGGAGCAGTGAAAGGATGATGGGTTGATGCGATTCCAGCGGTGCCGCCTTGACCCGGTTCAGAATCGGAACTGGCAGAAAATAGGGGGAAATGTGTCACCCAGAGGAAATGGAAGCCGGTTGGTGCAGGTTTGAAACCGGTTTCAACAGCAGCTTTGTGGATAGCTCTGCGTAGATCCCCGAGGGGCGTCGACCCACCCGAGAAAGGAGCATTTTGGCGGGCTTGGAGAATAAGCAAATCACCGTCATTTAGGTCCAAATCGTTCTCGAGTGCCCACGTTGCTTCAAACCCAAAGGCCTGAAGCCCCGATAAAGGTTTTGAGGAATCAAAAACAAAAACTCCCGGCCCGCCCTCAGGGTTGTTGATAAACTCGCTCGCTTCTGGTGAGTCCAGAAACGACGTGACAAACTGCCTGGTTTCGATGGGATCGCCGTTCCCTTTCAGCTTGGTAATTTCCACAATGGGCGCGCTCAAATCTGTGATCTTGTTAACAAGGTCCACAGGTATCATATAGTCAACACGACGAATTTCCATCCCGATTCTTAGGTCCGGCTTATCGGAACCATACTTGGACATAGCTTCGTTGTAGGTCATCCTAGGAAAGGGACTAGCATCGAGTTGTTCCGGCATGAGTGTTGACCACAGTTTTCGGATCACCTGCTCAATAGTACTCATCACATCTTCACCTCTCGCGAACGACATTTCCATATCAAGCTAAGTGATGGTGTAAGTATAGAATTAATCATCCAAGCAGTGGCCTGCAGATCTTACCTGCGTAAACTCGGGCTGTCTATCTGCTCGCAGGTCTTCGTCCCTGAAGCAGTGGGCAAATTGATAATATCTCGGAACGCCACTACTCATGAGGATTTGTTTATACTGCTGTGGACTCTGAGGGAGCGCATATGCTAGGCCAGGGCGTCGAGTCGGAATAAGAAACTCTCTCGCACCTTCAGGGGTGGACTTAAAGAGCAATGGTGTCTCTACCTCCATAAACGGAGGATCGCACTCTTCCAAGACCTCTCGAAGAACTTTGTTCGCCCGTGCTCGAAAGGCCAAGGCTTGCCTGAGGTCCTTGTCATTCCTTATCTGCAGGTACCGTTTCTCAGCGGGAAATACGGTTTCCGATGTCATTATGATATCCTTGGGAAAGTCGTTGAGACACTGGACATCCTCCAAAGCAATTTCCACGCTGTTTATATTCCCTTCAGTGTCCACCGTTGGTTCTTGGGTGTGTCCTTTGGAACTTGCAATTTTCGACCGCAGTATGCCCCGAACTACAACTGGGCTATTCGCTTCTATGGACCTTAACTTATCGAACGCTTCGCTCTTTGAAAAAGAAATGACCTGCACCGTCTGCGTCAAGGACGGATTTGACAGTCGGACAAATGACATTTTCTTTCCTATATCAGTTCTCCTTCCTAGGTAACCATGTAGGGTGACACGTTTTCCAAGCCCCTGAGTGTCGAGAAGGGCCGGGAAATTTGAATTCGAAGAAGGAAAAGAAACTGGAGTTACACCAACACTCATTAGCTGTATAAAACTTAGGTGCCTCAAATCACACATCCGAGTCCCTTACTTGTTTTCTTATATTCCTCAAGGAATGGATGCGACGACTGGAGAGAAGCATCCTTGGTTCCCAGCGAGTTCGCAGAACAAAACTGTCTTTTGCCGTGGAATTGACATTGTAAACGCGGACGCGGAATCACATAGACACCCCGGAGATAATTTGATATCTCGATATAGCTTTGTCTGCGAGCAATCGCTCCCCGTACGATCATGTCCCTGAGCATAGCGGGAGCTGGCGGAGAGAAATGGCCAGACAAATGACTTTCACAGGGGCAATTGGGACAATATGCAAGGCATCTTCCCTTGAAACCAGAGTTTAGGTATGTGTTCTTTTGCGCGACTCGTTCGAGCCCCGATCAGTGTCCGATGGTCTCAACTCGGCTGAGCTTGCCGGAGCTTTGTTTCTCCGCCACACCGAAATGCTTCTAATTTTGAGGTTCTCTTTTTTCAGCTGTTGACTCTCTTCTCTTCTTTTCTTCTTCATCCTTCCAAGTTTTGAACATGTGAGTATTATATTTTTCCCCTTTACAGAGTCCTTTGGCGTGCTATGGAATCATCAGCTAATCGATAATTTTCTGTGTTGCAGATGATGAAAGCCTGGCGTGTTCGCTTTGATTCTACTTGCTCCTCTCCGACATGGAAGCTCTCCCTTTCAGGGCCTAAGTGGCTTCTATGAAGGAGCTTGGAGGAAGGATGAAAAAGGCGTTCGGCACATCCACCTTGTTATTTTACGGACGCGATGATGGCATCTCTGATCCTCAATCCTTGGAAGGTGTCCGTGTGTGTACAAACATATAGTGCATACATACATGCCTCCGATGACAAGAACAAAGCTTTGGTCCTATCAGTTGTTTCTTTTGTTCTGTTATTTTGGCTGGCGAAGATTTTTCATTTTAGTTCTTAAATGAGACTGGTGTGCAATACAGTCCTCGACTGTTGTTGATTTTCACTTTAACAGCAATATTTGTTCGTTCGGGCCGCAAACACCGTAAACCATTGTGTATTCGCGCTCCTTGGCTTCCATGCAGTCCTTTTGCTTTCCCATCGTTGCTCCGTTGATGGATCAGATCACACTACGATTGATGTAAATGCGATTCCGCGACGCCCTTCGAAGCAGCATTACCCATCAAGGCGTGGCGCCGTCAGGGTACAAGCTACTTCCTCGTATTTATGACAAATCTCATGCTTTATCCCAAAGTTTCATTGTGGCAAGCGAAGACCAGCGAGCTGGCCCCTCCTGATCGCGCACCGCTGCCTAGTTGTATTCCCCGCGGCTCCATCAGACTCAAATCTACATGACTCCGAGCAGTTGATACACATTCTGATCCTTAACTATATAACCATCGAGACCATTCTGTTTCAACAATTTCTAAGAATATTTACTCGCACAATAAAGTTTCATTCTTCCGAACCCCCGATTGTTCGCAATATGTCATCCGCAGATGCCAGAGCTTTGCAGCTCCGACAGCTTCATACCCCCGGCAAACCCATCGTTTTTGCCAATGTCTACGATCCTGCGACAGCTAAAATTGTTGCATCCCACCCCTCCTCGGCAGCACTTGCTACTGCTAGCTTTGCAGTGGCTGCTGTCCACGGCCTAGATGACGATGATATGGACCTAGAGACCAACGTAGCCGCGGTGAAGCCCATTGCAACAGTAGCAATCAAGCACGGCAAGCCTCTGACCGTTGACTTACAAGACGGATACGGCGACCGACTCGAAGAAGCCATCGAACAGATCATCGTCGCCGGTGCTTCTGGCTGCAATTTGGAAGATAGAGATAACACGACAGGCAAGCTCTTCCCGTTGGATGTGGCAGTCGACCGAGTGCGCCGGACGTTGGCAGCCGCCGCGAAAGCCGGAGTGCCCAACTTCGTTCTCAATGCTCGAACGGATGCTGTTATGGCCAACAATGACATTGAAGATGCCATTGTTCGCGGAAAGGCCTTTCTTGAGGCCGGCGCAACCACAGCCTTTGTTTGGGGCGGTCCTCGGCGCGGTTTGACTCGAGATGAAGTTGTTAGATTATCGAGCGCTTTCGGCGGCAGGCTGAATGTTATTGCTGCTGAAAACGGACTGACGATTCAAGAATTAGCGGACATTGGAGTAGCAAGGATAAGCGTTGGCCCTCGTTTGTGGAGAAAAGCAACAGCAGCATTTACAGAATCGGCAAATGAGCTTTTATGCCAGTACCAGGCCATGAAGTCGCATGCGGAGTGAACCAATATTACGAACCTAGAAATTTATCTGCATCCCACAAATACCTTGGGCTTGCATGCATCGATTTATTTAAGAACAGCAATAAAACAGGTCCTTGATCCGTATCTATCTTTTTTTAGCCCTCTATCCTATGGTCAACTAAATACATTTTGAACGGATTAATATGCCTTCAATCTTCTCGATAGACCTGGTGTAGCACTTTTGGGGAACATTTATTTTCATCTGAAACTAAAGACCAAGAAGTTATACTGCAAGTAGATTTCAATCTATAGGACTTTGGAAAAGTGAGTTGCTCCGTTATTATTCTTGCTCGCCAAGGATTACCTTCTCCAGAGCTTCCCTTTCTCCGCTTTCTTCAACCAAGGATCTGAACACACCTCCCTGAATCTCCATCAGCTCTCTCGGTGTTCCAAACTCCACTGCCTTGCCAGCATCCATCACCAGAATCTTATCGAAGTCAGCAATTGTGCTTAATCGATGTGCGATAACCAGCAATGTAGTCGAATTGCGTCCAAACTCAGTGCGGATAGAGCGCTGAATAAGCGCGTCTGTTGCCATGTCCACGGCAGACGTCGCCTCATCGAGCACCATGATTTTAGGCTTTGAGACGATAGCGCGGGCAAGGCAGAGAAGCTGTCGCTGGCCCTGCGAAAGGTTAAGTCCGCCTTCGGAGATGGCGGAATTAAGGTTGGTAAAGATGTTGACGTTGTTGTTAGGGGCCTGGGTGGATGTAGCCGCCGTCGTGTTGGTCGTATCTATAGTATGGGCGGCTGTGCTACCATTGTTGCTTGACAACGTCGGGGTTGTGCATCCTGACGCTCCTGAGGCTTGAAGAGCCGAGTGAGTAGACGAGTGAGGCCCAGTGTTTTCCTCGAGCACATCGGAGATGAGGTGTACTCGCTCGAGGGCGTCGCGCAACTCTGCATCAGAATATTCCTCAAATGGATCTAGATTCGATTTAATCGACCCAGAAAAGAGGACTGGATCTTGAGGGATAATGGCCATCCTGCTTCGTAAATCATGGAGCTTAATTTTGGAGACATCTATGCCATCAATGACAATGGAACCCTCCCATGCTTCCAAAAAGCGAAATAATGCCAATGTCAAAGACGATTTACCGGCCCCCGTACGACCCACGACGCCCACTCTTTGATTTTTTGCTACTGTGAAAGATAGGCCCCGTAAAACCGGAGGCAAATCGGGGGCATACCCAACAACCAGGTCAGTTACTTCGAGACGACCTTCTGTTGGCCACGCCGCTGGCACTTCTGCTCCTTCTTGGTTTTCAATATCGATCGCGGAATACTCAAGGACTCGTTCCGTCGCATTCATGTCTAATTCGACATTTGTATACTGACGTAAAGCCCACATGATCGACGCGGTGTACTGCAGGGCGAAACTGAGAGCAAACCCAGCCAAAGGTGCATCTATATTTCGAAGCGAAACAACAAGGCCCGCAGTTAACGTCGAGAACAACGCCCCCACAACATTCATACGGAAGCTCAACCACCTGTTAAATAGCCATAGATTCCAATACGCCTGTGCGTGATGATCAATCTTCCGATACATTCGCTCAACGTAGGTTTGGGCTTTCCCGAACGCACGTATGGTTGTTAGGCCAATTAAAGCAGACCCAAATTGTTCAAAAATAGGACTTTTCGCGTTGCTCTCCAACCTCTTGATTTCTCGGGCTCCGGAAAGAAAGCACTGTGCGAAATACATGCAAATCGCCAAAAGAAGAATCGCGAAAACTATCAGCACTGGCGAGACGAGAAAACCAGCCACAGCGATACCGATGACATTGAGGACGTTATACAGCATAAATCCTAGCTCGTACGGCAGCTTCGAGTCAACCAGATTGAAATCTGCCGTAAAACGGTTGAGAATTCGGCCAACCGGAACAGTGTCTAGCCACCGAAGCGGTGCCCTCAATACCGTATATGTGAGTTTCTTGAATAAGTTCCGCGACGATCGGATGGCTGCCCTGAGCAGAAACAGGTATCTGAGAGTACCCACTAAACATGACATAGCCGACAAGCCAAAGTAAATTCCCAAATAGAACCACAGGCCGTGATCGGAGTTTGACTGGGTCGATTTGGCCATGACATGGGATATCATCAGGAGGTTTTCGCCTGAAGCAGAACTTCCGGAAGATCGAGTCCAGATGCTGACCCACCAAGACTATAAGAGATATTAGTTAGTTGAACAACGGGTTGGCTAAGCGCGGGCACTAAATTGACTGTCAACTTACGCGACTAACGGCCAAACCGGCATATGCACAAAATGTAAAGAAAACAAAGGACCAATAGAGGAGACCTCCGCCGTTCTGGAAATATTGGATGTAGTGGATAAGTTTGATAGCACCGGTTTCACGCTTTTCTTCCTGCTGAAACTTTTTCGGGGCCTGAGGTTTAAGGGATTCGTTGCCATGTCCTTCCACGGTGCTTCTCTGCGACCTGCGTGGTATGATTTTCTGTAGAGCATTTGACTCTTCCGCCTCATCCTCGACTGTCTCTTCAGATTCATCTCTGCCTTCAAGGTTTTCACCTTGAGGGTGTGTCAGAATGTCTGCGAGGCTCCCAGTTCTTCTTAACTCCACCACAGATCCTGCATGCTGAACGATTCCACGTTCGAGATGGACCGAATAATCAGCCTGAGGCAGACACAAGCCGACGTGGTGAGTGACTAGGATTCGGGTTCGTCCGTGGCATAGTTCCCCAGTTAGAGCATGGACGTGGAGGTGGCGGCCAGTATGTGCGTCCAAAGCGCTAAAGAGATCATCCATAACCAGAATACCGGCTCGCGAATACAGAGCTCTTGCAAAGGAGACACGCCATTTTTGCCCACCGCTGAGGTTAATTCCGTTCGCACCAATATCTGTTAGTTCTCCATCTGGTAGCATTTCAAAGTCCTTTTCGAGTGCGCAAGCAAACAACACTTTCTCGTATCGTTCAGCGTCAAGGGGTAGCCCAAATAAGATATTATCTTTTATAGAGGCATTCTCTATCCAAGGTACCTGAGAAACATATGCAATCGCCGAGTCGATGATCCAATTTGCTTTCGTAGCGTGGTCATCGAATCTGTCTTCCAATGGGGGAGCCACTGGAACGTGAACTTCTCCATCAATTATATCTGCTTCACCAATAATCGCTGCAAGAAGCAGACTCTTGCCAGACCCAGTTTTACCGGAAATGACACTCAATCCTTTTGGTGGGAACGCTAAATCAACTTCCTTGAGTGCGAATCGCTCATCGTTTTCGTCAACCTCCTCAGTAGGCCAAGCCACTGTTGCTCTCTTAAACGTAATATTATCCGCGGGAATGGTGGTCTGAGTACGGTCGGCGGATGCCAGGTGTTTCTCGACACGCTTTGCACTGACGAACGCCTCAATAAAGTCCGCGATCAATTCAGGTAAAATTGCAAGAGAGAATTCAAGTGATGAAAATATTGCCATCGTGGTAAAGGCGACCGACGCAGAAAGTTCTCCATAAATAAGGGAATATGTGCCTAGGGAGACGACAGATAGCATAATTGGCCCAAGGATCCAAATAGATATGAGGCAGACATCATAAGTAAATGCCATCCATTGCGCATGGAGCTCTGTATTCCTAATCGCAAAAATTTTCTGTTCCCATTGACCCTCCAGAGCAGAGAACTTAATTTGTCTGATCCCCTGTAAAGCTTCTGTAATAACTGCCATTTTCTGGTCTCGAAACTTCATGAGAGACGTCTGTGCCGCAGAATACCTGCTTGCAGTCATGATGTTGAGAGGTGTAATAATAAGAGCAACCAAGAGCCCGGCGCAAAGACTCTTCCATCCAATAAGGCGAATTAAGAAGGCAAAGGCGACCGCGAGCTTGACAATGGTTTCAATGATAATGCAATTAAAGGAAGCAAAATCAGAAATTCTTTTAGCGTCAACGGCGATAAGATTGATCGTAGCTTGGCGGGTCTTTCGAGTGTCTTCATCGTCATCCTCTTCGTCATTTCTAGTATCAACTTTGACTCCCAAGCTCTCTTCACTCGATTTTTGGGATCCTTTAACATCTTTTCGACGAAGAGATTTGGCGAATACGACGGCAGACAGTTGTTCGTAAACAGGAATAGCCAATTTATAGTAGGCAACCCAAAATAACCAAGACTCAACCGTACTGTAGAAGATAATTGACCCTCCCAAGGCAAAGACCCAAAGCCAGAGGGTTACCGGATTCCATGAATCCGAAGATCGAGCCTCCAGGGAACGCAGAATCCCCAGAAGCGCGACCTGAGGAGCGAAACTGACCACTGAGACGAACGACGAGAAGATAAACTGCAGGACGAAGGTAGCAAAGTATTCGTTTGCCAATACTTTCCACAGGCTCTGTCCTTTTCTTCTTCTATTTTCGAAAGATTCGAGCAAAGTCTGCGAGCGGGTGGCGTAATCCAATTCAGGGAGATCATCAATACTCAAACCCTGATTGTATTTGGCGTAGCGCAATAAGGAACCCGCCCAATCAAACGAGATTCTCCCGAGAAATGAAGTTGTGAACTGGCGGTCGACGGCTTTATCATTCCTGAAAACGTCCGGACGACGGGGCAGGAGAACAGATACACAACAGATTAGAAAAGCGGCTATGAGCTCGGCCAGGACAAGAATATCTGAAGCGGAGTTGAGGGACGGAGATTGCAGCCAGGCACCGATGATTGCTACTTGGGCGCAAGACACCACGATAAATATGGCACAAGCCGTGGCATTGTAGAGTCCTAGAGAGAATCTTTTTTGAGGGGAGGGTTCTGCAAACAGGGACACCGCCTGAACTACGAGTAAAGCCTGTAAATCTGGTAAGCATGTACACACACATATATAAATGTAGTTGCATGATAACGAAGGGGGAATTTCAAACGTACCCAAGTCGCAAACTGGAACCATTGTTCGGTCGGCCCTGGATAATATCCGTTTTGGTGACCAGCAGTTGTAAGGACAGCCAACGCAAGTGACACCAGTAATCCGCCGAGCGAGAAGATCGCAATTGAAGCACGTCTAGTCGAATCCGAAAATGCCTTGGTCGATTCTTCAGTCGCCCATCCGTCACGGTCGTGGTACAAGTCTTGCAGGAACAGAGAGACATTGTTTCTCTTCTGTAGTCGCCATCGATCCACAATGGATTTCAGGGCCGGAATAGTAGCGACAACGATAGACGCGATGCCAGCGATGCCAACCACCAACGACGGCCTCTGTGAAGTCTCCATGATGTGTTCAGATTTTCTTGCTCTTGCAGCTTATAGGCAAGCTGTTCCTTGACATTGCCTTGGGGTTAACTGCCGACAACTCCCTTGATTAACCAAAAACAGGGCACTCGCTGGATGTGAAATCTAGATATTGGGGGAATTGTGATATCCCCCAAAAACACACACTTCCTTTGCGAGAAGCCGCTAGGCTACCAGCACGCAATCGTTGACAGGTCAAACCCCTGAGACACAAACCGTGAAAAAAAAAAAAAAAAAAAAGAAGAGGATTAAAATTAGCCTGAGGGAAATGGAGAGCCAACAAGAAGAGAGTGCCACATTTCACTGGAGTTCAGCTTTCCTCTGCAGCTCTCCACCGTTCCCGCCACCGATCATCGCAAGGAGCAGATCCATATTTTCTTTTGTCCGGAGTCCAAATGAAGGAAAGCACTTAAGATCCGGGCTACGTTGGCGGCATAGCTCCAAAGTCAATTTCCACCCTCCGCGCAAATTCCAACGAGACAGCAGGGTAGTATCGGATTGATAAGCAGAAAAGAGTCAGATCGGGAGGCGGGAAGACGTTCGAAGTGTCGTCCCTAAACTCGTTTCGGGCAGTTGTTAGGTCCGACCACGCCCGGGGAGGCTTCACTCAGTTAATGACGAGAAAGGCGTTGGAGCGTGCGCCTGAATCGGCAACCTTTGCGATACGAGCGGTCGTCACCGTTTGGCTTGATGTCGTCCCGGTGTTCCGTTTGGCGCCAAAGCGACCCTTGTCGCTTGTTTGCGGAAGCTCCAATGAATGGTCGGTCCAATCCCAACTCCGTCCCCAGGGTCGGAGTTTTGAGGTTGATAGATTTGAAGAACCGAACGCGTGACGAGATCGCCGCATCTCAGGTGCACCAGCGTTGCAATATCGAGCTCCAGCGTTCGATAACTACCAGCTTGAGATACATGGTGCCATTAAAAATCGCACCTCAGATTCCGTACAGCACGTCGCCGGCTGTCTTTCCAGACCATTGCTTCAAGACCTCATCCCACTTGTGCTTTCGGCCCCCAGACACAGTGGGGTTTGCAAGCTTTCCCCCGCCATTTGACAGCGGCTTACGATTGGCGCAAGATGCGAAAATCTTCCTTTCTTCGCTCGTATCTGCGGAAACGGGTCGCCCACCGAATTCTTGAGGTGCCTTCTCTGGCTGTTCAGATGACCATCCAACCGCCACCCACCTTGTTCACCCATTTTATTGAGATTGGGGGCCCCCCAGCAAAAAGCAAAATTCCAAATTTCGAGGGCATGCTGCCAATGACTCACAGTACTTGGCACCGAAAATTCTGGGCCAAACACTTCTGTTTCAATGCTTGCTGAACATTCGTCGCAAAAGCAACTGCGCGCTGCGAATTTCAGATCCGTACCACTCCCCCCCGGGGGCTAACCAATCCGCTAGTCCTCGATGGGAGGGGCGCGATGAGTTCGCGAGTTAGGCAGTGCGTTCCCTTGCAAAGGGCAAGTCAAACAGCAGCTCCGCCCTAAATTAGAATCGGCCTCCAACCGCTCCGTCCGACAAAATTCTCCACTCCTTCATCTTGGAAGACATCACCTCCCAACCGTCCTGTAACAACACTCCGCTCAATTTCCGGCCCATAAACGGTAAACGGCTCGAACCCTAACAGCCGACGCCCCCCATCATGCTCCTCAACGGTCTTCCGCACCCAAGAATACCGTCCGACAGAAGAATCGAAACGATGCTCGAATCCAGAGTTCACGCGATCAAGTGATAAAAACCATCGTCTCTGATGAACCGACGAGATCGAGTTAGTTGCACCAGGATAAGCATTCGTCACTCGAATTGTTTCATCCTCTTCATCGGAATGATGTGCAAAACGGGTGTTGTGGTTAGATACTCCGGTGTCTTGGTTGGTCGAAGGCGAAGATGAACACGACGCAGAAGATCTTTTTCCACAACACGCCACGTTCCTTCTTCTCTTTCGTGTTTTACTCCGCCTTCTGGGCCGTAAGGAGATATCGTTGTCAGATGTGAGACGTAGGGTCACGGTATAATTTGGTGGCAGGCGGGTTCCATGCAACCTTAGCCGAATTTTTCGCTTCACAAAAGCGTCAGCGGCGTCCTAGTTCGGAATTATGATGTTCTCACCTGTTGAAACGCCTCCTTTAACTTGTCACTCTCCGACATCCCGTCGATATCAGACGCATCACTGGAATGTGAACGAGAATAGTCTGTTTCGGTTGCTTCTTTGGGCGCATGATACGGAAGTATAGAATACTCTCCTGTGTCCCATATTATAAGGCTTCCCGAACTCGTTGAAGCAGACTCTATCAAATGGTTCTGCAAGATTAGAATATGCCTCGTTTGGAGCCAATCGCAGCAAACTGGAATGCATTCCGCGAATCCACTTACCCACAGGTTATGAACTCGTGTTTCTATGGCGTTTCTATTCGGTCTCCTACTATTCGCGTTGCCCGGTAGCCCGTACATTATCGCAAAGCTTATCGAGCTAGTATCTGAAAACTGTAGACGCAGATCGTAATGGGGGCCGGTAATCGGATGGTCGTGTTGATGAACCACAAAGTGCCTCCCATTTAGATGTTGATTCCGTACATACAGCTCGATCCAGTCTCGGTGTGGGAGACGAGGAATAGAGGGAACCGGTTCCCGTGTTGTCTCAATAAGGCGAGAGGAGAATATCTCCAGATGGTTGTCTACGTGGGCCTTGCCCGCCTCTATGGCAGCAAGGCTAGGGGCTGACCTTTTGCCAGAAGCAAGGAGACCTGTTCGAGGGTTGTGACGCCGTCGCTTTCGAGGTGGGGATACGGGCACGTTTAAAGATGCCAGACCGGACACCGGCCATTCCCAGGTCTGGGGTCTAGGCAACGGGCTTCCTCTTGCACTCGGTTCCCGCTGGCTCTCCATTCCTCAGCTCCCAATTCTTTTAGAAGTTCCAGCAGGTCACTGGAATGTCCTATCTCGGAAATACGCAGCTTGTCGTGATTCTTGTGACCATGCTGCGTGCGAAATCAGCTTTTCTCAAGTCCCGCTTTGTAACTACGTGTTTGAACAGATACGGACTGATGAGAATATTGTGTAGACTGTCCAGGAGACACTGATACTTGGCGCGTCGTTTCGAGATAAGGTGTGATGTAGCTCTCCGTTGAGGCGTCGAGATGTCGTGCATTGATCTCCGTCAGCAGGGCGTTGGAGTGACGTAACTAACTACTTATGTAAGTAACTAACCAGACACTGGTGTAGCTCAGGGCCGAAGCTTCAAGCTCGCCGCTCAGTCGCCGATCGCGGAACAGACGCGGCCACTTCGGTAAGCAGGGGCTAGCCGACAATGCCCCCGGCTCTATTTAACTCTCGGTGCATTCCTGATTCTTGGAATAAAGCGAAGTACAGTACACCCTCCTGGCGCCATCGACTGGGCTCAAATATAAGCAAGCCTCAGCGTGGAAGCTTGAACCGGCGTTACAGTCGACTGCCCTTGTGTCTATTTGACTAGGTCTCGGGATAAAGCTAGCAGAACCTAAAATGGCTTTCTCCGATGATGTTTCGGCCTTCACCTCTCCGTACCCACAATTAGGAGGTAATCGGCGATTAACTTCTCGCATAGCTTGCTGATGAACTGGGCGGCAAGATGCAATGGCGTTAGAATATAACTTGCGAATCCATCTGTCAAAGGCCGTACATACATGTTGTGAACACTCTCAAAAGTAAACCTTTTTGAGAAAAAGGTCCACATTGTCTTTAGCTATGTTCACGCCTGTTGATACCGCTCTCGGAGCCTTGCTTCTATACCAAGGCTCATCTGGCCTACTCCAACACAATGGCCGTGTCTTTGGCATATCTAGCCTCCTGTCAGGCTGTGTTGGACGCCCTGGAGTGGACAATATACCTATTGTGCTAGGAATGGCGTCCAGCATCGTTCCAGTGTCACTGATCGCTCCCTCCTTTCTTCCGTCTTATCCGCCTCTCCCAGCGGGACTAGGCGCTGCGCTGGGCATTGCAGGAACAGGTTTCCTAGTTGGATGGGGAACGAAGGTAAGAAACCCTCCTCTCTGCCTAAGCTACTAACGACATTACCGTTGGGCGGTGTTAATATCCGAGAACTAATCAACTAATCTTCTCCTTTCGGGTACAGAACGACAACGGCTGCACATCTGGCCACATGCTCTGTGGAATCAGTCGGCTCTCTCCGCGCTCCATTATTGCTACTGGCATATTCTTTGTCACTGCGCTTATCACTGCTAACTCGGCAGTCGGGGCACCGATTCCAGCCTGCCCCGGCGGCCAGCCATGCTGTACTCCGTCCTACCCATCCAACCATGACCTTGGGTTCATCTCTGCTGCCGTCATCATTTCACAGATCGTCAATTCCATCATCGTTCCACGCTTCCTCCGCCGCGATGAAAAATCCGCTGCCATATACAGCTATATTGCAGGCTTACAGTTTGGTCTTGGTCTCTTGATCAGCGGCCTAGCCAATCCAGCCAAGGTCCTTGGGTTCTTTAGCTGGCGTGATCTCTCGCGCTTCGATCCCTCTCTCGGGCTCGTGATGGTTTTCGCCGTTATCCCAGGTCTCCTGTCATATTTTAGAATGAAGCGTGAATACGGTAACGAGAAGGGAAAGAAACCACCCACTCTAACTGAATATTTCCAACTACCCACCAAGACAGTGAAAGACATTGACTGGAGATTTGTCCTCGGCGCAATGTCTTTTGGCATCGGGTGGGGATTGTCTGGTGTGTGCCCGGGACCTGGGCTCTTGAGATCCTTCTTGCAACCGGCTTTTGGTGCCTTATGGATGGGCGGTTTTTGGTTGGGTAGTTTACTGGGCTTGTAACATCTTGTACCTCCTAACTGGTTGTCAAAAATATTATGTTTATATCATAAGGTTAGAAAAAAGTCCTCCACAGGTCCTTGAATTTCAATCATTCATTTGGATGTAAGTCGTTCGTTTCTTTCCATATCGGACTGAATGCGAATGTACACAGAAAGAGGGTAAATTCAGTCAATAATTTATCATTCAGATAAGAAGTCGGATATCTAGCTAATATCAGGGCATATAGACTTGCGCCTAGGGAAGCATTGCATTATCCCTTTCGTCATTAATATTAAAAACAGAAAATCTATAGAGTCGCTTGCCTCGAGGAGTAAAGCATGAAAAAGGGTGGGAAAGGTACAGTGGTGTATAAAAGGTATATCAGGAATTAAAAGGTCATAGATGAACACGGGAGCCCCCTCCATGTCACTTACATACCGTGGTGAGAAGAAGAATCCTATCCGTTTTATGATGGTACGTCGTGAAGCAGTCGGCTTATATCCTTTAAGACATAGCGATGTTAGCGTCGCTTTTGAAATATACATGTTACGAGCCCAAACTTTCCTTGTCTCATATGTACATACATGCAAGGAGTTTGGGGTATCAGAGGACGCTTACAACTCTGTTTTCCTTTTCTCTCCCTTCCATTTTGATGTCCTTGCCTCCTTATCAAAATATCCCTCCAGGTCAAGCCATTCGGCAGCGAATGCTGTAATAATAGTGCTCCAATCCTCCACTGTGTCTAGGTGTAGATGATCCGCATTATCTTCTGCCCGATGCCACACACGCGGGAATGGAGACGGAATGATGTGGAGAATATCAACACCACGTTTCATGAAAGGAACATGATCATCGCCGATACCAAACGGAGGGAAAACCTCGTTATCGCCCTTCAGGGCATCAGAGAGCCAAGGCTTTTCGGTCTCAGGTTTCTTCTTGCTCCCATCCTTTTGGGCTTGTTTCGAGGACTTGAAAAGATTGAGGCTCCGGAGCCGCGATTCCAAAACCGCCATATGTTGGTAAGCCCAATGAGTCGTTTTATAGTAAGAAGGGATGTTTGGATTTTGTTCTCCGAGTAAATCAAGTAACACGAATAATTTTATAGCACCTAGAGGGCTTTTATAAGTTGACAGAGCGGGATACACCGTGTTTTCCATGTGTTCGGCAAGGGATCGGGCGCCGTAGAGTGAGTCCTCCTCTGTCCACTGGACGAAAGCCTCTTCCCCGTCAAGAAGAAATATCTGGATACCCTGGTACTCGTCCAAGCCTAGCTCATGGACTGGATCGTCTTTCATAGCCTCCCATTTCTTCGTCAAGGCGGCATCAATGCTGCGTATCGCGTGTAATATCATCGCACAGGGAGCGGCGCTGTCTGTAGCCCCGATAAAGCCTTCTGGCTCAAGTTTGCTGTCATAGTGTGCTACAAGAGTCAATCTACCCACATTCCCGGGCTGGGTGTTTGGAGGATCTCGAGAGGCAATCAGATTAACGAATGGGATCTCTTTGTCTCCCGTCGCCGGCGTCTTCGACGTGGAATTCTGGAATTCGATTTTCCAGTCCGGCAGAGTGGTTTGGAAGAACTTGACAAAGTGTTCAAGGACGGCTCGCGAGCCAGGTGAGCCAGGAACACGCGGCCGAAGGATTGGTGCAAGGAGCGCCCCCTTGTGGACATCGAAATCGTTGCCGGGGCGTGGTAGGGCTTTGAGTGTGTCATCGGATAAGGCCGTGTATGCATTGGCGACCGAAACAAGGCACGCTATCCATATTAGTGATAGGCACCACGGAAGAATCCAGGGCACCCGGCTGGTGGCCATCATTTTGGACAAGGAGCGATGCGCAGCGTTGTCATCCCGAATCGATCAATGCCACCAGGAAGTTAAAAGCGCATCGGCGACGCAAAAGCTGCTCGCCGTCGCGGCCACAAAGCGGAGGCGTGCCTGATGTGTCTCAGAATATCCGTTCCGCGGCAATCTGACCAATCAGCGTACAGAGTGCGTCTATCGCGAAGTTTAAATGCACGTGATCGGAAAAGCTTCAATCAACCGAACAGCTCGACCAAGAGTTAGTTCGCGGATTGGGATTCTCGAGGAGGAACAGCCCACCCATTCAATTGGCCAGCTAACAGTCTCGCGTAACGATGAGCAGACCTCTCCTCCTTCTCAGACCTCTAGGCAGGTGTTTGACCCGGTGTACGCGGAGAGACCGGGTCGACAGCCTTTGTATTCGGAACAAGACAACGGACAGCGGGTTCTCCCAGCGAGCTTCCTTAAACCGCTCAAAGACCCAGGGTTCGTCTCGCGGTCTTCTCCGAAATCCTATTCGAAATGCACCGTCGCGGCCTCAGCCAAATTTTTCCAAAGGTATGCACGTATATTCAACGGACTTTAACAGGAGAGCCCTGAGCTAATAGCCGTGACGTAAAGCTCATGCAAGGCCCCAGCAAGTTGTTATATACCACGCCGGGAGTGGGAAAATTGCTTTTATCGGAATGATGCGCTTGTCCACAATTTTGATTTTCGTTGTCTCGTGCACCGTGGTTGCCCCCGCATTCTATGCCGCCGAGTACCCCTGGTATATACCGCCGGCCAGTGAGTGTTGCACATTGTTGCTTCTACGTCGGAGAAACTAACAGGCGCTGGGTAGTTATTGCAGCGGGGGCGTTCCCAATGTTGTTCGTTTCCTACACTGCTGCCCCGTTCGTCAACCTGGTCTACCTAGCATTGCCAGCATTTGCGCAACAGTCAAGGGAGCACATGTTATCCTACCTACAGAATGTTCCCCGAACAGCCACATTAAGCATCGAGACTATGAAGTTTAACTTCTATCCTCGAAGAACCCAGGTCGCAATCTCAGACCTAGCTCCTGGAAAATCACTCACCCGGCCAGTTAGCTTCATCAATACCAACCCTCAGCCACAGCCATGGTGGAGAGGCAAAGATGGTGTACATTTCTATACACCAGAGGCAAACAGACCAGCTAAATCGACTCCCAAGTTTTTTCCAGAAGCTTGGGAGCGAGTATTTGCCCAGATTAAGCAGAACAGCCTTTTAATGAAAAACAAATGAGCCGATATTTGACCATAATGTGATATACCCTACTGTAATCTCTATCAAAGAAGAGATACAATGAGCCTTTGATTAGAGCTATTCTAGCTTGTTTGTGGATGCTTGCTACTTCCACAGATTTCAGGCCATGTAACATCAATGTTGAACTAGGCATATGTGCCATTTTGTCCGCTAGCTTTGCAGCAAGGATTAACACGTTGAGCAACACTTTGGATGAAGCAGCACTTCAAAACTGAATTGAAAATTACAATTCGCCTAATTACAGTTACAATTGTGTTGTATTTGCCTTTCTGTTTTGTTTTTGTTTTCACACTCTATTTAATCATCTTCTCCGTGCTCTTTGCCCTGATCTTTCATTCACATCTCCATCCCACTTCAGCTCAACTACAGACAGTTTTTTTACTCAAACTTCACACTTAGGCTCTCACATTCAGGGATCACTTCATCTCAACTCTACTTTTCGTCGTCATTTCTCGTTCAATCTTTCGAAATACAGTACAAGCTCCTTCAATTTCCACCATGGATTCATTGTCTGCCAGTGAACAGCGCATCTTTAGCAATGGCATGATTTGCGCTTTTGAAGGCTTGAACAGCATCAAGGTATGTGTGTTTCCTGAGCATAAATTCCCGTCCACTCTCTATCCCCCTTATCCCACATCAAGTAGTGTACCCGACACTCCCCACTTACACCCTGCTTTCGCTTTTTTATTTTTACTTTCGTGAAAGTTTGAAAGTTATACATTATTCTTATACTTTCCATAGGTTGACTACGAAAAACTAGCTGCTATGTCGGGCTTGAAGAATGCTTCTGTCGCATCAGTTCTTTTCAACAAGGCCAAGCGTAAACTTGTCGCGCTTCAGAGCAATGGCGACAGTGGCGGTCCCGTCAAGAAGGTAAGCACGATGTCTTCCCAGTGTCGGCCAATCGCTTACATCGTTTGAAAGGCTGCTACCCCCGAAAAAGTGACCAAACGCAGTACTGCTCGCAAGAATACCGGGAAAGGAAAAGCCAAGGCCTCGGAACATGCCCCGGTTGCTGCCTATCCTGAAGCGTCCCATGCCTCGAATGGGAATGGGAACACAGAGCCCCCCGTTAAAAAACGTGGTGGAGGCAGACGCACTGCCGGCAACAAAATAAAAAATGAAGAGGAAACCAAGCCAGGAGCGCCCATTGATCTTATGTGAGGAACTCTCCTCGTCTATATCGCTACCAATCCAGTTATTACTAATAACTTGTAGCAATGATAGCATCAAGCTTGAGGATGGTGTCGGATATAGCGACATGCTTAGCGATTTTGGTGAAACTGCTATTGAATCTACCGTCTACTGCGAGGCTGAAGCACCTGCACCCGCCGACGAGGACGATGACGATGACACTGTCATGCCGAAGAAAGAATTCGATGACAACTAAGCTGGATAATGACTTTGACACAATTCTGGACTTTTCTCTCTGCATTGGACAGTCTTCTTGTGATTATTCTCCTTGGTGTTACCTATGTCACTACTCAAATCAGGATGTCATTTCGATGACCTGCCGCACGATCACTGATTGTCCTATTCATTTTCTCCCGTTTTGTGTCCATTGTCTTTGTTCGATGTTCTTTCGGCAACTTGTCATTGGACTTGGATCGTTGATTAGTTTTCCCTTGCGGCCGGCTCTTGAAGATTTGTTTCGAACATTGGGTCGTTGCGCCAGCGCGCCACGGTTTCCTTGGAGGACCACCTTTGCTCTATGATTAGCATGCATATCCATTGGCTCTTGAGATCTCGGGCTTAACTAGATGAATGCTGAAGGAAGTAGTTCCATAGTAATAGGCTGTCAATTCTAATGGGACAATTTCAACACACATCATGTTAAAAATTACCAAGTATCACAGCGATATCAGGAACACTGTTAATATGGACGAAGTTTAAAACAAAATGTAGTCAAGAAAAGAGAGCAGATGTTGGCATCCTCAACTCTACTCCAAAACAACTGGAGGAATATAATATAAGGTTTGCAAGCTTGTTCTTCTCAACATCCTTCTCTAGCCCGAAGTGATTCAGGACCGCGAAGGTTGCCCCTCATCGTCTCTCTTGACTCCACATCTCATCAACCAGCATCAAACAACATGGCCGCCACAGACGCAGCTCCTCCACAAACAGAGGAAACACCATGGTATGCCGCATTTCCGGCCCCCAAGCTTAAGGCCGACGTTATCTCCCGTACCGAAATTCTCAAGTGGCTTCCCAACAAGCCTGCAACGCTAGACTTCGTCCTGGTTGACGTACGACGGGCTGACCATGAGGTATGCCTCCAGCTATATATCCCCATATCCCTTCATGAGGATGGATTATATCCGTAGAAACAGAAAATAGTACGATATGTCCTTGTGTAGGCTCCCGCTAACCCGCCAAAACGCAGGGAGGTACCATTTCAGGGTCCTTAAACCTACCCGCGCAAAGCTTTTATCCCTCTCTTCCAACTGTATATTCTATTCTCAAACAAGCAAATGTGAAGAAAGTGATATTTTACTGTGGTTCGCATTAATTATCCTCTCTCATTGAGCGTTGACCAATTTCGGCTGACCGCCGCATAGGCTCGTCAAAGGGTCGCGGAACCCGTGCCGGAGGATGGTTGGCTGACTATCTCGCGGAACATGACTCCACGGGGATGCAGAGTCTGGTTCTTGAAGGTGGAATTAAAGGCTGGGTAACAGCTGGAGAGGAATATGTGAAATATGTGGACGGCTATGATGAGGCAGTCTGGAAGAAGCTGGGCGTGCTTTAGAATCAAATGTCGAAGACAGGCTGTTGAAATGATACAAATGCAAGGCGGTCTAAGGTAATCATCCCTTATATTGATAGGTCACCGTTCCCATTACCCACTATCCACAAAAAGAAAAAGGGGCGAGAGGGCTTTGGGGAAAAACCCATCTGAACAGCTGTCGGATATTTGATAATACACTCAAGGGTATTAAACGGTTAAAAGTAAAAGCCAGACCTCATAGTGAAAGGTAAAAGTCAAAGTAGCCACGCCATCTAGGAATCACATAAAACAAGATCCATCCCCAGAAACAGAACCACCTCAAATTACAGCAAGGCACATTGCTCACATATTCTCAATTGCATTCAGTAGAACTTCCATGCCTTTCCCATCGGCTGAGTCCCGTACGACGTCATCATCCTTCAAGATCCACGCAATATCGCTCCACCAGCCCAAACCAACGAGTCCACTTCCTTTTTTCCTCTCGACACTCTCCTTCAATCGACTGGTGTGCTCCCACTCTTTGGCAGCAACTTCTGCCGTTTCGATAACCTTAGTAGGAATCCCACACATGGATGCACAATGCATCCCAAAACTTCCTTCAGCAACTCCATCCTCCAATTTATATAAAAATGTAACTCGTCTATCCTCCTCGTCTACATGAATACGCATGCGGCGAGGGGAGATCTCCGGATGCCCTTCAAACTCCGCGGCAAGTGAGTGATAGTGTGTTGCAAAAAAACCCAGCGCGCCAATATGTGTTGCAACATGGTGCAGCACAGCCTGAGCCACAGCAACACCATCATAGGAGCTGGTACCACGACCAAGTTCGTCCAAGATTACAAGAGAGCGCGATGTCGCTTCGGACAAAATCTTTTTCGTCTCTGATAGTTCCACAAAGAAAGTAGATTGTGCACCGAAAATGTTGTCGTTTGCTCCGAGCCGTGACATTATGCGGTCGACAGGGGTAAGTCTAGCTGATGCACAAGGGACGTAGCAGCCAATTTGAGCCATGATCGCGGCCGTACATGTCTAAAATGCATTAGCATTTCTTCATACTATAAATAAGATTGGATAGGGGCAATCCTCACCATTCGCAAGACAGTTGACTTTCCGGCTGCGTTGGCCCCGGTAAGAAGGTTGATACTGGCAGTATTCCCGCCCAGCTTTACGTCGTTGGGAATGAAATCTCCAACAGTGGCAAGCATGCAGGGATGGCGGAGTTCTTGGAATTCAAGGACGCTACGATCACTGTCAACGAAAACCGGGCGGCAACTAGGGTACCCGATAGCTGTGGACGCCTTTGCCAAACCGATCAAGCAATCGAGTTGGGCAGTGATCTTAACAGCTGCGAGCCAGGTCTGGTAATTCTCGTCAAAGCGAGCATAAAACCGACTGGTTACTTCCTTGACAATTTGATTGTGCGTTTCTTGTGCCTCCTGGAGCTTTCGAATCAAACCACGAAGCTCAGGGAAATAGTACCTCTTCGCCTGCTTAGTCGCAGACATCTGATCCCAACTTTTTGGAATATTCCTCACTTTAACGGGGACTTCAAGCTGGTATATTTCTTTACCATTGTCCCGGTATATTATTGCAGAGCTGTTAAGTTCCCTTCGGACCCGCTTCAGCAGTTGATCCAGTTTAGCCTCAATTTCTTCAATTCGCTGAGTGGATGCATCAAAATCTTCTTCCACTCCTGCCTTCGGAACAAAAATTCCACTATCCTTGGCCTTTACTCGGTCAAAAGCAGTTTTCCAGTACTGCAACAAGCCATCCATATCGGGCATTGAAGAAATGAGATGCCCGATAACTCCATCACCTGAACCGGTTTGCTTAAGAAGGCTCATAGTATAATCGATCTGTTCGAATCCTTCGAGAACACGGACAAAATCTTGACACTTGCAGGTTCCCGCATGGACACGGGAAATGAGTCTTTCCAGGTCCGGCATTTTCGTCAGTTGGGATGAGAATTGATCTCGTATGCTGCTATCCGCGTTTAACGCGTCGACGGCATCGAGTCGAGCATTTATCTTCTTCGAGTCCATGAGTGGATGACACACCCATTGTTTGAACATTCTTTTCCCAAATGGCGTTATACAGCGGTTGAGTAACTGGAATAACGTGCCATCCTGGCCACCATCATAAGAGTTCGCGAAGACTTCGAGGTTGATCAATGTCTGTCCGTCAAGGACCAGACTAGACGCCTTTCTGATAGGATCATACCAGGTGAAGTTGCCAATGGTGATGAGATCCCGTTCAATCTTCAACATCCGCAAATATTGAATCAAGGCACCAAAGGACGAAATCACAAGCTCCTTGTGTCGAGCTTGCCTCAAAACTTCCGGCCACGCTTCAATATTGTCCTGGTCAACAGAAACAAAGTATTCGCTTGCATCAAGTTCTCTGCGAGTAGTAGATGCATCCCAAAACTCTCTCTCTGGCTTTAAATAGTTCCAGATAGTCGTAGGATTTGTATTGTTTTTCAAAATTCGGAGGGCTTTGGGGGACATGAAGCCCTTCTCTAACAAAAGCTCTTGTGGTCGTGTCTGGGCCACCAGGGTCTCAAATTTTGTCATGTCCACGTCGTCAGTGAATTCCGTCAGGAAAAATTGACCGGTGGCCGTATCAACAAAGCTAACCCCGAAAGCTGGCAGATCGTCAACCAAAGCCTCCTTGACGGCTACGCAATACGTTGACATGTCGTCCTGAAGCATGGCACCGTCAACAAGTGTGCCGGCCGTAAGGACACAACTCAACTCTCGCTTTATGACTTTGTCTCCCTTTTTCTTGTCGTCCCGCTCTCTCATCTCTTTTCCCAACGCGGATTCTGACTGGTCGACGCGGGCTATTTTGAAGCCCTTGGCAACAAATTGATTTGCCCAGTACTCTAAACTGGATTCTGGCACACCCACCATCCGCATGTTAACTCTATCAGTAAGTTTAAGATCGAACAACTGGTGCCCGATGGTGGCATCGTTTTCGTAAAGCTCATAAAACTTCCCCTTTTTGAAAAAGACAACGGTATCCCAGAACTTTTGCTTGATCTCCCAGTACTGTTTCTCGAAAGGAGAAAATCTACTCCATGCCAGAGGGGGAATATATAACGTCCGAGGATCATAATCGGGATGGCCCGGAGGGTTTTTATCCATATCGAGTATATTCGCAAGCCATGGGTATCGCTTTTCAGGCTCGGTCAGGTGTGCTTTCTCCTTTTTCTTCCCCAAAGATTTGGACGAAAGCGGTGCCAATGTTGTTCTATGTTGGCGGCACTCGGTGTCATTAGGATCGTAGGTCCATTTTTTCGCGGTTCCAGAGGCGGAATCAGGGATATCTAGGTCGACGTCCATATCATCCTGTGGTGCAGATATCGGGGTTGAAGGCTTGGTAGGTTTGGGATTGGAGGATCTCTTGCGTTTCCTAGATGGTCGCATCTCTTGATCGGATTCATCAGGGACGATGAAGTCGTCCAAGTCTTAAATCGTTTAGTATGTACTAACCCAAATTACGCTCTCAGCAGGTATCTTACCATCGAAATCTCCTATATTGTCGTCTGGTTGAAATTCTTCCTCGTCTTCAGATATGGCAACTGTTCTTCTTTTCTTATTTGCCCGGCCAACAGCGGACTTCCGTGTGGGAGGTTTAACAACGTCGTCTTCATCCGATTCCCAATAATCTACGGTCTTCTTTGCCTGAGGTGCGTTGTGTTAGTGGAAGTATTCACATAGGTCTGAAGCGAAATAATTGGAAATACGCAGCTTACACGACGAGAAGGAGTCGCTGAAGGCAATTCTTGATTCTCAGCCTGCTCCCCATCACGCCCGTTAGCAGACGTAGCAGGAGAGGGCAAGCTAACGTCCACAGCTTCAGGACTTCCCTTCAACTGTTGTACGGTCGACTGCTCGATGTTGAGATCATCGGAAACTGGTTCCACCGCGTCGCTGCTCGGGGAAGGAGTTAGATTAGGGGCACGATGGCTTGACTGCGTCCCGCTCAGTTGGCTCGCTTTGGTTCTGTTATGCGATGGCCGTGGAGCTGGAGACGAGGCTGGCTCATCTTTGACATTCTGCGTGCGAGACGTCGCCGGAGGTGTGCAAGGCGACGACTTTGGCTGAAAGAAGCCCAGGATAGATTTCTGGCCCTTCATGGTCTGTGTACCCGCCATCGAATTTTTTGGAACCCGAGAGCTTTCAGGCATCACCTAGGAACAGGCTCTGCAAAAAGAGACAGAGGTAGTCGGAAAAGCACAGGGGAAAGTCAATGAATCGCCATTGCTCGGAAGGGTGGATGATCGAGATCACCTCAGGGAGGGAGCAAGACGTGACCCGCGTAGACGGTTAAGCTAGTTAGCGTGTTTGACGCGTCGTGATCAGAATTCCGAACCGCCCGTGACCACGCCAAGCCTTTCCCAGGGCAAGCAACCGAACTGATATCAGGCAACTCCGTACTCTGTGCTCCATACGGATCACGTCAGCTGCTTATTTATGTAGGTCAACCAGAGCAACGAAAACAATTCCCGGTCTAGAGTGTCCATGCTCTAAATAATAGTAATAGTAATCGTAATGCTAATAGTACAGGCCATAGAATATACACATATACGCGAGATGCGCTTGACAGAATGCCAGAAGGGCAGATCCAGTTATAGTACATATCGTGAATATTTCTCCGCTATTCATCACCATCTTTGGGTAGAACCCCTATGGGGTTTCCCGGCGTCCAATGTTTGATTTCAGGCTTCGGGATTTGAGCAAACGCCGGCAGTTTGACACGATGTCCTTTAATCTTCCGCCCGGTGAACAACTTTTTATCGTTTGCGCGCTCTTCCGGCGATTCATGCTCCTCCCAACCAGGCGCATTCAGTCCCATCTTCGCATACTCACTGTCGGGAACAATCTTGATGATCTTTAGGTTCCATTTTCCAATCCTCAAAATCAGCAGCCGTCCATCAATAACGAACTTCTCTGTAATATTCGCCGGCCAGGTCTTGACAGGAATATACGAAACGCCATCCCCCATGACCTCACGGGAATCTGAACGGCTTGCGACGTGCACTCCATTATTAACAATTAAACGGAAACCTTCGGATTTGGAGGATACCATCCCAGCAGACCATAGTACTTTGTGAAAGAACTGATTTATAACGAGGGATCGCGGAAGTATAATGTGTGGCGTTGCCGTCTCGAACGCATGCAGCTTCTGATGTTTTCCCTCAGCGTTGTCCGTCTCTGCATGTTCTATCTCTGCAGCCAAGCCCTCCGGGGCCCCGGCTGAGGCTTTTGTCATAAAGAGAGTCCGGTGATCCTTGGCTGCTTGCTCAGCACTCAGGGATCCGTGAATGAGTTCAACGAATTCACGCGCAAGTTTATGCTGGGCTACTCGCTTAGAAGGGTCCTTGGCGTGTTCTTCCATAAGCTCTTTAATCGCGGGGGTTGGTACAAATGTAAACATTTTCAGATACCGCTCGACATCACTATCGGCAACTCGAACAAAGTACTAGAATGCCTATTAGCAGGGAGTATAAAGGACGGGGTCGATGCTCTCGCCAGTGAAGCATCGTTGCTCATCAAACACACCTGGTAAAGATCGTAGCAAGAAGTCATGTCTTTGTCGAGCCAAACCGCATTGCCGGCTGACTTTCCAATCTTCTCACCAGACGCAGTGGTAAGAAGGGGAGTGGTGATTCCGTAGGGATTGGCAAGATCAGGATCTTCGTCTTTCTTCGGAGCCCATTCACTTTCTGGATTCGCTTTAAGGATTCCCTTGATAGCATCCATGCCGAATAGAATATTGCCATATTGGTCCGATCCTCCAACTTGAACTTGTACCTTGCGTTGGAAAAGGTACCAGAAATCCCATCCTTGCATAATAGGGTAGCAAAATTCCGCGATTGACATGCCCTCGCCACTTGCTAGTCGAGATTTCACACTAGATGCATGTCAATTACTACCCTGTCACCATTCCAAATCAGGGTGACATAGGATCTTACTAGTCACGACCTAACATCGGCCCCAGTCTCAAAGAAGTGCCCAATACTTCCATCACCTCCTTGAGTGACTGCTTATTCCACCATGTGTTGTTGTTTTCCAATGCCCGTCTCCAGGCCCATTCCCATTCAAACCCATGTTTCCGGCCGTACTTTTCGAATGAGAAACCAAGCCTTTTGAGTTGGAGATGTATATTAGCTATATTTGCTCTTCGGGTGGCACCATCCATGAGTGGTCGTCCTTCTAGACGTCCTGTTGGATCGCCAATTTTTGCAGTTGATCCTCCAATCTACCAAAAAGAGAAATCAGTCTTTTGAACCCTACAAAACCAAGTAGCAGCAACTCACAAGGAAAACTGCTTTCAGCCCATGGACATATGCCCACCCTAGTATCATAAACGGGAGCATGTGCCCAATATGAAGAGACGGTGCGGTAGGATCGACGCCAGCATAAAATCCTACCCGTTTTCGCGTTATTAACTTATCTAGTGCATCTCGCTGTCTAACCAACATTCACGCATCAGCAGATTTTCAACGAGTAGAGGCCCGTGTAGACACCTGATGGTATTATAACAAGGGTAAACTTACCCAACAACAGAATTAACAAGCCCTCGCTCCTCAAGGAATGATAGGAAGCTCTGCTTTCTTCCGGCTTCGATTTCCTTTGCCTGAAGCTTCCATTGCTCCTCAGCTTCAGCCGTGCGACGTAGATGTTGCTGGGTTATGTGTCTTTTTTGGGCAACAGATGCTCCATTAAGCTGCGCGTGTGCAGCATTTCGAATCGTTGTGCACCTTGTTGAATATGCTCTAAGTATCTCCCTCCGGCAGGATAAGCAAGCTGTTCGGTGGAGAGTACTCCGGGATAACTTGCAGCGCATTGTGACAGTTTATTCCAAACGATCACACTGGCTGGCAATGGTGGCTCAAGTCCGCAAGCTCCCACAATCTCTTCAGCCTGAAGTGCATCGACAGCTGAGCCTTCTGGTTGAGCATCAGGTTTGACATTCCAACTCTTTCGAATTGTCCGAATTTCGACGCGCCGGAAAAATTTAGTTTCACGTTCGGAATAAAGATAATACGTAACTAGCTAGATAGTGTTAGGTAACCCAACTAGCACCTCGCTCACGTGACCCACATAGATTAGACGAGATCCCCCTTTCTTAGTGAATGACAGGCATACGAGTCCTCCATCAATAGGAGTTAAAAGGTTATTAATAATCGTTAACCTTAACTAACTAGAGCAGACGAGGGATTACAGCCTGCCAAACAAATCTTCAACCTGGCTTTGCAAAAGAAAATGAAGAAAAGAAAAGCAAATGAAAGAAGAGCTTTAACACGAGATATTTGACGGAGGGAGTAGATAATTAATATATCTATCCAACTGCTTTCCAAAAACGCATATGGTCAGTCCATTAAAACTTGGACGACAACTTCATTGCTCCACCCACGCTCCAATCTCATCTCTCTCCATGCTGTGAAAATATCCACCGACAGCAAATTGGGTCCCTGTACCTTAATAGTTTCAACCGGGACTGCTCTGCCTGATATCATCACCATAAAGTTGTCCTCAACGGTTCTTGTGCCAAGATCGGATATATATATTCCTAATTCTCCAAGCGCCTTAAGGGTAATATCGAAGCGAAGTCGACCACCATGCGAGATAGCAACATCAAAACCGACTATCGCTGCAGCGCCAGTCATTTTGTCCAGGAAACCCAAAACTGCAACCCGCGTCAATTCAGACCCCGAACACTTCCTATCCAAAGAAAAGGCGTGAACAGGGTATGCTGTGAGGATTTCCCAGCCTCTTGGCTCGAGACCAACAGAAAGCAGAAAACTTTGATCACATGGCCCTATCGCCATATTCCCTGTTGAATGTGCGCGAACGACGTATTCGGTTTCAGTGCCGGAGTTAACTCCAGGGAAGTCGAGGATAGATATCAGAGAGGATACATCTTGGCCGCTGATGTTGAACAGACCGAGCATCCCACTTCCAGTGCGTGCTTGTCCAGTGTAGCTTCCTACTTTCAGAAGCTGTCCTTCATTATAGTTGTGATAAACGTCAACCGTGGATCCCGGAACGCTTGGTCGAAGAATGACGCTAGTTCCATCAATTGACAGCGCAGTCATTTGGTTAATAAGTTCAAAGTCATGCTTTCCCGGCTCATCCGTGATATATATCGGTCCGCCTGATATGCATCTGGCTGCTCCGTGAAAGGAGGCATATGGATGGTTTGTTTGGAACATGTCCCAGTCTGGAATAACATTAAGATGACGTGTCAATAGCGAGTTATGTGCGTTGCAAAATATATGCCAGGGATGGGAACTAGGAATGTCCGGGAAGAAATCGTCAGAATTGCGCAGTAAGATGCGCGGTTTCGTGGTCAGTAGGTACGAATGAAATATTATTTGAGGCGTTTGCGACATGCAGGATATACCCCTTGCTTGGAAATACCTCAACAGCGAGATTGACCATGCATCTTGGTACTCCGTGGTGAATCGAGCTCGGTCAGTCGCATTGTCTAAAGTGTCAAGAAAGAACTGCGCATCCGTCTTCACGGAGTCGACCCCGGCCGCTAACAAGAACGAGTAAAAATCGTCATAGAAGCGATGAATGTCGTCGGGGTCAATAGCAAGCATGGTTCCTCCCGCGACCCGGTCGACCTTTTTGACTACCTTGGTTTTGTAGTTCCGTACTAGCTCTCCATTGGGAGAAATCCCTCCCCAGTACCCCATGAGAGCATGCCAGACGGCAATATGCTTGATGTTTGGGTGTTTTGCACGGACGCTATTAATGGCATGTTTTAATCCTTTCGGGAATCCCTCTTCATTCGCTTCAAATCGTGTCCAGCCTCGTTGGAATTGAGACTTGCCTTTATTGTCCAAGGATTGCCAGTTATCGTCGATGATAAGATTGACAACGTTGATGTTGTTGACCTTTAAAGTGTCCAATGCATTGAGAATCTTCTCTTCTGTCAAGCTCTGACCCAGTGAGTTCCAGGTGCAGTACGCCAAGCCGTCATACCAGCTTGAAAGCCACTGAGCGCTGAGATCATCGGGTTCTTTTGAAAAACTGTCAGAGGTCAGCGTTTGCGTCGGTTTACCAAGCGATTCGGCAACGAGCCTCTCCAATTTTCTCGCCTCATATATTACGGCAGCAATGGCAAGCCTGAAGGATGGAGCAACCGCGGCGAGTACCTTCACATCAGCTTGTTTCATTTCGTCATTTCTCGCAGAGATGACGACCCCTGACTTGCTCGACTGCAGCGTTGTTGAGATATTAGCCGGACCGCTCACGGCGAGAAGCACCAGTGACAGGCCATCCTTGCGCAGAAACGACGACAAAACAGCGTCTTCTGTTAGTCGATAGGTCTCCATTCCATGCCTCGGAGCCAGCCATGGGCTCCATATGCGAACAAGTGAAAAGTTTCTCACGAACTCCCTCGGGGAACCAAGTGCCAGTGTTGCACGTCCGCTTTTACCATCTGTTGCACGAGGGGCTTTCCCGGCGATGCTCCATAAAACTGCACCTGGGGTTTCGCTCGCACGACGTTGCACATCCAATTCGGTATTGAAAGTCTCAATAAAGTTGTTCAATTGATCTGTAGGATGACCATCGCGGTATTTATCGATCCAAGTCTGTGGTGGTTCAAAAACAATTTCCCCGTCTTTGGTCCCAAACTGTTCCTTCACCCATTGCCACTCCGTGTCAGGGCCGATTCTATATTTAACCGTGAATGACGCATATTTTCCTTCCTTGGGAAATCCAAGTTCTCCGCTAAATGTATGCCGATGGTAATCCCCACCAGTCTTTCGCCCAGAGGCCACAGGAACCTTTTGCCCAGTGACTTTTTGTAGGGTAAGTTCTTTCCAGTCTCCGTAAACATTATGCCAGATAGAAACTTCCCAGCCCTGCTCTGGAAATGAACTGCTTGCCTCAAGTAAAATGGTGAATCTGGCCTATTAAGAAAGTCAATCGCGAAAAGAAATGAGGATTTGACAAGTAAGGCAAACTGCATAGTTAACAATGCCGTACAAAGTAGATTGCCCACCTTATCTCCAGAAATATTGTCTCCTCTTCTCTTCAAGAATGTAACTTGCCCCAACGGCGGCCATGATGATATGTTTGCAAAGAGGCTCATTTGCGCCGCACGTATGAATTTGATCTGTGATGGCTTTTTCTGTTGCAGCTGCTCAGGAGGGATGCGATGAGAGGATCGCATCGCGTTCATGTTCCAGTTCCAGCAGGGAGGAAGGCCAAATCGATAGTAACTTAATAGTCTGGCCCCAAAATGTATTGAAAATATGTACTGGGCAGTCGTTGGTCACTATCCCTAAATGTTAGGATTAGTACTCCGTACTGCAGCCACTCAACTGTATGCCGTTGTGAGGTGCAAGACGCGTGTGACAACTAATATCACAGAAATTTGTCGGTAGCTGCAAACTTGTATTTGCAGCCTCATATAAAGAGTATAACTCCCGCAGAACTATCTAGTTTGTTATGCTTGTTTAACAATGACTGCCTGTCGTTTGAGTGGGAGGGAATAATTATGAGAGTTGTATCCAAGCCCTCAACAGGTCAGCCGGGCCACATCAGTTAACCCCACCCCCTTGTGTAATCACTCAGCACGGAGTAGTTAACAGGACAGAGAATATTACTGGATACATGGGCCAAGGGGTTGAAGTGAAATAACCAGCGGTACGGAGTATATTAACTCTTATTCATTCACATTTACTCCAACTCCAAGCCAGCTTATATTCATCCCGTACATTTCAATTATTCATCACTGTTTTAAGATATGAAGAGTTAACTACATCACAAGTGCCCTTGAAGTTCTCCACCCATGCCTCCGAAAGTAATTGTTTTGATGCTTAAGAACTCATCGATTCCATACTTACTGCCTTCACGGCCAAACCCACTTTGCTTAACTCCGCCGAATCTAGATGGAAATGTCAGCACGAGCATTTAAGTCGGGACAGGGAACCGGTAGACTTACGGCGAAGCAGTATCACTGATAATTCCGGTATTGACGCCAATCATGCCAACTTCAAGGGCCTCAGCAACGCGATAGATCCGTCGAATATCCTTACTATAAAAGTATCCGGCAAGGCCCACCTCAGCCTTATTAGCCCACTCGACGACGTCTTTTTCCGTCTCGAACGGGAAGAGGCCTGCTACAGGACCAAACGTCTCCTCGGATGCCATCAACATATCCTTGGTCATACCCGTGACAACCGTCGGATGGAAGAAATTCGGGCCAAGTTCGCTCGCTGGCTTTCCGCCCAGGATAACTTTCCCTCCCTTTGCTTCAGCATCGCGGACGTGTTGGGTAACCTTGTCAACTGCGCGGGAGTGGATGACCGGTCCATGAGTGACACCCTCATCAAAACCATAACCGAGCTTGAAGCCCCTGACCTTCTCAGCAAATTTAGCCGCAAATTCATCGTAGATTCCTTTTTGAACATAGATACGGTTGGCACAGACGCAAGTCTGTCCCGAACTACGGAATTTGGAAGCGACGGCGCCAGCAACAGCAGCGTCGAGATCAGGGCAATCGTCAAATACAATGAACGGGGCGTTCCCACCCAGTTCGAAAGATAGCTTCTTCACTGTAGATGAGGATTGCTTCATAAGAAGCTTTCCCACGTTGGTGGAGCCGGTGAAAGAGACTTTGCGGATGTCTGGGTGGGTGGTCAAACACATCCCAAGCTCCTGGGTATTTTTCAAAGCTGTCACAAGGTTGACAACGCCTTTGGGAATTCCCGCGCGGCGACCTAACTCCATGATAGCGTTTGCTGTGAAGGGTGTCTCGCCTGGAGACTTTGCCACAACTGTACATCCGGCAGCCAAGGCAGGGCCGATTTTCCTGGTGATCATAGCAGCGGGGAAATTCCATGGGGTGATGAATCCACAGACCCCAATCGGCTCCTTCAGGGTCATAACTCTGTTGCCTGGGACGGACGATGGGATGGTGTCTCCGTAAACTCTAGGAGCCTCTTCACTGAACCATTCGAAAAAATTGGCGGCGTAGACTACTTCTCCCTTAGCATCCGCATATGGCTTGCCGTTCTCCCATGTGATCAGCGTCGCCAGGTCCTCCGCATTATCCATCATCAACTGGTACCATCTTCGTAGCATACGAGCCCGCTCCCGGGCCAAAGTTTTGCGAAACGAGGGAAAAGACGCAGATGCCGCGTCGATCGCCTTTTGGGTTTCTTCGGCGGTGAATTCGGGGCAGGTTCCAATGAGCTTTCCCGTCGAGGGATCTGTAGAGCACGCAGACGAGACAATGATATCAGCTGAATCCATCGCCATATACCCGTGTGTTCGTCTAGACGAAAGCACGCTGCTATTTACCGGTCACTTCGAACGTTTCCCCGCTTTTCGCATCCACCCACTCTCCATTGACAAAACACTTGCCAATAAGGAGTGATTTATCTTTCAACTTGGATGTAGATGGACCGAAATCAGCAATGCTGCACAGGAAAAGGTATGGAAGGGCATCTCAGGGATGAGCTTAGCCTGGCACTTACTGGAGGAATTGTGTGCATTGCGTATCGTCGTCTTCCGTATAGGGTTGGAATTGTAAAGGGATATCTTGCGCGTGGGCGGGACAGCTGCTGAAGAATAGGCCGGGCGAGCTTCTCCATCTTGAGTGGAAGAACGGGAATAAATAAAGACACAACGCACGCACGAGGTTCGGATAGCCGGGTTGGGAGATGCGGGGAAGGACGATAAGTAACAACCGGGGGATGAATTATCTCCGTCCGTCGTGCGTCTGTATTTAACACGACGAAAGCACGCTGCAATTGGGGTGGGAGAAACTATCCCTGCGGTGAGGTGAACTGCGAGTTTTAAGTCGAAGGGAACTCGAGACGCTCCGCGCCAGCGATTCTCTTCGCGATTGAGCTAGAAAACATCCTTCACAGTGAAGACATCACCGAGAGTCCACAGCTGTTCGGCTCTTCGGAGCTTCAGCAACCACGTCGCCGGGAGGTAGCTAGCCTATTAGTCACCCTCCCCGCTCGGCAATCCTGCTTTTGCTTCGGCTTGCAGGCAGGATGTTCGCCACGGGGCGTTAAAGATCTTGAATCTTGAAAGCAACTCCTTGGTACCGCCAGAGAATGTTAGTTTTCATGTCCATGTTCGGTTGCCGCTGAGAGTCAACACCGTATGGACGACCCCGACATCCAACCTCAAAGAGCTTCGAGAATCGCAACATTAGAATCCATCATGCGTTTATAATATCGTACACTTCTACGGTGATGTTATGAGAACTTTCGACTCCTCCGCGGCTTCATCTCCCTGGACGCCCGGCGGCTAGCCCGAAGGCGCCTGGTATATTACAGGAGGCTGGTTTTGGAATATGGAACAGAGTGGCCGTCAAACCCTTTAACGAAATGTGAAAAGAGAAAATGGATATATTACTTGGAGTGCAGCAGATTATTTCCGTTTGCACCCTTTCAACTTGAAGAAGGGTTCCAGATCCCTGGGATGATCCCCAGTTTTGGGGGTTCGCCCAATTGCTCGGCTGGGACGGCGTCTAACGGGCGTTGAATTGTGTCCCTTGATGCTGTAGAGTTCGTGCATAGCTACCAGTTCGGCCCCTGGAGGGTCGAAGGACTCTGTCCTTGATTTAATAAATTTTGAATTCCTCTGTTGCTTCTCCCTTCCTATGTAACCCTAACACTCTGAGCCCCTAACCGTTCACCCTTAACCCACGCTAACCATACCAAACTTGGCTTACCCTCATCGGCATCTTCAGTGGCTGCATGGATGCTGTCATTTCATTTCTCCACAGCGGCAGACGCTGCTCCGCACCAATCTAGACTTTTCCAAGTCGCTCAAGACCTTCACTCCCTGAATGGACTTGGATGCAGGTCAACGTGGTGACAAGGATTTTATTCTTGCGCAGAACTGCTGTGCATAATGCATTTTAGCACAACCCATCCACATATTAACTCATTGATACCCAAAGCATTCCGTACTCTGTCCAACTTGAGACGGTGGAGAGTCGTTCATGGCTTACATATCAGCTGCTTTTCAAGCTTCGGCCTAGACGCCAAAACGTGACGGGATCGTCCGAGGCGTGGATTCATGCGGTGCGCAGAGTTTTGACCTTGACTATTTTGGTCTGCGGAGTGTTGACCGGCTAAAATAGTCAAACGAAACACGGTTTTCTTTGTCAATGGCATGCCAGTGCCGGAACTGTTCGTGCGGTCGGTCTCACGGTGATTCTTGACCTCTGCATTTGTCTCACCAGCCAACTACACATTTAACCAACCAACTACTCTGTACAGTGTGCTCCCAATATGGAGTTGGTTGCGGCTGATGGTTTCTGACCGAAGAGTTTCCAAACGTTCGACAACTTCCCCCCAGATCGGCTTGAAACTTTGACTCGTGGCCGTCGCCAACTTAAAACCCCAACTCCCTGCAAGTAGGTCCACGCAATGTACTTCGGAAGTTGATCGCAGCCAATCGTGTTTCACCAGGCCTCTTCGCCCCGATGGGCGCCCGTGTCTTGATCGATGGCTCCCCGCTAGTCATGCTCGACAGCCATCGTGAGCATGGTGGCGATATAATCATGCGGCTGGCCTCCAGCCGGGGCCGTCTTTTGTCAATCGTCTCGAATTCCTGCTGCTTTGCCCAAAATTTTCGCTCCCTACCGCCAGATAGGGAGCATGTTGTCCATCGACTGAGCAAAGAGGGCCACACGATGCTACGCCAGGCACTCCCCTTGACCATTTCTCGCCCGTGACATCCTTGGTTCTCTTTCTCAGTCATCTCCGTTGAACGGAGATTTGATCTGCTGGCCTGGAGGATGGCTTTGGGTCCTCCCGTGGCAAGTGATTCCGGCAGAGGAACGCAATTATGGGTAGTAGCTACCGTCATGGTTGTTGTTTCGGGCTTTTTTGTTTCTCTGCGTTTGATCGGGAGATATTTTCGGAGTATGCTTTGGGTGGATGACTGGGCAATTGTTGCAGCACATGTATGAAACCTTGAAGGTTTACTCTTAGTATTGTTATACTCCCCCATTGCTAATAATAACCTAGCTGTTCTCAATCGCATTTTCCGTGTGCAATATTATGTGTAAGTTCCAGGACAATGGAATGAGCCGCCATAGAAAGACTTCGCTGACGGCCCCTAGCTGTAAAGCATGGCTTCGGCAATCACACTTGGGAGGTGCCAAAGCCCGAAAGAATTCAGGCGTTGAAGGTGAGGGCTTACAGCATACCATTCCCTCTCGCCTCCGTGGCCTGCTCTAATCTTTTTTGATTTGCTCCTTTTGCGTCGGGTGCTATGGTTATATACAAGGGCTTACGTGAGATGCAGTGGTCACTCATAGTGCAAGTGATATACAAAATCGTCATCTCGCTCACCAAGGTTGCAATCTTGCTACTCTACCTGCGACTCTTCTCTGTGCAAAAGGTTTTTCGCTGGCTATGTTACGCTCTCATTGCATTGACTGTTTTGTCGGGTATTGCGTACACGCCTCTAACAATCTGGCAATGCTCGCCGGTACAAGCCTTTTGGGATCGTTCCATTCCACACCAGTGTATCGGAAATCAGCACTGGCGACTGTCGTATTCAGTGATAAACATAGGCACTGACTTTTTAATTCTGTTTCTCCCGATACAACGGATTTTTTGCCTCCAGCTAGAACGAAGGGATAAGATTGCGTTGATTTTTATCTTTTCTTTGGGTGCATTGTGAGTATTGCCCTCCCGATGCATGTGTGAAACCCACAAAATTAACCGGGCTCCTCTAGTGTGTGCATCATAAGTGTTATCCGAGTGACAACCATTCGCAGGGTTGGCAAGCGGAAGGACCCGTTGTGTCAGTCAAGCTACCATCGATTCCTGTTTCGGCTGTCTTATATTCTAACCGACTCAACTCCAGGGAACACATTTCCACTCGGCTTGTGGAGCGTTGTTGAAGTCAACACGGGCATTGTCTGCGCCTGCATGCCTATGATTCGCCAGTCACTTTCTGTACTGTTTCCGAAGCTATTTTCACGCAATAAAACTCGCCCTAGCGGCCGTTCCTTGAGCAAATCTGCCAGCCACAGGTCCTACGGGCTGACAAACGGTGGGTCGACAATGCCTACTGCTGCCATATGTTGGACCAAGCATGAAGAAGAGAATATTTATATGGCATCTATAAAACCAGGGAGAGAATCGCCAATTTTCCGGACAGAGAGTGAAGAGAGGATTATTGGGCCCGAAAATGCTGATCCGAATGATATGCGGATATTTCAGCGGACGGAAATATCAATAATTGACTCGAGTAGAGCATAGTAATGATTGATTGTTGTGTTTTAACGTTTAGGGAACTGAGAAGTTCAACGTTTTCACGATATTTTTGTATATGTTCAATATCTAGGAATGGCTTGTTTCTCAATTTATATACTGGCGCCAAGTGGTTCCTGTGTTACGCTGTGGTGCTTTCAGCAGGAAGGAGAGTATAAATGACTGTTAATCAGCTCATGAGATAACCACTAGTCAGTCTTTCCTCTCTCTTCAACCGCCACCAATGTAGGATGTTTTGTTTTCAAGTGTTGATTCAAATTCCACGTCCTAGAAAAGCCCTGCTTATGACGTTTACATTCTTCCACGGGACAGAATACTGCATGTTCTTTTGGCCTATCAATATATTTTGGGACCGGCGTATCGTCATCGACCATTGCTGCGTCATTCTCTTTGCTATCTTCAACGTACTTCCAGGACGCTGACCCGTCCTTGTCCTGTTCAAGCTCCACTTTGCCTTCCTCCAGAGTTTGGAACAGCATATCCTGACCAAAGAGGTCTGCACAGCGCCGCGCGGTGCGCATCACGGCTGGATTAGGCCATCCCGCCAGCGATGCAATCCCTAGAACATCACTCCAGTCTCGGAGTCCCAACCGGATCTTTCGTGGATCGCTACGTTTTAATCGTTTTCTGCTCTTTGGAGGGATAGGCGAGGGGCCCGACCCATCTCCATCGGCATGGGAGCTATTTGGGTGAGAAGCCGTTCGTTTACGCTTTCTTCCTTCATAGAGTGGGGTCGGGGTTCCCTTCGTATTTTCGTCTCCAGTTTCGTCTCCAGACTGAGCCATATCAGTAGCTGTAAGATAAGCTCTCCGGGCATGGTAAAGGTTCAAGAATAGATCGTCGAGCTTGCTAATAATGTGACGAGCTTCCGGGCGCATAATCCGTTTTGATTCCTCATCGTCAGCTTGTACCACCGGGCGGAGGGTTCCCGCAATGCTTGTTGGATGACCTCTTTCATCATCTTTTTCTGATGGCATGGCTTCGCTATCAGAGCCGGGATTGGTGTCCTTTCCTCGATAGCAAGCCGATTTCTGGGACCATTCCCGGTATTCAAATCTTTCCTTTGCGAATTTCATCATTTGGGCCATAAGACAGTCCTCCAACTCTGCACTTGGCCGCGAATCGATTTCGCCCCGTAAGGTCCAGTCTTCATCCTCGTCTCTTATCACCTTTTCCACAGTCCTGGGCACAATTTCTGTAGGCAAGGGCCACGCAGTCCACGTCCTACTAGGCGCAAATATAGAGAGCAGGTCTTCACGGTAAATCTCGTTTGCATTGTCGATGCGATCTTCTTCCTTGTTGTTTTGAGATCGTTCCACTCTTACTTTCTTTGCTCTTCTCTTCAGCGCAAAAGCATTATAAAGATGCAGTGATAGGTCTCTTGCACGTATAGTTTCTAGAGCGGTCACTTCCTGTCTTTCACTCTTGGTCCACGAGAGCCAGGACCGTCGTGAACCTTCGAATCTGTTTGGCCTTTCAAGAGAGTCACCCTCGGATGACAACGAAGTTTCTTCATCGCTGTTCCCTAACCAATCCTGAGGTTTGCTGTGTACTTCGCGTTCTTCGACAAAGACATTGACCTCGTCGTCATAGTTTTCATAGTCTAAATCATCAGGATCATCTTGCTCGGGGGGAAACAGAGACTGCAATGGAGCATCTTGAGCATCCTGAGTATCTAAGATGATTTGTTCCTCTTGGGTACCGCATGACATTATCGGAAACTGAGTTGTTCTCCGTGGCCGGGAGTAGGGAGCTCACACGAAGATGAATTAGGCGGGCGATCAAAGCTGTTGCACACAGTCACAGCTAGTGAGTCAATGCAAGCATATTCGTGGAATCTGCAAAGCAAGTTTTTTTTTTTCCCGATCACTATAAAACGGCCCCTTGTCTTCCCAGATAATTGCCCCGTGATAACTCCCGACGATCGAGGACGGGGATCGAGGAAAAAAGTGCCGAGACTCTTGTTAAGACTAGCGCAAACCCTAAATAAAGCTTTAAGTCATGTGATGGGGGGCTTTTTTTGTCGACCTCAGTTTTGCCAGAGGTTCACTTCTAATATCTAGAACACAAATGGAAGCTGGAATTAATCGAGGGCATTGTCACGGACGGAGTATTGACGAAGGGAACGGCATTTCGATCCTGCGGAGACATACGGAGTACAATTACTTCCATTGACCAAACCACTAATGACGCCTCAACGAGCTTTTCTAATCTGGAAGAGCAGCTATGTAATCCGAATCCGAGGTATCATAAACTAGATTCCTCAGACACTTCTTTATCGGCCTTTCGTTCCCTGTTCAATCTTTCTCCTCTTCCGCCTTAGCTTCTCTGCTTCTTCATCCTTTTTCTTGTTAGAGTACAACATCTTGTCGAGCAACTTCCGCTTCTTGCGACTCATCATCATCTTTTGACGCTCAAGTTCTTCCTGTTCCTTCTTCTTCTGAGCTGCATGTTTCTTAGCCAGGGGTTTCTGTTTCTTTGATTTTTTAGAAGAAGTTCCAGTGCCGTCTGCCCCTGTGAATGGAAGTCCTGCGGCTTCAGCTTCAAGTTCCATTTGGTGTTGATTCCGTGCGGCTTCCTCGTCGTCCTCTGACTCAGACTGAACATCCGCCGCTTCATCCGAGCCACCAAGCTCTCGAAGCGCATTGTCCTCTTCACTTTCCTCCTCGTCATCAGAGCCGGGGATATCCACATCCATACCACCATCAACAGATTCTTCATCCGACTCGCCAGCCTCCGAATTTTCTGTTTCCACCATCTCCTTGTCCATGGAGAGGCCTTCGACCTCGGACTCTTCTTCCTCATTCTCCTCTTCAGCTTGTCTTTCGGCCTCGCCATCACTTTCTTGTTCTGCTAAACTGAGACGAGGATCGTATTCCCCCTTAGAAGCTTTGACCCAAGGACTGAGATGTGGAGGAAGCGTGGCACCGGGAGCATAAAGATCGGGTCTTAAAAGCTTGCCTTCATTTACACAGTCCCAAACCCACTGCGGTTGTATGTACGTTCTGCCGGGTATCCTTGTTCCAGGTCGTACTCTCGGCGCCGTTTCGGCCCCTTCGCCGGGATTTTGGGGCAAAGGGGGGAGAGCAGACTCAGGAAGAGGGGGCCTGTCGACGATTTGATGTGTTATTCGAGGGTCTGTTTCGTCATGTGTGAAGGCTCCTTCACCTAGGACCGCATCCCAGCCAACTCGCTTGCATCCGAATGCTCTCAGCAAAAATTCCAAAGGTCCCCGTGGTGCTTCTCTAGAGATGAAGAAAGTGAAAGAAGCGAACAAAGAAGCCACCTCATTCCCACTCATTTGTGGCTGTGGCAGAGTATCAGCCTCTGCCGCTGTTGTTTTGAACTTATCGATTGCATCGACGTTATCCTCCACATCGACCGCTTCATCATCAGGCTCATTGTTGAGGGTCGTTTCCTTGAGAATATTATCAACTTTGGCCTGAATGTCATTCGCAGCTGAATCACTTTTCGCTAGCTGTCCATTTGTTTGCGGCTCGGATGATATAGCCTTCTGCATTTCACCAACTTTTCTGCCCTCGAGGGTGAAAGCGGCCAGCTCGGCACCGCGTTCATCGCTCCTCGAGTCAAACTTTGGAGGGTATACCAATCCAATCGAAGTGTATAGACGGAAATTAACGAAGCCGAGAAGCGTGGTGTAAAACTCAACAAACGTAGCCATAATTCTGTAATCCACATCCCCCGTGACTTGTTGAACGAATCGATACGGTACCAGCCACAAAATATCTTGCCCTTGAATTGTCGCCTGATAATATATGCCCTTAATGGACAAGAAGGATTTTCTGACGGAATTTGTGGCGATAAGATAGTGTTGGAACTCGTGGCATAGTCGCTGGCACAAGGCAATTGTTTTGGGTGGGACATTGGCCGTCGAAGGTAAGTTAGCGAACAGGAAGAGCAACGATAAAGCATCGTCGAGATCCCGGAGAGCATCGATGAAAGTTGGATAGCGTTCTTTCACAATATGATCTAGCGTGATTTTCGGAGCATTGTTCCTTTCCAACCGAGCAGCATCGCCCACATCTCCACGTCCTAGGGACCTGGCAATCTTTTTTGAAAGAGCCTTTTGGTCCCTAAACTTCTTGAGAAGAGGTTCGTGGAGCAAATATTGAATATCTCGCGTGTAGTAGAACGTCGTGCTCGGGGCCGAGGTTTTGGATGCTTTCTTCTTGTTTCGCGGCTCGCGAGGATAGATACCTGCAATTCCAAATCCTTAACTACATCCCACCAAATGTCTCATCCGAAATCTACCCACCTTTAAAGATACATAGTCGGCGGAAGTCAGGTAGTGAGATCTGAAGCTTGCGCACCGCTTGAGTTCTGGTGATATAATTTTTGGCCGCTCCGGAGGTTCCTGTGATACAGTTAGCTATCAACATCCGCCCCCCAAAAAAAATAACAGCCAGATGCGACAATACCCTTCTTTTTTATTTTCGCCATTTTAGCAACTTGAAAAGGCGACGGAAGCCTTGAGTGCTACAACAACCGGTGAAAATGCACGATGCGCAATGGACGGCCACGGCGAAATAAATTTTTGGAAAAGCTTTTGGTGGCCCGTGCCCTGCCAAGCCCTTTGCTGCCAGCCAGGTACTTATCGCCGGATCAACATTGACGGAGATCATCATCAGCGAGCGGCATGAGATCGCGACACTTGAAGAACTGAACAATGCCGGTCGACAGGAGAAAGGTTTGGGTATTTGGGAGTGCTTTTCTTCTGCGACTCCTCCTCATTGTCTTTTTCCCCGGCCTCCCCGATCTTCTTACAGGTCGGGTTGAAGTTTCAACTCCAGTGAGCAGCTTCAAGAGGTGTAAGCCTAAGATGCTCCGTGAAGCGCAAAGAATTGCCGTTGACGCATTCGCATTGTAGTACAAGAAGGCCTTTTTCTATATAAACGCAATGTCTCCCCTTATGATGGCGGTGTTTTTCACCAGGTATCTCGACCCTCCATATTCTGTACCCATAGGAGCTAACTCAAGCTTGCACTCCAGGCACCCATCCTCCTCCCAATCTTTTCGCTACTGCCTGAGCCTCGCGATTACCAGCTTATGACTGGACTCGTGTATATTGTTCTCGATCTTCTGAATGCCAATGCTTTAGGACGTATTGCCAATTCAGACGAAGCTGTTGCTCCGAGGTTGTACACCTCTCCAAGGAGGCATATAAGATGGGATGGGACGGCAATTGCTGCTGGGTATGCTCCTATTTTGCGCACTCTGCTAGGCAACTTACTGATTTGCTCTCACAGATATCTGTTTAATCCATTCACGATCGCGTCCTGCCTCGGTCGCTCCACGAACGCGTTTACTAACTCCGCGATTATTTCTTCTATCTCTAACGCCATCGCCGGCAATAGCTTCAACTCGATGCTGGCTTTGGGATTGGCTTCCTACATGTCACTCTACCCGGCACTCCTCTTCTCACCAATGGCCCTACTTTGCTACGATCGATACGTCAGGAATGGAAAGGCCACTAAAGGGGCTATTTCATATTCGCTAGAACGACTCTCGATCCTTGGCGGAAGTATCGGAGTCCTCTTATACATTTCGTATCTTATCGTCGGCCAGTCGTGGGAATTTATACCTGCAACATACGGCGTGCAACTTCTGGTTCCAGATCTCACCCCTAATGCTGGGCTCTGGTGGTATTTCCTTATCGAAATCTTCGACCCTTTCAGGGAATTTTTCCTAGGAGTGTTCTGGTTGCATTTGTCTGCATACGTCGGTGGTTTGACTGTTCGCATCCGGCGCCAACCATTATTCGTCATCACTACTCTTTTCGGAATTTTCGCTATCTTTAAACCCTATCCCAGCATCTCGGACGTTTCGATCTATTTTGCGTTCCTGCCGCTCTACCGACACATATTTCCTCGTAAGTATTATCTCCTCTGTCAACCTTGCATTGCTAATCGATTAAAGTTATGCGATATACGTTTTTCGCGGTTTCCGCCCTGTTGTATGCAAGCCTCTTGGGTCCAATATTTCACCATCTTTGGATCTACGCGGGGTCGGGGAACGCAAATTTTTTCTATGCGATAACACTTGTATGGAGCCTGGGGCTTTCGATCGTCGTGGCCGATTCCCTCTTCGCGGTATTGAGAGATGAATGGGAGCAAGAGAGGCCCGAGATGAGAGGAAAGGACGCGAGGCAGATTTAGATGTCTCGCGGTTTGGCTTAATATAGTGTTCTTAGGCAGACTTTCCGATCGCTTTTTCCTCGTTAGCCTTGAGCGGTTTGGAAAACACCATATAATCGAAGTCTTTCACATGGCCATTTCTCAGCTTCATTGGTCTGGGAGAGAACTCGTCCTCAGCATATCCCAGTCGCTCATAAAATTTTATTCCGGACTTGTTTGACTTGTATACCGTCAACATTGCCTTTTCAAGCCCAATGTTTTGGCCAATGTCCTCATATATGCGCATCAGCTGCTTCCCAACACCCTTATGCTGGAGTCTCGGTGTCAGATGAATTTCATAGCAATAAAGGACTGGTAACCCGTCCTCATATGTGGTCATAAATGAAAGCATTCCTCCAAGATCACTATCCTCCACAGATTGCTCCTGGACTTCCGAGGTCTGGCCTTCATTTTTCTTACGAAGCAGTAACATGTAGCGCATATCGACGAGTTTCATTTCAACCTTCTTTTTCGCCGGAGACCATCCGTTGCGTGAATTCTTATATGCTTCAGCACTGGTGAATTTGATCAACGCAAAGCATGCGTCGAAATAGTGCTTTGGGAGGGTAGATGATGTGTGCATTTCAACGGAATATTCTTCGTGTGGTTCATCCTCCACTTTGCCGACCGCGTTTGTTACCTGGGCGTCGGTTTTGGGAGAACACTGCACTCGTATAGTGTGTCCCAGGACATTGGGAGGAACATAACGGTTGATAAATTCGTCTAGTGATAGGGAGTTGATGGTTTCCACGAGACAGGGCTTTGTTGCTCGTCGTGGTCCTGCTTTCGTTATTAGTATTCCACGGCGGCCTTTAGGCATGGACAGGAACACACTTTTAGTCGTAAAGGCTCTGTTCATTTTCCTTGGGGTACACGGTTTATCTATATCTAGGCTGTCAGCAGAAGCCGAATGGCAAATATCCTCCCGGTATTTTCGCTTTCGCGTTGACAACCTGGCCTCATTCTGTGGAGTGATGTCAGACCCTGCGGCAAGGGCCATGATGCTGAATAATGTGTGCGCGTTGGCTCGATGCGATGTCGATCGCATGCTAGGCCTTGAATACGAAGAAATCATTCAATTGTACTGAGTCTGGAGGAGCTTTTCAGAATAATTCTTCTTCCGCAACACATGGCCGAACTTAGCTTAAAGGAAAGTAGAGTTCGCGTCACGCGTCTTAAACTGCAAGAATAAAGTTCTGTCAAATCCAGCAAACTCCGCCCAAGCACTTCCAGAACGTTTTAGCTTTCCATAGGGTCACGTACTCTTGGGATCATACTCCGTACATCAGTAGTCGAATCTCGTGGGACAATTGACGACAGTTCGCTATGGTGGGCGCAGAGATTTTATTTTCGAGGCATTGTAGATAATTTCCAGTTCCTCATGCGCGGAGCAAGTTTCCTTTCCGCAGCTGTGGCGAGACCGTCCCGGTTAAGAAAGCCAGCAGTAAGCTTAGAACATGTCTGACACTCCTAATCTATTGCCCCTTTTAGGCCTAAAATCCACTGTGCTAATTGCCCATTGAGGTACAGTTTATTCAGCGACAGCGCGCGCTTAAGCTATGGCGGGATATAGTACGGGGCATCAACAGTGTGTCTCCCCAAGATCCTACAGAATGCTTCAGAAACATTCTAATCTGTGTTAAGAAATTCCCCCCTCTACGACCAGAGATGAGCTACGGGTGTTCGCCCGTCAGGAATTTGAACGTAATAAGAATGTAAGAGACTTGGTAGGTATGCCGTGCTTTGTGCAATTTCTTCCGAGCTAAGCGAGCAATAGGCACACATCAGGTATCTTATATCGGTATGCTAGTACTACACACTCTTAAAGAATGGAAGCGTCCCGGCTGACAGTGGAAATGTAGACGGGAAAGACGGAGTTTGACGCGATGAGACGATATATCGACGAGCAATCTTCGTGATTATCCCTATTATTAGCCTCGAGGAAAAGCAACACTGGGAAAACTGAAACGCCAGCAAGGTTAAGCGGTTCCAAGTGCAACCTTCAATATGCGCGATCATATCAATCTAAAAGAGATGGAATAGCGTCCAAAGTGAAAGAGAAGAATTTTTACCCATGTCATACCAACGCCTACCCAATGATGTATAATGTACAGTTATTCGGGGAATATATCCAACCAAAGAATGAAAATCATTTCTCCTTCACCAAGTTCTTGACAGCATCAAGGACTCCAACATTTGACTTCGCCTCTCCCTCTTGATTCCCGGCCGACTCTCCCGCAAGTCCTTTGGACACATCTTTCGGCTTCATCCCAGCTTCTTTTGCCGCCCTTTCGACGGCAGCATGTCTCTCTCTCCAGTCTCTATCTTCCTGATCTCTGATCTCCAGTTCTCTCAACCACGCATCACGCTTAGCCTGGCTCTTCTTCTCCTCCATTGCCCGTTCTAGCTCTTTTCGCTGCGCCCGCTCTGACTTGTAGTATATTCCACCAACGACGACAGCGACGAGCGTGAATGCTTGCGCGTAGATACGATAGCGGAACATGCGATTGAGCTGATCAGAGTCGCCGGCCTTCATCGACTTGTATGCTCGCCACAAGGCATAACTAGTGGCAGCACATCCTACAGACGTTTTGAACGATCGCCGTGATTAGTCCATTGGAGTAAAAGATATGAATCGGGGACCATTAGAAGAAGGACAACCGGGGCGAGGCATGGGCACGATACCTAAAGGGATGAGAGGCTCTTCTCGCAATCGCCGTCTTAGCTTCACCCACGGATTCTCCTCGAAGAACTCGCTGTCCAATCAAAGTCAATTGTTGGTCGGCCTCCGCAAACAGAGATGTGATGGGAACTTACGGGTCTGAGTCAAAAGATGACGGCAGAGGCTTGTCGCTCATGCTGAAAAGAAGGTATGTGTGTACAATCGATAATCAAAGCTGGGGAAGAATGCTCGTTTTCTGTGTGTTGTGTGCTCCGTTGCAAAATATTTAACGGGATCGGGGACCAGAGAGTTTAGGTGCGGGCGGCGGCGAGGTTGTCGCGGAAGCCCAGTTCGAAAAGCTTGATGTGGGGGCCACGGTCCAATTAAGCAGGGAGAGCACGACGCCTTGTAGTATGTATGTACGGAGTATGTGTGTCTATATATTTTTGAGGTAAGGGAAAATTAGACATACAATCCAATTAACTATGTATGGTGTGCCAAAATACCATGATACTTAGTTACCAGTTAGAAGATCATCTCTAATTAGCTACTGCGTGGTTATTTACTAACCAACTACTTCGTAGTGAGTGCATTCCCCCGGCAGTCAAATCGGGTTAACCACCTACTTTAACAGAACAAGGCGAGGAAAAAACTGTATCCCCGACTAGTATTTCTCCAAATGCCTTTGGGATTTCTCTTCTTGTGGGAGAAGCCTGGGCGAACCCTTTTGGGCCTTGGCTTCCACTTATACAGCATCTGATCTTGGGCTTCCGGCTTCCTTGGTCAACTTGGCGGTTGTCCCGTCGGAAATGTTGTCTAGCAACCCCCCGGAGCTAGCGTCACACCTGCCAGTCACAGGAGGATGACTGAACGTACTGTCCAAACGCACTCGACTATAGGGCTAAAACGCGCAGTTGTTCACAATTGAAAGCCGAGCTATTCATTATATCGGGTTGAGTAACCATGGCGCGGTTGATCCAATTGCTGAGCCATTGCTTATATTCCCGGAATTCAGTTTTCTAGGACGCTCGAGCAGGAACGGGATTGGATAGCATGCCTTCGATAAATGGTAAATCGGGGTGTTTATTCGCAAGTTTCTTCGCCGTCCTCAGGTCATGCGTACCAATTCCGAGCGGTCTCTAATTCTGTCGTTACTATATGGGATACGGGACACCTCCCGATGCCTTCAAGTCGAGATAATCACTTCCCATCTCAACGAGGGAACTCGATATTAAGGCCAACTCCAGATATAGAAACCAGGAAACAGAGTTTCCATCGCTTGGATTCACCGCGGAGAAATACTTTGTATCTTGGTATAACTAGTCACAACCTGGAATTATATAGGGAAAGAAAAGAAGGTTAAATAAAGTGGACTGTCATTTCTGGGGCTCAGACTTCTCGTGTCCTGATCCACAATAAGACATGATGTTTCGCTTGTTTCAAGGATAACTACCTATGGTTACATCTGCAAGGACTGTGAATAAGGAATTGTTCACCTCACGCAAGGCTAGGCAAAGGAGAGATTACATCTTCTGGTAGCACCTTCAAGCTGTGATCATTCAAATCAATGGCGCACATGATCTCAAGCAGTAACTCAAAGAATAGATGGGATTCAATTGCTGGGCCCCGTCATCAAAGATAGACCGCGGCATCTGGACTTGGGCAAAGGAAAATATGATATGGATGCGAGCAAGGCCTGTCGAAGAAGCTGCTAGTCTTCATTATACAGTTCTCTTAATCCTGCTATGAGATTACTACCCCTTTATGAAGAGTTAACTAACTGGCTAAAAAGGATAGTGTACCCCGTACTCCGTACATACATTGGCCTTCCACGGCTTCAATGGCTTTGTCTGGTGGGGTCCGGGTCGGCGAAATTAATCACGCGAACCCATCCAGTTGCCCCGAGTATTCTCATGAAATGGAGTAGTTACATATGTTTGAGCCTGAAAGTCTAAAGATGCCACAGAGCTGTCAGTTGCAAGTGAGGTTGAAAAAGAATGTTCACTTGACTCCTGATTGCATACACACTCTCTAACTAAGTACGGAGTAGTTAGCGAACTTTTCTGCAGTGGAAGGCCCAGAGCCAGCAATAATGGCTGTTCTTGTGATGGTGTACCCTTCGCGGGCGCGAGCATGGCTGAGATGCGAGCATGATGATGTCCACGATGCCAGCCATGTTGCACCCTTCCCCCCACCACCCGGAAGCAATCGGTGCAGCTCAATTGGCCAACAGGCGCCCCTTCGGCACTTTCTACGGTTTGGCACAGGGGCTAGGCCCGACTCGGCTGCAGCCCGACATTAGGTAATCGCAGCGAAGCTTCAAAAATGTGGAAAACCACAGCCCACCGAGTCCAAGGATCAGTCATCGGCTCCTGAAGCTCTGGTCTCAGTTGACTGGCACATGTATATAGATACGCCGTACTCTGTATATATACTGCCAATCCCTCCCGCCGCTCTCCGGCGGACGAGCTTACGGCTTGGTCCCGAAGCTATCTCTCACATCGCACCCAATGGCCGGCGTCACTACCACAAACGGGGCCTCAAGGCCCAGCACCCCTGCATTCAGCAGCTTGTCCTTGACTGAGTATACCGCAAATCCCACCCCCCCTTCCGAAAAATGCGTCCACCAGCCAGACTGGGATATCCCTGACAGCCTTCTACTGCCCAATGGCTATCCAGATGTACTCTTCTTCTCGAGTCCGTGAAGTAGGTGAATTTCTTGGCTGATCGGATATAGTACTTACGACTCATCCTGACCTCCCGAGTCTACGATGTTATCAAAGAATCACCCCTCACCCATGCGGTGAACATTAGTAACCGCCTAGAGTGCAGAGTTTCATTAAAAAGAGAAGATCTGCTGCCGGTCTTTAGCTTCAAGCTCCGCGGCGCATATAACAAGATGGCCCATTTAAGCGATGAACGGCGATGGAAGGGAGTTATTGCATGCTCAGCAGGTAAACCATTGTCCATATTTCCTCTACTATTCTGTTCTTTCAAGCATTAATGCTGTATAGGGAACCACGCTCAAGGTGTTGCGTTCTCCGCCAGGCATCTGAAAATCCCAGCAACAATCGTGATGCCATCTTGCACCCCAGCTATAAAGCACAAGAACGTCTCAAGATTGGGGGGAAATGTGGTGCTCCACGGATCAGATTTCGATGCGGCAAAGGAGGAAGCTCACAGGTTGGCTAAACTCCATGGCCTTACGAATATCCCGCCCTTTGACGACCCATATGTGATTGCTGGACAGGGAACCTGCGGCATGGAACTTTTACGCCAAGCAAACGTGCAGAACCTAGAAGCAGTGTTTTGCTGCGTCGGTGGAGGTGGCCTCATCGCCGGTGTTGGAGTTTATATCAAGCGCATTGCACCTCACGTCAAAGTAGTTGGCGTCGAAACATGTGATGCAAATGCCATGGCACAGTCGTTGGAAACAGGCAAACGAGTCACCTTGAAAGATGTTGGTTTATTCGCCGATGGCGCTGCGGTCAAAATCGTTGGTGAGGAGACGTTCCGTCTTTGCCGAGAGGTTGTAGACGAAGTGATTCAGGTTACAACCGATGAAACATGCGCCGCAATCAAGGATATTTTTGAGGACACCCGGTCGGTCGTGGAACCAGCCGGTGCCCTTGCTCTTGCCGGGCTTAAGAAATACGTCGCTAAATACCCGTCATCGAACCCTAATCGTGAACTGATCGCTGTTGCGTCCGGAGCCAATATGAACTTTGACAGGCTGCGGTTCGTGGCAGAGAGAGCTGCACTAGGCGAGAAAAAGGAGGCCTTACTGAGCGTCACTATTCCAGAACAGCCGGGCTCGTTCGCGAAATTGGTTGAGATTATTATGCCGCATGACATTACAGAATTTAGCTATCGCTGTGCCACAACAAGCTCTGCAGACATCTTAATGGGCATATCCCTTTCTGCGTCCACGGGGATGGCTGATCTCGCCGATCTGAAGTTACAGATCGAAAGGGACGGAATGAGCGTAACTGAGGTAACCGATGATGAACTGGCCAAAACACACATTAGATATTTGGTTGGCGGAAGAAGTAACGTCTCAGATGAACGCGTTTTCATGTTTGAATTCCCAGAACGACCAGGAGCGTTGGCCAGGTTTCTTACAACACTTCGCCCGCATCAGAACATCACTCTATTTCACTACCGCAACTATGGCGGGGATGTTGCAAATATCCTTGCCGCTGTCCAGTGCCCACCGGACGAGGCACAGGAGGTTGAATCATTTCTTCGAGACCTGGGCTACCCCTTTAAAGATTGCACCGGTTCGCCAGTATATCAAAGGTTTCTGAGAAACCATTGATATCATACTTATCGCAAAATATGACCCATTGGCTTTATCTTAATTGTGTTGCAACATCTGATATGACAGGGATGATTTTGGCAAATTCCAACTTGATTTTCTCGGTATGGCGTTGGCTGGAGGCATGTCGTACTTTGATATGCCAGCGGAAAAATAGAAGCGGACTAACCAAACGATGCGGTCTCCTCTCCTTCTTTCAACCGAGATCACCAATAGCATGGATAGTCGGAGTTACCGGTAATTCAGAGCAGCATTTTCATTTAACTCCAACTTTGTTCAGGGACCTCGTTCTAAGTATTTGTTGAATGCATCATATGTGCGCAGCCCTCGCGTATGTCGGTCCAGATATTGACATACCCGCCTAGACTTAAAAGCGAGAAGTCCTATCAGTAATCCCATAGCCATACTGTACCAACGATACCAGTGCCTCCTCTTCTTGGGATGACCTACAAATAATCCAAAAAAACATAAAAATAAAAAATAAAAATCTCATTTGTGTATAATCTCCCATCACGCGCCGAATCCGCTATTATTTCAGACCGCGTAAATGAGCCCGCGAGCGATGGAACTAGGTTTCTACTTCGTTTCGGAATAAGCTGGAGGGGGATCTGGCATGCTCGACTGCAAGGGAACATGATCGCTCGAACCACGCCTTCTGCGGCGTAGGAAAAGTACAACTGCAGCGGCAAGCCCAATCGTTCCTACGGGCACACCAATTCCAATGCCGGCCTTGGCGCCTTTTGATAGAGGCTTTTTCGGGGGCGGCAGGCTCAACGAATCCGTGGGGATGGGGACAACAGAGCTGTCGGTTGCCTGGAATCGAACCTGGATTGGGGTCGCAAACACTAGGTATTCGGATTGCACTCTGGTCGTTGAACTGGTGGTGTGTGTGGCCACCGCCGTGGGGGTGTTCAGCCAGCTCAAACAGAATGGGTACTCGAAGTTGTCTGGGCAGTCGAAATACCTGATTATTGAGCAATCATTGGTGAGAAAAGGGATCTCAGCTCACACGTCAACAGAGTCCCACCTCGGGCAGCAGAAAACGGTCGTTTCATGTCTTTGTCTTGTGGTCGGTAGCGTGCAGACTCGATTGCCTGAGGGACACATCCCGGGGCTGAAGTACCGGTTGCTCGCCCATCCCTCTGGGCAGCATTCATTGCCGCTTGGGCCTTCACAACCCAACTCAAGGTCAATACCCCTCCTTGTACGGATTTCCTCGAGGCATTTCGACGGAGCACTAAACTGGGTGGTAAGAGGCCCGATAAGGGTTCGGACTGTATCTGGGGGGGGCTCCGTCGTTTTTCTCGAGTGAACGGTCACCGTGAAGAAGAGGACAAGACGCCAGAGATATTGCATCATGAAGGGTACAAAGATTTCTTGCTTGAACGCTGACGACGGTCGTATCCGCGCAAAGAATGTCAGCGCTGCATTTCAGGTGAATCCAGCTGAGTGGATTGCAAAGTGCGGAATGCACGGATTCCAAGTGCATTCCAAATATCCATATGGGGTACTCCGTAAGGCGGTGGGCTTTCTCCTCGATATGGAGTCATCAACGCTTAGGTTGAAGAGCCCGGCTTTTAGTTAGTTAACTAATATGGGCCTCCGCACCAATAAAGCAGCCAGTCATGAATCCTCCCCACCGCTTGGGTCTGTTGCTCGATAGAACTGGACTTATGTAGCATTACTGATTGTGCATTGCAAGGGTCGTTGATCGCTTTGCGTTTCTGGGACGTATTTGTCATACGGAGTAACTGCTCCGTACTTTGTTTGAACACGGGTGGATCCGCAAAGACGGGCCACAAGAAAAAGGTCTCAGCTATCTCAAAGCGCTTGCGGCTCTGAGCTCTCTGTGCGGAGGGCTCAAATGCTGCCAGGATCTCTCCGTACACCTTGTAATCATTTCTCACGTTCATGGTTCACAGTGGATCTTGAAAATTAGTAGTTAACCAATCCATTCTAGTGTCAAAGCATAGTTGATGATCTTTGACTTTGTACTCTATGGCTTTATTACCGATTAGTGAGAGACGGGTATTTGGAAGGAGAGAAATGGGTGCGGCATATATAAGTCAATGGACATTTCTGGCTTTTTATGAGCTCTTCTCCGTATCGGTGGCTATTCTATTAGTGGCTCCTACCATCCTATCGACCTGCAGAAAGGGATCGCGAAATAGAAGACGGTACAAGTGTCAACTGCAAAGAAAACGGGCAGAAAGGGGACCCGTAGGCTCGTTCTCGACCATTTAGGCAGTTTAAGGGGTCAATTCCCTTCGCTTTCCTCCCTGATGACTCCCTGATGAGAGTTCCGAGGAGGATTTGTTGATATAAAAAAGATCTTTGTGGTGGGATGGTATGTAGCGCTGGGTATATTCATGGCGGGGAGGCCGGCTCTTTCTTTTCATTTTGGGGACTTGGTCATATACGCAAGTATTTGCTTTCCGGGAGAATGTCTTTATCCATCATCATGACTGTATCAATTCACTGTTGCTCTCATCTTCAATGTGGTCAAAGGTGTAGGTACGGAGTACTCCGCACTCCGTACATGGTTACTGGGCATGGCTGCGGCGATGGCACTTCTGGGCAGCCCCAAGTGGTTACTCGACTAACGTAATCCACCACACACCACCGAGTCGCCCACCAAAATCACTGTAGAGTAATTAAATAGATTTTAATCCAAATTATCAATGTTCAACAACAACTAATTAAATTAAATTAGATTACACTGGGATTAGGGCAGCTTCTTCTTGTATGGCCCACAATTTGGCAGTTCGTACACCTTGGTGGAGCCCGTGAGCGTCGTGCAGGCTCAGAAGCAGGGGCCTCAGAGGGTTGAATAGCAGGCAGTTCAACTACCTCAGCAGGTGGAATAATAAGAGCCTGAGCTTCTTCTCTAGTTAAACCTCCTTCATGTTGAATCTGGCGCCTAGATCTCTTGGGTTTTTGCTTCTCTTTCTCATTTGCGGCAAATATATCCTGATATTGCTTCTTCATAATGGTTGCACTGACCATCCCGTATTCACAGGCCTTGATAATTTGATCAAATCCTTCCATCAAGTCTTGAGGTGAGCTCTCAAGTCCCTGCCCCATAAGATTCTTGATCTTATCCACCTGCCTATGCAACTGCCGGGGGTTGCTTGGTGCTTGTAGGATCCAGGATGACTGGGAGTTGCTAGATTGGCTAGCTGGGGGAGTAGGGGTTTGGAGTTGAATATCCAGCTGCTGAATAACCTTCCTATCCTCACATTTTGCTCGCTCGTAATTATAGCGTCTGGAATAGCAGCATTTGAGCTCCGTACGGCGTTTAATCAGATTCTACACCCAGTTCTTGCCAACACGGGGGGGATTGGAGGTGGAATGCCGTAGAGTAAGAAGGTGATTAGCCATATTCTCAACAAATGCCGGCCGGGGGGACGATCCTCGTTTAGCTAGATCTAGAATCCACTGAACTAGCAGGTTCTCTTCAGCCTCTGTTAACTTGGTTGAATTTGCGCGTAGACTGGTTCTTGCGGGCCGGCCATTGAGTCGATAGCATAGAGTTGAATATGGGACTTCAAATAAGCGAGCAGCTTCACGAATTGAGGGAACTTCTTGCTTTTTAATAGCAGATATCGCGAGTTCAAGTCTTCCCTCTATCTCTATAGAGTTTCTTGCATTTTTACTGCGAATTGATGGCATTCTCACGCGTTGAAATGGGTTAATTAGAAAATTGAAGATATATTGAATTTGGTGATCCGCTCGGTGGTGTGATCCGCTCGGGGGAGTATGTTTAGCTCGGATGGTACCTTAGGTAAGCTTCTTCGGCTTCGGAAAATCTAACTTCCGATTGTCGGCGAAAATCGACGCAGCCAACCTCCAGTGGCATTGTGGTATGAGCGATTGACACTGCACCGCCCCTGTTTCCTCTCTCATTTTGCGCAATCCTTTTGCTTGCGTTTCTGTTGCTTCGGAAGCTATGATACGATCCTTTTTCTCCTCCGCGTCGGCCCAGTCGCTCCGCCAATTACACTCGACTCTCTTGAACAGAACATGTCCCTCGGCCTTTTCACGGTCGATTTGGCACTTAAGCACATCAGCAGCGAGGATATGGAGCCCCCTTCCAAAATTGGCTAGTAACGCCGAAAGAACATTGAGCTATGGCCCAGGGAGCCAAAATGTGCTAGGGCAAGTGCGGGGAATGAAGACGCGGTCGTCCGTGAAAAGATTATGTGATGGATGCAAGGTGCGTGGTCAAGATCTGCTTTCCTATCTATTGCGATTGCGGCGTCGATCTGTCTGCAATGAGAGGGTGGGATGGTCAAAGAACCGGGCGCAATCACTTATGGCTCTGGAACTGAAATTGGCTAACTGGGAATTTCAATACTTTTAGCCCGTGAGAAGAAAGAACCGTGTCTATATCATCTGGTATGCTCTTCTTAATCTCCAGCCTCAAGTGCGTGCTGCTTCGCATAATCTAACAAGCCTTCGCATTGCAGCTCGAAGAACCCGAAGCATAAGCAACGACAGGGAAAATAAACAGGGCGTGATTTCAATTGTATTATATGACTATTTTCGCCATATAAGGGCTTCGCCATCGATACCGGTTCATAAAAAAGGCATGTTTTCGGCCGATATAAGCCATGGCTAACGCCAAATGGGCATCTACTTTTGTTTTCGTCTCGCATATCACGGGGATTCTGGGCGCTTGGTTGTTACGGTTCGATTTCAGAATACGAAACATGTACTATTACTTGATCTTTTCTGTGATTTGCGGATGGCTTTGGGTGTTGTGAGAACATTTTACTCCGTACTCCGTGCAGGTGTTGTTCGAACTCCATTGAAAGACTTCTGGATACCCTCGGGGCAGCATTTAGACATTCTCTGCGTTCTTCACTAGGGAAATATCACTCTTCATCCCATCACGATATAGCCAGGGCTTGCCTATGAAGTCGGTAGTACGGAATACAGACAAGTTATTTCCCACTCTATTAACTGGCGCCGCGACACTTTCCTGCACAGCATCTTGAGAAGCGTAAAACCACGTGATTTAAATTAAGTTTGACCCTTGCGGGCTTGGCAAAGTTTAAAAAAATAAATTACCAAAAGATCCTCTCGACGGGCTCCTTCGCGAGAAGCGGAAGAGCATTGCGTCCCCTTCGACTCTGTGTTGACCAAAAGGGATAGTCTCGTCTCAATATGAGTGTCCACACGTTCATGCGGACACAAGTCCGTTCCCTCGCTGGCATGCCGAAAGCCGGAATGCGGCCACTTGGCAATTCTTTTTGCGCGCGAAGATACCTATCAGCGGCTCCCCTTCGGTCAATTCCTGCCGCTCCCACTCGGTTACCGTTGAACAGGAGATGGGAGCCGAAAAGGCACTCTTCTTCTGCTACTGCGGCTGCAGTGTGAGTGCTGCTTTTTCTACCGTTGATCAGCTTTTAGTAATTGCAGTGCATATATACATATACTAATCCCCACGCGTGCAGACTTGAGCAGGCCGCCGCGCAACCGGAGACGCTTTCACAAGACGCGATCATTGAAAGTATGGATCCTGCCGAAGCTGCGAGAATATCTAAAGTCCGAAATATTGGTATTGCGGTGCGTTGGTACTTCACCAAACATAAAATTGGGGCAATGAACGTCCGAGCTGAACAGTACCCTATAGGCTCATATTGACAGCGGTAAAACCACGTCTACTGAACGAGTCCTTTTCTACACTGGACGCATCCAGGCCATCCATGAAGTTCGGGGACGTGACTCCGTCGGAGCCAAGATGGACTCTATGGATCTCGAACGTGAGAAAGGAATTACCATCCAGTCTGCCGCGACATTCTGCGACTGGGTCAAGAAGGAGAACGGGAAGGACGAGAAATACCACATCAACTTGATCGATACACCTGGACATATTGACTTTACGATTGAGGTCGAGAGAGCTCTACGTGTCTTGGACGGTGCTGTCTTGATCTTGTGCGCTGTCTCTGGCGTCCAATCGCAAACCATTACCGTCGATCGACAAATGCGACGCTACAATGTTCCGCGTATTTCGTTTATCAATAAGATGGACCGTATGGGATCTAATCCCTTCAGGGCTATTGAACAGATTAATCAGAAACTAAAGATGCACGCCGCGGCCGTCCAAGTGCCCATTGGGCTCGAGGACGAATTCAAGGGTGTTGTTGACATCATCCGCATGAAGGCTATTTATAACGAAGGCCCTCGGGGTGAAATGGTTGTCGAAAAGGATGAGATCCCGGCCGATGTGCGCCCAGTGGCAGAAGAGCGGAGGAGAATGCTGATCGAAACTCTGGCCGACGTTGACGATGATATTGCCGAACTCTTCTTGGAAGAGAAGGAGCCCACGGTTGAGCAACTCAAGGCCGCTATAAGGCGGGCAACCATTGCCCGGACGTTCACCCCAGTTTTCATGGGATCCGCTCTGGCAGACAAAGCCGTACAGCCTATGCTTGATGGTATTTGCGATTATCTTCCAAATCCGGCCGAAATCGAGAACTTGGCACTCGACCAAAAACGCAACGAGGCTTCCGTCAAGCTTGTTCCGTATAACTCTTTGCCCTTTGTCGGCCTGGCCTTCAAACTTGAAGAGAGCAATTTTGGCCAACTCACCTACATACGTGTCTATCAGGGTACCCTTCGAAAAGGAACCAACGTATTCAACGCCCGAAATAACAAGCGGATCAAGGTTCCTCGCATTGTCCGTATGCATTCAAATGAAATGGAAGAGGTTTCTGAAATCGGTGCTGGTGAGATCTGCGCCGTATTTGGCGTCGACTGTGCTTCCGGAGACACGTTCACCGATGGCCAACTGAACTACTCGATGTCTTCTATGTTTGTGCCTGAGCCCGTCATTTCCCTGTCTATCAAACCTAAAAACTCCAAGGATCTTGCCAATTTCTCCAAGGCTATCAACAGATTTCAACGTGAAGACCCCACATTCCGGGTTCACTTCGACACCGAGAGTGAAGAGACAATTATTTCTGGAATGGGTGAGCTACACTTGGATATTTATGTTGAACGTATGCGTCGTGAGTACCGCGTCGATTGCGAAACCGGAAAGCCTCAGGTCGCGTACCGTGAAACGATTGGCAAGCGTGTTGAGTTTGATCACTTGCTTAAGAAACAAACTGGCGGACCTGGTGAATATGCTCGTGTTGCTGGTTGGATGGAACCTACTGGGAACTTGGATGGCAACAACTTCGAGGAGCAGATCACTGGAGGCAGCATTTCCGAGAAGTTCTTGTTTGCTTGCGAGAAAGGTTTCGGCCTGGCTTGTGACAAGGGCCCATTAATCGGCCACAAGGTCCTCGGTACCAGAATGGTTATCAATGACGGTGCCACACATATGACTGATTCGTCCGAAATGTCCTTCAAGAATGCCACTCAGCAAGCTTTCAGGAAAGCGTTTATGGACAGTCAGCCACACATTCTTGAACCCCTCATGAAGACTGTCATTACCGCTCCATCAGAATTCCAGGGTGATGTTATCGCCTTGTTGAACAAGCGCAATGCTATCATTAACGATACCGAGACTGGCGTTGATGAATTCACCGTCTACGCCGACTGCAGTTTGAATGGAATGTTCGGGTTTAGTACCCATTTGCGCGCTGCTACCCAGGGCAAGGGAGAGTATACCATGGAGTTCAGCCATTACGAAAAAGCTCCTGGTCACTTGCAGTGAGTATTCCCGTCTCTATTATCCGTCTCGATGTACGGAAAATCACTAACGGCCCTGCGACGTATAGGAAGGAGCTTATTGCCGAGTATGAGAAAGCACAAGCTGCCAGACATAAGAAATAAGCTGCATCCGCTTTTATTTCTCGTTGAATACTCTGAGCAGGTCTTTGTTTACCTGCGACGGACAAGTTCCCAGCGGGGCTTTGTCTCACGACCAGCCATGGTTCCGAAATATCCTCAGAGCTTGAAACCATCTGCTTCCCTTTCAAGCCAGCTCCACTATGGTGGAAGTTACGTTGTTTTTGAATATCTCGATGCACTGTACATGTACCACTTCACTTACCCTTCCATCTGATGTATTTATACCGTGCGAGGCTTTCTTTTTGGGCAAAAATGATGGGGATACAGGCGAAATGTTTTGCAAGGGTCATGTTCTCTGTTTCCGTATGTCTCCCATTTGGCGTGCAGTCGCCCTAGACACTTTTTTTGGCTGTGTAATGAATCGGTATAGACTCGCAAAATTGCTTATATCTTCTGTTTATAAGGCTTGGAAGCGTTTGCCTTTCTGCGATTATTCTTTATTATTAGGACGGATAGCATTCCATGGAAAGGGGTGTATGCGCACGGCTGATTTGGCGATCTGGTCCCTGGCTCTCTCCGCTCCAGATGAATCTGAAAAATTAATATTCTATTTCTATTTCAAGAACCTATTCCTCTACATCTTCATTATGACAAGCCATGCTCTCAGTCGCCATCTTTTTCTAATGGTGTTTTCGGTACGTTACGCAAGTCATCTTATGTATCTCTCCTTCCCCCTCTCTATAGTTATGAACTCGCATCTAGATATCGTGATGAGAGTGGTAATATCTAATCAAAAACTTTCATCACAGCGAGGGCTGCCGGGCTAAGACTTGCAATCTCATTGTGCCCTAGATAGAAAAGTGAATAATTCAGCATCCATCTCGACACCCGAACGGTCCTTTCATTAGAAGGGATATTGGATGAAGACACTGGGGAAGCCATACCTCCATATCGTACTTTCTGCCATCTAACTCTCTTCAGCCCTGATCCAACCCTTCGTTCCCAGGTTTTGACTTCAGTAGTATTATCACTTGAAATTGATTGCTCAGTGAAAGTACCCAACTTCGCGGCGTCCTCACCTCCAACAGCCGCTTCCCACGCTCTTTTACCTTCGCGCCAAGGAATATCAGGGTCATTAGCTGCGTGCATGATTGTGAGATGGAAGTTTTTATCATCATGCTCTGCGTCAGAATCAGATTGTGGGGATACACCTGTTAGTCTGGCTAGCCGTGACGCAGTATCCCATCGATCAATTATGTGGTCGAGCACGTATTTCTTGTATCGAGGATACCCCATCAGCGGTGAGAGGAGTGGTGGGAATATCCCCATAATGCAGTATGACTCTAAGAGCTTGGGAATATTCGAGAATGGGGCGACAAGCACAAATCCGGCGAGAGTTTTGACGGGTGACGCGTCTCCAAAAGCAAGTCGTTCGGCAAGTCCAGCAGCGACCCCAGTCCCAAGGCTCTCGCCTACAACTGCAATTCGAGATGGAGAAATAGAGAGAGGGGGTGATGTGAGATAGTTTATCACCGTTAGCGCATCTGTGATCAGGCCTTCTTCTGTAGGCTCCCCGGTGGAGAGCCCGAACCCTCTATAATCGAATGCTATCACGTGAACAGGATGATACGGCGTTGACATTGAGACAAAATTGCGATAGATCCCGGGGCGATAGCCAGAGCCAAGGTTTGCAGCATTTCCGTGAACTGTGACTTCGCCGTTAGCCTCGAGTCCGCAACACTTTGGGATAGGCCGAAATGCATACGGTTGACGATCACTCTCGCATTTGGATCTCGGGCGAGTAAATTGAAAGCACCCGTTCTGGTCATATCCTCCGCTACACCGTAACTGTGGCTTGCGAGAAGCTCTCTCTCATGCTCTTTGCAAAGATGAAGGGGCAGGATATGCCATGCATATAGGGTGGCATTATCCGGAGTAAGTAAGTTGAACGGTTGTACCTGAGATTCTAGTGACCTAGTTAATACTCTAAAAGTTGACTATTCGGGCAAGAATCGTATGTACTCAAGAACCCAAAGTTTTCAACATCGTTGACGTCGTAGAATCGCGATGGATTGATTCCATGCGAATAGAGCACACTAAGACGATAATTAGTAATGCACAGACAAAGTCGTGCAGCGAAGGAAAGGAAAATTCACCCCCGTTGGATAGTGGGATATGTTAGAGAGAAGATCAGAGAGACATAAATCAGGCCGCAGAGAGCGAGGACCCAGTAGGCCTTTTTTAAAATGGGCGCCAGCTCTATCATGATGGCGGTTCCTACAATATTTGTCAGGATACAGCGAAATAAATTTAGTGCTCAGAGCGTCCTTTTCCAAGATAGGGTCCCGGAAAGATTGAGTCTCCCAAAATGCAATGTAGTGAACAAGACGTACATATATCTGCTTTCATAGACAATATCTGAGGTCGATGGAACGGGGAGGTAGTTCGGAGTACGGGATACAGGGAAGTAGGTGCAAAGACTGAATTCGGAGACAAGACTAGCGGTATACAGAGAAAAAAGGAAGCGAAAGAATACATGCGAGCCTTCAATCGAAGATCAAGCCATCAGCCGATTGCTCGAGCAGCTCTCAAGCTCTCCGTCGTCGCTCACTCTCCAGCCGACGAGGACTTTTTCAAGGACGTTATCGATAAGGTACTGTCACATCGTGTATTTTAAATTACCATAATTACGCTTAGTCAGCTATTATCGCCGTCGCTTGTCTTGCTTCTCACTGCGGCGAGCTCATCACGTCGTGACGACGGACAAAGCGCCAGTGCGCAGGGTGGCTCTCTGGTTTGGCATGAGCGGTCCCTGCGATGAGATGGCAGAGAAACGAAAGCTTCGAGCACCTCCTACGACGCGGACGCGAAAATCCGACGCGACCACCCCACAACGCCAGGTCCCCGCGAAAAGAAAAGCTTCGGCGACGCCAGCTCCAAAGCTCCCTGAACCAGTCGAAGAGGAGCCTCTCCCCACGAAGATCAAGGAAGGAAACCCACTGCCAACCCTCGCTAAAGTACAGCCGGGAAACCTGTCATTGCGGGATTATCAGCCCTATGACGAAAGGTGATATAATCCCAGAAATGTTGGGTTGAGATTCTGGACATTTGTTCTAACGTTATATCTTCTTTTGATAGCGCTGTGGTCGCTGCCGCTCTTCGACGGTCGCAGACAAGATGGCTCCACGAGTGTATTTTCGAAAAATACTGGACAAAGCCGTCCAGAAAGAAAGGCCAGCCGCAGCCCGCAACTCCAAATCCTCCGAAGGAATCCATGACCAAATTGGGCCCGTGTACAATTGTGATTGAACCTCACCATTTCGACGTTATGCTTTATACCGTGCGCAATCCGCAATCCCAACAACAAACGCCACCCCCTCCTCCTCCCCCTTCTCAAAAGCCTCTGATCCATGTTCAATACACTGCGCCAAGCAACTCGAATACCTTCCACCAATATCAACCTCCTCCGCCAGCAAACCAGTCCCGGCAGTCTCCTCAGGTCCCGCAAACCTCCCATCTGCCGGCTTTACATAGCCCCCAAGTGTCACAACCAGCACCCAAAACCACATTTGCACCACCCTCACAACCCATCCAGCCAGCACAGCAGAGCGCCGGACAGACGTATCAAAATAATCATTTTGGACCACTCTCTAGCTCTCCTTCGGAAACACCTTCTAGACCGCTTACTTCGCATGGCGAATCGCAACCCAGTCCCCCACCTCAAAAGCCTCCAGATCCGCCCCCACAACCCCCGAAAGGCAGCGCGGATCCAGTCATACAAATGTTGGCTACAAGAGCTGCAGTGAATCCTGAGCTAAAGGCGCTCATGCGGGTTGTTGCCTCGAGTGAAGCGTCGCAAGAGCAGTTGCGTGCCTTTCAAGCTCATATTGACGAGCTCAATGCGATCATCGCTAGCCGAAACCAGCAAGAATCACGGATCAATTCTCCACAGACTAATTCGCCCTATCATCCTAAATCTACTTCCATGTCTCCTGCGCCGCCTGGACCTTCCGGCCCGCCGGCGGCTAGCAGGCCCGGAGCAAAACCACTTATCTTTCAGCCACAATCCCATAATCCTCCTCCGATCCAGTATTACAGTCCTTCTAACCATCAGCCATCTCGCTCTTCACCGTCTACTCCGCCGATACGATCCAAATTCCCGCAGCACCCTCCACCAAAAACCTACCTTCATCAACAAAGGCCACCGCCACAACTCCAGCCCGCTAAACAGGATATTAAAGCAGTGGTTTTTGAATTTATTACTCCTCCAGGCCCTGGGCTTGCTGCTTCAGGAGATCGATATCTTCTTCCCGAAAATATGATTATCGATTATATACCGCCAGGGACGCAGGTCATAGCTTCGTTTCTTGTGGTTAAGAAAGTTGGCCCTAACGGAACCCCTCTAGATACACCTTCCTCGACAAATACCAAATCAAAAGCGAAAAAAACCAAAATCGCGTCAACACCCGACGGCACTCCCAAGGCCGGGACACCTTCAAATGCCATGCCTCAAGCACCTTTGCCACAGAAAACAGCACAGTCAAAAACCGATCAATCTGCTAGGGATACGCCGGAAACCAATAACGACTCATCCCCCAAAAAGACACAAGAAAAAGAATATTACCAACCCATCACAATGCGCTTGTTTGCGAGTAATGCACGTGTTCTTGAACCCCTTGCCCGAGTTGTTAAACCTCTGGTCGAGGTTCAACGGTACATGAACGATGTGATGGATCGGGTTGAACGGGCTCCTATTCGCTACCTCGCAATGAGATTACCTTGCGAAAAACCCGGCAAGAATGGGACGGATGATAGTGATACTGTCCAAGCGAGCGCGGGTGACCCATCGTCCAGAACCGGAAATACGACAATTGGCAATAAGACTAAGGATAGGAGTGAAACGGGAGCAGCAGTAAAGGAAGGGACAGAGAATAGAGAGACTGAAGCTACCCCTAGCTTGGGCGAGGACAATGAAGAATTGAAGGACTTCTATGATGCTCCCTTTGGACTTGTCCCTTTGAGGTAACCATCCGTTTGATGAGGGGTGCTGATTCTGTAATATATATAAACCTTTTAGGCTTGAGAGACTCGGAATAATATCTCTTTTATAGTATTCCGAGATCTTACTCTTTTGAAGTTCGGAAAGTTCTGGTCAACACTGAACGCATCATCATCTCAGTCCGATACAAATTTATTTCTAACGCTAAACCCCTTCAGAAGAGCGCTGACGACGGACAATTTTTCTTCAAAGTGCTAAGCCATTTAATCAGAAGGCAAACGGAAAGCCGCGCCATGCCAATGTACTCCATGCATACCGGTCCATACCTGTAAACCCATAAAAAGAAACAGTCTCATTAATGTTTCCGCGGACTATAATTCGAATCCCCAATAATCCCAGCCATCTCTAACAAAGCCCTTCCAGTCTGCTCCTCACTATCACCTCCGCCAACTTTCAAGTGAATGGTCCTTCTCCTCTCTGCTTCGCGCGCCTCGAAATCCCACGCGGCTTTCTGCGCTGCAACAGCATCCCCCCGTGAGGAATCAGGATCCAAAACGGGGCCCAACTCGGGTTGTGTGGGTACCACACCCCATACTTCGATGGCGTGTACAGATATGGACGTTGTGGAGGACAATGCTGAAGCAGAGAAGGATGACGAGGATGAAGGGGAAAGACCTGGAGGTAGGAATACCCCATCACCGTTCAAGCCGTCGGAGACGACGAATGTTGCATTCTCGAGGGCAGGGTCAATTATCAAACTACCTCCGCCAGCGGGTCGCGGACGGAGGTCATGGTGCAACGATGTGCGTGAGGAGGGAGGGATCATGCAACCCAGGGCAATACCGGATTTTGTAGAGAATGACGCCACGGGCATGTTGAATTTGAGGGTTTTGAAGAACGGGGAGGCCAGGAGGACGGTGTGAGTTGGTAGCAGCTGGAAGAGGCAGGGGAACTTAGACGAGTCCAGGTAGTCAGACGCATGGTCCGAGGAGGTGGTACTGGACTGTTTCCAGGGTTCAGGCAAATATGCTCCCACTAGAACTGTGTCTTGTCTCGAGGAAGAAGAGTCCGTGACTCCTTTTAGGAGAAGAATACTAGGCGCATGCCAGGTAAGGACGTGATGGGAGAACGCTGTTAATGATTCACCGTGGTATACTGAAGAGAAAACTGGGTGTAGACGGGTTCCATTACGGAATAGATTGGGAAGTGGGTATGAAGTCGAAAGGAAGAATGAAAGGTGAGATAACAACGCAGTGTTTAGGATATTCGATTCAAAAGGACCAGGGAGAAATACAGATTCGGAATGAGGAGAATGGGGAGGCGGGGTTGAGCTTGACTTCTCGTGTTCCGGCTCTGTGGATCGTGACTCTTTTCGCCGTGATAAATCAAGGTTTTTGCTGAACAGAAAATGCTCAAATAGGGGCGTTAATGGATCGAATAGGAAGGGAAGAGATGTCCTAAGAACTCTAGAGAAGGACTTATAAGTAATACCATCATTGTCGGCTTCTTCGCCAAAAGCGGCGATGATGCTATCTACTTGGGCTTGGATGGCATCAATTGATTCTGCATCTTGATCTGCAATCAACTTGGACGTCGTTCCAATAGGATGTAGAGGCGCAATAACAAGAATCAAGGCGATAAGCCTCCGAAAAGTATCGATGGAAACTCGTGCCTTATATACGCTCCGATCGATGCGTTGATCGTGCTTAAACACTTCAATTGCATCCAGAGATTCCAAGGCAGCAAGGGCCAGGTCATCATCATCGTCTTCTTCTTCTTCGTCGTCGTTCGCAGGCGCATCGATAGCAAACCCTGTAACATGAGAAGGGTTGCCCTTTGCAATACCGTTTGCTTTACCATCATTTGACTCCTGTACAGGCATCTCCTTTTCCTCAACTTGAGTACGACCAACATCAGCCAGGCTACCAAATAGCAATTTAATGCGATCTTTTCTCCCTCTTCTCAGAACTCGGCCGTATCTCTCTGTTAGGAGCACAACGACCTTAATGATAGCCTCGTAAGTAAGCACGCTGGGTGCGAGCGTATTCTGAAACGGGAACGCGCCCAGATAGGACACCATGCGAAATATTACAGGCCCAGCGTCAAGCGTAGCATCGGTGTGCGGGCCGGCTTTTTCTCCAGCGCCATCCGGGATCCCCAAGAACTGGGAGAGGATCTCTTCATTCCAATGGCGAAGGCCATTTTCATCGAGAGCCCTAGAGTTGAAGTTGTCCTTGAAATGGGTGAGTTCGAGGGGTGTAAAGCATTTCGAGGCAAATCGATGAGCCAGAACGTGGCTCAGCTCCTCTAGATTTTAACAGAACAGATTGCCCCGTAGTTAATGGTGTGCTCTATCTGTAAAAATAGAACGCGAGCAGGTAGGTATCACGACAGGGAGTAGCCAGCGGGAACATCAGGAAGCTTACCGGGAGACGACTTATTCAGAGAGCTCCTCGTCGACTGACCGGCGCCCATTTTGAGCCAGCTAACTAATAGATTATCAACCGCGTCCGTTGTATATTTTGTAACTATTACTCCGCGAGTGACAACACGGATTCATGTGTAAGGCAGGGCGCCTCATGAAAGGGCCAATGAATTGTCTCGATAGTTAGTTACCAACTGGTTGGTTGTCGATATGGGTATACTCTGTGGAAGCCAGAAGAGACAGAGAAGTGTGCAAGTTTCAAGAGGAGCAAGCGGCTTGGTCGTAGTAGTTATTTAGAAACGAGCACACCCGGACTCATTTGACACCAAGACACAGTCGAGGGTCTAGATCCCAACTCGCCGCGCCACCGAACTGGCTAGTTGCAGTCGAAGTTGTCTTGGGCGGCGAGCATTCCCGTGACATCATGACTGGTCCAGTTGGTTAGTTAACTTGTTAACCTACTTCTCACGTTACGTAGCTTGGCATCTGTGACATCACAGAAAAGGGAAGAGTCAGTCAGCAGCGCAGTTATTTTTGTCTGAAATCCCTGTGGAATACAACTCTCAGCCTAGTGACAGGCTAAGCATGGATATTGTGATGGCATACTCCATACAATAATGATGATCATAGCTATACAATAGCTGCGTGGAAGATGTTTGACAGGAATCATGTCAGACATAATGACGACAACCACAGCTCTTGAGGATGAGAGAGCACGAAAGAAAGGACCAAATGCTGCACGTCCAACCATGAGGGAAACTTGTGTAATCAGGGAGGGGAAAACAAATTCCTTCTGCAAAAGAAGCCATCAAACAAGGACAATTCCCACACCTCCCCTCTTTTTCTCGTCAGGGAAGTTCCTTTCATTCACGCCACCAGCAATAGAGGATGTTCGGTAATTGAATAGGTAGTAGTGGAGCTGGCCGTCTCCAGGGCCGAATTTGAGCTGCTCAAGGAAGAGCGGGTTGTCATGCAAGGTTAGAGCATTAAACACGTCAAAGTGCTCCTGTTGAAAGGTTGTCAGTAACAATCGCGTCAGAAGGGACGCTCAGTAAACATTACCTTCTTTGCGAGAATTAAAGCATCATTGACAAGTAATGTCAACCGTTCCCGCAGGCCTTTCTCCTTCGGCGCGAAAGCAGTCTCCGAAGCGTAATAATACATGTATGCCGCCCTGATAGTGTTATGTTTTTCGCTGTGGATAACTGTCGATTCAAGAGAATAGAAGGAAACGAAATCAGTGATTTTGTGTGTTTCATCCTCTTCAACGACGTACGCAAAGACGGTCTGCTCCGTTCCGGGCTTTTCTTTATGGACGAATAGATGCTCAATCTCCTCCCGGCTGAACGTTTGAGCAAGGTCGAACCGCTTCATATACCGGTTCAACAGGTCATGAACGGCGTCAACATCTTTGCTCTGCATTGGTCGCAACCCCGGTGTGGCTGTCTTGCTTGGTAGGTGATTCCTCGTAATCTGTCTAGCTTTCGTGGATCCCGCAGGGAGGGCGGAGAAGCCAACTTCATACAGTTTTAGCCAGTCGAGGGCGCGGTGGTAATACCGACATGAGCTCACTGGAGTCGGTAGAATAATTCCGGCGGTATAGATAGCTTGGAATATGCCATCGACGTTACACCGCCTGGTGATCTCTTTGATGAGAACAGGGGTTAATCGTTTCGAGCGCAATTTCTTGTGTATGCATAGGAAGTTGATCTCCGAGACCTTGATCAATTGACCGCGCACGGAAATCTCAGCGGGCACGCCACAGATAGAGGCGACCAGTTTGCCTGATTTAGATGCTCTAACGCCGACATGCCAATCTTTTTTCCATCCGGGTGCTTTCAGAGCCCTTTGGATACATTAGCTGCGCCGATAACGCATAGTCCAGAGTAGCCTCCTCACTCACCAGTTCAAGAATTCCGGGGAGTAATTGAAACGAAACATCGCGCTTCCATCCTCCACATAGTGATCTGAGAGCAGCTCGTAAAATTCCTTTAGTTCCTTCTCGTCGTCCAAGTCCAAGGTAACCCACTCGAACCCCTCGATCAAGGGGTCTGGAGTTTTAGGTACATCCTCCACACTGATCTGCTTAATCGGTCCGTCTTCGACAGCACCCTTATCATCGAAGCGAATCACAGGTTGCGTCTGCCAAAATTTATACGATGCCATATCCTTCTGGTTCTTTTGGTTCAAGGAGAGCCCAGTGAGTAGCTCCGATATGTCCATCCTTCGCAACATCTCCGCAGCTTTCTCTCTATCCATTCCCGCCAATTCTCCCCGTAGCGCTGGGTTCATCTCTAACAAGGTCCCGGCCATGTTATCCGTAAGCCTAGCCCCGGCGGGAGCTTTGGGCGTTTCCTCGCCCTTTGCCTTTCGCTTTCCCTTTTTCTTCTCGCTGGAGTCGCCGGGCGGGGGAGGGGATTGAGGCTCGTCGCGGGGCGCATCGCCGGTGCCTGTGCTGCCGTCCATTGCACTTGGTCTTTCCTCTAGGTGATTTGCGCCACTTGTCGCGAATAGCTCCTAGGTGGGAGAAGTATTTAACGTGTCCTCGATAGGGTTCAACAGCGCGTCAAGAGTGGTGAGGAAATGGTTTAGGTAAATCGTCCCCGAGAATATAAAACTTAGGTCGAATTGAAGCCCGAGGAATAATAATATTTGCTGGAATTATCAAAGGTTTGAGCGGGTTAAAGCATTCATTGTGGGCAAGAAGAGATCAGGTGTAACGAGTTCCCGTTTAGCTTTGTCGCAGCGTCTGTCCGCCAGTTCCACCCCGCCGCCACCGCAAAATGAGGCATCGCCGCCAGATAATACTACTCTGCCCCGCAATCTATGACAATGTGTACAACAAAGAAAAGTGATGCCAACCCGCTCTTCTTTACAAGAAGCGGGAAATAAATAAATAATGTCTCAGCCAAAAGTGTACCAGAAGTGAAAGCTCGTCCCCGCCGTTTTCCCAGAACCACCAACCCCGATTCCTAATGGCCTTCCGCCAGGGCGGGACCCCCAGCGGAGGAGGTTAGAAATATCCCACTGGTAAGATAACTGGGCAAACACGCTGAATCCACCAAGCTAGGAAAAAGTAAGGGGGAATTCAGCTTTGGGGCGGGATTATTGTTCCATGACACATCGGGAAAACCTGTTTTGCAAAACTAAACGTGCGCAGTGCTGCGGAATCTTTTGGAGATAAGGATGCGGACATCTGTAAGGGCGTTGAACCCATGCGGGAGAGATGACTCTTAGAAAGGGGAAGAAGCCCCGTGGAGGTTTAGTCAAACATCATGCTTTAAAGATTGTTGAAAATGCGATGTTATACAGTTATAACCGGGTTTGTTACCTCACTCTGGCAAAGGCTTCGTCTCTAAAACCTCAATCAGGCCGCCAACTAGGTGTAGACTGCCCGTCACAAGCACGGAAACCATAGCATCGCCTTCGCCAGATGCTAGATTTCGGGCGTATTCAACCGCCTCTTCAATCGTGCCTTTCACTTCCACGGTGGTATCTGGCGACATCTCCCGCCACGTCTTTGCGAGGCTGTTTTGCACGCTCAATTTCTCCACCTCTGTGGCATTTGCATTTATACTCACAAGGTCCGGCCGATATCCTGCTTCCTTAAATGTGACATTCGTGCACAACACGGCATGGGTAAAGGAGCAATTTCCTGCGGACAATATGCTATAGAGGGCACGCGCTAGAGCAGAACTGTCACGAGATTGCTGGTTAAATATCAAGACCTGATTCTTGCCATTTCCTCCATCCAGAGCATTCCTGGTGTACGGCTGCGAAGAGAACCATCTCCCCGTGGCTTCAATGCTTTCTGGCGTATGGCCTCCGTCAATGTGCCAGGCAACATTCTTCTCTCGCCTGACCTCACACCTTCCGGCCAAGCGGGTATTTTCCAGGCCTCGTAGAATTGGCTCTGTTAGAGGCTCGCCGTTAGCATACGATGGCACATCCGCAACGCCTCTTGCTCTTAAAAACGAAGTTGAGATGGCCACCGCCAGTTCCGCATTCTTATATTGAAAATCGCCAGACAAGCCCAATTGAACTTTTCCAGGTGCTAGCTCCGGATGCCCCGAGGCAACTTCCACTTCGACTCCCGTCTCTTCTCCTCTCCGCTTCAAAACATCCAAAGCCGCTTCTGGCTGCGGCGCGGTATAGGCTATCGATCCGGGCTTAATAATTCCAGCTTTATGCCAGGCGATCTGTTCGATTGAATCACCTAGCAGCTCAACGTGATCAATCCCCAAGCTCGAAATACCTGCAACAATAGGTTTATCCAAAATATTTGTACTATCATACTCCCCTCCAATCCCACACTCTATAATGGCGGCATCCACACCTTCTCTCAGGTACGTGTGCCATGCCATAAGCGTAAGGTACCGGAAGTAGATGGGCTTTCCGGCCGGGTCGGTGGGGTCCATGCCACTTTTTCGCGCAGATTCTTCCAATCGATCCCATATTTCGAAGAAGTATTTAGCAAATTGCTCCTCGGAGAGCGGTGTGTTATTAATTTGTATCCGTTCACGGACGAATCGAAGGTGTGGGGATGTGTAAAGGCCGATTTTGCTGATTTTCGGCTCGGAGGACGACTCGACGCCCTGGGAAGTCTGTAGGTGGGCGTACTGAGAAAGAATCGAAGAGATGAAAGCGCATGTCGAGCCCTTGCCTTTCGTCCCCGCGATATGGATTAGATTCAGCTTGTTAAAGTCCGATGGCTGTCGCGATCGAAGGATGCATAATGTGACGGTTAGTATCTACTCAGTGCCGACGGGATCTGAGCCCGGGAGAGAGACAAGGTCGCATACCTTGTATCCAACCTTTTCACACCATTCTATCATCTCAGTCATGGCTTGCTCATTCATCCGTCCCCCCGATTTGCGGATCTTCTGGACAATCGAGTAATTCGACTGAAGCGAATTGAGCGCGACGATAGCATCCTAGATCCGAGACCTGAAGTCAGTCAAGACATCTCAATTGAAAAGTAAGAATCTTAATTTTGCAAAGATCATGGCAAACATTATATGTGCGCCCCATTTTGGAGAAGTTCCGGACTGTGGAGTGCAAATGGTTGTATCTGATCAGCGCTGTCGGCCTCCAAAAAGGCTGGTACATTCCAGTGGGGTTTTGAAAGGCCAGTGTTAGATTTAACGAGACTATAGAATCAATTGACCCATCCTATAATCCAGGAACTAGAAAATGATAAAGACCCCGTGGGACAAGCTGTAGCGGGGTTTCGTGGGAAAGGGTCATGCTAATACCGGCAGAGTACAGAGTAGAGAGGTCTGGTAAATAACCATTTTTGGTTCCAACCAGGCACAAGCTAAAAGTTTTGCATACATCAGAGGGAACATGGAGATACTACCGACCACACAGACTGTCTTCTATTAATATAAAGTTGAGCACAAATAAAGAGAACATTCACATATCTCACAATATAAACTGAGCTCTGCTTCGGTGAAGTTAATACTATTATGATTAGTTCCTGGAAAAAGGGTGTAGGCTAGTTAAAATAGGTATATACTCTTGTGAATTGTGACAGTGCACTCCTTGGAAAACAGGAAGATAGGGTTAAAGACCCAAAAGAAGTGGTTGTCACATAATATATTATCATGACCAAAGAACACAAAGGGGTACAGTGAAAAATACGCCCTTGAAGAAGCTCAGAAAATACCCTGTGAACAACGAGCAGATGCTATTCAATTCTCTTTTTCCCTTCCTCCATATAGCCAAGGCGGACATTGCTGAACCCACGCTGATGGCGAGCGGCGGGTATGAATCGTCCAATGACTCTGTCTGAATGTGCTCTGTGTAATGCATCTTGATAACCATCAACTGCTGCCGTGGGAGTGTTGAGCTTTGGCCAGTTAACCTACAAGTTGTTCATGATTAGCCTACATCCTCTTAGGATCATCATACTTGGATCATGACTCACATAAAGCATGCCGTGGGAATAGATAAACCTTAGACACCAAGCAGCCACAGCCATCCAGAAAATGAGGAATAGCCTTATTGGCCAAGCGGCAGAATCAGGGAGCCTGCGACTAAAGATTGCAACAAGAACCATGAAAACACTTGCCGCAAGAATATATGGAATTGCTTGGATGATAATCGGCCTTCGATCCACGAACACAAGTCTGTTGCTTGAGGACGACGAAGGCAGATAGGTGCCAAGAAAGATATCAAAGGCATCTTGGCGGGGGCCATCGCGGAAATTGTTACGGATGTACCTCGTCAAGGAATTGTTCCCATCGAGAAGGATGCCAGCTTTTGTTCTCTCGCCGGTGCGAGTAAAATCAGTTTTCAGGGCACCTGTTCCAGAATACGATTTCGAGACAACATCTGCGTTGTCCGCCCACATGTTTCGGAACATGAACTCAAACTCCGGATCATCACTGGCAGATTCTCCCGGTTGTAGAACACCAGCATCAATCAATTGACGGGTCGCAGTCCAGCGACCCAGCATGCTCTGCACAACGTTGGTGCGATCCAAGCAATCCATACAGTTCGTTCGGACCACACTAGACTGCAGGAGTCGAATATCAAGCGGGCCGGATGGATCACCCAACGATTCGACACCGCTAAAATATTGGCCTCGCATTAATCCGTCTGTAAGACGGTTCAACAAAAGCTCCGCTCGATGCCACTTTAAGCCCTTTGTTTCATTGTGAAAGTCGAAATAAACATAATGGAGCCTGTCCATCTCTTGTTTTCTGATTGATGAATCAACCGTGTGCAACTTTTCTGATGACAACGGATCTGACTCAGTAGACTCGGAGGATGCGGTTATCAGGGTGCGAACTAGATGCTCGTACGCCTTTTTGACCTTCTCCTCTCTTCCTTTGTGATTAACCAGGTTCACAAGATAGTTTTCTCCGTAAATTCTAATTTGCTCCGAGAAATGCTGGCGTGCGGCAGAGATGGCAGTATCAACACTGCGGATCAGGAGCCGTGGAATGTAAAAAAGGTTGTTAATTTCAGACCAGTAGACCGGGACGCTACCTCTTGTTTGCACAAACGACAAGACATGCAAATCTTTACCGGCAGCACTCCTAAGCTGGCCATTTTGCATGCCGGATCCGCCAGCAAAACCAGGGAGTCCTCCAGCTGAGTCGTTGAGGATTATAATCTGTTCTGTTTCATTGTAATTCGAGACATTGCCATGTTCATCTATTCCACGGGAGAAGTATCTGGTGCCACCGCGATGCCTGGAGCGTCTGGTGATCAAGGCGAAAGTGAAGGGCGTTGACTTGACTTTTGTGGGTGTTATGCGCAACATTCCATACATAACAGGCAATATATACGGATCCACATCTGACAGCTGGCCGTATCGGATGCCGGTCCCATCAGATAGACCCGACCTGAAATCTATCAAGTCTGTCTGGATGAAACGATTCCAGAAAAAGCGGTCGTCCGCTCGCTTCCATAATGGGGCCGATGGATCGCTGTGGGACTGGCGCTGGAAACTATTGGTGATATCCAACGAGTAGGAGAAGTATATGGGGCTGTTTTGCAAAAATTGCTTGAGCAAGGACAGGTATGTATCTTCGTCAGGGTCGTGGAGCGGTCGTTCGCGAAGTGGGAGGAATTCGGTAGAGACAACATTGTACACCATGTGGCCTCTCAACCTTCCCATCGGACGGGCCTTGGTTATGATGATGATATACTTATCTGTAAATAGTTAGCGCATGGGGAGTATAGCAGAAGGCTCGGTTCTACCTAGTTTCAATTTGATAATTCCCAAAATGCCGGCTATGCTTGACACCCGCTTGGCTCCTTGCACCGACACATTGTCCAGCCGCAGCTCGCCTGACGGTCTCTCAACGACAAGTGTGGGTGCCGACGTCGATGATGCCGATCTGAACGCATAATGTAGAGGAGAGACCAGCAGATTAATGTCACGGTAAGGGAGAACGGGTGCCATTGCCAACAGAGGTTTCGCGTTCTTTTCGAGGAACTTGTGAGGAAAGTAGTTTCTTGGTGGAAGGAATTGAAAGGCAACTCAAATCATATTCAACGATTCAAGCTCTAAGAAAGTATGTAAATATGTGCAGCTCTTAATCATGCGACAAAGACTTTTCTCTCTTTCTTTTTTATTTTATTTTATTCTATTATTTTTTTGGGGGGAGAGCTGTGTCTTCACGAGAGTTGGCAACAACAAAAGAAAGCAAAACTGCCTGGAGGCCCCCAGGGGCGCATTTGCAGCAAAGTGGCTTATCGGAAAGGGGGGAAGCTGATAGGGCCTTGTGGACACAGCGATCTCCGGTAAACCCACACAGGGCTTGGCGGGCCCAGGCTCCCAGAGCCCGTGCTCCCGGCGTTGTTGCACCGTGGCCTTACCAATAGGTGCGTTTCCATAGTGGCGCCCTGGGTTTTCCCTGTGGTTGGCTGGGGCGGAAGCTGCACTTTTGGTTCGTCATCCTCAGAACTTGCAACTGATGAATGACAACACCATCTCCATCCCAGTCAACATCGACAGGCCGCCGAACAGGTACGAGCAAGCCCAAGCGCCTTGACATCGGATATTCTACGGATCACCTTTTTATACCCTTATTTTCCGGTGCTTTACTTTTCCCGATTTCCCTTTCCGTTTGAACTCCAGATCGTCCGCGAAGATGGCCGCGAGAGCACCCGTTGGAGGCCGACCCGGCGCCAGATTCGCTCAGTTCAAACTTGTTCTCCTTGGTATGGTTTTCTTTGGCCCCTTTGATGCTATGTGAGCTGACGGTCATAACCTTTGATAGGGGAGTCTGCTGTTGGAAAGGTGGAGTTGTTCCCGTCTCCGCATCTCCTGCAATCATGCTAACTGCTGCCTGCCAGAGCTCTCTAGTCTTGCGCTTTGTGAAGGTGAGCGATGGATATCTGTTTCCTCGACGCTTGAGGGCTCCTACTGCGGATGAACACATTGTATGCTAAGCCTTTTTTCTAGGATCAATTCGATGATTATCGGGAATCGACCATCGGCGCGGCTTTCTTGACCCAGACCATTTCACTCGATGAGAACACCACCGTGAAATTCGAAATATGGGATACTGCTGGCCAGGAAAGATACAAGTCGTTGGCCCCGATGTACTATCGCAATGCAAACTGCGCAGTTGTAGTCTATGATATTACCCAAGCGGTACTTATCTACCCTGTTCCCCGCTACGCTTCCCCAAGTTGCTGACCGATCGCTTGTTGATGTAGTCTTCCCTCGACAAAGCAAAATCATGGGTGAAGGAGCTCCAACGACAGGCAAACGAAAATATCATCATTGCTTTGGCCGGAAACAAACTTGATCTTGTGACAGATAGCCCAGATAAACGCGCTGTTCAAACCGCTGATGCTGAGGCTTATGCGCGCGAGGCTGGGTTACTCTTCTTCGAGACATCAGCAAAAACGTCAACTAATGTGAGAGAACTATTCACTGCCATCGCAAAGAAACTGCCCCTGGATCAAGCGGGCCCACGGAATCTTCGATCGAACCCTCGCCCAGGAGTAGATTTACGACCGGAATCCGCCAATACCCAAGCTGGAGGATGCAATTGCTAGATCGGTGACCAGGTTGTAGTTCGCAATGCACTTCGTTTCACGTCTCCCCATCCACCTCCGGACGTATCTATATTCCCTCAAGTACCTTTACAATATGGCAACTTGGATTTACTAGCAAGCCTTCCAAGAGGTGCTGGGGCTATTTTGAAGGGGGGAGAATCTGTTTCGGCGCACCCAACCATTTTCTTGCACCATGTGTGTGCTTCAGTGCTACCCGCTCTTCGCTCCCATCAGTCCCTAATACTATCCCAGTCTATTTGGCGCTTGAGAACCTTTAGCATTTATCGCATTCTCACTAGACCCTTGTCTAAATGGCGCCTTACTCCATGCCTGTGATTTATGTCCTGTTCCTGCTTCGGTGTTTTTTGGGGGGGACTTACTGGTCTAATGTTCTTCATTCTATTTTCTTATGAATGTGATTGCCTATTCTTTTGTGCTTTTCCAGAGGTTGTCAGATTTGGGCGCAGGATTTGTAGCTTGTCGTGTTTCTTCTACCACTTTTTAATAGAACAAGTGTCCACTAAGATGGAAGAAGCTTCGGTTCCCTGATCCCAACCTAAATTGAAGCCTTTGAGCTGCTCGGATGAGCCGACGCACTACGGATCAATGCCCAACAAATAACTCCGCAGCCTTGACAGAGCCATTCTGATGCATTCAGGGGAATGGATTAGCCATGCTCCGGCAGATCCTTCAGGGTAACGCCCAAGCTCTCCTGAACATCACACTGGAACAACCAGCCAGCGTCAGACCTAACCCTTCTTCGCCTCTGGGATTTCACAGCCGTAGCCCCATTTGTATAGGACATTTAAAAGCAATGGAGCCCGGAAAGGCGAGGACAAGTGCTTCGCCGCCATAGGTTAGAATGGTGGTGTGACATAGAGCGTGTAACAGGGAAAGGAAGAATTCTCGCGGCTTTGAAGTAGCTCCATCCATGGGGAGCCTTCAAAACCGCCCCTTGCCAGGAACCAACTTCCCAGGAGTCTGTATTTCCTGAGAAAACAATATTTTGCGGCCTTCGGCAGAAATCTAATCCAAATATCAGTGCTGCGCTTATGGTTGTCCCAGAAGTTACCGTGACTTGGGGTACCCAGTGTTCCACCCCAGCGATGATCTCAATGTGAGATAGCCATCTCAGATTGTATCAGCTGTGGCATTGTTGGAGGCGATAAGGTATTCCCATGGTGGCATTACCCCGAGGAATATACTGATTGATAGCCGCTATTACATTAAACTAAGGAATTTTGGGGAGACTGTCCTCACAGGGGACTAGTCACAGCGTGGTGCACAGCCTTTACGTTCTATTTGCTTTGAGGATAGGCGACCGTCGAAGCGAGCAGTATTTATGCCATTGGGCGGACACTTTACTATCTTCATGGATATACTCCCAGCGACTGGGTTGGATCAGATACAGCTGGGACCATCCGCAACCTTTCCTTTCCGGCCGTGGGTGACCCGGCACCTCCAATACAATTCCATCTCTCACTCGACTCCGACATGCAGAGCCTTTTCTCGACACGGGTTTCGTAGAGTTAACTTCTTGTTACTCTCTGTGTATGTGTCCCCACGATATAGGGGTGTCGTGTGCCTTTCCGAGTCTTCTTCGTTCACAGACGTAGGAGGCCTAAATGTTACGTGGTGCTTTTCATGGAATCAAGGCTTAGCTGAAATTTTGATAGAAACTGTACTTCATACATACGACTAATTCTACTCCGTACTAATCACTGGTAACCATTGCCGTGTCCATAAGTTGAAGAGAAGTGTGTAGCCCATCGAGTCCATGAATGGGACAACGATTTAGTCATTTTCCAGGCAGCATGAACAATCCAGCTCTCAGACGATACCATATTTTGGTCCGTATGTCTCTCTTTCGCAATAAATGAGGTTGCTGTATGAGACCGGAATATAGATCCCTTTTTGCCGCATTTGACTTGTTGTCTCGCACATTCATGAGCTAATGGAGGTTCGGCGGATGGGTTGGAGTTGGGTCCCAGAAACGCTAAATTTTCGTGGACAGAAAACACCCGCTTCCATCTGGGCATTATTCCGAACCTCCCAAGTTCAACTCTCCGACGCCGACAGTTTACACCCCATCAACAAGCCTCTTGCGGGCAAATCGCGGCGCCATGATACGCTCTTCAATTGCGCCGAGCCGTCAGCTGCTTTCACCCACCACCGGCCGCCAATGGCTCCAATCTTCGCGGGTCCGAGGAGGACTTGTTGGCAAGGTAGTTCATGCTCGCCCTCTCTGCCGGCAAAGGAGGCTGTTGGCCATTGCCTTGTGAATTATTTCGTCATGCTAAGTACTTCTACAGAAACATTATTCTAGAACGAGAAAAGCTCCGGTTATTTCCAAGGCGATTCCTACCCTTGATGGTGTCGTGTTGCCGGTACGGGGAAACAATGCATTCACGACGAGCGCAATACTCGCAAACGATTCCCACGTTCGATCACCCCCATCTCCATCGTCAGAATCAGCAATTGCGCCTGAGGGCGTGCCGCGGCCACCACAGTCTCACCCCGTTCAAACTTCGCCCGGTTCTTCTGTAGACGGCCGTGCTCAACCTCCCCCGGAGACAAACACGCCACCGCCCCCTCCGCCTCCTGCACCCAAAAAAGGTGGAAGGTTCAGACGGTTCTTGATCTATCTAATCTTTACTACTGGACTCGCCTATGCCGGAGGTATCTGGCTTTCTCTTACATCCGATAACTTCCATGACTTCTTTACCGAATATGTCCCGTATGGTGAGGAGGCTGTGTTATATGTGGAAGAACAGGATTTCCGTCGCCGGTTCCCCAACGCTGCCCGACAAATCACCCGGCGTGTGACAGGACCTCGGGAAGAGGGACAAAATGTGACTATCCCCGGCAAGAGTGGGCTCTCATGGAAGGTCTCTGAGGAAGAGAGCGAGGCCAAAGAAGCAGGAAGCGATGTGTCTCGGAAAGGCAAACACATGAGCGCAACGGAGGTCAACAAGGAAAAGACTGCTGCCGTTGAGCAAGTCAAAGCTAAGAAAGAGGCCGCACCTGCAATCAAGAAGGAAACCACACCGGCTGAAAGCAAGAAACCAGCTCTGGAAGAAGCTAGGTCCCCGGCTTTGCCAACTGCTAGTCCCGTTCAGCCTCTTTCCATCGCCATCGAGGACGAACCTACGGTTCAGGAGCTTATGAGGATCGTAAATGATCTCATTTCTGTAGTAAATGCTGATGAGTCATCTTCTCGGTTTACATCTACGCTTTCAAAGGCAAAGGCGGATTTCGAAAAGCTTGGGGAACGTATCATTGCGGCAAAACAAGAGTCTTATAAGTTTGCCCAAGAGGAGATTGAAAAAGCTCGAGCAGATATGGAAAAATCCGCCAATGAGTTGATTCGGCGCATCGACGAAGTCCGTGCTGACGATGCTGCCCAGTTCCGTGAGGAATATGAGGCCGAACGTGAGAGATTAGCCCGTGCCTACCAAGAAAAGATAAAGATCGAACTTCAGAGAGTTCAAGAGGTCTCTGAGCAAAGGCTCCGGAACGAGCTCGTCGAGCAGGCGATAGAATTAAACCGCAAGTTCCTCAGTGATGTGAGATCCCTGGTCGAGAATGAGCGAGAAGGACGTCTCAGCAAACTTTCCGAACTGACAGCAAACGTGGGCGAACTTGAGAGGCTGACCGCGGAATGGAACAGCGTTGTTGATACTAACTTAACGACGCAGCAACTTCAAGTTGCAGTGGACGCTGTTCGCAGCGCCCTCGAAAACTCTGACATTCCCAGACCGTTTATTAATGAGCTTGTTGCTGTGAAAGAACTCGCTGCTGGTGACCCAGTTGTTGATGCTGCTATCTCGTCGATCAGCCCCGTTGCCTATCAACGCGGTATCCCATCCTCTGCTCAGATTATCGAAAGATTTAGACGTTTAGCTACCGAGGTCCGCAAGGCAAGTCTTTTGCCTGAGAATGCTGGTATCGCAAGCCACGCAGCTAGCTACATGATGAGCAAGGTCATGTTCAAAAAGCAGGGCTCAGAGGAAGGGGATGATGTAGAAAGCATTCTCACTCGAACTGAGACCCTTCTCGAAGAGGGTAGACTCGATGATGCCGCACGTGAAATGAACTCATTGCAAGGATGGTCCAAGATACTGAGCAAGGATTGGCTCGCGGATGTGAGAAGGGTTTTGGAGGTTAATCAGGCTCTTGAGGTAAGATATCGCTCTACATGCACCACTCCAATCAATACATGCGGAACTAATGCTGACTGATCCGATATGTAGCTTATTGAAACCGAAGCTCGTCTCCGGTGCCTTCAGGTGGAATAGGCGATTTAGTCTCGCCAGGTTCCCGCCTTTGTATTGTAAACCTACCGATCCTTCCCTGCAATTTCCTAGATAAAAGATGTTTAGACCTCGAATCTTGCAATGAATTCCTTGTAAAATACACTGATCTGGTACCCTAGTGCTGCGCCTTGTTTGGACGTTTGGACTGTTTGCTCTCCATCGTTGTTTGTCATGTTTGCACCCGATCGTTTGGCGCTGTTTCTACGCACGGACCTGCAAGCCACGTAGACAAGACATCACTTCATCCGACAAGGATCAGGAGAATGATGAGAGCTTGCAGGACGCTGCGAATCTGCTCCTAGGACCCCAGCCCTCCTACAATAGACACTCATACTACAGAATATACAGCTAAGCCCCTGCTGTCATATCACAGCATTTGTAGATGCTGCATGAGATTTGCTCACCCATCATGACCACGTGTCTGCTTGTGACAACGATAGGCAAGGAGCATGTATGAATGAGAAGCAAAGCCCACACCGATGTTCACCTCAAGCAGCCAGCCTGCCAGGGAACAACATGAAATCTACACTCCGTCATAGCTTTGATATGCCAATTGAGGATGAATCCGCACGCAGGACAGGTAGTCCCTTGGAACGTCGACCGTCACAAAGAAGACATAGAAATCAAGGCAGCAGCAGCTTTCGACTAGGGTCAGCCTTCAGCACTGCCAGAAGTTTGAATCCCAGCCCCCAAGCTAGCCGGCAAACAGAGCATCGTCAAGCAAGCAAGCGACCTAGCAACGAGCCCCAGTTGCTGGTTAAAAAGAGACAACCCCAGGGATGGGGAGGCCAGCCCAGCGCACAGCATGAAACCTCACTTAGCCACCCGCATGGCCATCCAGATGCAGGCCAGTCAGTTAATGCGGGTAGTTCCCAGGATGGAGACAAAGCGAGCAGCAGTACCCCCTCGGAACCCGGACTATCGAACAGTGGTCGTCCCCATGGCTCGACTTTGATAGGACTTGATACGGATCCAGCCCAGATTGTCAACCTTGCACTTAGTCTAGGCGAGTCTCGCCGGCGAACGATGGGCGGACGGACCGTGTCCGGAGGCATTCCGCGTGATAGACGTTTGTCAGCGTGTAGCCCGGTACCCGAGACCCGAATTCTGCCGCCACGAGACGACGACAGACAGTCAAAACGCCAAGGTTCAACGTCGCGCTCGTTGCTGCCAGCTCCGTTTCTCGACCGTGGGAGTTGCGAGTTGGAATTCTCCGAGCTATCTGCGGGGACAATTGCGAGAGCGGACAAAGCGAGGCAACATTTTGAGCTCTTTGCTGAGTATTTACGTTTACTCACTTCTCTCCCCCCGCTGCAGTCCTCGACGAGTCTTACGAAGCAAGGAGACCCATCTGCTGGTCTTAGGTCTTTCGCCCGAGGAAGAGTCTATAACCCTCTCCAATACATACGCAATCGGAAAGTGAGGTTTCGCGAAAGGACCGCGATTAATTCAGAGGAAGAGGGCTGGGAGAATGTCGATAGAGTCCGAAACTGGGTGGATGGTGTGGTTAGTGCTCTTGATGAAGGGGAATACCAGCCTACCGAGTGTGTTCAATTACCCCCACTCAATACTCCCGCTGGGACCTCAGAGGAACCCCAGGAGTCATTTTCAAGCCCTGGCCGCATAAACACCAACGATACTACGAAACCACGTCGCCCTCGGATGGACTGGGTCTTCACCCCGGCCGATCTATTGGCCGATGCAGCTTGGGTTGAGGCCGGCCGGAATAAGCTTAAACTCGAAGATAAAGATGGAAATAAAGTGTTTCCCGCGGATACCAAATTAAAATCCATCCAATTGACATCACATGGTCCTTCGCCAGAGCTCCGTCCGACTGGTATATCATACGACCCAGTTTGCTCCACCGGACGGTTACGAAGTTTTACATCTATCGGATCCAGAGGATCATCCAATATAAATAGAGGCCGGCGAATACAGAGATTTGCGCACTCTATCCATCTTACGCCCCGCCACGGCCATCCTAGGGATAACAGCAAATCAGGCTGGCGACATGCTTTGAGTCGGTCGAGGAGCTCTTCCGGATCCTTGCAAAATAAGGATGACCATAGTTATTTCATCGAGGATTTCACAGGACGCGAGGATACTCCTTGCCGACAAAATGTGATGGATGGCTTGCTGCCTCCTCTGGATACCAGCATGAGCGAATCAAAATCTCCACTATCTCACCACCGCTACGCGGGATCTATTTCCTCTGCCGATTATAATTCCGACAAAGCCATCCTACGTGCGTCCTTCGAAGACGATGACGTAGTCAGACGGACGCCTTCTGAAAAACCGATGTTTCCGAGTATAACGGCTAATCTCTCTCCTTCAGTAAGTCGAGAGGCTTCACCGAGTAGACGACACCACTTGTCACCTCGCGCCTCCCTTGATCGTCAAAAAACCAAGAAGCAGAAGACCAATGTCGATTTGCCATACTCCCCTGGTGATCCGTTCCGTGTTGGAGCGACATCAAGTTTAGAACTAGAACGAGTCGGATCTCCTGGGCCAACTTTTCCAACACAATTTTCTCGCCATGGAACACACAGTTCGCCTGAAGGAGGCAAAGGTGGAAAAGAGCCGGATCAAAAGCGACGTGGGCTATTCAAAGGTGGCAGGATTGCTGAATTGGTAGGGAACGAGGTGTCTAAGGTTGGCGACTTGATTCGGAAAAAAGATCCTTCCAGTCATTCACGCCAGTCTTCATCCGCATCTAGCGTTTCCGAATACGTAGATGCCGATGATGATACTGGTCATAGCAAACGAAGACTGAAACTGAGATTGACTCGACTCCCAACGCAAGACCAGACACCTGAACTTTCAAAGCATAGTATTCCTCACCTTCCCACCTTCACATCATCTCTGAAACATGGCGCTATGTCTCCCGGATCCACGCCACCCAGTGTCCCAAATGGTAGTTCGCCGCCAAAGCCGGATGCGCTAGAGGATTTTAGTCAACCAGGGCCCGCCGGAAGGATGAAAAGTCCCGATACTGGACTATTAATTGATCATAAAGAAAGCTTCTCGTCTGGCCAAAATTCGAAGTTGCGGAAGGAAACGCCCCATCTGCCACAAAAGGATGATAATACTCCCGTCTATAACGTCGCATTTCCTGCGCCAAGCAGGCCCAAACTGTCCGAAGCTACTCGTAACTGGAGTCTTTCATCCCACAGCATTCCGAAATACTCCCAGTCCCATCGCATCAGCAAAGCCGAGATCGTCCGTGTCCGAGCCCATCTGCTCTCTACAGGCGTAAAGGCCCAAGAAATATGTCGACATGCCAACACACCTCCATCAGCGTTTACTTTCAACCCACTTTATACTGGGTCCCCTGACGACCGACTTAACCCTTTGCCGTATATAGGGGACCAGAAACTAGCCACAGAAGCCAGTAAAAAATTACTAACAGCCTTCGATGACAGGGTTAGTCATGTCCAAAGCTCGATCATCAAATTCTCGGAATCGGATCTCCCAAGCTTAACCCGTGACCTTGACTGCTTGGACCGACTAATTACTTCATCTCTCAACTGTCGTCTTCGTGGAGTGAGCACTGAAGCGGAACATCTCACTGGCCAGCTTGCAACCACAAGTACTCTGGCCATCAAGCAGCTGCACGATGCATTGGACAAAGGAATCCGCAAGCGAAATCGCAGATTTCGCTGGGTTAGCCGGGTAGGCTATGTGCTTCTTGAGTGGGTGCTCGTTGGGGTGATGTGGTGGGTTTGGACTATCGTGATGATGTGGAAGCTTCTCAGGGGTATCTGGAGAGGCAGTGTAAGTGGCATTCGATGGATTCTTTGGCTTTGAAGTCCATCAGAGTAATGTCGAAAGTTGAGGCATATCCCTTGAAGCAAACTCTCAAAGGACCATGTTAGAGATCGCTTTGTGTTTTCTTTCCCTCTCAGAGCCCCATTTTTCTCCAGACTTCCTTTCTTGCGCAGTACTGCTATAGATACCCTCATAAAGCATCCCCTTATCACTTTATTCTGCCCTATAATCTTACTTTGATGTTACCAGATGATAATGGTGCCGATCCAGTTTTGCGGCAACTTTCCCCCTATCAGTTCATTAACCAAGGACTTATAACCTTTCCTTTCTACCCTCATAACAGTTACAGTTTATATCATGGCCTGAAAGATCACATTCATTATATCCTTTGCTATATGCCTCACCATGCATGCCTCCTTTGCCAGGCCGGCAGGTCCCAGACTTAACACCATTTTAACTGCACAAACTTCCTTACATCTATCAAGTACAAAGCATGACAAAGTGATTGCTTCACGCAAACACAATATATTTCCACGTTTGAATATCACATGCAAAGGGATGTTCCTAGCAATGTGCTCACTAAGTGAGACATACAAAGGGTGATGAACTGTTCCTTCATCTCAGTTCAAAAGCCAATATCTGTTTCCTCAACAGAAATCAAGCTGTCTTTCAACTATTCGAACTCGAAACATTTTAGACCTGTCCGCTTTATCCATTACACCATCTTATCTCTAGGTCCTTTTCTTTCCTTTTTTTTTTGCTTTTTTTTTTACAGTACAAGGCAGCATTGGCCTATTTACACACTCAGCACGACATCCAGAGCTATAACGGGCCCTCATACGATTGAAATAACGCTAATTTGCATACTACTTATAAGTGATGCCCAATCTGGAAGACACTAAAGGCCGGGATATGTTGAAGCACGCCTTTAAAAACCCCTTTTCATGGCTGTCAAAGTCAACGGGTTCACAGGAGCCTAAGAGCGCTAAATGTGAGCCTCTCACCTCTGACAATGCTATCTTTACATGGAAAACTTATCAATCCTAGCGGCAGATCAAACTAACGCCAACGAGATGCCAAGTGTTTCCAATCAAGGCATGGCATCTAGCCAAAGTCCAGCTCCTCCACCGGTTCACCGGGCTTTTGACGACCAGGAAATTCCTCCTCCTTCATGGCAGCTTATTGACCGGCTAGTTAGAGGTGGTGTATACCTTGAAATCGAAAACATCAACTCCCGAGAGAGAGCACGAGTCCGCGGACTTGTAGCAGAAAAAATCGATAGCGGGATGTCTGGCACAGAGATAGGAAGGTTCATCGTTGCGCAATTCCGACAAAATGATCAAGGGCTCGGCCATATCATCACACAGATGGCAGACAGGCAATTCTCATACACAGACATTGCACTTGCTACCATGGAGATCCTTGGCCTGATAGACTTGAGAGAAGATCTTCCAGGACTCCCTCGGCAGCCGATTTTAGGTGGAGAACGTCTTTACTACGCGCGTGAAGTTGCCCAGCAAAACCAGCAAGTTCCGAGCACGGCAGCTCATGACTTGACAATATGCCAAAGGAGAGGAGGATCTCGACCACATCTTCCACTACGTACCAACCACACGAGACTCGCGACTGGGGAAGGAAGACGAAATATGACCGCTGCTTCCATTCGATCTGTGCAGCCCGCAACCTACGATGAAGATCCCCCGCTGCTACGCCCTGCTACTCTCGAACGAATTAGGCGAGGACACCCATGATTCGAAGCTGGGTTTTGGGTGTACTACGAGCTTCTTGACTTTTCTTATTCTAACCTCATTGCCCACGTCTTTTCAGTTTATATTTTACTTAATCTCTTATCTCTTCATCTTTGGTTTTGCAACTACAATTTGTCCAGCTTCGATACCCTTGTGAGATACCCGCAAGCATTGTTTACTCTTAATGATAATAGTGTCCTACTCTTATCTATCTTTAATTGTGGGCTCTACTCTAGATGGACCTTGATTCTCAGGAGCCTTGCCTTTGTACACTGGTTAGTACATAAGCTGTGCTTTAACATGCTTAATATATAGTGGCTAATATAGAACCTAATATAAAGAGCCCAAGATAGTGGTTCCACTCCCTCAGGATCAAATCCTCAGAGGCCCTCATTGTAGACCAATGTTTATGCATTAGAATGCCATAAATCCTCTCCTTTGGGACTCGAAGCTGAACCGGTGCACATCATGTAGGCTTGCTACCCCATAGAAACCTCCTTCTCCCTCAACCACCAGAAATTGGCATGAGACAGGGCACTTAAAAAGGACTGATATTTCGGATACCTAGCTCCTATCTAAAGATCAAATTTGTAGGGGACCACTCAGCCGCTTCTTTGCCCCTATCTAAGAGGCCATGGTAACCCGTAAACCCCCCATTTCATCCAAGACAGTATGTAGGAAGCAGAGCAGCTCTTGGAGGGAAGCAAAAATACCCAGCTCATGTGAAAGGGTAAACAAGGTGTAACGCGGTAGGATTCGTGAGCAACAGAACAACGGCATGTCCCGTGCCAGTTAGTATTTCCTCTGAACGCCTCCTTAACAAGTGAAAATAATCTCCTCCTTTCATCTGCAGGAAACCTGCCCGAGAACATCTCCTTATCACTGCCCTAACTGCATCTTCTCTCACCCTTCTACCTCCATCCTCTCTCTCTGTCTTCCAGCATCAAAGCCTGGCCCCTAAAATCTCGGGAAGATACCTGCTTCACCAGGACATACGCCATGCAAGCTACCTCTAGCAAAGAAGCGATCGGCCAAGAGAGCAAAAACAGGCCTCAGTCCCTCCGCCATTTCGAGACAGCTGGGAAGAAACTCAAAGTCGAGAACCTCAGAACCATCCTCAATCGAATCTTTAGGCTGCAAACGAACCGTTTGCGTGCCACCTCTGAGACTGGAGACTCTCGAGACTTTCAAAAACTGGTAGCAACATTCAAAAAGCAGAAGTGTTGCTCCCTCAAAAGAATCATCAAAAAGATGCGCAAACGTGCTGTTCCTAAGCCTCTAGTAAAGCTTCGACCAACTCAGGGTCCTACCAACAACATGAACGAGGAGAATGACGATGAACCCCCTCTGCTTGCATTGTGTTCTCACACATCCACGCAAGATGAAAGAGACAGACTCCGCAAAAAGCACGAAGAACTCAAATACCATGAGCGAGACCAACAGCGCCAGCGCCAGCAGGAAGAGCGTGACAACGTCAACCCCGCAACTGAAGAGCAAGTGGTATTGCTGGCACGGCGAGAGCAAGAAGCCCCGAATCCTTTCATCACCAGCCCCGTTCTCGTCCCTGCAATCGAAGAACCTGAACTTCAAGTTTGGTCCAAGGGCCTAAACAAAAGGCCATATCGTTCGGCGGATCCTACAATGCTCAACCCGACCTGGGCACCGAAGAGAGATTCTCCGAGCCCTCTGTGGCCTCTGTGCCCTCCAAGACGCTCCGCCTCGCGAAGACCAAGGAATGGCTGGAGCGAGGAAGATTTTGCGTTCCGAGACCTGCTGCGTAGCATGCTTGACGATGAAACACTAGAACGGGTCCTTAGAGAAGATGCTGCCACAGAAGAGGGAGAAGCTGCTGCTGCTTCAGCAAGCAGCAAAATGGAAAACGAGAAATTAAGAGAAATCATGTATGAAATGGTGGACAATGTAGTTGACAAAACTGTGGATGAAGTTCGCCGCGTGGAAGCAAGAAGCAGGAAGCGGAGGTTGTCAAGGGACAGCGAAGCAGGGAGGAATAAAGTGACAGCTTCACAAGCAAATGGTGAATCGGAGAGCACGGGCAGTCTCACTGCCCTCCACAGTTGTGAGCCAAAAGAGATCAATGAACTGTTGCACGGCCTGCTTAATGACCTCTTGGAAATTGTTATTGCTGATGAGGTAGACCTGAGTGACGATGTTCGCCAAAGGGTTAAGGAAATAGTGTTATTCCGGAAAAGAAAATTATTTGGAACAGAGGAATGAAGTCTCTGGGGGGATGAACTTTGTGATGACGCCGACTAAGCACGCATAGTTAGCAGTTCACCTGGGCTATGAAAAAGTCCATGAGATACTTTCAATAAGTAACATGAGGATGAAAGAAAGCAAGCATGAAAGCCTGATACATATCTAAGGGATATGTTACTAGACCTGGAGTAAAGCCTGTACAATAACATCCTGCATTGCCCAATAACAATAACAAATTTCTCTGTGGCTGCATCCCATGCATGACTCGGACTTCACCCCTTCCTCACGCATAGACTGCTTTATTTTGCTGAATGTGAGCGTGTAAGTGACCGAGTGCCCAAAGCTGACCCGAACCTAGAGCCAGAGCGGCTGCGTGACATGCGGTCAACAAGGGGCGGAAATGAAGTAGGTGAAGGCTCAGATACAGCAGTGCCCAGGACTTGCTTCGAACCAGGTACAATCTTTAATATTTGCGCGCCTCCCTGTGTCTGAGGCGAGCAAGAAGCATCAGCTGCTGCCAAGTCCTGGTTTGGTGACGGGGCTCCAAATACTAGTTTATTTAGAATTTCGGCATTCCGAGCTTGAATGCTGCTTTTATCACCCGGATGCCTCGTTTGTATCAACCCAGCACCTTCTGCGCGGTCTTTTGCATGTGGTGTTAGGGGCGGAAATTTTGTCTGCGACTCGGCTTGCTGCCTTTGCCGAAGAAACTTTTTCCGAAGCCACTGCATTTTCGAAATCTTCACGGGAAAGGCGTTCGGGAGGTTAGGCTCATAATAGACGGGCATAGACTCACAGACATGGCCCACAGGGTCCCCCTTTTCCCTAGGATCCGCAACTATATAGGGTGCATCTCTGCTCATTATAGGGTAATTCAGTTGGGAGTAAAAGTCTAGCGGTATCAAAATGCTACCATTACGGTGCAAAACATCGTTTCCTGCCGCTAAGCTCTCTTTCCGTTTCGGGGGGATGACAACCTGTCCTGTGCTTGGGTTGGTGATGGCCTGGCTTCCATTGCCATACATTGGGTGACACCGAATATATTTTCTGAAGTTCGCCTCTATGGTCACGCAGCAAAGAGGTAAGAATTTGATGGCATTAGTTGAGGTGGGCCAAGTTGTAGTTGCATATCGAGGCTTGAACCCACTCCTGGGTGTGAAAGGGTAAACCGGGGTAGAAGTGTCGATTCTGATACAGGAAGCCCAAAGATCTGGATACAGTCGAAGAACCAGATAAACGTCCCCAAACGCTATCTTAAAGGAGTCTTCGCGTGATTCGTCGTCTTTGCAAGGAACGGTGTCTCCAATGCAAATAACACGGCACCCACTTCGAATCGCGAATCGGTTTCTCGAACCCGGAGAGGCCCTAATATCTCGATACGATTCAAGATATCTCATGCCGACCAGGCGCTCAGTGTCCCATAGCAGCTCTTCTTGCACGACTGGGGGAACAGTCTCCTGTGGCGGGTCGCGAGATGCCGCTAAATTGTGCATGCATTGTGGACATAGACCACCGTTCCCACTTCCAGAATCCAGTGCCTGACGGTGTCTAGCTAGTGGACTAGAGTTACCAGTATTCCTCTTTCTGGGCTGGCCCGACATCTTTTCGGGTTGGATCTGATCTGAATTTGGCAGATTTATAGAGTCTGTGGAGCCACCATGTACTGAGTTTTGGTGAATCGCAACATGGGAGGCAAGCGATACCCCAATAGAGGTCTCTGGGGAATTACTTGCAACTGCTGAGACACCTTGTTGCTCTGAAACTGCCATTGGACTGATAGTGTCGGCTGGAAAATTCGGGAGGGCTAACCTTGGTGAATCCGGTAGTTCGTTGGAAGGCTCTGCTAAACCCTCCTCGAGGTCTGTTCGTCCAACAACTCCACCACCGGAGGGATATCGCAGGTCGATATCGTCACTACGAGACAAACCAGCGCCGTCGCCACCGGTGCCGCCCAGCAGCAAAACCGGAGGACGATGGAAATATATACCCCGACGCCTGTTCTCTAATAAGGATTGCGCTAGCGAATCTGAGACAGGAGTGCTTCCTTCGCTCTCGAGGAACGTTCTGGCTGGCGGAGTAACCGGCCCAGCGACCCTTGGGGCACAGCTTGGGTGCGAGTCGTCAGAAACATGATTCCGCGCTCTTTCATGATCTGTGACTCCCTGATCCTGGCATGAAGATTCGCTTTCTGACGTGCTGTAGGCCGATTGGGTTGCCAGATCCATGGACAATCGTGGCCACGCACCGAGTTCGTCTGTTGCAGGCTCAGGCTCTCATAAAACCGCTTCTGCGCTTCGGAGAGAAGCGTCTTCAGAGCACCGCGAGTGGAGAGAAGAGGGGATCAAAAGTATATCAGTAAGCTCTGTTGAATGCGAAATGCACGAAATGATCAATACGATTATATAAGGAGGCGAACGGTGCTGGCAACGCAGGAAAAAGAAGGACAAGCGTGCCATCGCACATCTCGGCCATCATCCAGATCGCTCAAAGAAGGCCAACGTCGTGGAAGCGGCGATGGGTGGCCGTCCAGCAGCCGACCGGGAGGCAAGGGCTACTGTGAATCCATTTCACCGGCTGCATCTTCAGAAGCAAAGCCACCAGGAAGATGGCCATGAAGACGAGCGGCCACTCCTACGTTGCGGATGACGATGGAAAAGATAGTCGTTCGGTTGGTGTTGTCTGAGGATTCACCATTATTCAACTGATTCGAGGCCGGCGGCGTCATGGGCCCGAGACCCCGGTTGGCGCCCTGTCGCATACGCCACCGGCGTCGTCCAAAGCCAATCGTTACTTAACTACTCCGTGCAGATGAGATCAAGCGGAGTGCCGTGGAGAAGCGAGCGCCCTTTAGTAAAACTTTCGTATTAACTAGTGAACATGGATCGATCGCTGGCGAGGTAAACGCAGCAAACCTCGGCTGGATGTCTGATTAGAAAACAAGTCTCACCACTTTTGTCCCCTCAGACACCAACCAGCCACCTCAGCGGCTCGACCCCTCTGTATATACAAGAATATATAAATTACCTGGACTGCTTCATTGCCACCGACGTCGTCGCCCGAGACATGATCAATCACGGCGCGAGGATCAGACTAGTATCTACAATGGCTGCTCCCAAGATTACGCTATACGTCGACGTCGTCAGCCCCTTCGCGTACCTTGCATACTATATCACACGAGTAAGTTGAGGCAAAAGGTTCCGATCCCAGTATCGTGTATTAGAAGCTAATAATACTGCTCTGTAGCATTCACCCGTGTTCGCAAAATGCGAAGTGTCCTATATACCCGTCTTGCTGGGTGGAATCATCAAGGCAACAAATAATAACTCGCCACTATACATCAAAAGTATGGCTCCCCCAGTTGATATGCAGACAGTAACACATTGCCTATACTCCGTAATTATATGCTAAACAACCAAATAATATAGACAAAGACAAATGGATCAACGTCGAGAGACTCCGGTGGTCTCGCTATTTCAACGTTCCCGTCACGGAGGGGACAGTCAAGGGATTCCCCATCCAGACGTTGGCGGTAAGAGTTAAACATTTACCTTCTCAGAGTGTATTAATTCTATGTCCAGTATCCAAAAGGAAAAGGATGTAGATCCCGCTTGGAAAAATATGTACGATGATAACGTATTCTGATCGAGTTTTGCAATAGGTGCAACGAGCCCTTTGTTCAGTGGCCGCCGAAACTCCAAGCAAATTAGTGCCCTGCCTTGATGCACTATATAAGTCGCTCTGGGTCGAAGGAAACCCAGATGTCGGTAAGCCAGAAGGCTTCACGCCAATTTTATCGCAGGTGCTGGGGGAGGAGGCCGCTGAAGAGGCCGTTCGAAAGGTATGAACTCAGGGAGAGCAGTCCCTGGGCCTCGAAGCTTAAGCTGACCAGTGATCTCCAAAGTCTACCACGGAAGAAGTGAAGAAAATGCTCCTGGCAAACACCGAAAGAGCTGTCACTTCTGGCGCTTTCGGCCTTCCTTGGATAGAATGCACCAACTCCGAAGGAAAGGTTGAGTCTTTCTTCGGTGTGGACCATCTTGGGCAAGTCTCCGCCTTCCTTGGACTAGAAATATCCTCGGATAAGGGCTTCCGTTGCGTCTTGTAAGTTGCGATGTCCAAATTCGAACTTTTCGCTCAGAGACCGGGCTGCAGTCTTTGGGGTAGTTCTCGGTGCTAGACGAAAGTCCTATATCATAACCTGGTTCATGAGTATTTAAACCATTCTCCGGTTGAAATAGACCATGAATTCTCAGCTTTTTGTTTTTTCAACTCCACTGAAAGCGTAGCTACCTTCCTGACACATGGAAAAGTTTGGTGTCCATTGTTGAGCAACTGAAACATGTGACCGCATTTGCGCAGGCCATAGACGAGTCTTTGGTCCGATTTTCTATTCATGCATATTCGAAGTGCGTGGACGCTCTAAGCAAATCCCATATTGTATAAAACGCTCAAGAGCTAGATCTAGAGCGCAAAGATAGAGCCGTTATAAAATCAATCAAGAGCTTCATTATTCAATGTCCGTTGGCTGAGGCTTGGAGGGCGGAGATGCAATACTAGTGTCATCAGGTCCATCGCCCGGGATGGCATCCGGGATAGAAAGAGGTGTTGAATCAGGAACAGAGAACTCCTGGCTAGACGGCAGAAGTTTATCCTGAGCGGGAGTCTCCTGCAGAAGAGAATGTTAGACGCCGTGAGCAATATGGATGATGTTCACTACCTCAAGTTTTCCGCCATTGACACTCAAGCCTCTCCGGCGGGCGAGCCTCTGTGCAGCCTGCCGTTTCCGTTCTATTTCCATCTCTTCTTCCATTTGCACTTGTTCTTCCTCCCGTTGTAAATCTGCAATGGAAGGAACAGGGAGGGCTGCTTGATCGATCGTATTCACACCAGAAGACGCTTTAGATGATTTCTTGGAGGCAGTGGTATTTCTTCTCGTTCCGCGTCTTCCTTTCCCTTTGCCAGTGTGTCTGGATCCCCCCGAGGTGGAGGTTCCCGATACGGACCTCCGAGGCCAGGCAGATTCGTCTCCAAGGTTGGTGGGTCTTCGTTCAAGTGCCATGGCAAATTCGTCGCTCAGAGGGACTGCATCTTCTTCCTCATCGCCAAGAATAAGATCACCCCGTGAGCTTAGCGAGGTGCTAGTGCCTTGTGACGACTGCGTACTGCTTCTCTGTCTGGTAGCAGCATCTCCACGGTCCGCTTTCTGCGCATTCTCGTCACTTTCCTCGCTACCTTCCAAGAGGGGCTCGTTCTCGAGTGTGTTTCTCTTCAGACCACCAGGGTTCTCCTGCATATCAGCCGCGGACGGCCTGTACCTTATCCCTCGAGCCCCTATTCGCCATGGAAAGCGTTGCAAGAACCCGAGAAACGACGAACTCGGGATCACCGTCGGATCCTGTCTCTCATCGGGCTGTAGGATGGAATTTTTCCTGCGCCCACCACGCGCGCCATAACTCATACGTCGGTTCCTGCGCGGCTGGTCACGACTTCCACTACTCCCCGCAAGTAGTCTGTCCAGCTCATCGTTTCCCCACCCTAGGGGTTGATCACCCATCACATCTTCATCGTAGTCCCAGTCATCGTAAAAGTCGAAATTCAGCTCAGCTCTCCCCCTCGACGCTCCGCGCTTCCGACGACGCAAGACATCGTCTCGGCGGGGGAAGCATGACGCGGTGCATGTGCCTATGCAATCACGGATTGAAGCGAAGCAGGGGGCTAAGTAGTTGTGAGAGAAGGCATATATCTCCTCCTGGGCGGTTTCATTTGCAGACTCGATGTTTTGGGATATCTGGTTGATGGTTTGACGGATTCGAGGGTCTCTTGGGTGCATGGTCACAGGTGATAGCACGGTTTAGGGAGGTGCCAGTGGTCCGTGGCCGGATTAAGATGGATAAATGGGGTGTGGTGGACGCATTGAATAGGAGTCGAGTATATGTGTGCATCTGAAGCGTGGTTGATAGTGCCTGTCGTGGAGATGGGTGGTTTTGAAACACAAGCCTGACGGGATGTTCCCCAAGCGGCAGTGCGGTCCGCCCAACCCCAGAGTCAACTGGCCGCAAACCCACGAACTCCTGCACGTTACGTCAGACGCCAAGTGGCTTCGCCAAGCCTCGCAAATTGCATGAACCCACCAACCAGAGGCAGTTTATACTTTGCCGAAGAGCATCATTAGGTAAGCAAGGGCTGTAGGTTGCTCGTTGGTCATGAACTTGGTCGTTGATCTCGATCGAGTCGGCTCATCATTGTTAACAGCCTTGTCTGTTCTACTGGATGATACATAGTGCAAAGAGCCAGTGAGCCTCTTCTGGGTGATTGTTGCCAGCAGAAAATCTGGCTCTCAGTGTCTGCTGCGACGCGCTAATCACATGTATCACCACGGCCTGGGCTACAATCCCCTCATGCTAATGCGAAGACCTTGGGTCAATGGTTGTTTTGAGTAAACTGCCTTGTCCGTTGCCATTTTTCCTTACCTCTGTCTTCCATTCTTCATCTTCTTTTTCTCCCTCATTCATCGTCAATAATTTCAGTTTATATTTCTACTTTGCTCAGCCCCAAGGGGCACAAGAAACCTTGGATGCGCGAAAGGAATAGAGTAAACTCTTTTGAGTACAGTTTTTCAAACAAACTTTCATCCAAGAGAATACGGTTAATCTACTCCGTAACCCTGACACGAAACCAAGGGCCAAGTGTTGAGGCTGCTAGATGATTCGACATCTTGTTTATGTATTGTTCCTTCTCTTCATTTTCTCCAGCTTGTATTTTTGTGCACTCTATCTATACAGAGCACCAGCAGCAATATAATATGCAGCTTACCACTTGTTAATCAGTGCTGTCATAAAAAGCGATTGTTGGATTAAGGTTGATCTATCATAAATAGGTCCAACCTTAAAACCAACATGTCCCCTCATTACCGGCCAAACTAAGGCCCAAAACCCTGCTCACAAATGATAAGGACGCTGATACGCGAAATATATGTGACAAATTAAATGTCAGTTTGGTGAGTTCACAGGTGGTAGGCGAGTGAAACCCTAAACTCGACGAGATTCCATGGCTTGGAACTGGGCTGAAGCCCATAAGCCAACCAAACCAGACAATCGAAGGTCTCAAATCTCACTAAGAGGAGTTGAGATCCGGATATGAGTGATCGAGTGAAGGGCAAAGAGAAATACCAGAACAGAGCTCAAGCCTCAAACTGGTATGGCGACACTTGAAGGCCTAGATCTGGCACCAGAAGTAAATCAACAAGGGTAGCAGTTGTGCCCGTAAAGCCCCGTCCCTCATACTCGCGAACCGGAAGGAGCCACCGCTATACATCCACATCAAATACCTATCGGCTGAGGAGGTCGAACCACGTGTAGCAGCCGACCTCTCGAAGACTACACTGACCGAACCTGCGAAAGCCGTAGGGGTAGGAATCACACAATCAGGATATGTCCTCCGTCCAAAATATGAGTTGGCTAAGATGCCCGGGAAGCCAAACAATAATTGCTATCAACTTTATCAGTATGGCTAGAGAAGGCTATGGAAGGGTCATGTCACACGCCTTGAGCAGTGAGGTGCTTGAGCATGATGAGCCCGGTGTCAAAATTGTCATTGGTTGCACCATGTGCGTGAAAGCATATAGCAGCAACAGTAGCAGAGATGAGCCATAAAGAGGAATTGAAAACAAAGCCGCAACACAGGAGAGAAGAAAGTTGGAACTTTGCTGCGAAGAACCAAGATTTGAAGTATATAAGAGAGAACAGAGCCTCGGAGGAAGAGGAAACCAAGACTGGCAGTAAATGGGATGTTGATGATAGTTTCTGGGGTGATATATCTTATGAGAAACTTTAAGACTAAGCAAGCTGTCAATATTCAGGATGTAGTAACAAAATAATGTTAACGAAATGTTCTATTCAGACCATGATAGATATATGAAATGACCAAGGAATACCGCATACGGATTTCAAACTGAAGCCAGAGTATCAATTATCTACCTACTGAATTAGGGCTCAAGTGGCTCTGGTTTGGAAATGTCAAGGTGATACGGATACGGAGTACAGGGTGTAGATAGCAGATTGCATTTCCATTTACCTCCGTGTGGCATCCCGGCCGGTGTCCATGATCTCTACGCGAAAGTTGGCGATCAGGCACAACAGGCGCACCCTAGAACAAGCAAACCGAGCAAACATCGCTGTACAAGTGTGCGCGCAAGCCAAGGCAGAACGGCCGCCGAACCAACTCGAAAACATGGAGTTCGTTCGGTCCCAGCCTGGAGAAAACCTTGACCTTAACATTTGTGATTGGGCGGAAGTAAATCAGGAGGCCTTGAAAAAGCTCCTTTTCGTTGATTTAAATAAAAGGCCATGGCTCATTATATCCGATTTCTAAAACAACCACAGATAACGAAGAAGAATGGGGATTCTTTCTTCATCACCACCTTATTCACCATCACTACGGACCTCGGGGACTCCTTTCTTGCTGAGGATGTTCAACTTGGTGCCACGGTGCAGTTTGCACGCCCAATCGCCCCGCTAAAACAGGCTGTTTGTTGGCAGGCGGGGAGCCGAGAGCAGAAGTTAACTTTCGGTCCTATACGGCGAGATCTCACCAATTGTACGGTTCAGCTCTGTGTTCGCTCTGTAACTGAGGTAATGGATGCAGATTCACTCAATGGCCCACACATTCCTAGAGTCGTCTCTGCTTGGAGCCCATTGTTTGAAATATCTCCTGGGAAGAGGTCCGTTGAGAAGTTGGTGTTGAGACGGTTCCAGCCCAAAATTGGGGCGGAACTGAAAATATGGGAAGAAACTGGAAACAGTATTGCGAGACATATCTGGTGAGCACCGAGGTCTCCCTATTTTCTTCGGGCTGAAATTTTAATTTTTATCGGCGCTTCAGGGATGCAGCTTTGGCAGCCATTGTCGAGTTCCATGACAACTTCAGCCACAGAGGAGGCAAACCGCTCCGGCAGAATGATAACCATGCCTTTAATGTTCTAGAATTGGGGTCAGGATGCGGTATTGTCGGAATTGCCCTAGCGCAGATGATGTCAAACTGCTCCGTGATGCTCACAGACCTCGAGGAAGTCCGGGAGATAATTCACCGAAATATCTCTACGGCTCAGCTAGCCCAATCATCCCTCATCGAATTTCAAACCCTTGACTGGGACGAAGAGCTTCCGCAGGCAGTCAAGGATCGGCGCCACGACTTGATCCTTTTGTCCGACTGCACGTACAATTCCGACGCCCTACCAGCATTAGTTAGAACCATCAAGAGCCTACTGGAGATTTCGCCCGGTGCATCAGTGCTTGTGGCATGGAAAAAGCGATGCGAGAGCGAGTTGGTATTTTTCGATCTAATGAAGGATGCAGCATTGGCCGTCGTGGGAGAGTCAAGTCCAGCTTTACAAGTCGCAGCGGAAAGTGATGACGACGATGATGATCATGAAGCACCAGAGATCAAAATTTTCCGCTTTCAAAAAGCCAGCGAAAGACAGCTCGCTAGTTAAACCCCAGCGTCCTGGTCGTGCATCCTCTGGATGGGAACCTGCACCAGCCACCCAGCCCATGTTCTACGGACGATGAAGAGCTTTGGCCGAGTTAAAACACTCCGGACCGGAGTACGCGCCTGCGAGATAAGGATGATTTTCAGGGCACCTTGCAGGCCAATTCTGTTGCTAGTCGATCACTCCGGCATTGTGTCCGGGCTGTGATCCTCAAGCTTTCCGGGCGGTTCACCATTCTGCGTTGGCGAAAAGAGCATGGGGACATGGCTCTCCGTAACGTTGCACCACCGACCCCCAGCGGTCAAGGGCCGGGGAAAATACCTCATATATTTCTGGCGACGGTAAATGCAGGCTCCGGCACCGTTTGAGTCATGGGCCAGCTGGAGGGAAAAAGGGGGTTATCTTTGGTGGCTTGCAGGAATTCGTTATTTAACGGGGCGCTGAACGGTCAGGGTGCGGTATTACCGGCCTAACTCTGCGGGGGCCCCTAGCTTTGGGGTGCCGTAATAGCTGCGTAAAAATTACCGGTAAACACACCAGGCTAAGGGAGCTTCTCGCCCACTTTTTTTTTTTTTCTCACTGCCCCTCGCCCACAAATCCCAAATTTTTTTTTCCCTCCCTCCTCTCCTCTCCTCTTCAGCTCCTCGAAGCGTCTACCCTGATCCCTCCTGAGCGAAGGAACACCATCAATTGCAAGCCATCGAGTCATCTGTACTCCGCCTCTGCTCTGTGAACCGCTGTCCCTTTCATCCCGAGAGGTAAGTTGCTCTCTCGGCATTTCCCGCCAGCTTTGCCCTTCATTTTTAAACCACACACTGCAAAACGCAGTGCCGAACGCTGTGCCCCGTTAAGCGAGCATTCACAACGCTTACGTACTGATTTTCTTTGATCCTGCAGGGCCAGTGCTTTAGATCTATATAAATCCAGTGTCAGCTCGCCTTTGGGCCACATACCCAAAGGCACATTGGATCACGGCTCCAGAAACCACCAGAGTCCCCTTCACTGCTTTTCTCACCTACCTTGAACCAAAGTGCCCTCTTCAATCGCCCCAGGTCTGGTCGCACCAAGGTCAATCTCGTCCTTTAGCGCCCCTCGACCTCTGCCCCCAAGCTTCTGAGAGTTGCCAAAACCTTGAGCTGCCGCATAGGACTTCTCTAAAGGTTCTTCCTCTTCCAGAGGAAGAGTCGAGGAGGTTCAGTCCAGTCAACCACGGTTGCGAAACATTTCGCCCCCCCTAACACCTATTTTCTGTTCGTCTTACCCGACGGACTGCATTTGTGTCTGAACTCCATTTGATATTAGTCAACTGATCATCCGTCTCTCGGATGGTTATGGCACCTTCGGTTTTCGAACCCACGGACGTTTATATTACTGAAAAGTACCATCACGAGAGTAAAGGTAGTTATAATTCTACCAATCATGGCGGGCCCGAATTGTCACATGCCCGTGAAGCGTCCAAAGAATTGATCTTGGACATCCTGCAAAAGAAAGCTGCCAGCATCGATGTGCAGAATTGCTGCCCCGGCGAGGAGGATCCATTCTATGTGGCGGATCTAGGAGAAGTTTATCGCCAGCACATTCGCTGGAAGATGAACCTAGGACGCGTCAAGCCCTTCTACGGTGTGTCTTGACGTGCTCTTGACAATATTATAACGTGAATGCTAACGGATCGGTAAAATAGCCGTTAAATGTAACCCCGACCCACAGGTCCTTCGTCTCATGGCTCACCTTGGAAATGGCTTTGACTGTGCTTCAAAGGCGGAAATCGACTATGTCCTCGCTGCCGGCGTCGACCCTAGCCGCATTATATATGCCCATCCGTGCAAGACAAAGTCCTACCTTCGCTATGCGGCACAACAAGGCGTCAAGCAGATGACCTTTGACAACGCTGATGAGCTGTACAAGATTAAGACCATGTGTCCCGATGCGGAGCTCTTTTTGCGAATCCTAACCGACGACTCCGCTAGCTTGTGTCGTCTAAGCATGAAATTCGGCGCTTCGCTCACTGTGACCCGTTCTCTACTTGAACTGGCCAAGGACTTGGGTCTAAACGTTGTTGGAGTGAGCTTCCATGTCGGTTCCGGGGCGGAAGACCCAACAGCATTCGTCAAGGCCGTTGAAGATGCCCGCTTCGTGTTTGATCAAGCCAGTGACATCGGTCACGATCTCAAAGTTCTCGATGTCGGCGGTGGCTTTTGCGACGAAACTTTTGAGCGGTTTGCAGCGGCGCTCAGCGATGCTTTGGATACGTATTTCCCGCCCCATATTCGCGTCATCGCAGAGCCCGGCCGTTACTATGTTGCATCTGCCTTCACCCTCGCCGCCAACGTCATTGCTCGCCGCGATGTCAGCCCTGCAGCCTCTGACTCGGACTCTGCCAGTGGTCCCGCGGAGATGTATATGATCTATCTCAACGATGGAGTCTACGGAAACTTCTCCAACATTGTTTTCGATCATCAGCATCCGGTGGCCCAGATTCTAACCAAGGATGACATGGCTTCTACCCACCCTGTGGAGTATTCCATCTGGGGTCCTACCTGCGATGGCATCGACGTTATCAGCAAACGCGTTACACTTAACGGAGTATTGGGTGTGGGCAACTGGTTGTACTTTGAGAATATGGGCGCTTATACCCAATGCAGTGCAACTCGTTTCAATGGCTTCACCGACAAGCATGACATCATCTACATTTCTACAGAACCCAGCGCCGCTGCGCTTATGGGATATTAGGCAACATCCCATGTAAGACGAAAGATTGGAGGCATATCATTCAACATGAACCAACAATGAATATCTTTCAAGTTTGCAAAACACAACGTTGAGCTATCTTTTCACCTTGGATCTGTTATTAAAAAAGAATATGATTTTGTTATCTGTCCCTCTGTTTCTTCAGTCGCTCATTTTTGGTCACAAAAGGGGAAAGATGGAATAAGATGATAGAAGAATCTAGACGACCGCGTCACCTGGCTCAGGCCTCCCTTGAAGACAAGTTTATTTGCTAGTTTATCCTAATAAACAAAAGTGCTTCTTTCTTCTTTGATTTGGATGCTTCTATTTACATTTATGTTTTGCACGGCGCATTTCTTTCTGTGACCAGCAGGAAAAGCATAAGTTTTCATGACACTTTTACAGACCAGCGCATACAAAGGTGCATGTCCAGCAGTTTCCGGCAAAATTTCAGCAACCAGTACCTCTATCGTCTATAATCTTAGACATTCGAGAACCCTAGCACTGGGTTGGGTGACCATGGTACAGGTCATTCATCTTAGAAATAATCAAGCTGCACGAACAGGTTTCTTCAGCTGCTAGTTGACTTTCTCAATGGACAGCATAGCAGAGTCTTTCGCTTCTCCAGCAAGCTCGATAAGGCCGCTTCCTTCTAGCTTCTTCTTCCACTTGCTGGATTCATATCTCGCTAGGATGAGAGTCATTCGAACAACGTCCTTATTATTGGATTCGGTTTCTGTACTTTTGGAGATATTGGGCGAAGGAGTGAATGTCCACCTTCCGAATGCCCAGTTGAGAATGTAATTTCTTATCTTGTTTCCATCTGAAATGGAAGAGCCACTCGTTGAGCAGTTGACGGCGGGCGCACGATCGCCAGAGGAGTCCTGCGGAGGATTATCTGATGAACAGCGAACAATGCCTTTTATTCTGTAAACTTCATCCTTTGGTGCGGAATGCAGGAGCTTGGTAAGAGAGGACAGCTCGACTACAGCTGACGAATCAGGACTCGTAAGAGACGCGGAAAGTACTTCCACCTCCGACTGGTGATCATGAGCATGAGCCTGTTCATACTCCTTGACCCCACCCATAAGCATCAAATCCAAGCCCGCATGTCCCTTATCCGCAGCCTCCTTCGCCAACAATGCCCCATCGATCCCCAGCAACACATCTTTATCCACCTTCCCCCTGGCAGACTTGACCCACGGGGTCTGCACCTCCAAATCGCCCACTCTGTCCAGACACAAGTCGAATCTCAACTCTGAAACATCTTCCCACTTATTGAAAACGATCAAGTCTGTATACTTCGCCTGCAACTTCGCCGTGTACGAAGTATCCTCGTAACCTTCCCAATTCTCCACGTCAATCACACTAACCACCCCGTCGAGCACAAACTCTCCTCGCGTCTCGTGCGACAAGCGATTCACCTCCATCGCCAGGGTTGCAGGGAACGCGCTCCCGCTCGTCTCGATCACAATGCGATCGGGCTGGATCTGGTCGCGCAGCTGGAGAAGCGCATCACTTAATTGGCCCACAAGATTGCAGCATATACACCCGTTAAGAAGTTCGCGGACCCCGGATATGGAATTTGCAGAGGCGAGCTGGGAGTCAACGGCGACATCGCCGAATTCGTTTTTGAGGAGGGCAAGGCGGTAGGTGGGAGGTAATTGCGGGATGAGATTGAGGAGAAGGGTGGTCTTGCCGGACCCTAGGAAGCCAGTGACGATTGTGATGGGTACCGGAGGCATGATGAAGAGATTTAGGGTGTCTGTGTGAGGCGGAATTGGACGTCTTCATGGGAGTGGTTTAGCTTTGGCCGTTTTTTTACTGTTTTTGAACGGTGAATTCCTTTGCTGCAGAACTGGTTTGGAATTTCGTCATTTTTTGGCCCAGCATTTCGTGCCCCTCAGGCCGATCGGAGCCGTGAAATTACCCCTCCATTGCGAATTATCCCTCGAATGCCCACACCTCGGAGAGTATGGCAGTCGATAACATGCAAAGACTTGAATAAAATGGCGAAATATCGAAATCCCAAGTTCTCGTAGAGTATGGGCAGTTCATGTTCTTAATACGCGTCCAAAAAATGGCGGGGTTGTATGAATTGAATTCTTGCCCACGAATCCAGTTTTCTCGAGCAAAATTCGATCAAGGACGAAAATCCGTTATAGAACAGGTGATAAATATGGACTGAATGAGTTTTTTTTAATATTCTTTTAGCGTGGAATATTCTATTCAAAATCTATTTCCGACCCGATGGCTCCCCAAGAATAAATATAACCCCGCGCCGCCAGCCACTCAAAAGCAGAGTATGCGAGAAACGTGTGCATCGCCAGCCTCAGTTCAATCTCTCTCTCTCAGCAACCAATGCCGCGATATGTCCACTCAGCCAGTATCTCTCCAGCACTTTCGCCGGTGTGTTTTTCGCCCCATCGACCCAGCCCAGACAGTCCTCGGCACCACATGAACATCGGAAAGGCTGGGACATCTCCCACTCCGTACTCGGATAGAAAAACCTCAATTCCTCGCCAGCGGGGATGTCTCTGAGACTCCACACTTCGAGAACGCCGGCAACAGGGGTCTCCAGTTCTGTTTTGGAGTTGGTAGTAAGCGTCGAGGTGACGAATCGAACGTTAGGATCACATGAATGATTGCAGTATAGGAGGTCCGAGTTTAGTCTGATATGTTCCTTCGTGGAGATCTGGACGGTCGAGTAGTCCTTTGAGGAAGCCAGTGTGGTGGATGTGTTCACTGCGAATAGGGAGTTCGCGGGGATGTCATGCGCGGCGATTGCAGTTAAACAGAAAGTAGGCGCAGCAACGTCGGAGCCGGAGGCGAGAATCTCTGACCGACGGACTGTGATTGCTGAATGCGAAGGCTGCTCCCATGTTTGCGACAAGGGCTGTTGTGGCTTTTGCGGTTCCTGCGGTTGCTGGGCTTGCGTCTCTGCCATGATGATCGTTGCGACGAGGATTCAAAAAGTAGTAGAAATGATTGAATTGATCGATTTCTGGGATATGGGGTTATGTGCTTTCAAATACGAAAGCATGCATCGACGGGACCCGGTTCTATTTGACATCAATGACGGTAGGTGAAAACCGAGGCTGTAGTTAGTGGCCCCTATCAGACGACGGGCCCTGTGACGGAGTATGCGACTCGGGAGGGTTAAGGTTGTCAGAGACCCATCATCCCGATGTGGTTCCGGAAAGATGGGGGGCAGAATGGATCCGGCTTCCACACAGTCAAGATTATCCACGTTTCATGGTTCATGGAAGCTCTCATTTTTCTTCCAAAAAGGAAATCGAGAAAGAAATTTGCAAGGCGCGATTCCTCATCAAATTTGTGTGTATCCCTCAGCTTTTAAAAAAAGGTCTGCTTAGGCCATGGGCTCCTCAATTGCCAAACAACGAAAATCGGGATGGCCTGGAAATAACCGGATAAATGGGAAAACTCGGAAGTGCTCTTCTTCCAGCGTCATAGGCATGGAAGCAGGATGGAAAACAAGGGATTTTAGCTTTCTTCAATGTTTATTTAGGCGAACCCGAATAGCTGCAAAGAGACATTCAGCTGCTGTCATTGTAAAATGCAATGTTAATCGCGTTCCAGGAAACATGAAACAAACCATTTAGTAGCCTCTATCGGGAGGTTTGGTGCGATCGGGAATATTTTCGTCCTCGTAACCAGTTGCTCCAAATTCGACGATGCATCGGAGAAAGGAACAAGTACTGTTCCGTATTAGTTAACTAAGTTAAGTAGTTATTGACTTAACTATGGATCCGACAATCTGCCTAATATCCTCGGTTTCGTATTTCGGTCTGAGGTTTCTGACAAACTGACTCGCAATTTCACGAAAACTCCCAGCGGGAAGTCATCAATGTGCTAGTATTCTGCACTAGCCTATGTCCAGTCCACAGGAAGGTCACACGCTGATAGCGAAACCCGTGCAGTTGACGAGTGCATCCCAAGTATTAAAATAGGGCTTTTAACTGCACTCTAACTTTCCGCCCTCATTCAAACTGGCGGTGAACGGGGAGCCGCGTTGAGCATTGCTAGGCTCATCAACTTCGACCTTCGTCAGCAATCCTATATGCCTCCCAGAGTTTGAAACGAATATTAGAGGGCTGGTATCATATGCTCATTGTCATCTCAAAGAATAACAAGGAAGGTTACGTTTGTCGGAATGGTAGGCGAGTCTCGTAGGTGTATAACAACTATTGTAATAATTTCTTTCTTTTCTTTTTTTTTTTTTCCCTTTAGATTTAGTAAACCCTGAAGGCTAATTGATAAAGTGTTAATGTACGTGATAATTCATTACACGGTTGGGAATAAAGAGTTGGAGTCGAGGTAAAGGCGGGTGCAAACGTCGGTCGATTCAGAGCGAAATTGACCAGTGATAAAGTCCAATATTGTAGCTCTCCACTGCTCGATGGTGCTAGCCGGGCAAGGTTCAACCAATGCCGGGCTGATATTGCCCGTTTGAATATAAGAATCTATTCCACATAGTTGGCGATTTAACAATTCGACCTCAGCAGTGGTATCAACCTGAGAAGTTGCAAGGTGGTGAATGGTTGAAACTTTCAGCGTTTCTTCTTGGCCAGGCATCCTCTCATCCCGGATCTCTCTCTGATTCTGGTATTGGATAGTCTGGCTATGCGCTTGAGGGGTGTTGAATGGAAGTTTAGTAGCTTTTCTAATGAGCATGGCAGAGTCTTTTGCAACAACTGATTGTGCCTTTGGTGACATGATAAATGTAGCGCTCCTAGTGGGATAAGGCGCATTCAGAGAATCAATCTTGCTTTTAGGCTGATGCATCTCTTGCTCTACCATGCATTGGGGATGAACAGCAAGTTTCTTATGGCATTCAGAATATAAAAATTCCGGGTGTGAATGGGTTGGTCTCAAAGTACCAGGCAATGTTCCATTTTGAATGTTTGTTTTCACCGGAAATGGGAGTGTCCCACCCCTCTCTGTTACAGCAGGAGACACTAGAGAACCAATGTTCAATCCAGGAATCCATTTCCCAAATCGTTCAGATAGTGCAATTTGGAGGGCTTCATTTTCCAAGTGTTGCGAGGTTGCAACGGAGTTAGGGGTTTTGTCGGGGGATGTTCCAAAGTCACTTTGGGCCCGATTAATGGCATGCTTGTATATCGAAACACCACATTCCCCTTCCGGTTTGCGAGATCCTCGATGCATCCTTTTACGGTGCGATTTGATCTTTAATGTCTTCGTTTGGATCGGGGACACTTCAACATTGTCAATTGCTCCAGGAGAGATTGCTAAGTGCGGAGTTCTGTTTGCAGACCTACGCCCATTTTGAGGAACAGAGACATTGTCGATGAGTGACTGTGGACTTCGGGAAGGAGTTAGCAAGTGAGAGTTGGGATCTCGATGTCTCTGGGTAGAGGTTCGCCTTGCTAGCGTCCACGGATTCAACGCTACATCCGTAGCGTGCTTTTCCTTGTGTGCACATTCCCTTTTTTGCCTTGAATGTGCGTGCAATTTACCGGGGGACGGTCTTCTTAGCCGACGCTGCTCAGGAAGAGGAAATATCATGGTAGGCTCTGGCCTTTTAAATAAATTCCCCTCCGTATCACTGGTGCCGCGAAACATTTCTTCTTGTTGATGGCTGCCGCGATATGTTTCGCTTTGCCTCTCATCACCCAGTTGCTCGTTGTCGTACATTTTTCCAAACAGATCCTCTGCAAGGCATAGAATTGATCTGGAGTCCGCAAACAACACGTCGTCTTTCGATGGGTCCACATTAACATCATAGATTCCTGGAGGGCAGGAGAGGTATAGGTACATAAAAGGGTCCGTAATTGCTGATGTACATGGACGCCCAAAGGTACGATTAATATATGATTTATAGATCTTGACTAAATCTTTCGCTATGCCTTTTGACGTGGACAACGGTCGGCCATCAACAAATATGAATTGACCTTTGTTTTCCAGTTTGGATATATCTTTCGTTGTTACCAACTGGGCACGCGAATCAGGGCTCGGCTATCGCTACTTACCAGCGTCCAATTTTGGAATCACGGCATGGACCTGAGCAGTCGATTTACCCTCATCACTATTCTCAGGATTAGGGTCATTGTAAGTTAACGATTGTTCTAGACAGTGGGCAGCCACTTCCGCGCCGATGACTTTAGAAATAGCATCGGCCACGGATGGGCTTTGCTTCGGAGCATATATCCATGCAAATCCCCTCTTTTGCCTCGAAATCTTAAGAGAGAGCCTGACGCACGGTCGAGATAGCGCATAGTTTTGGAGGGCCTTTTTTATTCGTGAGACAATCTTCGACAAAGACTTTAAGACCATCTGCCTCCGAACAGGCAGATACTTCAGGAAACCGGACACCCGGACTGATGTTCCAACCGGATGCGCAACCATTCCTTTGCTACTAACAAAGTCAGACTGCAACTTTTTCTCCGCGGCCGCAAGCATGATTACCTCAAAATATCGCCGGCACGGCCGAATTCGAGGATCGAGGCAGTTGTTTCAGCCGTAATTCTCGTAATTATAACCGTAGACTCGCTCATTTGCGTTGTACTTGCCAGAGCCTGCCCCCTAAAACCTAACAACTTACCGCCCACATGCTTCAAATCATCAAGGGTTTTGATTTTGCTGGTACAATTTTGCCTGCATATAAGCTCTCGATCTTCAGGCGGTATGCCCAAGCCGTTGTCCTTGACGTGGATACTATCAAGGAGGTTAGCAGACAATTCGACGGAGATTATTGTAGCATTCGCATCCAATGCATTGTCAATGAGTTCCCTGACCACAGAGCAAGGATCAGAAATGGCAGAAGCCGAGCCTATTGCATGGGCTGCGGCCCGATCGAGTTCAGCAATGGGCATTTCAAATCACCCTGTTTTGTAAAAGTTATTTTGCTCTTGAAAATGCCAGAAGTTATATATTGGCGATACAATATCCGAGAGCAGTAAGCATCTAGAAGGACGGGAAGTGGATGCCGAAGGGACCTCCAGTTATATGGTGGGAGCCTTGTTGTCCCACGATGACTCCATGTCTGAGCAGCTGGGGGTTGGTTGGCCTGTCCGCACATACTGATATGCTGCCGTCTCATGTTCGGGGGAAAGGGGAAAGCAAGGGGCGCGGTTGAGATTAGGTTTTCACGTGCTTTGCTAGGTTGGCGCTAGCACTGCCACGAGGTCATACCATTGGACAAGAGACCATTGGACCGGCTAATATCTTGGCTGCATGTGGTCCTGGCCGGGCGACGCGGACAGTCTTCTCTCGTTCCTGAACCGGAGGCTTAACTGGTGCAACGATGCCAACCAGCATGGGTGGATTCGCCGCGTCCCAACTTGCTGTGCCGGCTGTGTGCACCCTAATTGCTTTCCTTTCTTACACTTCCCAGTATCTGTTCTACGAAATAGATCCGGGCCCCCTTTCCAAATCTGAGTCCATCAAATTCAACGCCTTGGTCGTGTGCATTTGGATATGCTATGCAAGAGCGTGTGCGACCGATCCCGGCAGCGTCCCCGCTGGCTGGAAGCCGGCTGTCTCCGATGAGACATCTGGAACCCATCTTGAGGGTGATCCAGCCCTCATGTCGCGCAGCAGGCAAAGGTGGTGCCGGAGATGCGAGGCATTCAAGCCGCCAAGGGCGCATCATTGCAAATCCTGTCAGAAGTGAGAAATCCGGAGACACTCCCAAGAATTCCTCCCCCTACGGCAGTGGCTAATATTCTGCATAGGTGTATTCCGAAGATGGACCATCACTGTCCTTGGACAAACAACTGTGTGTCTCATTTTACATACCCACATTTCCTTCGGTTTGTCTTATATGCGGTTATTTCGATGATCTATCTTGAAATCTTTTTATATGATCGGGTATCCATTGTATGGAGCAACAGAAATTTACCTATCGTGAGTGGGCAGAATTTCTATGTACACTAATGGAGCCATTATACCGAAGCTAATCCCGCGGGTCCTTAACCAAAGTATCTTGGCCCTTCTCTACGGCAATTAGGGCATTTGTTCTTACTCGTAATGGTTAATTCAATGGTCCTTTTTGCCCTGTCTGTTTTGCTCCTGAGAACCATCTGGATGCTACTACAAAACCAGACTACAATTGAAGGATGGGAAATTGAACGACATCGAGCCTTATTGCGGCGGGCTCGCGTGTTCGGAGGCTACCTTGACGGCCCGGATGGTACTAAAGTTCGGATTGAAAAGCAAGAGTTTCCATTCGATATTGGAATATGGGAGAATATCCAAGCGGGTATGGGAGGCAGTGCTAATGTCAGTAGATTACGGTGAAACCATTATATCGCGAAAGCTAACTCAGGTACAGGTTCTAAGCTGGTTTTGGCCCTTCTCTAGGACTCCGCTTCCTGGCACTGGGCTAGATTTTGAAATCAACGGGCTTGATGGTAAGTTGATGCTGTGGCATTATTTCCAAGGTGCGATTTGTAATGTTATATCTAACATTAACGTATAGATCCCTCTCTCTCCTGGCCACCTCCAGATCCAGATCGAATGTACCGACATGTTCTCCCCAGTGAAAACGACAACGTCATGATACTTGATCAGCAGCAAAACTTCAGCCAAAACGCCATTGATGCGTTCAGGCGTCGACAAGAATTAGATTACAAGCGCCATCAATTGGACTTAGGTGTCCAGCGGCGTAAACCTTTCCATGAGAGATATATGCAAAATATAGATGATTCTATATCGGATGGAAATGACTCTATAAAAGATTATTACTCGTCGGACAGCGGCGAAGAAGGGTGGCGGAATTCGGATGGAGATCGATTACGCGACTTTGGAGTTGACGAGGAAGCTGAATTCTATGACGAGGATGATATTCCGTTGGCAGTTCTGATTCAACGGAAAAATCAGGCCAAGGAGAAATCTCTCGCCGTTGGCGCCTGAATCACCGTGAGGTGTAACTATGCCCTAAATCCGCTTTCTAAGGGAGTGCGTTATATTACGGCGAAGTCATCAATAACTTTCTTGTCGATAATAATGTCGTAGCGTGGGGGATGTTATTAAGGGCATTCCAGCCATCTTACGAGGTTGACCGACTTCGGGTGTTGTTTCGTTGGTTCTAAGAAGCGTACCGCCTCACTCAGGGAATTCGTGGTCCGAGAAACGAAGCCAAAGATACAACAGGATCCGGCCTATAGTCTCTAACCTAAACTCGGCGGCAATACCAATTATCTGGGCCTCTTTCTCGTCGTCGTGACCACAAGCTGACTGTCCGGAATTTGGAGTCCATCTTCCATATCGTTAAGTCATGGCATAAATCAGATGTTAAAGCCAGCACGCTGTTTTATAAAGCAGTCCAACAGACTAGCCAAAACAATTTTATTAACGAGAGCTTGAGGCTCCACGGCTATTGCGATGTGCACAGAATACTCTATAGCCTATTCACAATCCGGTAACGCTGATCCCCGGAGTCCTGGCTTCAGATTTAATTTGACTGTGGTCCTATATACAACAAAAATTCCCCAAGGGAAGAGAGGGAGCACATTCACCAAATTCAAATAATGGAAACTTCAGGAGGCAGAATAGAAAGGTCTGAAAATTGATGTCGAAACCCGCACCAACGCTTAAAGCATTATCTGCAAACGCTTTATGGGGTATAAAACGTATTTTCAGTAAATTTGCGTAAAAGCGCCAAACCCCGACAAAGACTTTCGTAACTTCGTTAGATATGAGAGTATTCAGCTGAGTGCAAAGAGAAAAAGATAAAGAGAAAGAAAAAGGAGCAAATGAAACGAATAGAATCTGCGATGGTAGTGTGCAACTCGTCCAACGAAAAAAGAGACGCAAAAAAAACGAAAAGCAGATTTAGCACAAATGATATCGTGAGCCAGTGAATGTCAAGGGAGAGAATTAAGCAAACAAAATCATAACGTAAGCGTTTTTAATCTAGCTTTTAACTCCGCAACTTCCTCTATGTCAGCAGACTCGATTTCTCCGTCGTTCTTTAGGGACAGAGACATGTATTTGTTATCTCCACCTTGGGCACCAACAGTGACCCATACAAACTTTCCTCCCGCCGGAGCAACCCAAGATTTCTCTTGAGGGCCCAACCAGAACATGTCAGACGAGTTGCATGACATATCAAGATTTCCCGCGGATAGGGATGTTGGGTATGTCGAAGTCATAGACAACGTTCGGGACATTGACGTTTGAGAAGATGAGATGGACGATGAGGATGCAGATCTGGATAATATCCTCCCTCCCAGTCGGCCGTTGGTAATCCAACTCTCTAGGACCTCGATGATGAAGTCCATTTTTTGACGGAACGAATTGGCTTCCAGTATCTCCTGAAACTTATATTTTCCAGAAGCAGAGGCTATCTCTCGCTCGTCATATAGCGAAGAGAAATAATTGTTAGCAGTATCTGTTATTACCGCTCGAGTATCGAAGCCACTTGGATGCATCTTTCCCTTCGCCTTCAAATATCGTGCAGCAGATGGTGCAAGGTGAAAGAAATCTATTTGGCAGCATGTAGAAGAATCGGAAGAATTGCCGGTGCGTCGAACAGGCAGAGATAGTACAAGTTTAGTGTGATCGGGGAAATTGAACTAAAGACGAAATCAGAAAACCGAAAGAGCCTTTTTTTTGGGCTTTGAGAAAGTATTATGAGCTTACCTGGAAAGCGCCGTCCCCAAAACCCCATATTCCAACGTTGCCTAAGCGTTGATAAAATCTCACGTACTGTCCAGTCGAAGCGTCTTCACCTGGTTTGGTGTCCGTCGGAGACTGGTCGTCCACGTCTTTTCCCAATGATCCTATCATATACTTTCCAAACTGATCAACCAACTTGACTCGTTTCACTTTCTCCGTATCCAACGTGCGAATTTTAATTGTTAATTCGCAGGGTGAATGCTTGTTGGTGTCGAAGCCCTTAGCGTCAACGAGGACTCTCTTTACACCTCCTCCTTGACGTCCGCGAGGATCAACATCAATGTTTTCATAGAATTCAACTGGTCTCCCACCTCTAGGCACGAGCTGGTCAACCTCCGAATATTTAACTTGCCCATCAGGACTCTCCTTGGCGCGAGTCCTTAGTCGTATATGCCTTTCTCCATCTCTAACCACAACGCAGCTTGCTGGACTTCCGTTATCAGATTTGAACACGCAGCCAACGCTTCCATCATCCAATACGTATCCAATGCCGTATCGATTTGTGTAGTCGACCCATTTCATCACGTACGAATGCGGCTTTGTGGGTACGAACTTCTGCTGACGGCGTCGTGTTCTTGTGAGAGTAGCTGTTGAGTACGAGCGAGAACGACAGAGGTCAGAAAAATAAGCCTTCAAGTCTCCCATAACTTCGCGAATACTTGTCCCAGGCATTATTTCGGCATCCTCGTCAGGTCGAATAAGAGGTCGTAGGCCAAACGCTGATCTCGACCTGCTACCACCACTGGATGATGTGGATCTTGTCGCATCATGCCCTTTGCTCCGCGATCTCCGTTCGGGCAAGCTTCCCCCGCTTGGGTGGGATAGCTTGGGCTGTGGCTTCCGGGGTGCGATATCAGTCGCATCCTGTGATTCTTCTCTCACGCTCTGAATGCGTAAGGATTCGCTCAATCCTTGGCTTGATCCAACACCCTGAGGAAAAGAAATGCTAGGTTTTGGATCGGGCCGTGCTTTTTCTTCAGCGAGGGCCGCTAGATGCTGTCTCGATTGGGCTCTTGTCCTTCCAATCATCAAGCCGCTTGGGGTCGATGCGGATTTAGACAATGTTTCCGAAGATCTAGTTCTCTCTCGAAGGGAGCCGTGGTATCCAGGTGCTTTGCATCGGATAGGCCGCTCACTAAGCAAATTTTGGACGACTGTTGTGGGGGCGGGTGCCGCCTCAAGTGGTAATTCGTGCTTTAGTCTATGATGTCCAGTTTGAGTATGCTGTAGGGGGTTTTCTCTTGTCGGCTGACGGGGCGGCAAGGCTTGCTGTCGTAGTTGTGCTGCGTGGCTTCTAGGCTGCGATTCCTTCCGCCTCAATTGCGCTGCCAATGCCATCTGAGTACGTGCCAAGGTAGCAGCTTCCACCTTCGACGATGGCTTTCGAGCTTGATCTTCCTCTTCGACTGGAGAAAAACGGGATTCGATCTCAGGGCGCAATTCTTGCACGCTCCAGTCCTCGTCTTCTGGAATGTAACAGTAGACTTGATCCAGCGGCAAGGGGATTATTGGCTGCATTCCCAATTCTTCTTCTGCCGCGCACTCGGCAAATGCTGATTTAGAGCAGCGCTTACCGACGGGTCGCCGTATCTCGCCAGTCGGCTTTCTGCCAACACCACACTCCGTGTAAAAGAAATTCTTACAAATAGTAAATCTGTCTTCCGGGTCTTTGATATGAGGTATTCTCGAAAGATATCTAGATTCATACTCGAGGCTGTACCCAATTTCGCACCTATCTCCGCGAGGATCTTGAGCCTTGATCCAATTTGGCTTCGAGTAGCGGCACTCCGAATCAAGTTCACCAGGTATACACCCTGGATACATAGTAAAGAATTCATGATCCACGATCTGATCAGGTTCTGGGCGCTCGTCTTCGTCCAAACTCAGGCATAAGCTAACAAGGCCTTTTGCTTCTGCCGGAATATAATTCAGGCACTCTGAGTCCTTTGGCCAAGCGTACGTAAGATTTCGAACTTTTTTATAGATTTCTTCTTGCGTTTTCGATTGAAAGGGAGGGAAGCCAGTGAGCATGGCAAAGCTGTCCGGAATCAGAAAGATAATCAGTGAGAACAAAGCAGAATATGAAACTTACAATATAACTCCCAAGGACCAAATATCTACTTTTTGGGTATGTCCTCCCTTGTTTTTGTCCAATACCTCCGGAGCGATATAGTTCGGCGTCCCGCACAGTGTTTTCCGCCTCTTTTCGTCCTTTTCACTCAGGATAATTGCGGCCAAGCCAAAATCTCCGACTTTGATATTCATATTGCGGTCCAGAAACAAATTTCCCATTTTCAAGTCTCGATGGGCAACATTTCGTTTATGTAAATATTTGACCGCACCGCATAGTTGAATCATAAATCTGCGAACCTCGGGAAGACTTAGGCATCTCCGTTTTTTCACCATTTCCATGACAGAACCATTAGGGCACATCTCAAGGATAACGTAAGTATTAGTCTCAAATGCAAATGCACGGTAAAATGTTACGATATTCGGATGTCGCATTTTCGAATGTATTTGAAGCTCGGTGCGAAACTGTCCATACAACTTTTAATTAGTCCGGTCGTTCTGGCGTTCAACGGATACTCTTGGTCAATACCTTTTCCGCCATCTTGCGCTGTGGCATTTCCGATTTGACCACCTTCATTGCAAAAAGACGGCCATTCCGACTCAGTTTGCCCTCATAGCACACAGCAAACCCTCCTCTGCCCAAAAAATTTCCGGTAATGTACTTTTCTCCGGCATGCCCAGGCTCGTAAACAAATCCGGGAGGAGGCGGCGCATGGTTTTTTGAAGGAGCGGACTTTGAGGCTGCTAGGTCTTTTGCGGATTGCTTCTTCGCAACGTCCGCCTTGGGTTTCGGGAGGATATTCGTGGAGCGAGGGGACAGGGCCGCCATTATTGTAGATGAGTCACCCGCAACTAGACCATAGATTGCACTAGGATACACAGGATGTCGAGTAGTAAAGGGGGAAAACAGCAGGGAGGACCGGGGACCTCCGATGATTATGACGATTAGTTGCGACGGTCACAAGCACATAACATTTCTTCCGGTATCGTGTTAATTGAAGATGTTGGGAGAAGCTAGAGATTTAGTCAAATACTCACAACTCTAAATTCAAAAGTAAAATAGATGATGTAGTATCTGAAGCGCAAACTTAAGGAATTTGATGCTGATGTCCGATGTCTTTTCCGTCGCAGAAAAGAAGTGAAAGCCTCGAGGCGATCAATTTCTGAAAGCGGAAGTTTGTAAACATTGGCCCGGCAACGAGATTTGAGTTCGTCCGTGCCAAGCATTTTAGCTCCCGCCGATTATGTCATCAGCAACTAACAAGCGCAACGGCGCGCCCAAGTTCGAGTCAACCGTCAGCCTAGACCAGCCGCTGTGTCTTTGGCCGCCGTAACGCAGAGGAGAGCAGGTTCGATATTGCTATGGATAGATAGCTTGTGGTTTTTACATTATCTTTAGGCCTGTCGAGAGAATGCCCTTGGATCAGCCATGGCCAGCATAACGCTCAAAATTTCTTCGCTCATTATTCGGACGCTTTCGAAGCCGATTGCTGTAAGTGACGGCGAAAAACTCGGAGACATACATCGAATACATAGAGCTGACGACCGTTATTGAAGAATCAAATTAAAGCACAAGCACGCGAACATGAGCGCTTCCGCCGTATATGCATATCTTTTGCTCAGATGCTCCACCGAGCGGATATGCGACTTCGACTAGGCCTACTACACACCAACGCTCAGATACAACGGCAAGCTACTCGTGGAGTGGCGGAAGCGCATGCTAAGAAACGGAAACATCAGGTTGCAACCGTGAAGACCGAAGCCCAGGTGCAAGCAGATGAAGCGGCTGCGGCAAGAGAGCAAGAAAAGAACGCTGAGCCTCCAAAACCACCTCCAACGCCACGGATACGACCCCTTTCTGATGCAAAGGCGATTGATACCGGAGCAAATTTTATAAGTGAGGCCTTTCTTTTCATGGTTGCTGGTGGTTTGATAGTGTTCGAGTCTTGGAGGTCCCGAAGAAAGGAGACGTCGAGAAGGGAGGATGTGGCAGAACGCCTCGCCGAGCTAGAAGAATCGGAAAGGACCGCCAGGTTGGGCCTTATTGCCTTGGAAAAAGAGGTATTGAAGCTACGGGCTCAGGTTGAGAAAAAGACTCACAAAGATTTGCGGCCGGTCCTGCCGGAAGCCATCCGTAAACTCGACGAAGAAGAAGAGCCTGATGAGCCCCCAAGTCTGTTCGGGAGGTTTAAAGCCAACTTTTGGTGGCTTCAGAAGGCTGCTTGGAGAAAGAATTCATCAGAGTCTGATCCCACCATCTCAACTTCTCCGGGAGCTTCGTCAACATCTCAACCCAAGTCAAGTACATCTTGAAAAGAGCCAGGGAAAGGGGAAAAAAAAAAAAAAAAAAAAAAAATACATCTTGGCCCGATCTACTGGTAAAATCAAGTCGACAAATATACAGTGCCTGGTGCTTGCTGTGTTGCGGAGTGCCTCCTCATCGCGAATGCTTGTTATTTTCCCGGTATTAACCCTTCGCTTTCCATAATTTCTTTTGAAGGATACCCATCTCACTCTTAGATATCGTGACTCGAATGTACCATAGATTCCAACACAATATTCCCGTGTACAAAATATACCTAGTACATAATCTCTCACTTTCCCGTAATGGAAGTTGGTTCCCAGTGGACGTTCTGTCATCCGAAGCACGAGGCTCGTCGTCTATCATTCGAAGTCATGAAATCAGCTTTCTCTTCGGCGAATTTCTTGAACTGCCTCTTGAATTATCCCTGACCGTGAAGCATGTTTTGCGCGTCTTTGAGAAAACGTCCGCTGTGGCGTATTGTTGGCCCTGTCCTCGCCTCCACAGGGTCACCGAAATTGAGAGGTCCCTTGCCCCCATCTTGTCGTCAGTTTATTGTGGCTCACCATCCCGTAGAAACGAAACTAGGCACACACGATTTCCAACTGCCATTGAATTTTCGTGGAACTGGAAGCCAGAGAATCCTCCATGTCTTGCTCCTTACGCCAGCATCTGTCAGGGATGCAGTGAAAGACGATACAGTCACCCGTCTAGAACGGTTTATTGCATTGGCTATCGAGAGCGACCTTGTCATAGCTCTTTTGCTCTCGGAGGAAAAGGCCACTGGATCCAAGAGCCAAAAAGCGGACATGATGCCCCTTCTTCTGCTACAAAAGCTGTATGTCCAACACTAAACTTGTTCTCCAATCGGTCCCAGAAAAAGAAGATAGAGAATCTCACATCCAAACTGGTAGCATGCTTGAGCATTTACCAATAAGCCTTCCGGTTATCCCCATCCAGCATCCAGAGTTGCTCGTACCGGCTTTACAATCACATCTCAAGGAAACCTCTCGCGAGATCCAGCAGACATTCTCATGTGCTCCGGCAGATCTAGTCCCATACTGCACAGCCACAGATCCTTACCGCCCTTTAGATCAACACACAGTTAATATTCTCAGTGATCTATTTCCGACAGTGCGAGATCTGTGTTTGGGAGTGAGAACGGACACAGGACGACGGCTTTTGAGGGAGTATTTTGATCCACAGGCAGTACAAGGTATTCTGTCATTCTGGGCAGGGTCTTCAAATGACATTTGAGCCAGAACCCACGGATGTGAGCTTGTCCCTCCATATTACACCTGCTACAAAGTACATAGTATTATACAGGATCAACTTGGGCAATATCATACGTTGATCGCAGCTTGCCACGACCTTTATCACAAATCAGGATGCTCGGATAATTCTCGGCCCGGTGCAGAGTAGATGGGGCGCTGTGGCGCAGAATGCCAAGACTGGCTGCCACCTGGCTGCATCATCGTGGTTACGTAATCTGCCGCGCCGCGAAAGGTGTCCAAGGGACAGAGGGGAAGAGTTGGGTCATCGCAGATAATCGCATCCCAACCTGATCCGTATACTTATATTCGCTCTTTGATACTATTCCCAGCGTTTTTAGATTGGCTGTTTCGGCCGTACCGCTTTTGACTATAGATTTTGGAGCAATCAGTGTCAAGTTATTGAGGAAACCGTTCCGGTGAGCACTTCGCGCACGGCACCCAATGAGCCATGGTGAGCCCGACCTCCCCGCTTGGATTTCACTAATTTACGTGGAGAAACGCACGATCTTTGGTACTGATATGATTTACCATAGGGTCAATCAAAACGCCCTTTCAAAAACAAGGAAGAGAAAAAGAGTAGAGGCTTTGGGCGATCGAGACATGATGACGCGGGCGCTGGCGGCAGGCCTCAAGTTAAAAAGGCCGTGTTCGAGAGCACGAAGAAAAAGGAAATCGGTGTCTCAGATCTAACACTGCTCAGTAAAGTCTCCAATGAGGCTATCAATGAGAACTTGAAGAAGCGCTTTGAGCACGGCGAGATTTATGTATTTCATGCCCCCCCCAGCCCCTGACTGGTATATTGCTTCCTTACTAACATTCGCCGACACCAGACATACATTGGACATGTGCTGGTCTCTGTCAATCCGTTCCGGGACTGTAAGTACTTCAGACCGATTTAAGATTTCCTCGACCTGATATGTGGCAGTGGGTATCTATACCGATAAGGTCCTCGAATCGTACCGGGGGAAGAACCGGCTCGAAGTTCCTCCACACGTCTTTGCAGTGGCCGAAGCCGGATATTATAATATGAAAGCATATAAAGAAAACCAATGCGTCATTATTTCTGGGGAATCAGGAGCTGGGAAAACGGAAGCCGCAAAGCGTCTTATGCAGTATATCGCAAACGTGTCCGGCGGCACAGATTCTTCGATTCAACAGACAAAGGACATGGTTCTTGCCACAAATCCACTCCTCGAATCCTTTGGAAACGCGAAGACTCTGCGAAATAATAATTCCTCAAGATTCGGAAAATACCTGGAGCTGCAGTTCAACTCGGTCGGAGAACCGGTCGGCGCGACCATTACAAACTATCTTCTCGAGAAGTCTAGAGTTGTGGGCCAGATAAAGAATGAACGAAATTTCCACATATTCTATCAGTTTACTAAAGCTGCCCCGCAATCCTACAGAGGTAATACATCCTATGTTTCCTGGCAACATGGAATCTAACATGGTATAGATGCTTTCGGTATCCAGCAGCCCCAGTCGTATGTATATACCAGCCGCTCACAATGCTTCGACGTTGCCGGGATGAATGATGCCGCAGACTTCAATGACACAATAGAGGCAATGAGAATTATTGGTCTTCGTCAAGCTGAGCAAGATAATATCTTTCGCGTCCTATCCGCTATATTGTGGTTAGGAAATATGCAATTCCAAGAAGATGATCATTCTAATGCTTCCATAAATGATCAATCCATTATCGATTTTGTTGCGTATCTGTTAGAAGTGGATGCTGAGGGAGTGCAGAAAGCGCTAACCCAAAGAATTGTCGAGACAGCGCGAGGTGGGCGAAGAGGCTCGATATATGAGGTTCCCCTAAACACAGTACAGGCTACTGCAGTACGGGATGCTCTAGCAAAGGCCCTTTACTTCAATTTATTCGACTGGATCGTCCAGCGAGTCAATGCATCGTTGACCGCAAAAGGCACCGTGACAAACACGATCGGTATTTTAGATATTTACGGGTTCGAAATCTTTGAACGAAATTCATTCGAACAACTCTGCATTAACTATGTCAACGAAAAGCTACAACAGATTTTTATTCAGTTAACCTTGAAAACTGAGCAGGAGGAATATGCTCGAGAGCAGATCAAGTGGACGCCAATCAAATACTTCGACAACAAAGTTGTTTGCCAGTTGATCGAAGACAAGAGACCGCCTGGTGTCTTTGCAGCGCTGAATGATGCCTGTGCGACCGCCCATGCCGATTCAGGGGCGGCTGACCAGACCTTCGTTGGAAGACTAAACTTTTTGTCTCAAAATCCTAACTTTGAGTCCCGGCAGGGTCAATTTATCGTCAAACATTATGCCGGAGATGTTGCCTATGCTGTGGAGGGAATGACAGATAAAAATAAAGACCAGCTCCTCAAAGATCTTCTGAATCTCGTTAATTCTAGCACCAATAGCTTTTTGCATACACTTTTCCCGAACCGAGTGAATCAAGATGATAAACGTCGGCCTCCGACCGCAGGAGACAAGATTAAGGCATCTGCTAACGATCTCGTCACAACGTTGGCGAAAGCGCAACCCTCTTATATTCGAACAATCAAACCAAACGATAACAAGTCCCCGTCTGAGTACAACGTTGCAAACGTGATCCATCAAATTAAATATCTCGGTTTACAAGAGAATGTTCGAATTCGAAGAGCAGGGTTTGCTTATCGTCAAACGTTCGAAAAGTTTGTTGAGCGGTTCTATCTTCTTTCTCCGAAGACATCGTATGCCGGGGAGTATACTTGGACAGGCGATGCCGAATCCGGTGCCCGCCAGATCTTAAAGGATACCAGCATTCCTCCAGAAGAATATCAAATGGGTGTTACGAAAGCGTTTATCAAGACTCCCGAAACACTTTTCGCACTGGAGCATATGCGAGATCGATATTGGCATAACATGGCTACAAGAATTCAACGGGCTTGGCGTAACTATCTGAGATACCGGACCGAGTGCGCCATCCGCATTCAACGATTCTGGAGAAGAGTTACAGGGGGGCTTGAATTCATCAAACTGCGTGATCAGGGTCATAAAATTCTAGGTGGTAGGAAGGAGCGCCGAAGATATAGTCTAGTTGGCTCGAGGAGGTTCCTAGGCGATTATCTCGGAATTAGTAACGCCGGTGATATGGGGGACGTCATTAAGAGCTCGATCAATATTAGCAGTAAGTTGTTCATCCCACATAATGCGCACGACTTTGTCTAATGGGCTAGGTGGGGAAAATGTCTTATATTCGTGTCGATGCGAACTCTTGGTGACTAAATTTGGTCGCTCAAGCAAACCTTCACCTCGTCTATTAATACTGGTAAGTCTTATCACAGTCTTTGATGGCTCATGGCTAATATCATATGCCCAGACTTCCCGCAATGTGTACGTTGTTGTGCAAAAGTTTGTGAATAATCAACTTAGCATATTGGCGGAGCGCATGATTCCAATCGGCGCCATCAAGTTCGTCAGCACCTCAAATCTGAAGGATGACTGGTTCTCCATTGGGGTTGGGGCTCAACAGGAACCTGATCCTCTCATCAGCTGCGTCTTCAAGACGGAATTCTTTACCTACCTCACAAATGCACTCCGAGGCCAGCTTAGTTTGCGAATTGGAGAAACGTGAGTGTGCAAGGTTGCTTCTTCTGTCGCCGTATGCTAACAAGTTTATAGCATCGAGTATAACAAGAAACCAGGCAAGCTGGCTGTCGTAAAGGCAGTTAAGGATCCTGCAGTACCTCGTGATGATGTCTACAAGAGTGGCACGATTCGTACTGGTCCGGGAGAACCGGCGAATTCGGTTTCCAAACCTACGCCGAGACCAAAACAGGTCCCCGGTAAACCAATAACCAAGGGCAAATTGTTGCGACCTGGTGGCCCAGGAGGTGGGCCGTCCAAGCTTGCACCACGGCCCAAACCAGTTGCTCAAAATCTCCCTGAAAATCCGCGGGCAGCGAAGCAGCCTGCTGGTGAGAAGTTTAAACCGGTAGCACAATCCGTTACTGCAGTCGCTGCAGCACATGCTCGAACTAACTCAGGCTCCCAAAATCGACCTCCCCCTCCGCCCCCACCGACCCAGCCTCCCACCCCGAAGAAAGATACTGCCAAAGCCCTCTATGACTTTGACAGCGGCAGATCGAATGAATTACCGCTTCGAAAAGGTGAAATTGTGCAGGTGGTTACGAAAGAGAGCAACGGTATAATCTTATCCAACGTTCTTCCGCTTTGCAACTCCGCAACACAGCTAACTATTTCATAGGTTGGTGGTTGTGTATGAATCTAGAGACATCAGCCCAGGGATGGGCTCCCGAGGCCTATCTTGAGCCAATAGTAGCTAAAACTCCATCACTTCCTCCGCCACCACCTAGTCTTCCACCACAGTCAAAGTCTGCCGTATCGAATACATTACCCAATGGACCATCACGCGTCAACGGTGCAGCTGCGAAGGCCAAACCGGCTCCTCCGACTCCTCCATTTAAACGTCCAGATATAAATCGCAAAGCAGCCCCTGCCGCAGCCCTTCGAGACAGCGCAGTAAGCATGAATTCGCATGAGTCGCCGGCTGGTAGTGGTCGCGCCACTCCAAGCAGTCTAAGCAATGCGAGCATTGCGGGTGGTCTTGCAGAAGCCCTGAGGGCCAGGCAAAGCGCTATGCAAGGAAAAGAGCAAGATGATGATGATTGGTAGCTGGTCTTCGATATCAACGTTCCGGAGAGGGCTTCTATTTGGGATTTTGATTCACATATTGCGGTTTCCTGGAGGGTCATGCTGGCCGGTGCATATTTTCATTGAGTTATTCGGCTTTTTTCCTTCCTATCATTTACCTTTCTTGTAGCTTTTCAAAGATTTCAATTTCGACTCTGTGTGTGGTTTTGCTGAACATTTTAGAGTTATCTTGTATATTCCCTCTTCCCCTTTCCGCGTGCGGATTTGAGGCCTTTTAGTTTCTCTTGCTGTCTGCGCACCACCGGTTTACCTCCACGCCCTAGACGGAGCTGGTCCGCGGAACTGTTAGACAGCTCTGTTCTCTCTCCAACTCCTCCAAAAAAAAAAGAGAAGAAACTTGCTTCCAAACAACTCCCCAGATTTACATACAGTTAGAATATGTTTACTCAGAACTGTCAATAGAAGCTACTGATCTTTATTTTCAACCAAACTTGTACTTTGAGAATGACAGGCCCCCGATCCATTGGGCCAACTCATACCCACAGCCCTGCTGTGTCTCTTATCGTATCGAGCTGGGAAATGCAGCATCCTGAACTGTCGTAGTGTTGACCTCATTGGATTCGCGTTCGGATGAACTTTGACGCCGAGCTGGCTTAGCTCCGTACGCTATACCCAATGCGGTAGGCACTGCGAGTGGTATTCAGCCGAGCCCGATCGGTTCCTGATCCGCCTCGACGTCATGAAGCGCTGGGCATGCTCCAGGCCAGCGGAAGATCTTTCAAAACGCCAGGGCCCCGTGTTTGAGGAGAACCCAAAATCATGGCAGGGCCCTCCAGATGCAAGCAGCAAGCGCCCTACGCTGCTGCTAACGGAAACGTGGATTAACAAATGGCAGGGCTCAACTCCACTTTCATGCTAACTACGTCCGAAGCAAAAGCATGGCGCCCATGTCCGTCAATCACCTTTGGAGAAATCTAGCTGCCTATACCAGCTTTTGCAAAACATCGCTTACTTCTCTAGCACAAAATGAGTTCATCAATCCCTACCAGCCATGATTCAGAAAAGGATGCAAACAATTAGTCCGATCCGGGATTCCCGGATAAATGTTGCTGAGATGAATCACGCTTGGAAAAGATTCAAAATGAAGATCCAGATGGAGATGTTGAACCTCGTATATATGGGAATATTCCCCCATTCCTTGATTGTTCTTTGGCCAACTTGATCTTATTTGATCAGACGATATACCCTCTTCCGCTCTCTATCAGGCTCTCTCTCTAAAGCTTTTCGCATACTTTTTGGACTCCCCAAGCCAGGGATCCTGATTCGCTAGATATTCGTGTCTGTTTGGTATTGCGTTGAGGACACTGATGAAACGGCCCTGGTTCACGACAACTGTAGAACACAGCAGTTCAGCCAGTTTTTGGAAGAAAGATGATGGTGGAAGAACACTGGTCAACGTCGCCAAAAACCCCTCTCGAGCGACCAGCAAATGGCGAGAAAGGATCCGAAGAGGAATATGCAGGGCACAACGGCATACTAAGATCGGCCCAGGCGTCATCAACAGGCTCGCTCAAAGCAGATGACGGGGCAGAGAATTTCAAACTGTCAACTCGCTCATGGCTCGTCTTCATGACTCTCGCTACTCTCACCTTGATGGTAGCCCTTGATGGTACCTCGATATCTGTTGCTTTGCCGGTGAGTCTTTTCTGGCAAATTACCCGTCTAAAGTTGACTGGCTCGCCGACACTAAATCTATCTTCTCAGATCATCGCCTCCAAGCTCCATGGAACGGCAATTGAAGCGTTCTGGAGTGGAACATCGTTTCTTCTCTGCTCAACCGGTATGAACCCCCCCGAACTGACCCCATTTTCGGCGTCGATTGGCAACCCAAGACCGCATGGCTGACCAATGATGGGATTTTCCTAGTGTTCCAACCCACGTTTGCATCATTATCCAATATTTTCGGCCGCAAACCCTTAATTCTCACGGCAATTGCGTTTTTCTTGGCCGGGTCCCTTGTTGCCGGCCTGGCGCAAAATTTTACCCACATGCTGGTTGGACGGTCAATTCAAGGAGTTGGAGGCGGCGGCTTGATTGCCCTGTCTGAAATCATTGTGACTGATCTGGTTCCCTTGAGACTTCGAGGCCAGTACTTTGGTATTCTTAGCGCCATGTGGAGTGTAGGATCTGTTACTGGACCGATCTTGGGCGGAGGATTTTCTCAAGATGTCTCCTGGGTAAGCTTTTCCCGCAGAAGTTGGCTAGTCACTCCACATCACTGACCGTGTTCTAGAGATGGATCTTCTATATTAACTTCCCTTTCATTGGATTCGGTATCGTTTTTGTCATCCTTTTCCTAAAACTCAACTTCCTTCCCTCGTCACTGATGTCTAAACTCCGGCGGATCGATTACGTTGGTTCAATCATCTTCATTGGAAGCGCAACATCTTTTCTGATCCCAGTCACTTGGGGGGGAGTGATGTATCCCTGGGACTCCTGGAGAACGCTTGTGCCACTGATTGTTGGTGCAGTCGGCCTGATTGCGTTCTTCGTCTATGAGACTTATTTCGCGGCTGAGCCCATGATCCCCATCACCATCTTCGCCACTCGCACGGCTATCCTGACATATATCGAAACCGTGCTGCACGGGCTTGTCCTTTGGTGTGCACTCTACTACATGCCTCTTTACTATGAAACAGTCAAGGAGTACTCCCCAATCATCGCAGGCGTCAGCTTATTCCCCCTATCCTTCACCGTGGCTCCCTCCGCCGCTATCGTTGGCATAGTCGTTACCAAAACAGGCCACTACCGTTGGGCCATTTGGATCGGATTCTTCTTCGCCACTCTCGGTACGGGCCTGTTCTGCGTTCTCGACGTGCACACCAGCATAGCAGGATGGATCTTCCTGACACTCCCCGCCGGCCTGGGTCTAGGTATGCTCTTCCCTTCCCTTGCCTTCGCGATCCAAGCCTCCGCTCTGAGCGGGCACATGTCTATCGCCGTCGCGATGTTCAGCTTCTTCCGCGCCTTCGGACAGGCCATCGGCGTGGCCATTGGAGGTGTCATATTCCAGAATCAAATGCATGAGAATCTGCTTCGATATCCCGACCTCGCGCCGCTAGCGGGTGCGTACAGCAAAGACGCGGCCGGGCTGGTGCAGATCGTCCGCGCGATGCCTGCGGGGATGGAGAAGGATAATTTGAAAGAAGCGTACACGGATAGTTTGCGGATCGTGTACGCGGTGTGCACGGCGCTGATCGGGGTTGCGGGGGTGTTGAGCTTGTTCACGGAGTCGTATGATCTGAACAAGGGGATTGATTCGGAGCAGACGATACGCGAGAAGAAAAGCAGGGATGCTGAGGTCGCCTCGGAGAAATAGGCTTCCCTCTTCTTCTCCTACTTCTCGCTCAAATCTGGTGGTGTTGTTCGGAGGGGGCAGCAATTGGCGTTTCTATGAGGATTCTCCCTGTACATTTCCCGATTTCACGAAGTTCTCCACTCGGAATACTGGTGTTTTTGAATGGCGTTTTTAAGGACTCGGGGCTAAGGTCGTCACGTATTTCCTTCCTCTGCTTTGAAACTTCTTTTTCATTTTTTTCATTTTTTCATTTTTTTTATTTTTATTTTGCATCTGTCTATAGACGCCTTCGCATGAAAGAGGATAGACATAGACATAGGTTAATAAAAATTAATCAACATCTCCTTTCACCATTAAGTCTCGCACATTTACATTACATATACCCAAAATGCGAGGGAAAACAAAAACAAAAAAAAAAAAAAAAAAAAAAAACCGAAAAACAGGTCATGCCCAAATCATTCTTATTAGCAATTACTAGTTATTCTGTCTTTTCTTTCTAACTTTTTTCCGTTTTTTATATTTGCAAGTATAATCCGAATATAGGTCAAGACGGAAAATAAAAGAAAGCGGGGAGGAGGATATCAACAAGAAATAATCCCAGAGAACAAAAGGGAAAAGAAACCCTCTCCCAAGCCAAACACACACCCAAAACACCCGCCGTCCAAAAAAAAACGAAAAGAAAAGAAAAGAAGAGAACTATGTATGAACGGCAACGCAACAGAGTCAAGGGAGTTTGTCAAGCCCATAATCCAAAGGCATTTAAGAAAAAAAAAAAAATTCACACAACCCAAGACCAGGGCGGAGGGAGTGTTGTTAATGCCCAGGTAGCGTTGGAATGATGGTATTCTTCAAGATGCGTATTTCTGCCCAGTTAAAATAAAAAAAGAAAGAAGAAAAAAAAAAGAAGGAGGGGGATATATAAGCGAGAGGATATTTGCACGTCGCTAATCAGTCATTAAGATGGGGTGAAAATTTATGCACAATGAATGCTGAATGGGGAGACGATAAAAGGGGAGCACGAGGCTGCAGAAGCGGTATGATATATGATGGGCAATGAGAGCTTTAATTGCAGGGAAATCAATCATTGGAGGGAATGAATTTGGTGCCGACATGCAATGCGATGAAAACTTGCCAAATATGGGCCAAATCGCGAGAAATATTTGGAAAAAACAAAAAGACAAAAAAAGGAACTAAGACTTTCTCTCTCCCTTCTCTAGTAAGTCGGTCAGCGGCGAAAATCTTGGACAATCAAGGACAGAAAATTCATGTTTCTCATGTCGAGGCGGTTCTGCGAGTGGAGGCGTCAATGAAAACAAAAAAATCAACCCGTCTCAATGCATGTCTCGAACAATTAGCGTAACGGATGGGATAATGCTGTGCGACCGTGACGAATATACGCGGCTCCCAATAGCAACAAGTCGTTTCGGACAGGGTGATGGTCCTGGCGGCGGAAAAAAATAAAATAAAATAAAAAAGAAAGAAATGAGGAGGTTGGGAACTAGAAGAGACCGAACTTCTTGCCTTTCCCCTTATCGTCTGTAGAACTTGGATCAGAATCACACACTCACAAGGCACAGTGGGAAGGGCAAAAATAAAAAGAAACTTACTCTGTGTAGCAGGGTCAGGTTTTCCAATCTTCCCGTGCGTCCGCCGCGCCGCCGACTTGGGATCAGCGCCTGACGCAGCAGCTCTAATTGCTGCGATGCGGTGTTTGGCGCGCTCATCGCCATGGTCAGCTGCGCGAACGTACCACACATTGGCCTCGAGAGGGTCACGCCGACACCCAATGCCCATCTCGGTGAAGTAGCCCACCGCATACTCCGCTTTCGCAAGCCCTGCAGGTTTTTGCCAAAATCAGCATATGGCTATATGCGTACTACTTTGTGGGATGTATTTCGGGGAAACCATTAAAAAAAAAAAAAAAGGGGGAAAGGAAAAGGAAAAGGAAAAGGAAAGGAGACTTACCGCATTCAGCCGCCTTTTTCGCCCACTCGTACGCCTCATATTCGTCCTTCTCCAGCATGGGCTCCGCGCCCACCATGAACCAGGCGCAGAGAGCCATCATCGCCATCGGGTGTCCCAACTGGGCAGCACCCGTGTAGAAATGCACACTGAGGGCCGGATCTCGCGGACAGCTCAATTTCCCATGCTCATACGCATCTCCAAGTCGGTAATTCGACTCCGCATGTCCGAGTTCCGCAGATTTCGTAAGCAGCTGCGCCGCATAGGATTCGTCCTGGAAGACATCGTCTCCATAACCAGTTTCGTGGAGGAGACCCAGCTCGTACGGGCCGGCATTGTATTGGAAATCCGCCGATTCGGTGGCTCGCTTCAGCCAGGTTATGCCTTCACGATAGCGCTTGCTAAGACCCATATCGCCAGTCAGACACGCTTTTCCCAGTCGTAACATTGCCCCGGGATGGTTTTTGGATGCTGCCTGTCGGTAGAACTGGACTGCTTTTGCGCCGTCTTTCCTGCTTCCCCAGCCAAACTCATAGCAGAGGGCGGCACGGTACCCAGCTTCCGCGTGACCATGTTTGCTGGCAGCGACGAATAGCGGGAAAGCTTTGTCATAATCCGGTTTTCCCTTGTTAAAAAGACCCGAGGCATACCCATCACCGAGATAATACTGCGCGTACGGATAACTACGATCAGCCAGACGCTGTAAGATCGCCTTGGCTTCTCGAAGCAATTCCGCCTTCGAGATATCGGACCCGATTTCTTGCTGTTTGGAGGCGGCGGGGGAATCCGGCCGAGAAGCCTCTTGTGCGGCATGGATCATAAACACCGCAAACTCATATTGCGCCCCTGAGTCATTAGTTTTCTTGACGTTCGCCAGGTACATCTCAAATGTCTGCTTATGGCTTAGCAGAGAAGCGCTGTTCCCCACGGACGCCCGCAGATGCGCATTGCTGAGAGTCGCAGGAGCCGGAGGGGGTTGTGGATACGGTACGTTCATCAAGTCCACGAAGGACAGGGGTCTGGTGTCTGGAGAAGCAGCCGAGTGAGAGGATACCGCGCGCGCATGACCGTAAGGAGAGAGCTGGAGGGAACGTGTGCGGCCCCTACCATCCGAATATGCTGACGGTGGGCGTGGAACCACCAACCCTCCCGGTGCAAGGTGATTTGATTGCCCTCCGGTAGAGGAGGAGTCGGAAGCCGAAACGACTGTGCTCTTTGATCCGCGATGCCCGACACGGTCGAGCAGATGCTCCTGGAAAGGCTGATGGTGATACTGCAGGGGCTGGTAGATCTCGGGCTCGTGGTTTCCTTGGGTGCTTTCTTGTTCCTCGGGAAAGCTTTCGAGGCTGTTTCTACTCGATGAACTTCTCGTCTCGACCTGGCGCCCTTGCCCATTCAAATGTGAGAATTGCTGCGGCATCCCGGCATGATTGAGCGAATCGCCTCGCGGGGGAATACCCGATGTGTCGTCCACGGGCCCGTGCTGATCTTGCGAGTACTGAACAGGGGGAGGACTTTGGTACAAGGAGCTGCGGCGAGGGGGATATTCCTGATAACTATAGTTATTCCCGGATTCCTGGGACAACCTTAGATTCCTCACATCCTCGACGAGAGCAGATGAAGCTTCTGGTATTATAGAAGGATCGTCGATCCTCACGGGCGACACTGGCGAATGGTGCATGACGGCACTTTCGTGGGCCTCCAGTTCGGAAAGACCGACAGGTTTTCTTTTCGGTATTTCACGAAGCGAGAGTCTCGAGACATGTTTGCTCGAGTTCTTTGGAGACATCAGGGGCGGAGGTGGAGGTGGATTCTGATCAGGGGAAGGAAACGGAGCCGAGGACCTGAGGTACGCTGGCTCAGGGGGGGAGAGGGGAGGCTGTAGCTCCGCTGTCCGACTCATGATGGGAAAATATCTGCGGGAATTGCTTGCGAATCTACCAATTCAACACAATTCCTTTTTTGGAACAGAATCAGATGGAGCATTAAATGGACAAGAAGGGTACGTATATCCTATAGAGCACCCAAGAGAAAAGTTCTCACACCCAGGTGAAACTCTTACTGTGCTTTTTCTTTTTCCTTTCTTTTTTCCTTTTCTTGTCCCAGCAACAACTGAACGGATGATTCCTGACTGTGTCTTCGAGGCTTACACGCCGGTCATCTGGATGCTGTCAAGCCGCAGATGGTGGAGGGGTTCAGGTCCGGGGACACTGTGGCCTTCGACGGAGGGGCTATGAAAGAGGGAGGGTTGGGAAGAACACTGCAATGTTGGTCGAATGGAGTCTGTGATCTTCGGTTTGTTTAAAAAACTACCCTCGCAACGTCATCGGAGAACACAGGTACACATGGGGAGTTGCCGTGGGAGATCTCTGTGCGACCTTGGAATACCCAACTACGGCACACTGCCTGTAGGGCCCTTTTTTTCCTTTTTTTCCTTTTTTTCTTTCTTTCTTTTTTTTTTTTTCAGGGAGAAAAAGGGGGGAGGAAGAGTGTATGGATGGATTGGTCTTTGTGGAATTTCAACCCCCGAGGAGAATGGTAGTAGCCAGAGTAATTGGGAATCTTTTTCCTTTTTCTTTTACCTGTCTCTTCTTTCTTTTTTTTTTCTTTTTTTCCTTTTTCTTTTACCTTTCTTTTCCTTTTTTTTTTTTTTCCTTGTTTTCTTTAGGAGCCTGGCCTCGGTAAACCTACAACTGGATTTTTATTCCTCTGAGCAGGGCTGGATTAGGCTCGAGGGTGTGTGGACGAACGTACGAACGTGACGCCGCCGGGGGGGAAGAGGCGAAAGGACGACACGAACACGGAGTAACGACAAATGTGACGCAAGGGGGTAACGACAGTTTGCGGCGGGAAGACGACGAGAGGTACCTCTCTCCTAAACTCAGCCACAGGAGAACAAGAGGTTAATGAGTGAGAGAAGTCAATAGACCGGGACAGGAGGACACATGGAGAGTTTCGAATGGCCGCATGGAAAAGAAAGAAAAGGAAAAAGAAAAAGAAAAAAAAAGAAAAAAAGAAAAAGGAAAAAGAATGAATGCGTGGAATTTCGAGCCGGGCTTCCCTGGAGGTGGAGTTGGAGGAGGGAGGGCGAAGAAGATCCAAGAGACCGGAAAACGTGGGACGCGAGCGGGCAGTTGGCAGTTTGGAGAGGAGTTGGTTAAGTTTCAACGACCTCGTCAAAAACGATCTAACGGGGCTAACGGACCTGTCTCAACACAGACACCCAGGCCTCCAGCACAGCAGGGGGGGAAGAAGAGATAGAGCGAGAGAGGGAGAAATAAATATAAATAAAATAAAAAGATAAAATATAAATGGCGCGGGTTGCTGGGATTGCGGAGATGTGTTTAATTAAATAGCCGAACTTCTTACCTGTATGTCTGGAGAGAATAACGTTTCTGGCACAGAGTCGAAAGGGAAAAGAAAACGGCTCTGCAGGAGACAAACGATCTCCCTTTTCTTTTTTTTTTTTTTTTTTTTGATTTTTTTGATTTTTTGATTTTGATGCTTTTTTGCTTCTCTTCCTCCCTTCTTTTATTTTTGTTTTTGAATTCGATTTAATTTGATTTATTTTTTATTTTTTTTTTTCCGCCTCCGCTGCGGCTCTGGAAGGCAGACCAGACTGCAGGACTTTTTTTTTTTTCTTTTTTTAAAACTGCGGGATCGAACCCAAAGCGCCATGAAACTCAGCTTCAGAGCGCCAGTGCCGCGAGCCCCCAATAACCATGGGAAACTTAGTGAACCCACGGAGTTATCCACGAGCCTAGTGCTCCGTAAAACCATGGGAGTCGCCCACGAACCCAGTCAAACCATGGGAGTTATCCAGAAGGGCGCCCTCCCCCCCCCCCCGTTTTTCCCGCTGGCCCTGGGGAAACGGAACTCTGGTCGGTCAGGGCTGGTTTTGGTTCACGATTACGCCTGTTCCCCAGTAAGACAGCTTCGATGAGTTACCACGGCTCCGATGGAATTATTTTTATCTCGACGAACACAGAAGAACAGCATGGAATATAAGATGGAGTATGGAGTATTTTCTTTTTCCTTCTTTTTCTTCTTCCTCTTCTTCCTCTTCTTTTCTTCTTTTCTTCCTTCAATTTATTTCAATTTATTTCAATTTATTTCAATTTACTTTATTTTCTCTTCTTCTATTTTCTTCTTTCTTTTACTACAGAATACTCCGTATCGAGGCAGACAGACTAGCGGAGGGTCTGCTCAGCCGCAGATCAGGGGCGGATTCTGCCCCAGATAGGCTGACCCGGCAGAGATGCAGCTGCATTTAAAGTAACTAACTTAAAAAGAGAGAGCGAGAGAGAAAATATACGTCCTTAATTCGTACAGATTTCAGCCCGTCGAAACAGTTTCACCGCATATGTAACGCCCCCTCCACATCTCGGGTCTCTTTTTTCTCGCTTGACGAGCGACGTGGGGAGCGAGGCTGAGTGTGCCGGTCTGGCGGAGAAGGAAAAAAAAAAAAAAAGGGAAAAAGGGAAAATATTGCGTGCTTCGTCGAGTCACTTTGGCTAAGCATTGATGCCTCCGCCACGTGCGGTTCGTCGCAAGCGGGCAGGATGATGATGATGATGATGATGATGATGATGATGTACGACGGGGATTCTCTTTGTTTGCCTGAGACATGCCATGAACCCAAGACACCGGAGATGCATCTCCTGTCACGAGTTGACCTGACCTGACTCTGTTTTTCTTGTCTTTTCATTTGAAAATTTTTTATTTTTTATTTTTTTTATTTTCTTTTAATTGGATACCCCTCTCTGCATATTGACACTGTGAAGTAACATAACTGCATAAGCATGACTATATATGCACACAGTCCAGCATGCTTCGGAGGGGTGGGATGAGACGCCGTGAACTATTAGCGGATGTTCCATCTGGAGTCGACCGCATAACCAAACCCAATTCGGCATTTCTGACCGCATCTGTCTCGACTCCACCAGTTCAAGAGATTTGTAGAGTACGCCACAGCCGAAAAGAAAAGGAAGAAAGGAAAAGGAATAAAAAGAAGAAGAAGAAGAAGAAGAAGAAGAAGAAGAAGAAGAAGAGGAAAGGAAAGGAATGAAAAGAAGAGAGGAAGAAGAAAGCAAAGACGAATTAAGACCGGTCTTGCTACTACAGGGATGCTGCGGCCGGCTCTTTCCCCCCTCCGGCATTATGTTATTTGTGTTTTGGTTTGTTGTTGAGCCTCAATTTGCGGGCTGAACCTGCCTAATTATTATATTTTAGCCTGTGGAGATGCACTCTGTAAAAGAGACTCTAACAATTAGTGAACTCGAACCTCCTATAATCGAGCAGTCTCTAAAAGACCGGAACCAACTAAACATGGTAAACTACCTGTTAATGATCAGGATTTGTCCCCATAAATTGCTAATTCCAAATTTTTTTTTATCTACATATCGTTCTGGGCCCAGAGTAGCGCTAGAGGCAGGCTGCCGCTTTCAAATAACCCGGTCAACTGAGGCTGGTGATGCATGAAAAAAAAAAAAAAAAAAAAAAAAATCCCTTTCTAAACACCACGATTTTTGCTATTTCAAATCTTGAGTGCAAGAACTCGTTAATGGAGCTCATTGAGAAAAGTTTTGTTGGCTCAGTCAGCATTCTCCCTGCCCTCGAGCGTATGACATGAACAACAGAGACGGGGTATGTCTGTGTTGTGTATTTGTAGATCAATCTCGGCCCCCCTCTCTTTCGTAAATCGCATCGAGCGCCCCGGTCTGAAGAACATCTTGCACCACGTGGATCACGTCAACGCCAGTCCCATGGCGGAAGATGGTGGCGGAAGATGGAGTCGTGAGGCTGAAGCGTTTCGAGGGCGCCATCCTCGGTTGGCAGATGGAGAACATGGATCGTGGTGGATTCTTGACTTGACGAGCTGAAGGACACGTAGGGAGGAAGTTAAATGCTCATGCAGATTATATCGATAGGTGACAAAGTTTACCAGTAACTTAGCCTATCAGATGAAAGCTTGTTTTCAATACTATATATATATCATATCAACATGTCATTCAAGCTTCGTTGAACAGTCTGACAGCTGTATGATACAGCAGTCAAGTTAATAATAAACTAAGTTTTGCTCTCAATGTCACTGACACTCTGGGCAGCTGCCCCACACACTACTGCTCACCATGACAGTACATGATGAGAGCTCTCAAGAACAAGAGCAGCTTTCTCCGGAGACTGCCTCCCTGATGTTTCTCAGGACCGAAACCCATCCCAACTGTTGGACGCCAGTTTTTGCACCCATTCCCTCCCTTCACCATCCTCAAGCTCAGTGCTGATGATTGGTGGGGGGCCATCATGACCGCGCTCGCCCATTCCATACTTGGGGCCCCTGTGTCCCACGTGTCGTTCACATTGCAATCTACCTGAGTGGAGGATGGAGCTGTTGTATGACCTGAAGTCCTTTTTTTTTTTTTTTTTTTTCCCCTGCGCGGCGAGTGCGATGCTGGACCTGGATGCTGCCATTGATGTTTGAGAGAAATCGCGCAGCGACACGACGATGACAGCAGATGGGGTTTTTTGAGACCGGCCTACCGGATGTCTCACAACAGACTGATTCTGCCCTTTGTGGTCCAATTGAGTACTGATTCTGCCCTTTTGTGGTTCAATTGAGAGTGTGTGGCATCGCCTGGCTAGTTCCATGCTTATTCACAATCCTCACTGATGCCAATCCCTCCTGTCAATGGAAAAAGAAAGTAGGGTCAGTCAGTGGTTGAAGGGTGGATGGATGCTCAACTTCAGCCTCTGACATCAGTGTTCGAAAGTGTTGTGGGGTCAGGCCTTCAACAAATCATTGAGTGACTTGGGCCCCCTGAGGCATGTACGGAGTAACCAGACATTCCATTCTTAGCAGTCGACACACTGAAGAAGAAGTTTATCAGATCCAATGTGTTGTTTGAGAGCTTAATGTTATATAGGTGGCAGTGTGTGTGAATGCGGTAGATGTACTCGGTAACTCCGTACAGCCACCCTACAATGAGTGAGTAGCCAAACCTTAAAATTATTGCCCAACATGAGATTGAGTGCAGGTGCTAATTAACTTGGTGTGGACTTACTCTCTCTCTATATCTCTCTCTCTCTGTGTGTATATAATGTATCCTCTCTCTGTGTGTTTGTTTCTCGATTTGTCATTATTTCCCTTTTCGGGTGCTGTCGACTGGGTACCGTCGGGACTTGGCGGGGCCGGGATTGGGTTGGGAGGGAAGTTTCTGAGATCCGGTCGACAAAAACCACCTGGTGGGTCACTCTCTAATCTCTAGGCAGCTGAGAGGGGGAAAAGCTGATAGAGAAGAGAGGGTTCACAAATGCAGGTACATACTCTACTTTATACTCTCCCTCTAGTACCTCTACTACGTGACTCTGTGGTGGCCTGACGGCCGTGCCCGGCAATCATAACATCGGTTCACCCCACCAACTTTTCCCCCGAGTTCTCCAGGCCGCCGGATGGAACGATGGAAATGATGGAAATGGCTGGCCACGGCAAGTCCGCCACTCGGTTCCATGTGTCGCGAAAATCTCCCCCGTCACGCCCTGTATTGTGAAACTTATGCTCCACTCGCCGGCTCGCATTGGCCGTCCGTCTGTGCCCGCCATTGGCTCGCTGCCCGGCGTGACCCGTGCGAAACGTCGTACGGTAATTACTGGACCTTGAGCTTGTCCATTTTTGGAGCCTGACTCGATCCCACACGGCCAATCAGCCGCCGCGTTCGTCGCCACTATGGAAGCTTCATCGCCCCGTCCCTGCTGCTCCACACTCGCTGATTCGTCCATCGCGGCGACGCTTGTCCAGATGAGGCATGGTCGGCTGGATGTCTCAGACAACAAGCCTGGAAATATTACAAGCCAAACCACCCGGCGGTGTCTCTGTGGCTACTGCCCCTTGTTTTTCTTTCACTGCAACAACAATACAGAATTTA